AAGGTTGACCTCGAAAACCTGTGGAATGTACACACACACACACACACACACACACACACACACATTAGAAAGGTTGGAGAAACCTATTAATAAACGGACTTTGGCAGGCTTCAGGGACTTGAAGGAGGCGACACAAAGCGCTTAAGTACCTGAGGGAGGTGTGTGTTTTATTGCAATGAATGAACCTATTACTGCCAAAGGCAATATATATGTGTGTGTGTGTGTGTGTGTAAGTGCGTGCGTGTGTGCTTGTGTGTGTGTGTGTGTGTGTTGGCTTTAAAAAAGTAGCAAGCACATTATCAAGACACTTTGTACACGTACATGTCCTCGGTGTACCTTTCTGTGTAGTATGTTATCCAGGTTTGAACTTGCAGAAAAGGTTAACTCAGCTAATATTATAGCCACTGTCTTATATCAATCATTCACATATAAATTGAACTAAAGCTGCCATTGTTTGGTCTTCCTTTTTGGTGTTTGGTTGCACCTATCTGAAAATGTTGTTAATTTCTGAGCAGCTGGATAAGATACAGTGACCCTACCTTGGTTTAAAGATGACACTAGGCCACCCCCGGGCTCTAAGTCCTATCAACTGAGGAAAAAGAAGTGGACACACTCTGTTTGTTATCTGAATGAGCATCTTTACATGCCTGACTTATTATTGTCATAATTATAACATTACTCCTACTACTGTGTCTGATATTGGTCTGATACAGGGATATATTAACCTTTATGTCAGGTTTGTGGCTGCGTGCTGACTCCAGGGAACCTGAAGATCTTCAGACTATTACCCTTTTTTGTAATATCGACCTTACTCTCATCACATTCTAGGAGCAGATAACAAAAAAGTAAAACTGTCTCTGTTTGTGAGACAGCACCTAGACTGTGATTGTTTCCAGCTTTGACACCAAAAAAGGTGAAAATCTAACAAATCTGTTTTCGCAACAGCTGACAGTTACTGTTCGTCTGTTTGCTAATGAAGTAAGAAATGAATGGAGAAAAATGTTTATAAGGCCTTGAAGGTTATGTAAAAACACCTTTACTGACGTCTTTAAAGGCTTTTCCTGTCATTGAGATATATACGTCAATGAAAAAACGATGGTCATGGTTTTGAAGTAGTTCTGTAAGAGTTACTGAGTCAGACTAAGCAGAGCTTCTCCAAAGCACTTGAAGATACTGAAGCCCAGAACTGCTACTGTTGAAACAGATCACCAAGGATAAAATCAGTCTGGCTGTACCTGAAGACCCTCAATCCACCTGTATTTTTCCAGAGCTTGTATAGAGATGTGTCTCTTTCTCAGACAGCTCATATCAATATTTGGATCAGCCTCACATCATGGTGAATTTTAGTTAAACTTTCCAAAAATGTACACTACAGGCCAAAAGTTTGAAAGCAAGATCAAATTTGGACAAAAAAACTGGTAGTTATTTAAAGAAAAACTTATCAGAAGCCATTTTTACTATAATAATATTTTAGTTTTTCTTGCTTAGACTTTGCTTTCCACAAAATAATCTCCTCTGGCTTTAACAACAGCTTGGCATATACGAGGCATTCGTTCCACAAGTTTTTTAAGGTATGTAGCAGGAATTGCATTCCAAGCTTTCTTAAGTTCATCATAAGAGACTGCTGATTTGTCGGACGTGGTTTTCTGATTGATCGATCCAATTCATCCCAAACAAGCTCAATTGGAGAAAGGTCTGGAGACTGAGGGGGCCAAACCATCTTTTGAAGAACACCTTCCTCTTCTTTTTTGTCTAGTAACCCTGACAGAGCTTGGCAGAGTACTTAGGATCATTGTCTCGTTGAAAAAAACAAACTTTGGACCTACAAGTCTTAGTCCAGATGGAACAGCATGGTGCTGGAGGATGGAGTGGTACTGTTCCTTCTTCATGATACCCTTTACTTCAAACAAATCTCCTACTATATCACCTGCAAAACATCCCCATACTATGGCACTACCACCTCCTTGCTTTATTGTGGGTGTTGTTACACATGGTGCTTTGAGACATTCACCAGTTTTTCTGCGGACATAGACTCTGCGTTTGGAGCCAAATAGTTCAAACTTGCTTTCGTCCGTCCAGAGGATTTGTTTCCAGTCATCATAGGTCCAATTTTTGCGAGCTTTTGCCCACTCATATCTCTTTTTCTTGTTCTGTGGACGAAGAAATGTTTGTTTTTTTTTGCAGATACACAACCCTTCAGACCAGTCTTTCTCAAACATCTTTTCACTGTTGTCAAAGATATGGGTTTTGACCTTTTCATGTTGATTTCCTCCTTTATTTGTGGTGCTGTTTTTCGCCGATCTCTCTTACTGATGACAATAATATGTTTATACTCTGTTTTTGTAGTGAACCTCTTTCTTCTAGGCCTTTTTCTGTCATCATAACTTCCAGTTTCTTCAAGTCTCTTCAGAGTGTAGTCAACTCCTTTGTTGGACACCTTTAGGCGTTTTGCAATTTCCCTTTCAGTGTATCTTTCTTTTCTCAATGTACAAATCTGTACTCAGTTGTTTCTTCCTAGCCATTTCTGCGATAGTTTGTCAGAGTTTTGAACACGGGTGAGATTTATTGGGATTTTTGTATGCAGACACTCAAAAGCCAATAAGTAAAAGCAAATAATGCAAAGTGATTTGTTTTTTTACTTTTACACTGAATTTGTGACTCTTGCTAATCTTCTTGAACCTAAAACTAAGCCCTCCCTTTCTTTTGTTGACATTTATTCAGCTATGGTCTGGTAACATCAATGTATATCTAAAGGTAAATTGGGGAAAATGGTGCATAATGGTGGACTATGGTGCATAGTCATGCAATAAATACATCCCAAATTACATTTAACTTATCCTTTTTTATGGAAGGCATTGTGAACAGAAACTTGAAGTAGTTTCCAAATGTTTGGCCTGTTTTGGTCTTGCTTCCAAACTTTTGGCCTGGAGTGTATATTGTGATGGTGAGGATAAAACATGTGTTGTGCATCAGTGACCTTTCACTGATCCTGGCATTTGTACAAAAACAGAGGTGCTGCTGCTCCCTCTACAGGACAAAGTAATCACAGACCAGAACCTTCTTGAAGACTCAGGGAGGCTCCTCCTCCACATCCTTGGAGTCAGACAGGAATCCACCTTTTAGACCAGGGGTGGGCAACCATGTGCCATGCAGGGCCGAGAGGCTGCAGGTTTTCCAACCCAAAACTCCACCAGGTGATTTCACTGATTACCTTACCTCCAAGCAGAGAGCAGAGACTAATCAGTGAAATCACCTGGTGGAGTTTTGGGTTGGAAAACCTGCAGCCTCTCAGCACATTTTTGCCCACCCCTGTTTTAGACAGTCAGCTGGTGGGGATGTTTGCACCAGACACACACACACACACACACACACACACACACACACACACACACACACACACACACACACACACACACACACACACACACACACACACACACACACACACACACACACACTGTGCTGGTGCTGTGGTTGTTTGTTGTAATGTGTGGCTTTTGCTACTTTTCCTTCATATGTTCTGATATCAGGCAGATATTTTTATTGACATGCTTTCTTACCTACCTACTTTATTACCATACAGATTGAATACAGAGTATGCCAGCTTAGTTTACATCAGTACAATAGGGGAGAGAGGAGTAACTGTAGCAATACCAAGTTTTCCTTAGCTCCCAGATTCTTGAGAAAAACTAGTTCATACCTGTCATAACCCTAATAATACACACGCCAAGACAAAAACTGCCAGCCAAAAAAATACCACAACACTAAAAACTTACCAGTGCAAAAAGTGAGGAAAAAGCATCACAGAACGAGCCCGAATTAGCTCCTGGAGCAGCCAATCAGGAGCATGAGATGGCACACCTAATTTGCATACAAGACAGGTGACACACAAACTCATCTATGGAAAACTCCATGTCAGTTAAATGCTAACTGGTTATCTCACTCTGTCAGAATCATGTATGTTCAGTCAACGACAAAGCTGTTGCTTTGTTTATACTACTAACACCCAGGTTGTAAAATTCATAACAGAGTGAGAGTATTTGCACATCTCAAAGTAAACACACATCTGCTTCAGCTTCTAACCTGGTTATTAACGATTTTCTCTAGTGTTTGATTTAACAGTATTTTAGGTCACAGGTATGTATGAACTCAAAGAAAAATATACATCTTTTTTGTACTCAGTTAAATGCAACTATTCTATTCACATTTGTGGATCTGTGTACACATTTACAGATAGTTTTGCTACAATAATAGCTCCAAATGATGTAAATTCAGGACTTGAATTTTAGCAGTTTTCTTACGTGTTTCTGGACTTGAAGCAGTTTGTAGCACTTGCAAGTGTTTTCTTTCCCTATCTAATTCTTGCTTGTGTTGTACTCTTTCTCAGACGTATGCCGCTTTGGACAAATGCACTGGCTAAATGAATCTGCGGAATACTGGAAACAAACATTACTTAACAACGTAAAATGACTTTTATACCTCAGGTTCATTTTTCTTGTTTGGCACATCTACTGTAAACAAGTAGCTACAGTCATGCTTAGCATATGACATGTCACACTTCGACTTATATCTTCTTGAGGGATAACAGTTTTCCAGCCGCCTCTGGCATCTACTACCTGTTCTACCTGCTCAACTACTGTAATCTACACCAAATGTCAAATATGAAATACTGCATATCATTTGCATTTTGAAAGCCAATCATAATCCTGAGTCGCTTGAACAGTGGGTAAAAACAGTTCAATTTTGTTTGTGGGGTGGCTAAGATAACTCTCCAACCTTGCTGTTATTTGATGCTTAATGAACTGCAATCTCCATGTTTCTAGTTATCCCTAAGGCAGAAACACAATACACCTGCCACCTTAGCTCTTCTAGACAAGACTAAACCATAAACACCTTTAGTGTCAGAGGTGAACTGTTGATTTGTGTTATATTTAACTGAACAATACAGAAGCTTCTTGTCTGAATGCTCACCTGAATTTGAAAGAAAAACATCTGACAAATTGAGTTTAAATTTTTCATTTATTACTGAACGTATGAAAAGAGAGCAACAACAATCTCAAGTGTCATTAGATAAAAGTGCACTTTAAAGAAGCGGTCTCATGACCTGTGAGACTCAATGGAAGCCTACTGACGTGACAAATCACAGCACATCCTATTCAGTAATGCACAAGATGATTCACAAGTTACAGGCCAGATAATGCACGTAGTGATAAACAATATGCAGTGCTACAATAATGCACACTGTGATTCAATATTCAACAACGTGACACCGAAGTGCTACAACAAAAAAACACTCATACGTAAGGAGGCATGCTGCAGTACAACACAGAAATTCATTTACTCTGACAAACACTCAAATATAAACACTCTCAAGTGCAAAAGGATTAACTTACAAGTTATCCAACAGAGGTGCTGTCGAGCTTATCACTCAGTCTGGCAGTGCTTGGATTACAATTATAGACTTCCAATATTTCTTGCCTAAATTGTCAACATAAGACCAACTTCACCTTAGTGCTAAAAGACAGTGCTTTTTCTGTTGTGTGAAATAGTGTTATGAATTCACACAAAGCTCCAGAACTATTATATAATTTCTACTGAGGCAGGCCTTCAGACACAAGTGCAGTACAGATAAAAGATCTGGCAGTTTTCTAAAATACAGCAGGCCTATTCCACAAGAAAATATCCTCGTGTTATCTTCTGTTATCCTGAAAATCTGATTTAGTATGAAAAATCACAGTGTCCACTAGATATCTGGCTGAGACTGAGAGATTTGGCAGTGTTAGCAGGAGGGAGGCCAAGACAGTGCACAGCGCCAAAACGAGGAGATGTCTACAATGCAGAGAAGGCCGGATAAGAAAAGCAGTCAGCTAAACTTTTTTTCACTTATTCCCACTATGAGATCCTCTAAATACATTTTAACATCCCTTTGATATTGTTCTCTAGAATAGTGAGCAGCAGGAAAAACATCAAACTATACAAGACATGAAAAGATGCCTCTAAATAGAAGTGAGTGTATGTAGACACATGTGACTAACATGTACCTGGATTAACACATAACTTTGTATGAGCAGCACATCACCAGTGTCACCAGTGTTTAAGCACACTTAAAATGTCACAAGTTTGTGTATGAGATGAAATCATTATTCTCTAAATACACTCAATGCTGTCAGCCTTTGGGTCAGAGGAAACAGGATTCATTTTCTGCTCCTCTCCTCTCCTCTCCTCACAGCTCTGTGGCCCCTTAAAGCTGTAGAACTGGTGAAAGTGATAAACACACACTTTTGTTCTCCCTAAAAGACGGTCTATCTATCTGTGTCTTGGTCAGTCTCATTTGTTCCACAACTTTCCCTCAGCAACCAGCCTCTGGTTCAGCTGACAGAGCTGCCGCAGGAAGCCGTCGTTTGGTCCTATTTCTCTTTTCTGACGCACCATGGCCAGCGCGGTGTGAACATCCATGTTTTGGCGTAGCATCAGGTAGGCTATGACTAAAGTAGGGGAGCGGCTGTAGCCTTCCCGACAATGAACATACACTTTACCTACAGAGGGAGAAAAATAAAAGCATGTGTTCAGGCTTAAGCAAAGTTAAAACAGTGTTCTCTGAAGTCTCAGCCACAACAATGATAGAAATCTGTTGGACTGTTACCTTGAGTGAACATGGTCATGTGATCTGTTGTTTTTCTAAAACTGTTGCAAGGTCCAGTATTCAATATTGATTTTTCTGAAGGCTGAAAGAAATGAGTTTTGTATCCCAATTCCTCTCTCCACTATATACGTGCTTTTCTTTTCTTTTATAGCATAGCGTCATGGTACTTTGAGTTTATCAGGAACTGTCTCCAAATTCAAACATTCTCCTATCAGCAATTCTTGGGAAGATATTTCCTCCTGAAACCAACTTAAAGGTACAGTGTGTGTATTTCTACAGCGGTGCATGTATGTTTCTACATGTTCCTCTTTCTACAGTAACACAGAACAGACAAACTAGTAAAATGTGCGTTTTTCTTTGGTGCGATTGAACACACTAAATGGACCAAAACACAGCGACTGCAGTGCACAAAGAATTTGTATTTATACACGACATTAGAGGTAAATGCTTGACTGAAATTGAGAATCTGACTGCTGGATATCACAAAATATTTTTTACATTCACTGATGTTTTCTTACCTGGGAATTGTGTTTAAGTAGGAACCTAAACCATGAACACTAAAGAGCACAGTTTTAAGTACACACCTGATGGAGCAATACAAGAGATACTTGGGTTTTACTTAATTTTACTACATATGGTTTTTGTAACATATAAATGCATGATTTCAGTGTACTGGACTTTTGCTTAAATCTTCAAGTCTTAAAACTAATATATCAAATGTTCATCGTTGAAGGTCAACTTAAAAATCTCATAATAATGTTTCGGCCCTAACACACAGGTATTTAAAGACAGATCTGTGAAATATTCCATTGTGTTATACAGACCTCCTACTTTTTACAATTTAGAATTAGATCACACATTTCTACTGTTTGATCCAATTTAATCTATTCACAGCCCTGTTAATCTGTGTATTAGGAAAAACTTGCAAAGCCCTCAAACCTGTGCGATCATAGCATTTATCAACTTAAGAACAGGTTCGTGAATAAGCTGAAGACGTTTGTCCTAAAGTATTGGAGAATGAAGGTCAAAGGTTTTTTGTACACACTGATGTTTTGGAGACTAGCATTAGCATTAGATTATTTTTACTTCCTAGAAACAGAAAACAATAATTTGGCAAAAGTCAAAACATTTCAGTTTGAGTTTACTCCAGTACTTCTTCCTCTGACCTTTTCCATTCTTGTAAGCCATGGCCTTTTCTATGAAGTCTGCTGCCTCTTCAAAGTAAACACTGATGTCGAAGTGGTCGGTGTCGCTGGCTGGCACTCCGTGGTAGATGATCCCTGTGCCGGTGTATGACTCAGCAGTGGTGTTGACGTGCATGAAGGAGTTCCCCTCTGCAGCATTCAGGATGTGTGTGATCCCAAGCCGTTTTAGACGCATCACATTTGTGGCCGCAAACCTGCAGCAGATTGGGAAAAAAAAACACATTTTCACAGTCAAGCTCAAAGACAGCATGAGCAATGGTCTTTGTATTTTCCTATCAAATAAACTTCATTCAATTCTAATTCAAAATAGAAAACTGCTAAACATCAGAGGGAGCAAAAAAAAAGGCTGATAAAAGAAAGTGAAAATGTGCAATGGACGCAAACAGGGTGTTGTTGTCGAATGAAGCCTCCATTAAAGGGACAGAATGATGAAAAATGATAAGATCTTTATGAGAGGCCATGATGAGCATTAAATCAAAAATTTATCAAAGTTTCAAATTATTTTTCACTGCTCAAGAACTACGACTGATGTTTTTCCAGCTAGGACATCTTGTTCAACCATAAATCGACTGTAGTGACAGCAGAGTAGAACGTGAGCACCACCAGCTGGTTATTCAGATGAACAAACATCTCATTTTGCAATGTGAATAAATGGGGGCACCTTATACAGGTTTTTAAGTTAGTAGACAAATATATCATGATGGGAGGTTGGCTGCATTAAAATAACAGTTTAATAAAGAAGTTGTTATTTATAAGAAACATAGAGAAGTGTATCTAAGGAAACAGGCATTCAAAAGGGGAATTGTTTTTCTTGTTGAAACATTTTGAATTCTTTGGATCTTTTCCCCTCCATGTGTCTCTTTTCTTGCATAAAAATGTTATGAAAAATAGATCTGATCCATCTCACTGTGAAACTCGGGTTGCTGCTCCACTTGGCACCTCCTGCTTTTTAGATGAGGAGTGCTAAAAATAGAGCCGGTGAAACGTCACGCCTACACACACAAAAAAAGAAAAGTCTAGCAGGCTTTCAGACTACGCAGAGGAACCAGGACAGACACATCAAAACCAAAAACTGCAGCTCGAACATTTGGGTGGGTGCTTCTCTCTGCACAGCTTCAGCTGGATCTGTCTATAAAATTTACACGTACAAATGTTTGCTCTAACACAACAGATAGAGGTGCTTTATCTGAGCAGCAGGATTTTATAGGAGCTCTGTCCATTGACTCTTTGGAGGCAATGTGAAACACTGTTATGGTTCACTATACTGAATAAAAACATCTCAAAGCATATTCTATAAAGCTTTTAAATCAGTCATTTAATATTTCAAAGACACATTTTGCTGGTAAGCCTACTGTGCAAAGCTGTACTCTTTGCTAGAGAACAGAAACATTATTGTTTCTGTTATTTAGGTTTGACATTTTTGGAAATATTCGTGTGAACTTTCCCTTCAGATTTAAAAAGGAATACTGATGTTTTTGTAGTAAATATAACATTACAACCAGCAGCCAGTTAAGCTTAGACTAATTACTTTAAACAGAAGGAAACAGACTGGCTCTAATAAGAAGTAAACCAAAGATTGTATTAAACACAGATGCAGTCTCAGAGACTTTTCTGAAGCGGTTTTGAAGCTGATAAATGATGGTTCGAAAATGCTGGCCACACCTCACTTTTGGGTAACCTAGAAGAGACACTGAGCAAGAGTTAAATCTGGCCTTAGGTGGCACTCTTTCATGGACCAAACGATGGTCAACTCCTTAAACTTACATCGTATATAAAGACCAGACACAGTTGATGAGATGAGGTTGCATATACGTGGTTTGTTTTATAATCATTATTTGTAGTAGTGGTAGTATTACCGTCACGGCATGTGGCAAATCTATTCCTCCTCATGGCTAGCAGGGAGAACCTCCACTGGTTGCAAAGATAACTTTGATCGTCTATGAGTCAAATCTATTTCTGAACTCACTGTAAGATCATTAAACATGTCCCTTGGCGGTATGTGGTCTGCACTGCTGGTTTTGAGTCTAATTAAACACAGGATAAGGCCTATTTTTAGAGAAATGAAGACAGTAGAGCATAATAGTAGGGTCTGTTAGGTGAAAAATCGTTACACTGTGGATAAAAGCATGAAATGTGGCACATATGTCCCTTAGGTCATCCCAAAACATCCTAGAAGGGGTGCCCAAAAAAATGTCAAACAGGAAGTGAGTTATTGACAAAATTCAAAATGGCTGCCTAAACAGGTGACAGTTTACTCAAAAAAACACCTAAAGAATGTCTAAAAATCATAAAGTTTGGCACACATGACCCTTGGGTCATCCTGAGACATCCTAGATATAGTGGCCAAAAACAGGAAGTGGATTATTGATGAAATTCAAAATGGCCGCCTAAAGTGTTGCCGATTGATTCAAATAGCCTATTGAATCTCAGAGAAGCATACTATTTGGCACATATGTCCCTAGGGTCATCCTAATACATCCTAGAAGGGGTGGCCAAAATAATCTGAAACAGGAAGTGAGTCATTGACTAAATTGAAAATGGCCTACAGTGTTGTTGATTGACTCAAAAGTCATCTAAAGAATCTCATAAAACTATAACGTTTCTCACATGTGTACCTTGGGTTATCCTAAACATCCTAGAAAGGGTGCCCAAAAGAATCTGAAACAGGGAGTGAGTTATTGATAAAATTGATAGATGATGCAAATGACGGGGCAGGAAGAAAGGGAGATGACGCTCACGGTGCAGGCATTATTTTTCAAAACCCTATAAATGCATACAAAACTATTTGAATTACAACCCTCTGCATTTCCCCGGGCTTGGGACCGGCACAAGTAGAACACTGGCTTGTGTCCCATTGAGGCTGCATCCATCCATCCATCCATCCAGCCATCTACCTTCTAATCTACTGTATCTAATCTATCTATCTAATCTATGTATCATATAATCTATCATATCTATCTATCTGAATTGTGTCCCATTGAGGCCGGTTCCATCCATCCATCATCCGTCCATCATCCATCCATCCATCCATCCATCCATTTCATGGCTGTCTGTCTGTCATCATATCTCTCCATCTCTCCACCCATCTCCATCCATCCTGAGTGGACATGTCTGTCTGTCTGTCTGTCTGTCTGTCTGTCTGTCTGTCTGTCTGTCTGTCTGTTGTTTTGTCTTTTTCCCTCTTTTCGTCTTTTATTCCTTATCTTTTTGCCAAGTGACTCACGTGTCCCATTCATATTTACCAGCACATTGGCATAATGCTGTACAAGGTAATCCAGCATACCGACACTTCCGTGAACAGAGGGGCTCAGCTTTGCAGCTGAGCCCCCCCTTCTATCATACCAAGAACTACAAAAAACCCTCTCCCACCCCTACACTTAAAGGGATATTCTGGTGTAAAATTCATTTAGGGTAAAACACATTGTAACACTGAGTTAGACACCCCCTCGAGAGATGAATGTTGGCAACCGCTTGCTTCTCTAGTTATACCAACTTTAGTAACAACTGCACTATAGCAATACACAGGGGTCCATGGAACCACACGCAAACCTCAACCAAAAAGCCACTCTATAGTCACAAATAATGCCCAGAACAGCACCTAACTTCATCAACAGTACATATACGGTCCCAGCCATAGTACTAGCCACCAAACATCTTTTTAGCTTTGCCTAATTTCTTTAGCAAAGAGACTTAACACAACTCACCTAATCTCTTCCAGCAGCCGCTTGTTTGGAGTGAGACCTCGTGCCAATCCATTGCAGACTGCAGCGGGATGACGCAGCTCAAGGAAGAACATTTATGATTATGACATTACTTTATCATTTCCTTGGAGTAAAAATCACCATATTAATCAAGTTGCACTGCACCTCAGTCAATGATGGACTGGTTGAGGTCTCGTTACAAACAAGCGGCTGTTGGAAGAGAGTAGGTGAGTTGTGTTTAGTCTCTTGGCTAAAGAAATTACGCAAAGTTAAAAAGATGTTTGGTGGCTATAGTGCTGTGGCTGGGACCCTGTATGTACTGTTTATGAAGTTTCACCATCAACATTCAACACAATGTTCACCTTCCACACCAAGATAGAGGCAGCCCACTGAGGTAAAACTACAAAGACTGGGACCCTGCTAAGAGGGATGGTCAATGTCTTTGTGGGGCGCCCAGTAGACCTCACCAAGAGAGTGGATTATATAGTCACTTAGTGAGTCATTGTGCTGTTATTTAGACTCCACTTGTTCAGGTTTTTGGTGACTCTGTCTGCAGGGGCTTCAAAGCATGCAAACTATCCCTTTAATAAACTCTTGAATAAACTCTCTGCTGTCAGTTTAGGGAAAGTAATTGAGTTATTAAAAAGATACATAAATAAAAGTGAGGGCAGAAAACAAAACTTCTGAAATCATGTCGGAAAAAAAAAAACGGTTTCCATGGCGGTGCTGTGAGGTGAGGTAAAGTGAGGGGGCAGCGGGTGAGTTCCTGACTCTGACTGACGTTTGAATAAATACATCCAGACATAGAAACCTCTGTCAGACTTCAAAATACCTCAGCTGTAATTAGGGACTTTGATTGTTCTCAGTTGAGGATAAGACCTGAAAACTGTGGTTGTGAAGGTGTTTCACAGACTTTTCTGCACTAGGTCCAAAACTGTGGACTCTGTCAGCTGTGCAGCTGTATGAATAACAATAGTTATAACATAACAAACCTGATTTAGCATGTTTGAGTGTGTGCATGTGTGTGGGTCTATTTCTAACCCACTCACCTAATATTAGCAGTTGCACAGAGGGGTCAGACATGACAATTGCACAGACTGCTACAAAGTAGGTCACTGAGGATTTTTTTAATTTCAGGAGAATAATAGGTCAAGAACTAAAGCTGTGTCTATTTCCAGATAGTCCATCTCTGTCAGCAGCTCTGTCTTCCTCTCACTATGCTCCATTTTGCCTTTTCATAACATCCTCCCAACTCTTTAAAATTTAAACAAGCTTTAGTTGGATGCAGCCCTACATACTCTGCCTCTGTTGACTGGAGATAACAATATTTCTGTAAATATAACCTCTATGAGATACACTCAAAATACACAATTATGTGGTAATGTATATGGTATTGGTCCAGCAATATTCTTACTTATCAACTCTCTATAATGTTGCATTCATTCCCTCTGTTTTATTCTAGGACATGGGAGAAAGAGGGTGAAGTAGCTAAATTGATAAATTTATTGTTTACTTGTTTTCAGTGATGATCCTACAGGCCTGTATGTTAATCTTTGGAGATAGGCAGAATGACAGCTTCCCTATGTTGGCTCTATGGATTGTGCACGGTGTGTATGGAGACTATAGAAGACCGTGATTTTCAGATAACTCTATCTAAATGAAATGTTAAGAGTAATGAAAATAAATCCACTCACGCATTGCCCACGTAGATCCGCGGGTAAACCTCGTGAAAGTGACTGGTCGGCCAGCTGTAAAAGCCGCTGTCGTCCGTCAACAGATCGTTGAGTTGCTGGAGAGTCACTTCGAAGCTCGACATGTCGAGTCCGCCCTGAGCCGCTGTCTTCACCTGTTGGCGGTGTTTGTTCTTCATAGCACCTCCAGCAGACTCACAGACGAGAAAAGGGCGCTGAAAGTGGCGGAGAGGAGTCTGTTTACCCGCCTGACGGGGGCTGCCACCTCCCTTGGTCTCCGCCGGAGCTGCTCAGCGTGAAGAGCTGCTCAGTCAGTGTAGTGAAAACAACCCAGAGCAGGGCCGGACCTGGTTTTTGCAGGGGCCCGGGTCAGAGGTGCCCCTGCCAAACACAGAAGGCTATGCCAGTATACAAGTGACCTTTTTTTAAAATTAACATTACACACCTATAATTTAGTTGATGCCTTTAATATTTGATTTGTCACATAGGCTAGGCAAGCAAGGAGGGGAATCATTGTTAGGTTAACTTCATCAAGTTGGTCTGTGCTTTTAAAACTTTTTGAGACACATCTACAAAGTTAAGAGTTAAAACCACAGATATGTGGGCAATCTAAAAAGCTTGTTTTTTAGTTCCTCAAAGATGGACCTAGGTGTTTGCCTCTTTAGGGGATTAGAGTTCAAGCTGTACCTGTTTAGAAACACAGAAGCAGTTTGTCTGAATTCTTGCCTTTCGAATTTAACTATTGATTACTATCATGATCTGTGCAACAAGACACGCCTCACAGGGAAGTCTGCACAGTCAGTGTACAGACCCATGAAGTCCAGATCCAGTAGGAGAGAGTGAGGTAAGTTACCATTAGTTGGTGGAGAAAAACGACAAACCCTCAGTTTTAAAATGTTGTATTAAAGTAGTGAAGTATTTTAACTCTTTAGCCTCTTTTGGTTCTGATTTTGGTAAATGAATTAGCCTCCTCATGAACTCATGGCCCTTTTTCTTCTGTCAATTTTTGACTTCCTTTTTTAGAAATAAATTTGCATGTTTGTGTGAGAGTGGGCGTGATGATAGACTACTTGGACTAACAAGTTTGGCAAAAACAATTTCAACAGAAACTCCCCCATCGGCATGTAGGTGAGAGTATAAAGCAGTGACATTAGAGTCAGACCTGTCACAAACACATAAATATGACTGATGTTATCTTTGACTGTCTTTTAAGAAGCGCACACACACACAAAATTACTTGCAAGTAATTTTATTATTCTGACATAAACATTTTAAAGCAGTGTTGCAGCTTAAAGCCGTTACATTCAGTTTGCTTTTCAGAGCGTGGAGTTAGACCTAAAGTGCAAATGCTGCTGTTTAACATTGGACAAGCATCAGTTAGACATCGATAGCTATTCTCCATTAAAACCATGCATGTGTGGAGGAGGAAGTGTGAGAGTAGCCAGAGGGACAGATTTTATACTTCTCACCTGAATTTGCACGACTTAATCTTCTTTGGCAGCAGGCTTTCAAGGGTGTAAAACTTAATTAAAGAGAGAAGAAGTCAAGGTTGGGTGGTGTTTACTTAAGTTTTAGACCAAAATATTAAGAGTTAATACTGCCAGACCAGCTGGAAACATATGAGAGAGTGTATGATTGTCATAAAGTTGTTGCCAACCCATTAACAAGACTGAACAACAGTTTACAGTAAACCTATAAGATGCCAGCTCCCATACCAGCATTCATGTCTTGACCTGTTTTGAAATGTCAATGTTAAAGTCAACACCCTTTTTGCAAATATGTTTGGGAAATTTTTCAATAAAAACAAGAGCTTTGCATGTTTAATTTCCCCTTTCATGTATTCATTATGAGAATTTGATCAGTCAGATTGATATTTGGGCACTATGATGGCTGAAGAGTGTCTGTAAAATAAGAATATTGTGCAACTCCTCCATATCTTCACCTTCTTTGCAAACTAAAGTCAGCTCCAATAGCAGGTTCCTAATAGATGCTAATCTGTAGCTAATAGGCATTAGAAGAGAAGAGAGAAGACTCCCCTCAGAGTCAAGCAGGCTGCCTCAATTCATCAGCACATTTTAGCCGCCCGGCAGCGCAGGACTTTCAGGAAGCTGTCGATCTTGTGGGAGTCCCGGCGGAAGCAGGACAACAGGAAATGGAAGTTGGTCAGTTTAGAAATTTTGTCATGGCCAATGTCATTACCTCCTCTGTAGGGAAGAAAGGAGATGCCCTGAGCAGCTGCACCCATCTAGAAGAGAAAAGAGGCAAAGAGAGTGAGAGGAGGAAAGCAGTATATGCTTTTTTAGGCTGTATGAAATTGACTCCAGGGTTCCTCTCTTCACGCTTGCACACCTTGCCAGAGAGGATATCCAGGCCGTCTCCCAGACTCTTGGAGTGCTCCTGAAGCTCCTGGATCTTGTTGGATATGCTGTTCTGGGCAGGGTGGGGCAGGTTGTTAGCAGAGTTTGACAGGACTGTCAGGGGGTCTATCCAGGCTTGAAGCAGAGAACGAGCCAATGAGAGCAAGTCGGACTCCTGGGGGAAGTGATATAGATATCATGATATAAGAATAAGCTTATTGAGAAGATACCATCAAAAGCAGTCAAGTGGAGTTTGTATAATCTGTACAGATATTACAGGCAGTCAGGTGTGTCTTAGCTTGTTAAAATAATTGACCAGCAGAGGGCAGTGAGTACTCTAGAAGTGAGAAAATGGCCCAGTAGCTCATTGGTAGTCAGACTCTGCCGTTACAAAGGTAGTTAGCTCTGATAGATGATAACAGCCCAGAGAAAGATGAGAAAAAGTGGGAAAAGAAGGGGGGGGGGGGGGCATATTAGATGTGGTCACTTACTGATACTTGAAGAGCTTGCTCCTTGTCATTGGGTGTCTGTAGAGAAGAGGTGTGGCACATTGAGGGGCGGGGCATGATCACTCGGCCCAAAGGTGGGAAATGAGAATCCTGGAGGGGAGAGATGACGACATTGTATTCAAAACAAATACAAATTTTACTATGATGGCAGTCAAATTTAGAAAATTCTACATGTATACACTCTCAGCTTTGTTAAAGGACAGTTTATTTTTTTTACAAGTCTTTTTTTTTTTATGTTTAGAAAATCTGATTTTATCTTGTGCAGAGCTCAAAGGATAAAGCTGAAAACAGGGAACTGACCAGCTCATGTGTGAGCAAGGTGCTCAGGGCGTGCAGAGTGTCAGAGCGCTGAGAAGCTCGGTCCAGCAGGTCACTGACGGGAACAGCACTGCACACCGCAGCCACACACAGCACTGTGGAGAGATGAGTGATGTTTGTGAGACGACATGTCACAAACAACATGTCTTAGCCCAAACAGAGCTGTTTCTCCTCTGTATTCACAAAAGCCCTCTTTATAAATGCTGGGTTTCAAAGTCTTCCTGTCATGTCTTGCCAGATTTCTAATGCAACAGGATTTTTCTGTCTTTTTACCCCTCTCCAAAACTATCTGTTTAGCAATCAGGTGGTACATAATTCTTGAATGGTTGGTAGATTGTTTAGTAATAATGATAACATCTTTCAGAAATCTAGTGTTAACACAGACACATTTCTTTTCAGAGACAGCATTACATCCAGACAAAATATCCATCTTCGATAAAACAGAAGTGATGCCATCTCACCTGATATGAAGACTTTTCCCCCGTTCATTTTTCTGTGCTCCATCTCTCCTCGTGTGTTTGTCTTTGCCTTTCTCTCTTTCTCTCCATCTTCTCCCTGTTTTATAGCTCCTCTCCATCCACTTTTTGGTTATGCAGCAGAATAAGAGCTGATTGAACGTGTTGGAGCTCATAATGAGAAACATGGTCAGGCAGAGTTTGCATGATTGCAAGAGGAAACACTGCAGGTTCATGAATTTTTCTTAGGGATGGTGTTGTGTAGTTGGTTTAGGGAGGCTGAGTGGAGAGTGGAAAAAGTTCCTCCAGGAACCTAATTAGCTGGATGAATAAAAACACTGATGTTCACTTTGTGTGGTTTAAAATCAGTGTGACAGACCTTTTTCTTCACTGAAGTACGGGACAAACAGCTTGAAATACGTAATTCTCCAGTTTGTGTTTTCCTGACACTAACCGCAATCTGAGCAACAATAAACTCAGCAGCTGTAAAGTTTGTTTGTTAGGATTCCCATAAGCTTCAGCCCATAAGTTCAGTGTGTCCTTACAAAGCACTGTTCACATCCACATTATCCATCACAAGACACAAACATCAAACAGCATACACTTTAAGTTTATGCATACACATAAAATTCAAACCAAACAAACTTAAAGAAAACTTAAACTTCCTTACAGAAAATGCATGGAAATGTGTGCTGAAAGCTGAAAAAGCCTTGAAGAACTTCTAGAAAAGGAGATAAAGAGAAAAGTGTGAATGTAAAAACTGTTAAAGAGGTGGAGAAAAAGAAAAAGTTGTATGAATTTAGAAACTGTTGAAGGGTTGAAATTAAAGAAAAGGACGTATGAATTTAAAAACTGCTGAAGGGCTGAAATTAAAGGGGAGGAAGGAGTTTTAATTTTGAAACTGTTGAAAGGCTGAAATTAAAGAAGAAAATGTATAAATGATGAAATTGTTAAAGACCTGAACTACAACATAGTTCCGGTTTATAGTTTTAACCAAAAAAAAACCTCAGAGAACTAAACATCAAAATCTATTTGTAGAAATTACTTTAGTAACTTTCCAGGTAATGTACTTCAAACATTTTTAAGGCAGTTCAGAGTATTGTTGCTTGATATAATTTAAGTCTTTATCTTGTTGTTTTACATGTTCATGACTTGTGATGTAAATGAGCAGATGTGGGAAGGCATTGGGGACATCTGGTGGACAAACTTTGCGTAGCACAGGGAAAAAAGAAACAATAGAGATCCACTTTAACTTGAGAAGATGTCATTAAAAGTGGACAACTATATTTTTAAGAGGATGAGTAAGTTTAGTCAAATTTTCAAACTTGGGAGGCGTAATTTTGTTCAAAACTGAAACTTAAATCATACATCTACAATGATTGGAAAACAAAAAGAAAGAAACAAACAAAAAAAGGTTCTGCAGCTGTGCTGTTACCTCGGTTGACGTCCTTTCTTTGGAAACCTGTAATAGTTTCCGACGGTATGATAACATTCAGTCACTTCCTAGCTAAAGGTAATAAGAGCTAGAAACCAAAAGACTTTATAATTAAACAGATGCTGACTGTAAGGCCGACAACTTAAAACTCCCCCAACTGACTGTAGTAAAGGTCATAAGCCCTGCCTCTCACACAGATTGAACAAAGCGTAAAATTAAAATAGACGTCATAAACTGTTTTCAAACGTGCTTCTGTCATTATAGCAAGTCTCTATCATGATGATTTTTGTCAAAATGTTGCTTTTTTCCTGAAAGTTTAGCCCTAATTACTTGATTTTAAAAGGATAATTCAATGTCAGCTGTTTTGACAAAGGCCAGGTCCTGCAGCGGTCTGTACTGGATTAGCAGAGCAGAGGAGGAACAGATAGGAACCAACCAATCATCCTTTGCATTTCACATGTACTGTATGTACAGTAAGTGTTCACAAACGCCTTGTTTGAAAATGAAATGAGTGTTTTGGTTAGCAGAGAGGGTGCTGCATCAGCCCCAAGGTTAGGGTTTCACCTTTAGGCGGTCTTATATGTCTCTCAACAGGCAGGAATGAAGGCATATTGCTTATATTGCTCATTTCACATATGCCACAGCCAAAGCTAAAACCTGAGTCACAGTGGTCATTCATTACCTGGCAGTGGTTTTTAGACAAGGTTATTTTTACACTAACTATAACTTCACATCTCCTGGATTTTTTAATGCTAACCCTTTTAGGAACAGAAGCTAACAACAAAAAGTAAATGACAATAAACTTAGATCACTTACACACACAAAAATCAATGCACTGTTCTCTCTTTTGGCTGAAAAATCACAACCTTTGCATGTTTCATCCTTGCTGTGACCTCTGTGCTGACTCAGATGTTCATGTTCATTTCATGTTTATAAATTTCAAAATTGACACTGCATCAGGGACTCTTTTGATAAAATTAAAAAGTTGATAGTTCACAACAAGTATTATCTTGGCTTTACCTTTTCCTTCAAGATCTGGAGAGGAATCATAATCTGCACATTAAAGCAGAGGGTCATCTGAGAGTGCAGGCAGATGGTTATTGACAGGCTCTTCTTCCTGGAGGAGAGTCGGCTGTAAAATAATATGAGTCAGCTATTTTCTTGTCAAACCGAAAAGATACTCTGGCCACACTGCCTGCTGGAGGTCCTGTGAAAACAAAGAGCATCATCTGTCTCATCTAGAGTTTCTTCTCTATGGCTCCTCGTTGAAAAAGTCTCAGAGACATGGAAACAGCTCTCCAACTGAAAGTGTCAACAACTCTGAAATCATGTATTTTGTTAACTAAGAGGAGCTTCACTGCTAAAAACAAAATTGAGGGTGTCAGTGGCATGAAAAAGGCCTTGACCAGAAAATGGCTGAAAAAAGACCTACCAACAATGAATGAAGGGATTGATTTAGTGTAAGATATATACAAGCACAGATCCCAAATTGATATATTTGAAGAGAACCTTATTGTATGTTTACAATTGTAGTTTATGTTATGCAGTGTGTTGCTTTTTATTCCTATGATCTTTTTACTTCAGGGTCTAACAATAAAAAGCTCCCTTATGCTGCTTCACTGTGAGCCTTTTGTCTCCTCTTTCCTCCATGTGAAGGCGGTTTCCTTATCAAAGAGCATTCCAGCTACCATGACTCTATCAAAGAAAATCCACAGAAAAATAAGCCAATGAAAGTCCATTTTAACCGCTTTTATGAATGCAGCATGATCCAGCAATGACCATCAATTGCCCATCAAAAGGAAGTCTGTTATGTTTGCTGCTGTTTGGCGAGTGGACATAAAGACACCCATTGGCATCTTACTGTTGATTACATATGATGTCCTATAATTACTTTACTTAGTTATGGAGTCATTTCACCCTCAGGGGGCTCAAACTTCCAGATGACTTTCTAAAGAATATACTGTTTATCATACTCAGACAACAGCTCAGAACCAAGAAAAAGAAATTATGAAAATCAGTTTCATCAAATGAGTTTCATGCAACGAAAGTGATGTGTCATTTTCAGCAATTCAAAGTTTAAAATGTCATAAAATCAGAGAAATTTCTGCCTCAGTAGACAGTCAAAACTCATGTTAATTGTTTCTTGTCAATTGTAGAAGGGTCTTGAAGAAAAGATTAGGTTTGATACTAGATTTTCTTAAAAGAAATCTCTTTATCCTTTAAAGAAAAGTCACACATCTACTCTCCATTCAAGGACAGCACACACACACACACACACACACACACACACACACACACACACACACACACACACACACACACACACACACACACACACACACACACACACACACACACACACAGTCTTTACATTCTCTGTCTGAGGGCCTCACTGCAGAGGCCTCCAGCCTGCACTCCTTCCTGGTTAGCAGCCAATAGAGAACCTCTGTGCTATATTTCTTCTTCCTGTGTCATCCTGCCCCCCACCCTCAGTCCCCGACCCTGCAGTCTGCCGGCTCCATTCATTCAATCTATACACGTCCACACATGACGCATTGCACATGTGAAAACATGCACATGCGCAGTCGGTCTTACATGTATGACCTACAGGCTGACTTTGAAGGCTCCTCTCATTTCATTACCTGCAAGGTATCGCCTCCATGTGGGCAATGTCACACACACACACACACACACACACACACACACACACACACACACACACACACACACACACACACACACACACACTTTAACACACAAATGAGGATATTCTGTTTGCTGCAAGCCATTGCCACTTTGTTGTCAGATAACAGGTTTTTGTTGCTGCTTTTGTCTTGTTAAGCAAAAAAGGAGGCGTGTTTGTGTGGTTTAGCTGTTTGAACTCGTTTAATACTGTTGATTGTTCCAAGTCTGCAGGAAGCCTAAGGATCTCTCTAAACTTGCAAATATGGGCAAATAATCAGGGAAATGGAGGTTGAAATCAATGGGAAAAGTCCAATTGGAGTCTTTTCATGGGCTGAGAGCCAACCTTGCTGCAGTGCACCTTAGACATGCACACATTCATGCTACCCAAATGTGCACATCCCCTCCCCTTTGCTCCCTTTACCTCCCCTCAGGGTTTTTCAGCTCCCATGGAATCTCAAAAAGGCGTCCCCCTGCACTTAGACGTCTTCTGCCCTTTCTCTCTCTTTCCTTGTTCCCCTCCCCCTCTTTGTCTTTCAGCTCCTGGCAGTGTGTGCACATACTATAAGCACACACATGCACACACATGCACACTTAGCTGGTAAAGCAGAGCTGACACACCCCCTTTCAGTGAGATCACATCCACCACTGAGCCCCCCTATGAGATTTTCTGCTGATTCCTGCACACACTTAGCCAGTTTTTCAGCTGTCTAACTTAGGACCAGGACCCCTGTCTGCAGATAGGTAGGTACCAATGGAATTGCTTTATAAATTTAGTCTCAAATAGTGGTTTTTGTACACAAATTGACTCTCATGTTACTTAAAGTACATGGTGTTCCCTCAGGTTTGTGCACATGGTCAGGCAAGGAGGTGTGTACTGGGCTTCCAATGGAGGCACAGTAGTTAGGCAGAAAAGCTGATCTGTTGCTCCAGAATAGTATTTTAAAGAACCTGAGACCTTTTACTTATATTCACAGTTTGATGTCCCTTATTTATTTATTTTTTTTAGATATATTGGTGTTAAATTAATCTATGGGCCTACCCTATTGTATTTTTTCGGTACCATTTAATAATTCATTAAGCCCAAAGAGTTGATGCATGGAGAGCATTATTTCTGCATGAGGAGGTTTCCAGACAGTCAGTTTGGCTAATTAGTTGACATTTAATGCTAATGTAATTTCACCACCTCTGCTCTCAAGTCAGATATTGAGAGCCGCTTCAGGAAACGGTGGGGAGTAGTTAATGTGAGCTTTGCCTTATTATTTCAGAGTTAAAAAAGTTCTCGTCCCGTTTATCCTGGGCTGTAGTTACTCAGCGGTTTCTTTGAAAGCAGCCTGCGGTTTAGGCGCAGGACTACGTATCCCATAAGCCGCGGAGGTAGACGTAATTTGGGGGGTTTACGCAGGTGTGTGTCGGCTCAGAAACACAGAAACGGCGTTCTAAGGTGAGACGATTGGCAAGACTTCAATAAGTTATACAAGTGTTTTAGAAAGGGGTGAAATAAACGCACTGGTTAAAAGTAGCATATTCGCACAGTTTTACACCGAGAATACCGACTTTAACTGCAGTTACTAAGTGAAGTGTTTTTGGGTAGTGGTCTAAAATAGCCCCAGTAGGCCCCTGTGCTTGTTGTATGAAAAGCAGAAGTGTCGCGGCGAGACTATGGCGGAGACTTCTGCAGCAGCTCGTTGCGTAACCGTTGAGGAGCGGGCGCATTGATGCAACAGCACAACGGAGTTAAAGATGTGTCACGGTGATAATTGGGATAATCTTTGCTCATAACTCGATCCTAATCCTGCTAAAAGGCTTGTCTACTAAATTCACACCAACATCCTTGACTGAGCAGCAAAGAGAAAAGTTCAAACTTTTTATTTTAGAGCTGCAAAACCTTCTGCCAATATCCTGAAAATAATAGTTTTACCTGTGTGTCAGGGTTTGAAAAGCTTTAAGTAGTTGTTTGAACCATGGCCTCCTGCTCACTGGGCGTAAATGAAAATCTCTGCGTTGATCTTATCATCATATTAGAAAGTCTAAACCAGAAGCCACTTTTCTGCCTTCCTTATGGTCCAAACTACAACTTAAACTAGGCACAGGTAGAAGTTTAACTGGTTGACTACAATAACTGTTTTCACAAACATACAATGAAATGGGAAGATTGTCCCTTTCCTCAATTTTAAACAAGTAAATCAGAAGACTAACCAGCCGGTTATTTGGTCCAGTAGTTGTTTTTTGTTTTTTTTTTAACTCAGAACAACTTTTTTTTTTTGGATAATTTAAGTTGGAAAAGTTTTAAATGTGACCTTGGAATCACTTGTTGTACCTATACTACAAGGACAAAGGCCTCATGTGGCCTCTGCTCCACTTATGATGACAAAAAAGCAATATGAAGACCTGAGAAAATGCAAACTAAAAAAATACTGCAGTTATTCCTGAAGTGGAAAAACTTAACCATGAGTCCCTCCAGTTAGCTGGGCCTTCAAAATGTTTCATGTCTCCTTTCATTCACTGACCTTTTCAACATGGCTGCCATGAGCTGTGATGAGACTGCAGAGGCAAGCGAGATGCTGTGACCTGTTGCACAAAGCTGCCACTAGGTGGCACAACTGATTGGACAGATGACATAATATTGAAGAGGCAACTGTCATACTTTTCCAGCACAGATCCTCTGTACTACATCACATTGTGGAAAGACCATGAAATGTCAGATTTCTCCTCAGTTTTTAACCTGCTGTTTAGTGTTAGCTGGAGTTGATGTAGGTCTTTCAAAGAGTTTCCTACTGCCTGAGCAGAGCAGTTTGAGCGAAACCTCTTTTATCATTCAAGTAGAACTGAAGGTATCAGACTACATGATTGCTCTTCCATTAGTAAGACCCTGAACTCAGTTCTTTTCTCTCTTTTGTCCTTGTTTGCCAATTGTCCTGTCTTTGCACTTCAGTTAAGGTCACTGCCCCTTCACCCTTCTGCCCCCCCCACCTCCCACCCATGACCGCTGTGTACACACGTGTGCTGTCCCCTCACATGTTTATCTCCTCCCACCTCCTTCTGTGAGCCCTCCCCTTTTAACCAACTCAACTCCACCATCTCTCTCTCTCGCTCTCTCTCTCTTTCTCTGGTCTCTGTCTCTTGGTGGCTCTGGGAACCAAAGGCGTTCGGAGGACAGGAACAGGACAGGACACGCACCCTATTCACTACCCACAGCAGCACCGCAGACATGTCGGACTCAGAGACCGCCGCCGCCCCCGCCGAGGCCCCAGTTCCTGCCGCATGTGTCAGCATCAAGGCTGACCTGGACAAATGGTAGGTGACTGTTTGAATGTTGCACGAAAGTGTTCAGGTGAGAAAAAAGTGTAAATAAGTGAATGTAGAAAAAGTCTTCATGTCAAAGTCCTGAAGCCGTTGAATGTCCAAAACTTCTCCTCTGTCTCCAAGAGTTGCTTTCAGTCATTTATAATTTACTGAGATCTAAACCGGTAGACAGCCGAGAAGTCGTGAGCAAAGACCGACTGACTCATCATCGCACATCTCTTAATTATTACATAACAACTGGTTTGAAAGCAAAGAATTCTCAAAATCCAAATCTGATGTAAAATTGCATGAGTGTTCTAGTGCAGGAATGTGCAGCATCCTTAAATGCGCCATGTTAAAATGGAGCCTTTTGATGGAGGCTGTCCTCAGCGCTAAAATCCGCCAAGACAAAATTAATCGTAGCATTTTGAAATGTGACTGAATTTGACGTTCTAGCTGTGTAAGGGTAAAGGTTTGGGAAACTCCGGGTACTCTGCATAGGGGACAGAGATTTTGGGATTAATGGAGTGCGACAGCGGGGTGATGTTTGATGCTCATCGATTCGCATGGATGGAGGCTGGGAATCTGCTTACGTCACACCCCTTCCCCAGAATACCTTGCGTTAGCTTGTCCCAAAAACCTTCACTGCCCCTCTTTGCCTTCTGCTGTATCGGTGGTCGGGGACAGCACCGAAGTGTCCGTTTGGGGGCTTTCATGCAATTGTACAGTACAGACTGTGGTCTGCAGAGGGGTGTAGCTGAATTCACTTTGCTGTAAAATGTTCTTGCACATTTACCCTTCACATTCGCCCTCCACACCCCTTTTTTGGATCAGTCCATTTCAACTACCAAGATTTTTTTTCAGTGGATGGTGGCTAAGCTAAGGCTCAAGTAGATCAATTGATCAATCATCATTTGCAGCTTACATTTTTTTTATTGTTATTATTGGATAATGCGTTTTTGCCTTATTTGTGCTAAAATTCTGTGCAGGATACTTCATTTCTTGGTAGTAAAAGCTGCCATGTATGTTCCAGCCAGACTGTTGGACCTTGATAAGGTGGCAGTAAATGTGTGAACCCTCTAGATAAGATGACTGAGGTGGGGTGGTGGAGAGAGGGCAGGCAGGGAAAGGCCTGGCTGGTTGGCTAATCATGTGTAGAAGTTGCACAAGTGCCAACTTTGTCGCCCTTTTTATACACTTACTAAAGACACTGGAGGATACCTTTGAGTTTACAGGTTCGGTAGCGAGTTTGACATCAATAAACATTGGAGGTTTTACTCAGGTGTACAGTCCAACATTGATAAATACCTGACACCAAATAATGAAAGCTGCACTTGTGTACAGACTCATTGAGGGGCAGCTTTTACTGTACCTTGTTAAAGTGCAAAGTAACTCTAAACTTGGAGCTCCGGCCAAGGTCGTCTCTCGGCAGGCTGTTAAAAAGCACAGTGCAATCTGTCTGAGGTGGAAAATCTTAAGATGAGTTTGAACTCAGAGTTTTATACATTAAAAAATAGGATGCAGCTTTTAAGCACTACTTTTAATAGGAAATGACAGTGCTAGCCTGCTAGTAAAAGCAAACAATCCATACTTCTAAGCTTCAAAAGTGATATCAGACAACTCTAGTTTGGCACTTTTTGAATTGACTTCACCTGAGCACATGCCCTACACAGCTCCTTCTTAAGCCGCTACAGGTTTCATATTTTTATTTTATTTTGTCATGAGTACTTTGTGAGCTTGGAAGCTGAAGCCCTCCTTTTGCACTCCGCCATTTAAGCTTCTTGTGCTCTGTGGGACTGTTCGCCAGTATTTTAGAGATAGTAAATTCTATCTGCAGTTATTAAACACCACACACCAGGCTGTGTAATTTATGTGTTTGAAAACTCCTGGCAGCAGGTCAAGGTAACAGTTGTACATCCACAGAGAGTGGAGGTGGAAATGATGGAAGTAGTAAGGACCATCTGGTATCCTTTGAATCCAGTTTGTGATAAATAAGATGATAAGATGATCGGGTATCAAAGCCTCAGCTCCCCTCTGGTCTCTCTGCATGTGGTCACCTATGTGCTGAATGTCCCTACGACTCCTGGCCTGTCTGGGCCTTTCATTTCAAACCAACTTACTCGAGCTACTAGAAGATGCAATATGGCGGACAGTGTAATGAATACCATAACCCCTATGTATTTTTAGATGTGTGTACGACTCAAGACTGTATGTGCAGGATACCATGACATGTTCCCTGCCGTAGATCATGTTACAGCTCCACCTGACACTTCTTTTTAAACAGGCCAGCTCAATGTGAAACAGCTCCACATTCACACTCAGGCGGGAGACTCATGGAGGCGGCCATGTTGGATTGAGGCCCTCATTCTGATTAATAAACCAGTTTTGACTCAAGTGTCTAGGTCATTTCTATCATGTTAGATTGTTTTAGAAATGTTTCTGACATCTTTAAACGCTTGAGATAATTTTCATTTCAGTTTTCTTGTACAGGGCAGTGTTAGTTATGAGCTCGCCAAGGTCATATAGCAAAGTCACACAGGCCAGGTATTAGCAACAGGCTACCTGCATCAGCAAAGTGTGCATTTGATATGAAATATGATATTTACATACAGAATAGAAATAAATCTACTGTTACACATTAAAATAAAATTTGAAAATAGAATTGTTTTATTAGCAATGACTGCTGCACTTTGTAATTTCTGAAGCTATCTTAACACAGTTTATTTTAACTTTACAAAGAGTTAAATATTTGGTTAAGTGTGGTTAAACTCTTCATTTTAGCTCAAATTTGCGTTGTAGCCCAGGCTAATATCAGACAAGTGTACATGTGATAACGTATTGGAGACCTTTCTGACTGTTTTAAAAGTCACATAATTTAGGTCTTTGGAGAAACAAATCCTCTGTTGCACAAAGGTTGACATTATTCAACCAGTGTTTAACTATTAATAAAAGCTGAAATGATCATTTAAGAAAACGCTTTCTGCAGTGTATTTGTAGACATTTGCACCAACATCTTAAAGTCCTGGGGCCTGTTTAGTTGTCAGTTATTCACTAATATTTACCATACTCCCGCAAACCCCTATAGCTGACATGTTGGTTAATGGTAAGCCTGTGTACTTTGAGACTCTTTCACAAGAGTTTGACATGAGCACACAGACCTATCCCCTTTCCTTTGCTCCTCCTCACACACATTCTGTCTCTGTTACTGATTGCCTAAAAGTTGCATGCACAGACAGGCATGTACATTTTTGCCAGTGGAAACCGTGCTGGTTTTCACCATGGAATTCGGTGACTAGGCAGAAGTCAGTAATCTGAGTAAAGGGCTGTGGAGCTGCAGTTGTGACCCCCCCCCCCCCCCCCCCACCCAATATATGGAAATACTCAAGTGGTTATGAGAGAGACCCTGGACCCTGACGACTTTAGAGGAAGGCGTCATCTTCATTGTTATTCAAAATGACTAAATGGTACTTAAAATTAAGTTACTTCTACTTCTAGTTAATAAGTGACTAAAAACAAAAGTACTTTAATTCAAACCGTAGCCAAGAGATTTGCAGAAAGTCAGCTCTAGACTCTGACACTGGGTCTAAAGAGGAGTCAGGCACCACTATCTCCCAATCTCAGACCTTAGTAGGGTCAGTTGTCGTAGCTCTAGGTTGCTTGTATTAGCTGTGCAGTTATTGCTACCTCCAGGCATCCCAGGAAAAACCTCAGAGAGCCCTGCTCCACAAAGCTCTCTGTGCCCCAAAGCATCTACTCAGTGAAAGTTGTGCATGTTTTAAATGCAAGATTATGAAGTCTCCCTGACACAGCAGACATCGGGGGCATGGTGGTTAATCATTACTGGTCTGATGTCTGATCTCCTCTGTTCCACCTCTTGGAGCACCTCTATTAAAAAGTCTTTGTTTAGAGAGTTTGATTTGTGTTGATCGAGTGATTAATAAAAGACATCACATACTGTTGTAGGATGTGTAGAGAACTTGTTAAAATACCCTCGGCACTGTCTGCAGCTCATGCCCCTGGACTAGTTGATTGCTGGTTTTCTGTATCTTGCATAGTTGATAATTTGCATTTGAAATCTTGAGTTATTGACTTTAAGAAAAAGTCAGAGAAAGATGGATTTGACTTGCAGTTAAAAAATGCTTTAAACAGGTTTGATATCAGTGTCAGTGTATTTAAGGTTCACTCCCTGATGTCTCTTGAGATATTTTCTACTGTTAGTTTAGTGAAGACCCTGAGTCTGGGGGTTGGCAGTTAAACTAGAATATGGTTTTTAATGTGATTAATTGTAATGCAACTGGTGATATGAAATGCTAAGTAGACAGTGAATTTTTCTCGAGGGGACACAAATCTTGAGGAACATTCTGCTGGTCCAAGGCCCAGGGTTCCTTCTAGGGCTGGGCAATAAACCGAAAATGTACAGATACCAAAATTTACGACAATGCCGTAAATGACGTCATTTTGCCCATATCTGTATATTCAGTGTCAAACAAATAAATAAATAAAAGTTGGTTTTGGATGTGTGTAGGTAGGCTTTGGTCTCATGTCCCTTTAAGACGCTGTCCTATGTCAGAGATATGACTCCACCCCATCCAGTCCGTAACAAAGAGGGAAAGACAGGTGAGTAGATGGAAGACGGTAGAAATAGACAAAGTTAATGTGGGAGGGGGTGAGCAGCTTGAGAGTAGTTAATGTCCATTTATCGTAATCTAGGTGAACTTGTTAATGTATCCTGATATTGATTTGAGGCCATATCGCCCAGCCCTACTTCCTTCACGCTGATTAAACTGCACACTTTCCTTAATCACTCATGATGTCTCTGCTTATGCTCAGCCACCACATCCTCTGGTGCTGCAGCGCCTGCTCATTGTTGCAACATGCATGTTTGTCCCAGAGGGCTTACTACAGCCAGCCCAGTCTTCAAGTAGTAAATAATTCAAGAGTTCATTTCCTGATGGTGTCCAACACAGGATGAGGACGCTGCTCTCCTTCCTCCTCCATCACTCCTTGTATTATCATTACAATTTGAGCTTTTTGTTTTAATGGACATGCTCAAGTGCTCAAGCCTTATTTTAGTGCTGTTACTTGTCGCCACGACTGCCCCGCTTTGCCCCTTGACCCCTTAAGGTGACCCAGTACAGAGTAATGCTTTCTCTCAGGAGATTGCGTGATGGATGAAGTGGTGGTGATGTCATTGGCTCCCCTCCCTCCTTTGCTTGAACAGGCTCTGTAATCCTCCTGCGTGCACTCTAAATAAATGTGTGTCATCATATCTCCATCTGCTTTTATTTGGGACTATTCAACATCTTTTTAAATCCCCTCATTTTCAATGCTCAGAAAATAATCAGAGTAACATTAAAAACCGCTCCATATAGGAGTGGAGTATCGTGATCATGGTTTTGAATCTGAGTTTTTAGGGTGTTTTGTAAAAAAAAGAGCAGCATAAAGCTTTTAAAGATGTTTGTAAAAGCAGAGTTTGCAAACAGGGCTTGGAGCATTGGCTCAAGTGGTAACAGTGTATTAGTGTAACTGTTGTGAAGGAAATCCTTAGCTATAGTGCAGAGCCTGTTTGAATTCAGGACTTATTTAGGATTGAAAGATGCATCTTAAAGGCTCAGTGTGTAGTAGGGCTGGGCGATAAACCGAAACTTAGGACAATAACCAACGTCATTATGCCCGTATGTCGGTATATTCGGTGTCAAAAAAATAAATAAAAGTTGTTTTGGATGTGTGTAGACAGGCAATGGTCTCATGTCCCTGTCTTACGTCAGAGACGTGACTCCACCCCATCCAATCCGTAACAAAGAGGGAAAGACAGGTGAGGAGATGGAGGACGGTTCAAAAGTTTTTAGCGGCTGAAGTAGACGAAGTTAATGTGGGAGGGGGTGAGCAGCTTGTGGAGTAGTTATCATCCATTTATCATTATCTAGCTGAATTGCTCAATATATCATGATATTGATTTGAGGCCACATTACCCAGCCCTAGTGTGTAGTAACTTTAGCAGAGGAGACTTCTGATTCACTCTAATACAAAACAAATACACTGCAATACCAAAACAATTTACTGTTTGTCACTGAGGATGTAATATTACTAAAAAGGAGAAGTTACTGAAACAGGACCTGGTACTGAACTTTGAGGAACAGATAGCAACATGTCAGTTTTCAACACGGCTGCTCAGCATTTCACCACCATGAGACAAACAATCCTGACACCAAGTCCAGTTCCAGATATAATATACATCCTATACCCTCTGTAAACCTTAAAAGATCAATTCAGTGATCAATTCAGCATAGCACATTTTTTCCTCTTTTGTCATTAGATACAATATCATCAAACACAGGAAAAGCAGATCAGTGCTGAACTAAGCTCTAAAACCAGAGTGCTGCGGACCTAAATAGAGGATTTCTCAGGAGAAGGGATCTGAGCCGCCTGTTGAATCAAGTATGTTAGACACACAGGACAGAAGCGGATGAAAAGAGTACGCAGGATGAGGATGAACGATATCAAATATTCTGGGGTGATTTTTGTAGCAAAGCAAACTTTTCCACACAATGACAGAGAGCCACAGTGTCAAGAGCTCCACTCAGGATTGAGATTGGGTGTTGTATGTGAGTTGTGATGGACCGATGGTGCGCTGAAAGGATTATCCGACCACACACCCTCAGGTCAGACTCTGCGCTGCACTGATGTTGGGTCATCATCGCCGCAGTGCATCAAACACAAGTGCTAATTGATGTGAAAGCACACACATGTACACACTTCAGCCCACCACCAGGAAGAAAAGCTAGCAGGGACACAAACTCAATGGGTCCCTTTTCATCTCACACACACATACACACACTGAACGCCATGCCTCCAGGCGAAATGAAATGCTGAGTGATAATCTGCGGCAGCCAGCTGTGTGTTACATCATAACAGGCAGGCAGCCAATAGAGAGAGAGGAGGCAGCAGTGATGGTGAGAGTGTAGCAGAGGTAGAATAAAAAAGATAAAACCCTCTGTAATGACATTGTGTTCGTTAGGTTTGCTTCTCTGTTAAGTTGAATATTGTTTTTGGTTTTCTTTTAATAGAACTCCTTTTTTATTCTTAATCTCCTTTATTGCAACAAAAGTACAAAACAAAATAAAACACCAACCACAAAGTTAAAAAGTTTTTTTTAAGCAGTCATTCGTCCTCTTAGAGTGTCCGTCTTTAATTCTCTGCAGCATTAATTGTGATATCCTTATTTTATATCTCTTAAATTTTTATATATTTCAGACAGTGATAGAGGATTTAGGTTGTAAATCTGTGTTTTTTTGAAATTTAATCCCAGTTTTAGTTTCAAGGTGAAGTTGTGCCAATAGTAAATTTTAGTTTGATTTATCCACATCTTCATACAGTTGTGTGACCGAGCTTAAAGTAGAAGTAGTTGACCTTGTGACCTCGTGTCAGCATATAATTGTAATCTCTTTAAGGCCTCCACCTCAGAATAATGATGACTCAATGTTTTTCTACTGTGCGGTTCTTGCCAGTGCCTGTCAAAGCTATCGTCATCCTCATCCTTTAAATTTGTGCTTTGATATGCTGGATAATTAGCATTGTTAGCTGACGTAAGCTGCTTTAAAGTCAATTGAGCTGGAGAAGAAGGATTGAGAGATGAGGGTTGTGATCTTGCTCTTAAACTGGATTGGAGGAAGAATAGAGAGATGCTCAGACCTCACTCTGTGATTGGTGCAGCCAAAGGATGGCTTTACAGTCATGTATTGTGAAGCCCCTCCTCTTGCAGGCTTACCCTCTTTCCTCTCTGTCTTGTCATCTCTACACTATCACGCAACCTCCCTCCCTTCCTATGAAACAGATGGGTTCACCCACATGGCTTTCTGTATCACTCACTCCCCCCTCCCTCCCTTTCTCCTCCCTCTCCTCTCTCTTGCTCCATCACCCTAATGTGCTGTGGCAGTGTCCGCTGCTGTGTTTGCTTCTACACAGGAGTCTGAGATAATCTGTTCGCCACCATTCACTCTCTCTCTCTCTCTCTCTCTCTCTCTCTCTCTCTCTCTCTCTCTCTCTCTCTCTCTCTCTCTCTCTCTCTCTCTCTCTCTCTCCACCTCACACTTTTTTTTGCTTAACTTTCATTCATACATTCTATGCTTTTTTTAAATATGTTTCAACCATCAGTTTGTGTCTAATATAAATGTGATACAACAATGTTAATGAGTGAGTCATGCTCAGAGGGAGAACTAACAACACTTGTCAGTTTACTTGTCTTCACTTAATCCTGAAGATCTTATTTTTATCTTTACACTTTATCTCACTGACGTATTCTGGACTATCCTCCACTAGAAACTGGACTGATGTTACCTTTTGATAATTTTATTGTTGGGTTTTTCTACAGTATTAAAGTTAATTGGTACACAAAAAGCATCTTGTGTTTTCATAAGACTCAGTTGATCCAGGACTCTGCTGAGTCCAGTGTTGCTGACCAAAGCTCTCCTGTCAGTCCTTTTTTTTTTTTTTTTACTGCATCCGGCTCACATGTCATTTGTTCGACAAGGTGACATTGAAAGACAAAGCGGAGGTATTTCTGATCTAACTGTATTAAATTAGATTTTTTTTTTCTGCAGTGTGGCAGAGACGGGAGAAGAGGGCTGCAAAATCCTGCTTGAGGCCTTCAATAATTGTGTTAAGAGTGCAGCTGAGGCGACGTCATGAGGGGGCCGACCCTTACCTCAAATGTAAGTGTGTTACGTAACTCTCTGATTCATTTGCTGATTTTATAGATTTTAGCTCTGATGAAAGCTGTTCGGAGAAAAGTCTGAGGGTAATCCAGCAGGTCACTGTTTCTGGTTTAGTTAATATCAGTTTTCAGTGCTCTGGTTTGGACAAAATGGGGAGGCAACATCAGAGGGGAGACAGGACCACTCAGACCACTCAGTATCGGTGTGGGTGTCTGGGCGTGCATGTGGCGCTCCTGCAATGTTTTACTCTTGTTTGTCTGCAACAACATAATGTGATGTAAAGACACACACCAATACACTGACGTTACACAGATGCTTATCATAGGGTTCCAACGCAAGTATAAAAAAGTATGGAAATAAATGTTTCCAGACTATTACCACAGTTCTAAAATACAGTTTTCTAAAACAGAAAAGTAGGTATTTCCAAAAGTAATTCTAAAAAGTAGTGTATGGAAAAGTATGGAACTTCAAATTGTGTAGGAACCCTGATATCAGTGGGGCTGTTGTCTACATCTATGATTTACATGTGATCTGTATCCTGTATCCAAGATAAGATAAACTAGATAAGGAGTATATATATATATTTAAACCTTGTTAGGAGACTGTTTCTGCAAACTTTAGCAACAGGTAACAACGGTATCAAACACACCTTCATGAAAAAAGGGAATAAAAGAAATAAACATTTGCTGCCTCTTTACTAAGGAGACCCTGTCAAACTCAAAGTATAATGATAGCTGGTTATTGAGGACAAACTCATGCTCTTCTTCTAAACTTAAACAAACTGTGACTGATTAAATCACAACAGTTACAATAAGGTCAGAAGAGGCATCCAAACAACCTGGTTAGATTAACTGTCTCTTTAAGAAACGGCTTTGCAAGCTTACTGTAAAATATGCAATAACCACATGTAAGATTACAGCAGGCAAGCACCTTCTGTGATACCAGCTTTGTGGAAATGTCCCTGAGTAAGACAGAAGAAGTGTAAATCCAAAGACCTGTTGATCACAGGGTTACAACTACAGTCATTGATTATCATTATTCACTGGTTTGTTTATTGGTCCATCAGTCACAGTTTCCTTTGTCTCACCTCTCGTATGTTTTCCAGGTCCACTGCACTGAGTCCTCCAAGTTCCCAGCATTCCCTTCTGCACAAAGGCACTGGACTGAATGATGATGATGACAATGATGATGAAGACGATCATGGTGTGGCAAACATCGAGTTGATTCGGGCTGAATTCGGGATCTGGCGGCAGTAACCACAGTTTCCTCCCTCTGTCCTCCTCCCCCCCTGCTTTAGGCTTATCTGGTGTCCCTCAGTCTTACCACCATTCCCCCTCTCCCTCTATGGCTGACATGCAGCACATCAACATGTAGACAATTCCAGAGAGCTGATGGGCTGTAATGTCAATTGTCGACTTGAGATGAATACTTATAAATGGAAATAAAAGTATCCAGTAATTGGTATAAAAACAAATTGTGATTTTGGCTTCTTTTCTTTCTCTGATAAGGCGAGGATGGTAACTTTCATTAAAACTTGGATGTAGCACCATCAGTGTTGTCTCATATGAACCCGTTTGGGAGTATGGATCATTGTCTTTATTTAGAAAAAAGACCAGAACAAATATTGTTCCCTCGGTTAGTCTCTACTGTGTGAACTTTGACAAGGGCAAAACACGCCATCGAGAAGAGTGGAGCTAGTTATTACTCTGAAGCAGTGAAAACAACTAAAAGTACAAGAATGAAAGCGGGAATCCTTCAAAAACACTCCTGCTTGGGAGTGAAGCTGTTGAGTCAAACAAGTTCTTCAAACCACAGAACTAAAGCAGCAACTACATCAAAAACTAACTTTTTTTCCTGTTGTGGAGGCACCAAAAAAGCCCATAAACTCTGTCAACTTGACATTGTTTTCTATCTATTTTACTCATATCTGCAGTTTTCGTTATTCTTTTTTTATATATATATAAAATATAAATGATTGCTAAATAGACAGAGGCACAAGTCTGTTACAGTAGCTGCCTGGTCCAAGCTAACTTAAATCACAGAAGAGCATCTAATCTTTGACCTAAGACATTTAAGTACAAAAACAGTCAATGTGAATCAACCACTGAAAGAAGTTTTTTTTCAATGTTTTTTTTCAACTTGACAGTTGATGGTTGCTTTAATGTCCCATTGACATTCTATTGAATGCCAAACTGAAAAAGCTTTGTGTGGCATTCATATTTAAAACATTTACACACTCACAATAAACATAAATTGTTTAGTCATGAATTTTAAAGTGAAGGAAAATTGGTGTCGTTCATTGACAGAGTCACTGCTGAATTCACTTAAACCAGATCTAAAGCCACCATGCTCAGGCCACACACATACACTCGCAAGGAGACAGCGATACTGTCAGCTGTCTGTTCCATCCTGATCAAACTTCAGAGAGAGGCTGAAACTGCTTTTGGCATCACACCCAACAGATTCCCTCAGGAGCCACCCATTGGCTTTCAGTTAGAGCTTTGTCGTTGTTTAGTTTACAGTCGAACAGGCTTATCCAGCCTCTGAACCGAAGATTTAAAAAAAGTTCAGAGCCATGACATGACATGACGCTTTATGAAGATTTTCAGCATGTTAGAAATGTACCCTCTAAATCCTATGAGAGTAGACAGATGTGTGAGAAACATACAGTTGGATTGAACATGTCTCTCAGGAAACACTTTACCTCAGCAAGATGGATGATATCTTTGAAGAAAAATGTATTTCTGTGCCGCACAACAGAAATGACTAAATAAACTGTCTGAATGTGGACTTAAAAAGTTGTGATCCTGTTCTTATTCAATCATGTTCACCTTTAGATCTGTTTATCTTGGGGGAGATAAGAGTTGACCTCTTTTATTCAGAAAATTGTTGATCCTTAAAGAAACAGTGAGAGCTTCAAAGATGGTCAGAGATCAATACAGATGTCTTTTTTTGTATGCCTGAAAGTAGTGCAGTTGGACTAAGAGGATTCAAAATCTGTGATAATTTTGTCAAAGCAGCCGTAGGGACCAGTTCCAGCGCCCCCTCTTGACAGAGTGACACCTGTTGTTTCATGTTCGGTACATGTGAAGTGAAATGTTGCTCTTACTGTGAGTAATTATTACCATGGGAAAAGGTTAAAAAAAGACTTTTTTTCAGCTGGTCTACGCCTACCCCCTCACAGTGGTCTCAGGTTTAAACGACTAGAACAGAGAAATGGTCAGCAGCCTAGTTGCTGATGGTCTTGTTTGCTTTTGAAGGTCATACAAGGACACCTGCTGAAGATTTTCAGTCACACTGTCCAGTCAGAGTATATTTCTGTTCATTAGATAAATGGTTATTCTTCTCCAGGTTTTATTTTTCTTATTTTTTTTAGCAACAGGTATTGAACCTCGGGGGGGAGGTCAAACTAGATTGTTCACTGTGTAAAGGGCTGTTCTGCTGTCAGATCACACAGTTTTAATGACCTTCACTGCTCGAAGTGTGACCTGTGTAGTAGACCAGCCCAGGTGTTACATGTGATGTAACTGTGCGCATGTGTGTACACAGCATTTACGAACAGGCAGGGCGATGTTTCCAGGAATTTTCCCCTGCTATTAACATGTGAAAGAAGAAAGCATGTACCCTCAACACTCACACACATAAACAGACATGTTCGCACTTTACATGAGCTGACTCTTTGATGACACAAAGCAATTAAAGCCGACAAAACCAGACACCTTTATCTTTTCAAGGACTCCTGTAAAACAAAAGGAGTACCAACACTAATCATTGATTTACAAACAGGCTACTGTACAAGAAAGCACGTGAACGAGCAGAAAACTGCACCTCTCTGCCACAGAAATCTGATATCTCTTGTTCAGAGCCTTCAGGGGGTGTGATGAGAAACGCTTGAGGGGGATTCCACTGAGGGGGGAGGAGATACAGTATTTCTGCTTGACTCTGCAAATAGGAGCCTAAAGGGCAGAGGGTAGGGGGTTAGCAGAGGTACAGCTGTGAGCTGCAGTGTAAGCAGTGTAAAACAACTTACCACCACTTATTTATTTCCATAGAGCAGAAAAAAGTGCCTTTAGGCAGATTTTATATGTGACTCAATTAGGTATTGTTGCATTGCATAAAAAAAAAAAAAGACGTTTTTGTGGCACATTGAACAACAAAATTTTACTTTGAATCCCCTGAAATTGAACAAAATGTCCCCCCAACATCTCAAAACATAATTATAGAGATGGTACACTGGTCAGGTGGGGTCAAGTGTCTTGCTCAAGGACACTCAGAGCATGTGGACCTCTCTGGGATTTAACCCCCAACTTTCTGACCGGGAACTGGCTCTGAGTAGCTGTGATTAAAAAGCATGAGTTTAAAAAGCAGTTAAAAACAAGTGCATTTATGTTCATGTTGTTCTTTCACAACGTACAGTTTATCTCTTTATTGATTTTGCACATCATATATGATAGCACTCTTCTGCCCATTTTTGGATGTTCAATTTTCAGTTCCTGTATTTTTGCCCCGCAGCACCCTCTGAGTTGGCTCTATGACAGGGGTGTGTAGACCTTTTTTGGCTGGGGTGACCCGCCATGGGCACTATCTTATGCAGGGTTGTGGGGCATGTGGGGGCACACATGTGACAATACTTCTTTAACTCTCTTTGACACCACACTCATATACTGAGATATCATACAGATACACCCCCATGTATTAAAAAACATACACAAGGGTGGTAGTGTGCACATTTTTCAAGATCAGTCCTTTCAAGGTTGTATAAAGTGATGTATTCCCCAAAGTCACACTCAGTACATGTACATGTTCAAAAATCAATGTACTGCATCAGTTAGACTGAAACTGGACTTAAAAAAAAATGTAAACATATTATCACAACTGAAATCACTCAAAATTGGACCTCTCTCAGTCAGACTAACACACAATGTGGTTGGGGATTAAGGTAAGGTAAGGTAGACTTTATTGATCTCACATGGGGGAAACTATTTCACCACCAGGACAAGAAGACTCATACAGACAACAAACAGCATGGAGACATCAGAAAAACATAACTTCAACACCAGATACACAACAAACACAGTAAAGACCAATGAAACATGATTTAAAAGTGGTACAATAAAAGATAAGGACATGATTAAATACAACAAAAGCCTGATTAAAATGAACAAATACTAAAATAAATACTTTTACAAACTATGCCAAGTCATACCCTGGCAAATACTATTAAAAAATCTCACTACTGCTGGAACAAAAGACTTTCTCAGTCGTTTAGAGGAGCACCAAGGCATCACAAGTCGCTCACTAAATGAGCTTTCAAGACCTTTAAAAACATAGTAAAATGGAGGATCTTTGTAGCCCAGGATTAATTTTAATTTAGATCTGGTCCTCCTCTCAACAATGGCCTCAAGAGACTCTGGGACTAAGCCAATAAACTCTGGGACTAAGCCAGAGTTTATTGGCCTAGTCAGAAGGGTGGCAATGTGCACGTTTTTGCATAAAACTGTTTTGCAAAATCAATAATGAGATAAACAGTATGCTGTGAAAGTACAACATGAACATTTGGCAATGAGGGAGAGATTGAGCCTCTCTGTCATGTATACGTACTGAAACTGGCCTGAGCATTCTCTAGTATTCCCACACCAGGCTTTGAGCCAGGAATTGAACAGCATAAATATGTTGCCAGGAAGTCAAGTAGTCAAAAACTCATGAGAAGAAGAATGACACAGAAGTTTTCATTTTTCTAAGTACATCCCATTAGCTTCTTGCTAACGCCCTTTGCCAACTGTTTAAATACCTAACAGGTCAGCCAGGAGACGACCTGGTGGTAACGAGCTGGAAGGGGGCATGTCCCCTCCTACTGTAGCAGAGGCGGACATTCTTCTGTCAATAATTCAGAGCTTCTAAACTGGGACAAGGACAGTGGTCAAGCTATATCACCTTATAGAGCTATGAGTGTCGCTTGACTTAACCGTACATGTAAACGTACTGAGTGTAACAGACTTTGAAAGTGAACCATGTTTCCACTCAGTATTCTGTTTACATTCAATGCAGGAGTTTCAAAGGGCTTATTCTCCCCCTACAAATACTCAAATAACAGATCACTGTAGGAGTCTTTTACAGCGTTACAGGTGGCAAACCAGATGTCACTGGGGGTCCATGTAACCCCTGCTCTGTAGTGGCAGACAGTGTCATCTTTGTGAGTATTTACAGACAATAGGTTTGTTTTCCATCTTTAATAGAAGATTGTTTTGATTTATACATTTTCTGGACAGCAGATTTATGTCTGTTCTGCAGATTTGTCACAGATGGGGGCACTTTTGTATCAAAACACTAAACCTGCTGCTTTAGTCTAACTGCCAACTCTGTAATCATTGAGACGTTAGTGTTAACTAGATAATGAATGCACCTATGCTCCAAAACTACTCAGGAATAATCTTCTTCTAATATTAGCTCCAGCCGTGCTGAAGGTTAGGTCAGAGGTCACTCCTCCATTGGAGAACAAGATGAGGTTTAAGAGGTTAAAGGTCAGTCACAAATATGCAGCCTGAGGTTGGTAGGGTCATCAGGTTAACCTATGTGACCCAAGGAGTTATGGGGTGGAGATTTCTGGGGTTGAATGGTCAAACACAAACAATGCAGCTGCAAACTAGGACGTACTCGGACATACTCCTGTAGAGCTCTGTGAGAGGGATTGTGGTTTATGTCAGGCATGACTAAAAAACAGAACGAACCTGTTTGGAACAGCAATCCTGACTGTGTCTTTGTTTTTTTTCAAAGTATATATTAGGTATCATAAGATGACAGTCCTCTTCATTCAGAATCAACAACTTAGTCTCATATGATTTACAGAGAGCCCGTCATAGGATCACCATGAACAAGCTGCAAGAAAGTAATGGTTGATGATGATGGGAACACTTAGTTAACAGGTTGATCAATGGCATTAAGAAGAGTGATAATGATAATATGGGAAAGGCATGCAAGAGTCACTCAGTGATAAGGTTTGAATAAACATAACACTAATGACTTTTGGCATGGCATGTATTTATATAACGCAGAACACATAAGGAGAAAGAAAGGGAGTAGAAGGGTATCAGGTACCCCCCAGGTCACGGCCTTTAGTTGTGTAACCAGGGGCTGGTCCAGGACGGAGCCAACTCCTATCTATTGTATGCAGAATGCAAAATTAGAGTTCAGTTACGTAGGACAAGCTGTTTCAAAACTAAAACTCAGTCCTGGCTTAGACTTATATGGTTCTTGTGGTGTTTGGCTCAGACAATACTCTTTATTTTAATACAAACACAACCTCTGCTTTGTATTGTAGCTGCAGCAGAGGACAGAGAAAATTAAAGAAAAAACAGAAAAATAATATTCTCTATTAAACATGGGGGTAACTCCACCTATACTATACAATAAGGATGCAAAAATTCACTGTACAGGATATTGATAATAAAATGCTGAAATGAAGAAAAATCTACAAACTCTTTCTGAAATGAAAAAACTTTGTGGTGATGCAAAAATGCTGCAGACAATGGCATAGCAGCGCCATCCTGTGGTTAAAAGTGTTTCTACAATAGCACTTGAAACTAATCCACTCATTCATTATATGAAAACTGTTGCAGAGAAATAGTTCATATGCATGTTTTTGAAGTCTTTTTCAGGCATGTAAGCCATCACGAGGAGAATTTAAGAATTTTTTTAATTATTAAAGTTTTATTTTGAATCTGCGTCTGAAAGGAGAGCGATACACTTCAGTATACATCTGTGGCACAATTTTATTAACATGTCCCTTAATTTGGTCTTATTTTTGCATATTCGGACAATCTACCACCAGAAAGCTGACCACACACTCACACTCCGCCATCAGATAATCTGGGCTACATCAACCTTGCTGCATCAAGAGATTAAGATTAAGAGAGATTAAGATTTGGGAGTCCGCGTCATGCAGATATCACAATGTGAACTTTAATCACAGCATACAGTGATGCAGCACACAGAGAGTCGGCATGTTCCCGAGGTCGGTGGCTTAGAGCCTGTTCATCAACTGAGTGTTTTTTTTTAGATATATTTTTATTGGATTCTATTGAAAGAGGATTAAGGGAATAAAAAGCCCTCAAGACAAATCTGTTATTTTTCTTTCATTTGTCTTCTAAAGTGTTCCCGTTTCCATCTGTACACATTCAGACAGAATATAAAACATCCATCATCTCTGAACCTTCCTTCTGTGTCCTGATAATACAGCCAGCCACACTTAAAACAGAGAAAAAGCAAAAGTCAGGAGGCTGATCTGTGAACCTGTGCAGACAAGGACTTTCCTTTCTCTATGTTTCCACGAGACAAGACCGTTCATTCCTGATCTTTTAGACAGCTCACACACACTAGTCATCTCTTCTGGATCTCTCAGTTGTTTTTTTTTAATATGCTTTCAACTTTACTGCTCATCCTTAAAGAAAAGTACAATCAAAAGATGATATATTTTTAATTATTTTACTTTCCTGTGACCGATTTAGAAAAAGAATTTAGAGTTCATGCTACTAGACTTTACTTGGTCTGGTATGACCACCAGCAATGATGCTGTCAAACTTCATATCAGCATTGCTTGTCTTGTCTATTTTGCACCCAAAGTGCTTTTACATTATATGCCGTCTGTTCATAAACCCATTAACACTGATGGAGGCTGCTATGCTAACTGCCCACCAGCACGGATCTAACTGTCACATACTGATGGCTAGAGATCCATTTGTGGTTCAGACTCTCACTTGAGCACACATGAGCTTGTGGCTGGGACACAACCTTACAGTACTGGGACACACGCCCCAGCCTTGGCAGGGCAGTATATTGTATGTAAAAGGGACAAAGCTGACACACAGGAGTAAGAGCTGAAAATAATTTTTAAAAAATAATTAAAATGGCTTCATTTTCTGTGCATAGAAATGCAAATAGTGATGTGTTTTGGCTTAAAAACAAAGGCATATGAAGCAAAATCAGTATTCTATTTTGTGAAAACCTCTCGAAATAAACATGTTAAGAACAAAACTCAACTCAGAGCAACTCAACTTTATTTATAGAGCACTTTAAATACAACCAAAGCTGACACACAGTGCTAAATTACTCAATAAATTAATAAATTGATTAATTAATTAAAACAAACCTCCAAATAAGGGACCCTGAAAGAGTGAAGAACACAACAAAAGAAAGAAAGAAGAACCCAGAGCCTGAAAGTAACAGAGGAGCATCAGCAATAGAAGCCAAACAACAGAACCATCCCCCCTGTATATGTCTGTCTTTTTATGTTTTCTTGGAAGGGTCGAACTGAAATGCAATTTTGTGCAATGACAACAAATCAGATCTGAATCTGAATCTGCAACAATATCACAACCTAAACAAAATGAGGACACAACAGACCAATGAACCCCTAAAACACAAGAACCCAAGATACCATGAACCGCCTAAATATAAGAACCCAACTGCAAAAAAAAACAAACTGTAAGAACCCAGGGCCAAAAAGAGACCCAAACAACATAGTAACTCAAAATAGATAAGAACCTAAAAAAACACACCTTCAGAACCAAACTGTAGGAGAACCCAGTAGCTTAACTGTTAAAACAACAAAAGAACCCAAATCCCAGAAAAAGCCTTAAAAATAAAAGCTAACCCCCCTACTTTAAAAACAACAATAAACAACTAACACCTAAGAAATCTAAAATGACAATGAGCTCAAAAAGCTGAAGGACCAAGTCATACCCTAGCATATAAACTAAGTTCAAGAACCCTAATAGGTACAAATCTCAGATTGTTAGTGAATCAGTTACAAAACTACAAAAATAAATCCCATATTTCACCATTTACTTCCACCCCATTGACTTCAATTCCATTAAAGAACCCAAATCCCAGAAAAAGCTTTAAAAATGAAAGCTAACCCGTCTTCTTGAAAAACAACAACAAACAACTCAGACCCCAAGAAATCCAAAATGACAAAGAGCTCAAAAAGCTAAAGGACCAAGTCATACCCAAGCATATAAACTAAGTTCAAGAACCCTAATAGATACAAATATCAGATAGTTAGTGACTCAGTTACAAAGCTGCAATAGTAAGTCCCATATTTCACCATTTACTTCCACCACATTGGCTTCAATTCAAAACATGGAGTCACATTTGTTGGTAAATGAATGAAAATCAGCCCTGATGAATTTCAACAGGAGAACAGTATCATCAGACGGTGTCATGAATATGTAAAACAGCATCCATGTGTCCATTCAAACTGCATCCTTCACTCTGACATGTGCTTTTCTCTTTTCTGTGATACTCCTCGTGTTGATGCAGCCAGTCATTTGAGGTGTAACTTTGCTGTAAAAGGGACAGGGTGGGGGCGTGAGAGGCAGGCACCGAGGAGGGGTGGATAGGGAGGGGCGGAACCCGGATGCTGATGCTGACCGATGAAGAGAGGGAAGCTGAAGAGAAGCAGGAGGAGGAGGAGGAGGAGTGTGGGGAAAAAAGAGAAAGGGAAAGGGGGATATTACGGGCAGCAGCAGCAGCGAAGAGTAGGAGGAGGAGGCCATCCCGTGGTTCGCGGTCACTCCTGTGGAACTTCTAGCGACCTGGAAGATTCAGTTTGCCGATCAGACCATTATTTTCCCCGAGAATTGTCATCCACGCGGGAGGCAACAGCTTCGAGGGAGGAGATGCGGTGATATCATGAACATAGTCGGCCGTAGGGAGAGAAAGAGAGACAGAGAGGAGGAGAGCGAGGGAGAGGCAGAGGAGGGGAGGCCAGCTGAGGATGCTTGTTGTTTCTAGAAGGAGGATTAATCACCGGGCCGAGCGCTGATCCTCACCGGCACACGGAGCGCGTCTCTTACCGCAGCAGCTGTCCCGACGGCGGCTGCATTTCGCCTCCCTTTCCCCTATAGTCTCTGCCCGGGGCTGTCTTTCTTTTTAATGCTCTCCCCCTCTTCCTCTATTTCCTGATGCAGGGTCGGGGAGGGGTGAGCCAAAGTGTGCACCGGATATTGGAAAACCCATTCTTCTTGCTGATGCTGTTGGGATAATAGATTATTATCTGGACATCGCCGCATCTGCACAGAAAGACAGATCCGGACTAAACCGAGGCCTGGCTCCAGAATCAAAGGGAATGTTCTAGCTTGGAAGGATTTCAACATCTTTGGACGGTGGCAGTTTAGTGAGGAGGGGGTCCCTGATATCGATCCGTGAATGGATTCAATCAGACCGGTCTGACTTGGGATATTTGAGACTCTGCTCTTAAAGAAATCAATCTATGGCAAATGTAGCCTTCCTGTGCAGGTCTGGATGAGATCTTTCTTCTGCTTTACTTTTTCTCCCAGCTGCATCAGCTCCGTATAGGATCAATACGCTTGAAACTACTGTTTGATGGGACACATTATTGTGGATATTACCTCCCAGGCACACCTCACACCTCCTCTGCTTTCTGGTTCTTTCCATCTCCCCTCTGAATGATGCTGCTTTAGTGCAAAAGACACAAACCAAGCCTTGGAGACACTTTATTACCGGGCTTTATAGGATGGAAGCTGGGCCGGTTCTCACTCCTGACCGCATGACAAACAAGTGCATGGGAGTAGCCTGCAGGGCCCGGTTTTAGATCACGACTAGTCCTCCGTAGCTCTCCTCAGCTCCTCACCGCCCTGTGATGTGTGTTACGGCATTATTACGCACGGAGCAGGAGGGACCGCTATCTTGATCTCCCTTTTATCAGGACTAGAATTACATCTCGGGGAAGGATGAGCAGCAAGGAGCTGACGGTGGCCCAGTCCAGCCAGTATGTGGGGCCTTACCGGCTGGAGAAGACCCTCGGGAAGGGCCAGACAGGTAGGAGCCCCCCCCCTTAAATCACCTGCAGTCTTGTAGCAGTGCAAAAAAAAAAAAAAGACGTCTGGAAGGCGCTCCTCCTGATCCCCAATGCATACAGTCAGAGCTCATGGTTTAGTCCTTATTCCCTCTGTAAGTCCTCTTATCATGCTGCTGAAACCCTCTTAAAGGATCTCCTAAAAAGCATTACAGGGTGTGCTTTAAAGGTCTCCCAATCCAGCTTTTTCTGAGCTGAGTTTGGTCAATCTTTTTTTACATTGTCTGTAAAGCGTTTTTGAATTATTTATGACATCCACTCCTTCCTGCTTTTCTTTTTCACACTGCATGATGATTTCTGGTGCTAAAACATTTTCTTACTTTGTGTGTCAGGTCTGGTGAAGTTGGGTGTCCACTGTATAACAGGACAAAAGGTGGCCATAAAGATTGTCAACAGGGAGAAACTCTCCGAATCAGTTCTCATGAAGGTAAAGTTCAAGTCATCAACCTCACCTCATCCAGCTCTCTTGTGCTCTGTGTTGCTCCTGCTCTCGACTGTCATTCTTGTGGCTTCAAAGCTTAAATCATGACAAGAATATGGCTTCAGAAATAGCAACAGAAATGGAGTCTTTATTCCTGTAAAAAAAAAATAAAAAAAAAACCTGTCTGTGTGTTGTAACTTGGAGCAGACGAGTGTGTGGGCACTGCTTCTGAGGAGCGAACAATAAAGATGATTTCACTCTGCTAATTAAGTCCTCTGATGAAAGCTCCTGCAGCTGAAACACTCTGGACTGAATAGCTTTATCATGTTGGTGCTTCGAATATGACTGAGAACTTGCAGCTTGGTGCGAATTTGTGATTTGAGAAGACAGGCAAACTCAAGACTCAAGGAATCAGCTCTGTAGTTTTGGACATTTCTAGAAGGTGGCGTCAACCTTAAAGAGACGCTTTGGTGAGTTTTCAACCTGGGCCCTATTTTCCCATTTTGTTAGCGCGTGTTTGACTGAATAGTGTTTGAAATTGGTCAGCAACTGAGCATCGCCAAACTGCATCCACTCCAAGTGCTTTATTTCACCACTGACAGGCTCAGATTGTTATTACAAGTCCTGACAACAGAATGGCAAGGGTTTCCTATTGGATGAAAAATACAGAAGTGCTCACTAATCCATCAGTGTGTTCGGACTCCCAGAGGATTTCATCAAAACTTTTTTCTGACTGTGCCACACCTCCTAACCCCGAATACCTCAAAGCTTTTATATCACAGTGAAAATGGAATAGGCGTACCATTCAATATTCAATCCAACCATGTGGACAGCAAGCCGATATTGTACCTCTGTCTGAGCCGTGTGTGAGACTGTTAACTAGGTCAAACTAGGACAGCTGCTGGTGCTGAATCCAGATTGCATAAACTTCCTAAACACCCAACAGGAAATAAAAAAACAATTGTTTTTATCGTAGTGCTCGGGATGTTTCAAATCTGGCTTCTCGTAGCGTTCATCCATGTCTGTTTGTGGAAGAGGTTTCCCGCTCTCCCCCTTTGCATGTTCGGTGGACAAAATTCACAGTCCGTGTCTAATGTCAGGAATATGTGATGAACTGTTCAGTGGCAGTAGTTAAGGAGAACAAAACTGTCTTCATTTACTCGACAGTCTCTCTAAGAAGTTGATGTTCAGCCAACTTACAAAAATTCAACCATCCACAACTTTTCTGCAAAGTTGCCCAAACATATTTCCCCTGCAGGCATCATCATGTTCGTCACCAGCTTGACTTCTTTATAAAATATTGATCTGCTTCACTCTGCAAGCTCCATTTGGCTTACTTGCTGTATGATATTGTACCATTTGTAATAGATGACCAACACCTTTATACTGGTGCTGCTGTCACCTTTGATATGGCAGTAGTTCTCTGTATAGACCTCCTTCTTGTTACACATTGTGAGTAGTCGATTTTCTCTGTCAGTATTTCCAGCTGAGGTAAATTTAAGGATTTACTTCATAAGAGTAAATGTTCACTATTCACTGATTTCTTGTTTTTGTCTTAAATGACTTTACAACGACGATTACAACGACGATTACAACGACGATTACAACGACTTTATTCCCATTTCCCTTGAATTTTCCTGAAATCTGACGTGTTACTTGCTGTCCTTCTCTTTCCTCAGTCCACTCCCCTCTGACATTTCAGTCTCCATCTTTTCTAACCTCTTTTTCCCTCTTCTCTCTCTCTTAACCTTTATTCCCTCCCTTTATCCATCCAGGTGGAGAGAGAAATAGCTATTCTTAAACTAATAGAGCACCCTCACGTTCTGAAGCTGCATGATGTCTATGAGAATAACAAATACTTGTGAGTATCTCTTCATCTTTTTTTTTTCTTTCTGCTCTTTTTTTTTAATCTTTCCTCTCTGCCTCTGGATCCCCACCAGATTAGAAACAACTTTGATTCAGAAAAAGAAAGAAGTTGGTTTTTTTTGTGAGAGAGAACTGATAAAAATAACCATCTGACATAGAAGACACAGGCTTCTGTGGAGTTTTTTTTCCTTTCCTCTCCTCACCTGTCTTCTTCTTCTTCTCTCGGCCATCTCAGGTACCTGGTGTTGGAGCATGTGTCAGGCGGAGAGTTATTTGATTACCTGGTAAAGAAGGGCAGGCTGACCCCCAAAGAGGCCAGGAAGTTCTTCAGACAAATCATCTCTGCCCTTGACTTCTGCCACAGTCACTCAATATGGTATGTGAGAGGTTATTGACCTCATGAAGGCTAATTTTGGTTCATGCCATGTCCAGCGTCGCTCACCCTAGCCTATCTTTAACATTGCCGATGCTGAGTCAAAGTCAGTTCTAACAAATGCTGTTTGTCAAAGGGATCCGAACAGCAGCCTCCCCAATGACAGACCTACTCTTGACCTATTGCTTCTCCTGGCCAGTTGTCACAATCACATCTCAGCAGGGTAGAACTGGACAGAGCTGCTCGAAGAAAAGAGAGTAAAGAAAAATGACAGCATTCAGTTATCTGTGTGTCACATAAACCTTCCTCCTGTACCATTGGAGTTTTAACTCCAGTGTTACAGAGATTTACCATCTCATGTCTTTGTAATAACATCTCAAATCCACAGCAGCGTAATATCAGCGTCCCCATGTGTGATTTTACATTGCGTTAAGGTGTTGCTGATGCTCGAGATGCCCGATGTGTAAACACAAAGAGCATGCGGCTAAACATACACAGAGAAAAGCAATGTTCAGCTCTGCAGGCTTCACTGCTTAACACTGATCCCGTCTTGCCCCTGTTCCGCTTCTTTTACCACCTCCAACACCGCCTCAGTCGCAGACTAACTTTGTTCCACCAGTACGCCGCTGTGACATTGTTAGAGGGAAAGAGACAGAGAAGAGCCAGCGGACAGGATGGGGAAAGCTTATGCCAAATAACCTCAATGTAAAATCTGGCTCATGATGATTGTTCCTTGTTAAACCAATCTGATTTGACCTCTGCTCTGACTGCCTACACCAACGAAAAGTTACTCATCAACAAAAAGTGTCAAGTTATTCTAGACAACTGTATATCATCATGCATGGGCGTATCTTATCATATGATTGAGGTTAAGTTGATTGAAACATAGAGTTGTATATAATTAGATTAGTTACAGAAAAAGATGTGTGTTTACATAAATACGATACAGCTTCCGATGTAATACCGATATTGTAGCCTTCAGTATTGGCCAATTCCCGTATTGATCTTATATTAGCACAAACTTATGCATGACAAGTTTTGCTCTCAGCTACAACGTCTTTTTCGGACGTGAAAGATACTGCCACATGGCCGACATCATTCCTACTCTCTGCTACTTTGTTAGTACCTTAGTACACACTGTTGTTGTGATCACATGGGATCTGCATGCTGGATCTAGGCGCTGCTAGATAGAAATAGATAGAACGGAGTCTGGAATGGACTGCTTGTGTGGGAGTGCTGATATCGGAGATTTTGGATGCAGGCCGATATAATCCGATATATATATTTTTCTTTATGCTGATATTGGACCGATATCTGGTATCAATATCATATTGGGTAGGGCTGGGACGATATGCTTTTCTCCCGATTCGATTCTTCTACGATTTTTAGATGCCAATTCGATTTAAATTGTGATTCTACAATATTGTTGATTTTCTCAATCTGCATTTTTTACACCAGTGAAACAGTTGAATGATTGTGATCTTCTACTGACTATTCCTGGAACCATATTTCTCCAAAAGATAAACCTTACATGTCAGTCAGCTTTTAAGATTTATTCTTAAATTAAAAAACAAAAAACAAAAAACAAAAAAAAAAATTAATTTAAAAATTGTAAAACAAAAAATTGCGATACTTATTTTGAATCGATTTTTTTCTCCCACCCCTCGGTACATCCCTACCAAATACATTTTCTGTGACTGACCATGTAGAGAAAGTCTACCTGACATCATTAGTTGCACTAGTGAGCTGAAACTTCATATTTCTTTTATCACTTGTTATGTTTTCCTCACTGAAATATTTGAAGACCCTCATGTAAAATCTATCATACAGGCATTATTTTCAAGCCAAGATATTCCTAAAAAGCAGGTTTATTTACCAATCAGAGATCCCACAGACACCTGCATCCCTCCGCCAAGACTGCTTTATGTTCAAAGTGACTGTAAGATGTCCCTTTGTCTAAATGTTTACATGTCATGTGAAAGTAAACTGAGAGAACAAAGAGGCTGGTTTGGTTATAGTTGCTGTTTATGGTCTGGAAAAAGACTGAAGTTCTTCCAGTGATGGTGTGTTCCTGTGTGTGATTTGTTGTGTTTTTGTGTCCAGTCACAGAGACCTGAAGCCTGAGAATCTTCTCCTGGATGAGAAGAATAACATCAGGATAGCAGACTTTGGCATGGCCTCACTACAAGTTGGGGACAGCCTGCTGGAAACCAGTTGTGGGTCAGTAGTGGCTTGTATTTGTGTCATCCACTTGTCCCCTCACTTTCTTACTGAACTAGAGGTTTACAATATTTCTCACTTTTGAGAAAAACGAGTGCACTTCAGGTGATTTCTGATGTGATTCATCCTCTTGTGTTTTTTATGTTGAGTACATACTCAATAGCTTTTTTTTTTTTTTATCTCAGCCTAATCATTGTTAAACTTCCTTCCAAACAGGTGAATGTGGATGTAACAGAAAAAACTGAGAACAGCATCATCTCATATTTTTATTTTCCCTGATAAAAAAGGAAGTTTTGGTGATTTTTAGTGTCTGTTTACTGTGGTGTAATAATGTACCTTTCTTTCATTATAGATCCCCACATTATGCTTGCCCAGAGGTCATTAGAGTAAGTTACTCCCCTTTCTCTCTCTTTCTCAGTGTGTGTGTGTGTGTGTGTGTGTGTGAACTCTATAATGTTGTTCTTTGCTCTTCAGGGGGAGAAGTATGATGGTCGCCGGGCGGACGTCTGGAGTTGTGGAGTGATTCTCTTTGCCCTCCTTGTGGTAAGAATATACCTCGTTTTGGTATAATCACACTTTCAGTCTTTAGTGTTTCTGTTATAACATTTGAAGTCCCTGGTATTCTTCTAATGTCAAAATACTGGTTTTAAACTTAAACATCAAGTTACGTCGCTGCAATTAGCTGCGTCCCATTTTCCTTATGTTTTCTTCCCTCTGTTAGCAAGTTACAAATATAAACAGGCATATGGGAGACCTGGGGACACAATTCAAGATGGTTCAGGCATCATATTAAAAAAATAAAATAAAAGAAAGAGTATTACACCAACAAGTTAAAACTGCAATGATTGGGTGTTTGCCAGGCTAGCTGACTTTTCCTGTTTTCTATCTTAACGCCTGCTTCAGGTGGAAAAGTGTTGGTCACTCAACCTGTTCTCCATCTTGTCCCACTCCTTCCCAGGGTGCCTTGCCCTTTGACCACGATAACCTGCGGCAGCTCCTAGAGAAAGTGAAGAGTGGGGTGTTCCACATGCCTCACTTTATACCTCCTGACTGCCAATCTCTGCTTAAAGGGATGATCGAAGTCAACGCAGATAAGAGACTCACGGTGAGAAGGGGGAAGGGGGGGAGAATGGCGGAGGATTTTACTAAAGGACTAAAATGGTAAATTAAGCTAAAAAAAAAAAGATTGTTTTTGAACATGTTTGCCTGATGCAGTAACAGTGTTGTCTATCCACTGCTAATAAGAGAAGTCTGCTTGTCTTGATCTCAGAGGGATCGGGCAAAGTCATGCAAAATCAATGTCAGCCAAAAGTCTCCAATGTTGAGAGAGTTCTGTCAGGCCTCATATTCATCAGCACTGGAGACAATTAACCCGGCACTCAAAGCACATAGTGACTGCACTTTTCAACACCATAGCACCATGAGTGCGGCATTTTTATTGGCAGGCTTTTCACAAAGGAAACAGGAAGGCTCCTGGAGCTAGTTAGCAAGCATGCTGACAAAACTGTGAGCATTATAGCCTGTGATGCCTCTTAATGACTCACAGGCAAGAATAACAAGACATCCAGAGACTGACGCAATAAGGAGAAAAAACTGTTGATTTTTACCCTTAAATTTGAATAGAAAGACAGCCTGAGAGAAAGTAAACAGCACATGAAGCAAAATGGCATTTAGAATTAAGAAAGGGCACAGCCCAAGGCTTTGCTGAGAGACGTTACAGAAATTTACCCTGACATAAAATCATACAGGGGGAGGAGGAAGGAGATGAGGAAAACAGAAAAAGCAGAGCCAAAAATGGGCTTAATGTATCGCTCAGAGTTAAACATCAACCCTGGGGCTGGGCCTTAATCCTCTCTCTGAAGTACTTTCAAAAACGCCAACATGTGGAGACGAGGTTTAAACGGGAGTCTGGATTTGTAGTAAAAAGGTGACAAGATGTGTTTAAATTCTAGTTTGAAATAAACCCAAGGTACTTGTGCTGAAATGATGAAGGAATCCATCCCAAACCACCTTGGTTGCAATACGTAGGCTGTATGATAAGTTACATAACCTACCACATGGCTCCTAATGCCCCCACGACCAGGCATGAAGAGAAGAGGGGACAGATGGGGAGAAAGAGCCTGTACATCAGCGGCGTTATCAGCTGGCAGGGCTCCCACCAACTGACCAGAAACAGCTGACCAGTTTTCCAGTCATGGAAAACACATGGAGAAAGCCAAATGTCCTGGAAAATCTTGTGCTGTCCTGGAATATAATTATATCTGCCCGCTAATTTCATTTTAGAGATCCACCAAACAGATGGCAATATCATGTGAAGAGGCTAAATATGATCAGCATCACATCAGAAAGTGATGGTAGTTTATGGACAACAGTACCCCCTGATTCATTTCATACAGGAGCCTGTGATGGATGACGATAGAGGAGCATTACAGTTACAGCAGTGGAGACTACAAATGTAAAAATACAAGTCCAACTGGCGGTAGTGTCTGTTAGGTTTATACATTATCTTTGCTGTCTTCTCTTCATGTTTTAAAATGTAAAATAAAACTAGCATGATTGGTTCAGTTGCTAAAGCTGACGTGTTTCAAATGTGTGAGGAGTTGATGGGACACCATAATATTGAACAGGATGTGGTTAAAACTATGAAGTTTAGACAAACCACGAACAAGTCAAACAACAGCTAAAATACTGCTGAGGTGTGCAGATTTTTCACTCGCATAGTCTCTCTCTCATACATATACTGTATATTGAATGGACAGAGTCTGCCTTCTTGCTGGGTGAAGCCACCATGAGGACAGCACCCTCTGGTGATGGACTGCAGTGTAGGTCTTAATCCCGCCTCTTTCAGCAATCCCTATGGAGCTGTGGACAAACTTTAGAAATTTATTACACGGAATATACATTTTTCTCCCCCCTGCTTGTGATGTTGACATGTAGTTACCGTAAGACTGGTTTGTGCTCAAGTCCTCTTTTTTCTGTACAGCTCTGTTTTTAAAAGTTATTAGGGGGTTCACTTGATACAGCCTATGGGTGTATCACCCCTGGGGATATGCTGTTTGAGTCGAGCATCATAACAGCGACTCTCGGTGACTTGCCTAATGTGTATAATGCTACTGCGCAAGTGTTGGAGTGCATGCAATGCTACTGCGCAATGTTGATTTCAGGAAGTGGAGAAAGATCACGGAATTACCGAGAGCTTTTCGGCTTCGAATCTGAATACTGGCGGAAGGCGTAACCAAGTTGTCCTTAGTATATACAGTCTGTGATCTCATAGCACCATCTAAAACTCTTCCTAGCTGAGTGAGAGCATCACGCGTCCTTATCAAAAAAAAAAAAAGACAAATTGCCCTAAAAAATGTCTCAGAAATGTAATATTGAGTTCTTCTCCTCTCCAGTCACAACATCTTGGCGGGGCTTGACAGCGATCTCAGGGACCCCGCAGCCTCCCCTTCAATGCTCACTCTCGGCATCAGTCATACACATGTGCAGAATCCCCTCATTTTACCCTCTGGTAGTTCTAACTCCAACTGCATTGCCACCTTTAATAGACCCAAGCCTTGTTTACGCAAACACCATATGGTGCCAGTGCCCATACTACACGTAAAGACAGATGGTGATAAGAGCTCGATCCCACCGGGTTGCACTGTATGCTTTCAGGAGGGCAGGACCAGGGTGAAGCCTGTGTGGACTAGAGCTTAGTCTTGCCAGGTCAGGCTTTACAACAAGACATAGACAGGTTCAATGTTTTGAGTCATCCAGGCAAAGATTAGTTTTTGTTCCGACCTTTTAAGGCAAGTTATCACCTTTTTTTGGAGACAAATTATGTGAAAACAAAAAGAGAGTGGCTTGTTTTTACAACAGGAGTGAAAGTAGCATGAAGGAGGCACTGGTGGTCAGGAGGAACAAGGCTTACAAAAGAGATCTGCAATCTAGAGAGAGGAAAAAGGAAGAGGAGGAAGAACTTCCACAGTACTTTGGTTTTAAAGTGAGGCTGTGTAAACGCAGCTATGGTTGGAAACCAATAAGAAGCAGAAAGATGTGGACAACTCTGCTTCTATGGCTCCCAGGATGCCGTTAAATACAGATGGAGATGTTGAATACAGACAGGAAGAAAGTCTGGTCAGTTAGTCATTCAGCTACAACAGAGCAGATTTAATCAAAGCTGTGTGTTCGTTGATTAATGAAGCCTGAAACCAGGTCACGCTGGCTCTATCTCTGTCCTCCTGTCTGCTAGATTCTTCCATGAGAACGAGTCCCAATGTAAAAATAAAGTCAGATTTAATTCAGTTCAAAAGGAAATGTAAAGATAGCAAATAGAAGATAACACAGTCACACACACTGTGCCTTGAATTTGTATTTTTGTCTTTGTATTGATAGTACTAAGTGCAATCGTTGTCAAACCTCCTTTGAAACAAGTATTTTGTCAGCAGGAAATATCGCACATAAAATACTCAAAAAAACATTTGACTGACTCAAGTCAACAGGATGAGATCATTTTGGTCGGGAGACACTTAAAAAATGGACAAAGGATAAGAACAAACAGAGACTGCTTTGTCCACCCAGGGCACCAAAACTGACACCAACACAAAGTTCCTCACAGGAGCTTTAAAGAGGCATTACTGTTCAGTTCAATCTGTTTCAACAGCAGTTAAGAAACCTCCACACCAGCTTCAGGTTACTGCTTTTCTAAGTCTGTAATAACCCCACAGTTCTCCACAGTGCCCGTGGATGTACAGAGGACTCTGACGGTGATGTTAGTGTCTCCTCTGAGCTGCCTTCATTTCTTCAGATGCTAGTTTAAAGTTTTAATGCCCCCTCTTTATATGCTATCAGGGTACAGCCACTCCAACACCAGAAGATATGGTGCAGTATGAAGACTCCAGTTTTCTCTGTATGCAATTCTACTGCAGATATGAGACTTCTGCAGAGTATAGACTGTGTTTTTGTGTATCTAGTCTGTGTATCATAGGAAACTGTTCCCCTAAGATGGTAAAAGTTGAAACAACGAAGTCTGGCACCATAACAGCTTTGGGGAACTCTATCTAAAGATATTAAAATACACACAAGCTAATGTTATTTTCAACTTCTTTACTAAAACTGTTTAATTTGATCGTCTCAGGCTGATGGAAATGTTGCTGGATTTAAGTAAGAGACAAAAAATCACTATGTTATGATCCATTTTGAGGTGAAGACAAACCTTTGCTATAGTTTATAAAGATGATTTGTAGGAACACACTGAGACATGCTAATTCCTGATCTTTATTTTTGGTTTTCTGAGCATCTCTGTGCAAAAGAGCAGCTAAATTTAGCACTGTGAGTGTGTCTGCAATGCTGACTCAGCTGCTTTGGACCTCTATAAGGGAAGATGCTGGGGTGACTCAGGTCTTTTTTACATAGTGTTCAGTTTGACAGCAGATGCTACATCTTTGCTCTTATGTTGCTGTATAGTTAATAAAGTTATAAACATGGAAAGTGGTGTTTTCACTGTCAAGCTTAAAGCTCGTCTTTTCTGTTTTTATACAGCTAGAAGCAATACAAAAACACGCCTGGTACCAGTAAGTACGGTTCTTCTTCTTCTTCTTCTTCTTCTTCTTCTTCTTCTTCTTCTTTGTGTCAGTCTTGAAAAGTACTTTAATGCTCATTTTGATGTTACAAACTAACAATTCATAAGAAAAGTTTAAGTAAAGTAAATGCAACATCTCAATGAACCCTCAGTCAAAAACTGATGTTAGCAATATAGTTCTATGTGGCTAAAATCTAGAAGAAAGTACTGTGCTTTTTGGGTACCTTAACCCTGTGTTTTTTTGGACTTTGTCTTCTGGGAACCTTAAACCTGTGTTATTATGTTGGACTCTGTCTGGGCTTGTTGTAACTTGAGGTATTTCTCTTGTTTCTCTGTTCAGGAGCGGTCGTAATGAGCCCTGTCCCGAGCAGCCACCCCCTCGCCGTGTTTGTGTGAAGAGGATTGTGTCCCTAACAGAGCTAGACCCTGACGTCCTTGAAAGCATGTACTCCTTAGGGTGCTTTAGAGATCGAGTCAAACTCATACAGGACCTTACAAGTGAGGAGTGAGTAAATAATACCCATCATACCTTTCCACCATGAATGACAATGCATCCATGTACAACACTCTGAAAAGTAAATACAGGCCTCCTCGAGGAATTTGACCATCAATCACGCAGATTCATAACACCATCTTTCTGACAGTAGTTTTAAATTATACTACATAAATCTTATTCGTAGACAATGAATTAAGAACACAAAACAGTTTCCACCGAATTTGTGTATGCTCACTTGACATATACCGAGTAAAACCATAAACTGCTTTTGAGATTGGGTTGCTGTCTCTGAACGTTACTCATTTATTTGTGGATAAAACATAGCTCTTGTCCACAAGGTCACAATCCTGACCCTGATACTCATGTTAATACAATCAGGAGATTGAAGATAATGGTTCATGGTAGTTTGTCCTCACATTGTGTTGATATAATGATATATGACTGAATTAGCTGAAATGTTGCCTGGGGCAGCCGAAGGCACCAACCTGTCTCTTAGAGTTGCATGTTTTTATGCATCACTGGCAGGCTGTGAATATTAGTTTCCCAGTGTTTCTAATTTAGTGCAGCAACCTGTAGTCTTGAGGAATAACGCAGAGGTGGAAAACTGCAGTCCCACAAGTGTCCACTTGAGGCTGACTCCAGAGGCCTGGAAGCCACTTACACATTAATTCACAGAAGCCCATTTTCACAGTAATGTACTTCCTGGTACAAATACAGTTTTGGTCTGGTTTATTCTGGTTCATTTCTCAACCCTGCACCAGGCAAAGATGGATTTTTGTAACTCATTAATTTTGGAGATGGTAAGGTCACAAGTTTTGCATGATTCTGGGCATTCCTGACTTGACCGGTGCTGGACTGTGGTGACCAGCAGCACTGGTAAGGAGGTTCAACTCCACCTCTTTGCCTCGTGCTATGTCGACTGAAAGTTAGGTCGGGTCAGCATTTACAACACAACTGATAGACTCACCTTCAGAAACCAATAAAGGACATGTTAATATAGTTTATGGTACTGACTTGCTGTTGGGCCAGGCTTGAGTGGACATTCGTGTAGCTGCAGTTTTCTCCACTTGATTGTAGGCTTGGAAATCAAGACATTGAAATTTTTTTTTTTTACATTTCCCTTGTTAGTTTTCCACACTTTTGAGTCTTTTTCTGACATTACTGCCAGTCAGTTAGTTGGTCATGAATCTGTCTGATGTTGCAGGGACAAGAATAAAAAACATGCCTCCTTTATCCATGCTCTTGTTCAGCCCCTTTCTCTGCAAACAAATATGGCTTATCTACCCACTATGCAACAGCAGAAGCAGCTCTGACTTCTTGCGATAAAAAAATCCAACTGACATGAGTTAATTACAGTACGGCCTTACAAATCAATGTTTTCACATAAACAGCGGATAGAGTGACCGTTCCCACTGTGAGGAGAGTCAGTCATTGTGACAAAAACAAATAACAATAATCAGCTAAGTTCTCTCTGGCTGTGTAAAAAACATCTAAGTGTCTTTCAGCCTTTTTCTCTTGTGTATTTTCTCGGCCCACATACAGTATGTGTTATCTGTTTTAGTCTCACAGCTCTCCTCTTCCTTTCTATCAGAGACAAAGGCAGCTGTCACTGGTGAAAAACTCTAAGAAAGTCCACTCTGCTCTATCTGACCCCCAACAAAACCTGACAGACATGCTTAGCAACCTACTGGTGAATGTAGTGCGAATAACAGTGCCAGAGCCATATATTCTCTTTAAGAGTTTGTGCAGACCAAAAGAAAAAATCTCAATTTTCTATCCTCTATTACTTTTCAGCGCCCTGATCTGTTTTTGTCTGCTCTAAGCTGTTTCTCTGTCTTCTCCTCCTCTCGCTGAAATTTGATTCTTGCTCTTCTGCGTCTTTTTCTGCAGGGAGAACCAGGAAAAGATGATTTACTACCTCCTGTTGGACAGGAAGGAGCGATACCCCAGCTATGAAGACGAGGATCTACCACCTAGGAATGATTTAGGTGAGGATACTTGCTCTTTTAGTTTTGCTTGAAGACAAAAGTCATTTAACCTTTGACATTGCCATCACCACAAAGAAAAATATCAGTCAAGGTTAAAGCGTTGTAATTTCCTCCGTTGTTTGTATTTTCGTCCATTAAGACCCACCAAGGAAGCGTGTGGACTCACCAATGTTATCCCGTCATGGCCGCTGTCGTCCAGAAAGGAAGAGCCTGGAGGTCCTCAGTGTCACAGAACAGGGATCTCCCACCCCGCCTCGCAGGGCGCTCGACACGAGTGCACACAGCCAGAGGTACAACCCAGGAATAATATAAAGCTTTTTCTTTTTTTAAACTTTGGCTACGTCCAAGTTACCACAAAATACCATGTGACTGATTGACCCTCATATCATCTAATCTTGTTGTTTGTTGCTGCCTCCAAAAGGTCTCGTTCGGTCAGTGGGGCGTCCACAGGGCTGTCCTCTAGTCCTCTCAGCAGTCCGAGGGTAAGAATGAAACTCACCTTTGTGCACCCATAATCACACTGAAAAAGTTTGTTTTTGAATCCAAAGACAATAATTTTTAATCAAAGTTACACAATTTAAACTTTATAGATACACCGTCTTCAAAATATTTCTGCTCAATTTATCTCCCTTTGCTTATAGCTGCACTGGCCATAAAATATGCTGTTTCCTACTTAGCCATTACATAATCTGACTTGATGGTCATCAGTCAGTCACTCTTTTAGCAGTTTTTATTTGAGCTTTTTAGATATGCAGCAACAGAGCGGAAAAGCACTTCTGCGAACGCTGTGTGCTCTGTTTAGAAATGCTGTTATAACCTGCGATTGCACCTGCCAACCTCCTTACCTCCCTGACGTTGTTAAGCAGTACAGCAGCTTTTGTTAGGTAAAAATATCATACTACTCTCATGTCTATAACCTAAAACTTATTTTTGAATTTGCATTCATAAAGATAATAACAACAAAGTGATTAATTGTCTCTCATTTTCTCACTATCAGCCATTGCTAGCTTTTTGTGTAACACTATTGTGACTCAACCAGTTCTTTCTTATCTCTCTGTGCAGCTCGCTCTTTTTTTTTGAACATGTGGCATATGTAAACATTTCTGGGACACTGTATCAGCAGCTTCAATATTACAGAGATATCTGTTTTTGGCAGCCAGTATCACAAAACAAATTTCCTGTCAAGGTTTTGTCTTTCATAACTGTTTCTCAGACCACCTCTGTCAGTCATTCCCTTCCATCAACATGCTGTCATATCCTCTCATTTTCATTTCATACACACTTCATCATACTGCTTTATACAAAAGTCTGGCGACCCGGAACAAAGGGGACTAAAACTCACACATCAACAGACACACAACGAAACCAAATCCATCTTTCATTTGCTTTGTCTGATCCAGTCTTGTTTGAGAACCCTTTCCATGAACCATCATTCATGACCAGTGCTTTTTGTCCATCTCCCATCCCCTCCTTCTCCCCATCTCTCTCTGTGTGCCCATCAGAGCCCGGTCTTCACTTTCAGCCAATCAGAAGTCACCCCCACCTCTACCTCCACCTCCACCTCCAAAGACCCTAAAGCAGGAAGCGCAACATCTCGGCCCACCCGTCCAGCGCCTGACCCTAAAACCCAAACTCTGCCCTCAAAGGGCCCCACTGAGCGACCACAGCTCCACTCCATGAAGTCCCTCCCTCTGCAGACACCGCGCTCTCCTTCCCCGTCCCCGTCCCCCCTCCACTCCCCACGCTTCTTCAACTTCCCCTCTCCATCTGTCTTCAAGTCTAAGAATGTCCACTCATCCTCTAACTCCTCTGCCACCCCTCCTCCTGTGTCGCAGGTCACACCGCAGGGCTCACCGCTGCCCACCCCACTGGGCACGCCTGTGCACCAGCTCCAACACCCTTCCTCCACCACCCCTCCTTCCTCCTCTTCCTCGTCTTCTTCTTCCAGAGCAGATGGAGCCGGCGGGGCCTCACTATCGCTGACACCGCCCTCTAGCCCGGGCGGCAGCGGTGGTCTGGCAGCCTCAAGCTCCGCCCACTGGAGAACAAGGCTTAACTCATTCAAAAACAACCTACTGGGCTCGCCACGCTTCCATCGACGCAAACTGCAAGGTAAGTTAAGATGGAGAATTGAAACAAATGGACAGTGACACTGCAGATGCTGTCAGCTGATTGGCTTATGCAGTAAAGGACCTTACTTTTGCAGCTGAAGAGTTATGTAACATTAATGTTCATCAGTGTGACCTCAGTGCTGTTTTTACTTTTAGATTTCTCTGTCCTTTGTTGGCAGGCGAGTAAGGTTCTATTATTAACAAGAGGCCAGCAGACGCCTCAGTCTGCAGCCTGCAGCTGTGTTAAGCTATGTCTGATTCTGTGATTATCTGTAATTAGGGAAATTGAATTAGAGCCTGCCCCCTCAGATTCACTTTCTTTTTCCTTTTCTTAGTCCCAACATCAGAGGACATGTCCAGTTTGACTCCAGAGTCCAGTCCTGAGTAAGTCCACATGTCTCTCTGTGTATTTTACTTGTTTTATTTTTAACTTTTAAGACTATTAGTCATAGCTTTTAAGGTTGCTGAGCCAGGTTTTGAAACAAACTGAAATGAACAGGGATACAACTAGGGCTGGGCGATAAAATGATAACAATTTATATAAAAAAATTATTTTCCCTCAATATCAATATAAAACATGGTCAATATCCTTTTCAGTAGTTGGCATTCTGACATGTTTTGGTAGTCTATACGAAAAGCCAATGAAAGGGGAAGTTGCTCCGGGTCTGCTTCATGCTGAACCAATCATGTGCTGAATTAGCTCTAAGTAGCAAACAACTGCATAGTAGCAGGTTGCAGCTACACGCAACCATAGCACTTGAACACGTGCAGCCGACAGCACTGTCGGTGAGAAAATGCAGATGAAAGCTGAGCAGATGATGACATTGTAGACAACACTGGCAGGAAAACGTTGGTAGTGTGGGGGTATTTTGGTTTTCTGAGGTTGAACCTGAAGCAGAGTACTGTACACTGCAAATTATGTCGAGTACATGTTATTGCAAAGTCGGGGAATACCTCAAATCTTTTTCACCACCTAAAGCAGTGCCACGCTGCAAAACACGAGCAGAGTAAGGAGCCCATAGAGCCTGTGCAGCCGAAACAGCTGACCATTCAGTCCGCTTTCTCTAGTGCAACGCCTTACGACAAAATGTCAAAGAGACACAAAGACCTCACAGATGCAGTAGCTTATTGTACTGCAAAAGACATGCTACAAATAAGCACTGTAAAATTTTATTTTCATATCGTGATATACATCGATATCGACTGATATGAAAAAAATATATTGTGATAAACTTTCTCCCATATCCCCCAGCCCTGGATGCAACTATATGATTGAGAAACGTATCCAACACTGTCTACAACACGACAGACTATTTGTACTGTGTTTTATTGTATTGAAAGTGTGTTACAGCTGCCACTGGGTCAGTGTCAGACAGTTCAATCAACAGTACACAACTGAAACAGTTATTGTTGAAGAGTGAGTGACCATTAAAGGACAGCAGGATGAGACTTGTCACAGGAAAACACTGCTTACTCATGTACAGGGAAGGACGAACCGCTTTTGCTGCAGGGAGCACCAATATTGTTTGATCATATTTTAATGTTATGCGTTCTCCCCAGCTGCTAAATGACCTGGAAATATTTGTTCAAGATTAGATTTTGGGAAATATTTTCGTTCAGGTGTTCAGGGAAATTACTATATATAGTCAAATCATTGACGTAAATCTCTTGTTTATTTTAGGTCAGTTAAAAATAACCCAGCCAACCCAAATTGGATATGTACACATCTTCATTTCTTGTGAACGTGTAAATAGTGTCAGTGGATCTAAAGTGTCGCTTGTCAAATGTTCCTTTACCTGCAGGCTGGCTAAGAGGTCCTGGTTTGGTAACTTCATCAGCCTGGAGAAAGAGGAGCAGATCTTTGTCATGATTCGAGACAAGCCGCTCAGCTCTATCAAAGCCGACATCGTACATGCCTTCCTCTCAGTGAGTACAATCCAGCTCGGATAAGTCTCAGCACTGTCGTTCTGATACCATTCATGGCCTTTGAGGCAGAGTTCAGGATTTTATCTTTTTTTAATCCACATAAACCTTTTCTTTGACATCTTCAGATCCCGTCCCTCAGTCACAGTGTGGTGTCTCAGAACAGTTTCCGGGCAGAGTACAAGTCCTCTGGCGGCCCCTCTGTCTTCCAGAAGCCTGTCAAGTTCCAAGTAAATATACATACACACATCTTGTATATATAAATATGAATACATAAAATATGTTTACTTCTTTAGGCTTATTAGACATAAGCTTAATTCCTCAGGAGTAAAGTTTGATTGTTCGAGCATCATTTGTGTGTCTCAGTGTAAAGGTCCACAGAATGTAGACTTAATATCCTAATTCCACCGCAAATATGGGGATTATATCTGTCACTGTATGGCAACTTTTATAAACATTTCACAGTCCAGAAAATGGTGACAGATGGTGTTTGTGTAAGTTTTCTGTGGTTCTCTGTGGTGGACTTAACCCAGCAAATATGCATCCATATGTAATGCTGAGTCGGTAGTGTGCCAGATATGATCTTGATATTCTTTTTTGCTTTCAAATGTAGAAACGAGAGCTGATCATTGAGTGTATCCCTGCAGATTGTAGAAGAGATTGTAATGTCTATTGACGAGGCCCTCTAGTGGTGGAGTCTCAAAAGTTGCACTTCAACAATCTTTATTTTTTCTCTGTAAGCATCTGTCCTGGACTTTTACTAGCATTTGTGACTCTTTTTCCCTTCAGGTCGACATTGCTTTCTCCGAGGGGGAGAGAGAGCGAGAGAGGGAGCGGGCAGAGAGAGAAGGAAGAAGAGAGATGGGCATCTACAGTGTCACATTTACTCTAATAGCAGGTAGGACTTGGTGTTATTAGGAAGATTCGTTCTCATGCATTCTAGCATCTTTTAGCTTTTGTTACAGCTTTCAAGGCCTCATGCATAAAAGTACATATTTTTATCATCATCTCTGGTACTGTGCTGTATCACCAAGTGATCTTTATGTACTCTAAATATTATAATATTTAGTATAAATAAGGATCAACGTGTGGCACGCAGTCTAAGTTATTAGAAGAGATCTTCAGATTCACTCTTTTATTAAGTTTGATTGTGATTTCTTGGCGAAATCCTTGAGGGTACATCTCTGGTTCAGTATTTCAAACTGGAGTTCAAGTCATCACATTTTAAAGGGTCGATGCCGTCTCCTCTCAGGTCCCAGTCGCAGGTTTAAAAGAGTGGTGGAAACCATACAAGCTCAGCTCCTGAGTACTCATGATCAGCCTTCTGTGCAGGCACTGGCTGGTAAGTAGCACACACACACACTTATACACATGCACTTCTAGTGTGTGTTTCACCTCTTCCTTCCCTGATTTCACTCCTCAGATGAGAAGAATGGTCAGCTTACCCGTCAGCCGAGCACTCCTTCGCGTCAGAACTCCCGTCGTTCAGAAAGCGGATCGGAGCGGGAGCGGGGAGAAAAGGATCGTGCGGTGGATGGGGTAAGCGGAAGTGGGAGCAGCAGTGGGACAGTCCTACAAAGGCAAGGATCTGGGAAGGACAAGACCAGACTCCTCTCGTCATCCAATGGGACACAGTCTCATCCTTGAAAAGAATGTTTGGAAGAGAGGCGAGGGTCTTCTTCTTTGCCTTTTCCCTTCCCTCCCTCAGTCCTTCCCACATTCTTCACTAACCTCTCTGTCCTTACATCCTGTCTTGCTTCCCTCTGTTATTCCAAAGCAATGAGAAAGAGGGAGCTCTTCTTTAAAGCTGATTGAAGGATCTCATGGAGAATGGCTCCCTCCAATGGCTTACCTAAGTTGAAATGTATACTTGTAGGAAGCAGGTTGATTCCTGGTCAGCCTACAAGGGCAGCTTCACCCTGGAGAAACCAGTCCAAGGACAGGGCATCACAGATGTCCCAAGGCCTTACGGGAAAAGCTTACACTCCAGCAAACCTATAAGCACACAACTTTTCAACCGTTCATCCCATGCAAGTCTGGGTTCAGACCCAAAAGGAAACCTCCCAACGGTCACTCAAACAACAGCAGAGGAGTCTAGCCTGTGAGTTACAGTCATTCTCATTTATCTTTTTCCTCCAGGACAGCTTATGGTCAACTTAGATTATCAGGCTTTCTCAACAAAACATGACCAAACACGAAAGGCGCCCCCTCTCTCCCCTCACTCGGATGAAAAACAAAACAAAACTTTAAGAGTTCATCTCAAACAGGAAAGATAGTTTGAAGAAGACGTTAGTGGACCTCGAAGTGGATTTGCCCCCATGAAAGTAAGCAAAACTTCAAATTCTGTACTTTCATCATCACCGAGTCTGAAAACATGACAGAAGATGGATCCGACGAGGCCGGCATGTGGCATTACATCTATGTGAAAGTTAAAATCAGGAAGACAAGATGCAACACTTTCTCGAGTGTGTTAGCAGCATACAGTCCCACTCTTTATTTCTCGGCTCCGCAGATAAAGCTAAGACGCCGTATTGCCTTTATGGAGGAGAACAAGTGGATTGCTAGAAAGATTTAGTCCCATTTTCAAGACACTTGTCACACCACTAGTTGAATGTTTCCCATGTAAAAAGCCCCACTGAAAAAGAGGGAGATGAATAGTTAGCATGCTAGCTAGCTATTTGGTAAGAATAGAAGGAGAAAAGGAAAATTAGCAGCTGAATTTTAGGTTAACTCAGAAATAACATTGAAGTCAACTCGGTCAAATAGTAATTTTCTTTCACAGTTTGACCTGTTTTAACAACACACACATGCTACATGTAGCCTAGCCTACATTTTAAGCATTACTTTCATTAGTTTCTCCCCTCTTCTTACTGACTTCGAAGCTTTTCTTTACAAACGAACCATCAAGGGAAAATCCACAGTACATCATTATACTGAGCTGTTTTGAGGCCCAGCTTAGATATACTAAGCCCCAACCTCTAAACTATGTAGCGTAGCATCCAAAATTAGCACACTGGCCTCTGAAAATGACCTCAATTGTTTTATGTGCAAATAGACACATTACATCTATTTGAAAAATCTAATAAAGGTTTTCCTTTAGGTATAGCTGCTAGCTTACATGACTTAACTCAGCCCAGCAGCCCAAAATATAGAGGCTACATCAATTTACCTTTATTTCTGATATTGTTGTGTATTTCTCCTATTAGCTGTATTGCACAAGGTTCTCCCATTGTATGTCACAAAAACTGCTCAATCTCCAGTATATATTTTGTACTGTGGGTTTTCGTCTTTTTGTTTCTTAATGATGGAGTTACCCGAGAAAGGTTTCACTTCCGAGCCAGTTTGACGAGGAGGAATAGTGACCCTGACCAGCTGTGTACATGTGACCACACTCTATCTGTGAGCATGTGATTGTTAAGTGTTGACAAGAATGAACCTGTCCTTAACCCAATGAGAGTGAAAGTCCAGGGAATTACGGTCAATGAAGACGGATGAAGATGGAAATTTGGAGCTCAAAAAATAAAAAAAATGTTAGACCCCACAGGACAATGTCGCCTTTTATGACACATAATTAAGCAACTTAAAACCCTCCATTTGTTCCTTATTGTTTGCTAAACGATAAAGGGTGACACCGCCGCCTGTGTTCATCTGAAGGGTGAGACTGAGGAGGGAATACAGAGAGGAAAACAAATTATGTACTTTTCATAAGAAGAAAAACAAGACAGCAAAAAGAAAAATGACTTTACAGCATCTGGTATTGCAAAGACCCTGCACACATATTGCCCGAAGGGGGAAGAGGAAAAATAAAGCCACACACCGAGAATTATTTTTTTTTCTTGCGTGTTTTACCTTCATCCTTCATACCTTCTTTCACAACTATTCCCGGGTCCTTTTGAGATTTTTGAGAAATGTTTTGTGTTTGCCACCGGCATAACGGAGGGTGCACCAACCCTTTGAATGTCAAAAACTGTTTTTGAGTGTAAAGGAAAATTTGCTTCACACATTCAATGAAAATGTATGTATTTATGGATGTATGTATGGATGGATGGATGTGTTATACTTATTTATTAATTATTTATTTGTTATTTATCCATTTGTCAAGTTTTTGTTAAAGTTGTGATTTTTTTTTTTCATCACAAGTAGAAGATGGGGGGAAAAGGGAATACCATGTTCAGGACGTCTGACACTCCAGTGCAAACCAGATTTTATTATGTTGCAGAAATTCCCTGTTTATCTTTTGTTTTTACCAGCTCTGTTCTTTCTGTTTGCTCCATATGCTACAGCCCTAGATAAACACTCCACACGTACTTAGTAATAAGACCCACATGGAGGAAGTCTGAACTCAGAGAGAAGTCTTGCCATATCTGTTTGTGCTGACTCATCCAGTCACTTTTTGTCTTTTGGGTTCTTGTTCTTGATTGACATCCAAGGCGAAAAAAAGAGCAGGATGAAAAGCTGCTGAAATGTTACACTAAGAGTTTGACAATATTTTAGGGTGGATTATGTCAATTTAAGACACCAACACTTTCTCTGCCTTTAAATTAAGAGTCATGTTTACACCATGCAAGCGATTGGGGTTTCAGGATGTCTGTTGTTCTGTTGGAAAGTAACTCCAGAGCAGGCTTGAATTACTCTACCATCCTCAAAACTATTGCCACTGTACTTTGAAACGTCTCCTGTCACACACCTAAAGAATCAGTTTCTTTTTACAGCTAAGAAGTAAAAGTTAGTATGCTAACAAGATAGCCTGCTAGGTGAGCACAGATGGCATTGTAACTTCTAGATTTGACACTTTACAGGACTGGATGTAGTCTCTGTGGTACAATCCAGTAGTCTATGAGGAGTTACAATGCCCAATGATGGGGGTTGCTATATTGTAAATGCAATATTAAATGTGCGTTTTCATAGGGACCCTGACAGGTTTCCTCTGCTTTCAGAGGTAGCATTAAAGGGACTCTTAAATAAGCACAGTTAGTTACTTAAGCTTCATATTTTCACCCCAAATGTTGCAGCTTATTATTTTTGTAAGCGTGTTAGCATATAGCTGAAAGCAAAGTACAGCCTCTGAAGAGAGCTAGCATGGCTGTAGACTTTGGGCCTTTCTCAAAGTGTTGAATGATTCATGAAGCGTGAATGCATGTGTAACATCTCTTAATCATTCCCAGGGAACTCTTGGTGTTTATTCATGTTAACTCCACTGAAACCGTTCTACTTTTTTAGCCGACTGTCAAGAATCTTCACACACTCTGCACATAAAACTGAAAGAGCTTAGCTGGAATGGAAAGACACAATCAGTTGGTAGTTTTATTTGACATATCCTGGACTTTTAAAGCATTCCTGAAATTCCTGAAAAGCGGGTGTACTTAAGTTCCGGAGAATCTGTTTGCACACTGGGTTGAAATTCAGAAGAACCCACCCTCTGAAAGGTTTCAACTCTTAACTCTTTTTAATTTAGATCAAATGTGCTCGTCCCTCTCTTATGTAACCGGAGGCTTTCTTTTCCTGTCCTGGCGCTCAGAGTTGGCCCCATGGAGAAAACTAGTAGAGAGGTGCACACAACTCAAAGGGCAGAGATCAAGGCGGTTTCAAGTTACACAGTCATACACCTAAAAGAGAACATTAAAGCAGGAGGTCAGGGCTCAAGTCAAGACAAAGTCAAGTTTAACCTCTGAAATCCACTATAAGTCGGAAAGATACAAGTCAAAAAAGAAGAGTAAAGACAGGAAAAATGGCTGCTCTGATTCTGAGTGGACTTCTTCCAAACACATCCGTGACATTTCAGTTGCTTAGTCAGACCTGTTGAGAGAAATCTCACTCCTCCCACCCTCATTTCTTCCTTACCCTACAATCCATCCACAGATTTGACATTTTCTACAACCCCCATCCATCCTGTTTGTATCTCTAGAATCTTACCTGCACATATCTCAGCCCTTATATAATCATCCCTGCCCCTTGTATACATTTTATACACTGTATACTCAACGCAGATGCTGTATACATTTGTATATGCTGTATGTCTGTCTCATTGTATGCCATCCATATCTATGTAACTTTCACTATCTTTTATTGACACTGTAGTCACAACTCTTTATCTCATCATTATTGCTCATTTTTCTTCTGCTGATAGAACTGTATGACTATAATCTCTTGACTCCAGCCCATATTATCCTCCACTTCTGCCACACCTTGCCGCACTGTACCCATGATGACCACTCCCTGTTATTATCAACTCTCAATCCACACAGAAAATATTTTTTCTTTTTCACTCTGGATGTGAGGTTAGAAAAACTTTGAGGGAGGTGGGGTAGGGTGGGTCAAGAAAACTGCTTACACGATTAACGATGATGACAACGACAAGAGAAATGTCTGTAGTATAATTACAAAAAAGGAAAAGTGCACTATTATGACAATGATTATTATTGCCTGTGAGAAATACTGACCAATAAATAACAGAAACTATCTGTTGGTTTATGTGTTCTTTTTTCAAATATGCGGTTGGCAGTGGGGCTAACAATTCATTGAAACAACACAAGTCACTGTGCAGTCACAGAAAAGTTATGAGGTGATTATGTTTAACACTAACAGTTGTCATTTGGGGTAGAATCAGTCTGTAAATCTAGGCTACTCCAAACCTTCTTGTAAGAAAGTTTGCTACCCCTACTTCACCACCCTTGTAAAGAGCCCAAAGTGAACGTGCATGCAAAAGTGGTACCTAATGAGGTACTTTAGTTGAGATCTTGAGAAAACACCTCTATTAACTTGTTAATGCAAGGAAACGGAGTAGATCTATTGTTTGGAAGTAGGGCTGGGCGATAAAACAATAACGATATATATCGAAAATTAATTTCCCTCAATATCAATATAAAACATGGTCAATATGCTTTTCAATAGTCGGCATTCTGCCATGTTTTGGTAGACTACACGAATACCCAATGAAAAGATGAAATCATTGACAACACTGGAACGAAAAGGTTGGTGGCATGGAGGTATTTTGGGTTTTTGAGTAATGTGCACTGCAAATTATGTCGAGTACATGTTCTTGCAAAGTTGGGGAATACCTCAATCTTTTTCAGCACCTGAAGCAGTGCCACGCGGCAGAGCATGCGCAATGCAAAAGGTTACAAAACCCTAGCGGAAACAGCTGACCATTCAGTCCACTTTCTCTAGCGATGCAGAGACACAAAGACCTCACAGATGCAGTAGCTTATTGTATTGCAAAAGACATGTTACCAATAAACACTGTTAAGTTTCATTTTTTAAATATCTTGATATATAATGATATCGACTGATTTGAAAAAAATATATTGTGATAAACTTTTTCCATATCGCCCAGCCCTATTTGGAAGCGTGACCCCTTAAGGCCCTGACAAGTCTCTCACAAGATTTCATAATAAATAAATATATATAAATATATTCATAACAAAAGAGGTTTATTCACCTGTTAATATCACACAAGCTACAGCATGATAATCCAAAATACACACAGAATTAAAAGTTGATTTGAGAGGATCTAGTAATTCAGGGGGCTAAGGGGCGTTAACCTACAGCAGTTTTATGCGATCATATAAAAGTTTTTGAGAAAAAGAAAACACTTAGTTTTCAAAGTTCCAAGGTTAGGTTCAAAATCGACCCATTTACCTCAACTGTACTCCTTCAAAAAGTTTCCTCGGTATGTCAGAGATGGGCGTGTTGCTGTGACATCACTTGTGGCTTCCTGCAGCCAAAATTGAAAAAACGAAGAGCTATCACTCTGACACCAACGAAGTGTCCAGAGTGGTTTTATACGTAGCAAAGAGCTATAACTAGACTCAATAAGATAATTTTAGTTGAACTGATCTTACAGTACAGTAAAAAGTCTTATAAATCAAAATTGTAAAAATCGTTTCAATTGGAGACAAATCAATCATTGTTAACATGAAAACCCTGTCTTTGGGAAGGTTTTCTGCCTCTCATCATATTTTCATTGCTTATCCATCCAATAAATAATTGGGCACACTCATTTAATCTTGTTGGCTACTTATTTTTATTTACGAGTATTCTCTTTAACTAAAAATTTAACTTTACTTTTGCACTCGGGCGCAGCAAAGCCATCAAATTCAACGCCTACATTTATAACCCCGGTCTGTGTATCGGAGTAGCTCATCTTCTCGTAGTTACACTATCTTTGCGCCGTGGCAGTGATTGCCTTGTTGGTCGGAGAAAGCCTTGTTTTCACCGGGTCCTCCTGCAGACTTCAGAAGAAGGGAGGAGTGCAAACAGAGTTTTCCGTATCAACCTTCTCTCCGAGCAAGCTCATCGAAAAACGCTCCAGGTAAATCTTTGATAATCGATCTTTGAAAAGTTTCCCCCGCCTTTCTGAATGTATTATTATCCACTCTCGGTCAGCTTTTGTGCATTGCATGCTGTGGGAGATGGTGCTGAGCATGAATGGACCACTGTGTTGTACAGCAGTGATATTATCCCACGCTACTGGACGCGTTGGCTTCTGCACTGTCCTTCGTGGGTGTGAGATAAGTTGTGTTGAATCTCGTAGTTGTTGTTGTGTTTGTGGTTTTGGTGACTTGTAGTGTTTCTGTCCACCCATACATGGTCACGGTGATGTAACCGGTGATGGAGAGAAATATGGTCGCCTCAGAATGAAACTATTTCCTCAAACTCAAACCGGTTTGAGCTCCGTCGCATTGAAACAACCCACAGCTCGGCGCTGGTGAATGGTTTTGCAAACGCTACTTGGTTTGAAGTTTTTGTTCACAGGTGCAGCGAAACATGCCACTGAAGGAAAACCTCTGGGCCAAGACCTCCAGGGAAAAACATTTTCAGGCAAATTCTAGTTTGTAGCTGATTCATAGAAATGTTTACGCCCAAAACTTGAACATGAGTCGCAATTGGTAATGCTTTCTAGCAAAGGATGGCACCGAGCAGTGAATGTGATATCAGCTAGTTTGTTTATTCGGCCTGTAAACGTTCACCGTAGAGTGCTAATGCAGGAAGCTGTTTAAATTTAGCATTAGAAGCGTTTTAAAGTGGGTTGGGCCTCAATTGAAGTGTGAGTTACATAATATTTTGACATTACACTCAGCCTAAGCTGATGTGTACCGTGTCCATGACTCTGAAGTGCACGCGCCATTCTTCCCGCCGCCCTCTGTCGTGCACGTGCACGTGCTGGGCCTGCCTGGATGAACGACTCCTTGTCACTCCACTTGAATCTCCACTTTGGCAGGTAAAACCTGTTTCTCAACACGAGTCTGGAGATTCAGGATCAAACGCCAAATTGTAGATAAACTCAAACCAGTCACCAGTCAAAACATTTTAGCAGAAAATGACATAACTGCATGTCTGGTTTGTGCAACATAGATGAAACTATACATCAGATCACTCATTTGCAAATATTGATTCTCCTCTTAAAACTTACAATTTTTTCAGAGAGAAAGGATTTAGCATATCTAGTCACTGAAACCAGAAAACAAAGTCGAAAACTTGAGGAACAGGTTAGGGATGTCTTTCTTTAATTGCATCTGTTAGATGACTGCAACAAGAGTAAGTGTCGTTAACTTGTCAGGTCAGTAATCACAGGAGTGATCGTGTGAGGTTTCTCCAGAGATACATGAACATACAAGTAGGGCCTGACCGATTTATCAGTGAGCCGATTAAATTGGTCAATTTAAGCCCGTTTGAGACTAATTGGTAATCGTCCAAAACTCGCAGATTTTCACCAATATTTTCAGAAATAAAATGTGAGGAATAAGATTCGGTTACACTTTGAAAATGTTCCGCCATTTGAAAAGTTCCCCGACTTATCCTGTAGATGGCGCATCGACCTCATGACAATCTTCATCCACTAACTACCTCACAGCACAGCAGACGGACGTATCTGAAGCAGGCAGCTCAGGGACGCACAGAGGAGAGCGGTCCACCTCGACCGTAAATAAACCAGTTTGTGAAGTACACAATAACTCAACAAGTTTCAGTTCAACCCGCTTTAAAATGTTCTCGCTGTGCTGGTCTCGGTCACGCCGAGTTTACGGTGAAGCACCATGTAATATGCAAGTTAAAGTTAGAGTTAGCCATCTGCTATCAGCCTTGCTACACAGTTAGCCGTGCCAGTAACGGCAGAATAAACAACAGTACACATTACATAATTGAGCTACTTCTCTTACTGAGGCAGCTGCATGTGTCCAGATGAGACCGGACCGGAAATGTGTAACGTGAGTTAAGACGCGGAGGCACCGATCAGCGGTAGCGGAGGGGTAGATGGTGGGGGTAGTAGTAGAAAACGCTTTTCTGGTCAGAGTTTGATCAGTCTGTCTTCCTGTCGGTGTGAAGAGCAGTAGCCTACAGTATATCTATATTATATAGTATACTGTAGATATCTACATATTTTTTATAACTTCATAAAAATTTTTTTAAAATCGGACGATCAATCGGGAATCAGATTTTTTTCCCCCCTAAAAATCGGTATCGGCATCAGCCCCAAAAAATCCATATCGGTCAGGCCCTACATACAAGTAGACAATCTACTACCAATCCAAAGTACTCTGATGTCTCAGTCAGTGTCAGAAACAGGTTGATCTTTGGGTCACCAAGGACGGGGTACGTCTGTGCTAAAATTACCAGTTGGAGAAGTTGTTATTGTTTTAATTCAGCTTTGATCCTTTAATGTAGAACTGAAATTAATCTTTGCTAAGGGTGTAGTTTATGTTTAACAAATATGAAATGAACAGTTTGGGTTGAGAGTTGTTATTTTAAGGTTGTTTGTTGGTATTCGGCAGTAGTAAGTGTATTCACCACAGGGAGAAAGCAGCAGGAGAACCAGGACTGTGGCTGATATTGATACTGAAAAAAATAAATGAATATTGCATTTTTTTTCTTTTATATGTGGAACAAAAGGAATTTTTAGTACCAGATAGACGTTGTCCAATTTCAACTTTAAATCAAATCCCCTCCCTACTTCTATCACAGTGTCCTGCTGTCTAACAGTCGTGGCTGCATTAAAGTGATTTCATTTTGTAAATTGATCCTGAACAATGAGGAAGTGGTGGCAGCCTTAGATGTTTCATGCCATATATGAATGACATTGCACATCCTGCAGTAGAACAACTGGACGTGCGCTTGTTGCAGTTGTGATGACTAAACAATATACTGCTCAGCCCTTACCAGACTGGAAGCTACGCTACACCATCCACTACCGCAGATGAGGTCAGCTCAACCACATCATTTGGCTAAATCTAAGAGTCAAATCAAAGCACTGTTATCAGTGACCACTGTTCTGTGTCCGCCATGTTAACTTGATCCTAAGGTGCTCAAAGTTATGTCTAATAACATATATATGTCATTGGCTCATCCATTATAGACCACAATAGCCAGTCAGTGCACTGCTAGCTGAAGAACACATACTGTATGTGTTGCACCCAAGAATAATGCAAAGAATAATGCAAATATAGTGTAGACTACTGCTGATCCTGTTACAACAAAGCCAGTGGTCCTCTCAACAAAAGGATCAAGCTAACCTGCATCCACTATGGCTCAGATTCTTACTATCGGCAAATACCACTTGACAGGCTGCTTATATGCTGCATGATATTTGATGGCTGCTTGAGTTCACGCCTTGTTTCTCCCTTCAGTTTTACCCTTAGTGAAACCATGAAGTGTCCATCATGAAAATACTTTCGCTTTATAAGAGCAATTAAGATCTTGACAAGATAGACTGAGGAGGCGTGTGAATGGCTGTAAATTATAATAGGCACATATAGATAAAGTCTATCAATCACTCCTCACTTGCAGTGGTAAGCTTTTAGAAGATTAACTCATGTTCATTAAATACAGGTCAGATCAGACAGTAGGATGTTATTTTTAGACTGCAGGAGATGAAAAACTTTTCGATAATGAGCATGAAGCACAGTAAAAAAATAATCAAGTGACACCTAAGCGCTGATTTGGTCATACTTAAGTGCATTTTTAGACGATTCCCTTGATTTTAATTTTGTTTTTGCTGAAAAAGACAACAAAGTTTAAACATTTTGAATGATCTGAACTCTTCACTGTAACAAATCATTTTTTTTCACACTGCGGTTATTAGACAATGTGAAAATCACAGCCTTATCAACTGTATATGATAAAAATTGATATTGATTATTGTTTCAAAAGGATTTTAGTTAAACTTTGACATGATCCTTCAGTACAATGAGACCTTACTGAAGACACTAACGCTCTGTGTGCTCATTGCAGCATCAGCAACTCTGCTTGACCTGTCCTCCTACTTTCATTCTCTGAGCTTTCCAACAAACCAACCAACCACCCACCCAACCAATTAACACACAAATAAAGAAATGTCACACCTCTAGCTGAGTGGAATAGCTGGTGCAAGTGAGAAATATGCAGCATTAGTGTTTCAGCTGGGAAAAAAAAAGAGAAGAGACCTGAACACACAGACATTATATGTTGACCTACTTTCTGCAGGACTGTAACTGTAGAGCTGTCATGTCATCATGCAACATGCAATAGAGGCCTCCCACGTGTGCGACAGCTGTGTGTTGCTCTATCTTTCAACTTTAGAGCTCTAGGCACCCCATGCTGTTTGACACATGTACTGCTACAGGTCGTCCAATGAGATATAAACTCTTGGATCGGAGGAACAAGTTTCCAGAGAGTTGTCATGGCCTATTTTTAAGCGAGTAAAACAAAGCAGTGAGTAGAAGTTTCCTTTCTGACGGGTAGTAGAAGGAAGTGGGGGCCCCACTGGCCTGGTGGTTTTAGTGCAAGACCTGCATGTGGAGGCAGTTGGCCTTGCAAGTGGTGACTAGTTCGACTCCCTAGTCACGACCTTGTGCTTCTCTCATTTTCCAATCCTCATGTTCCTGGTCACTCTTCAGCATCAAAACAAATAGTGTTGTATTATCATGTTGGACTTCAGGTTTCCTCCACAGTTTTTTAATGGCTGATATATGTTATTATCACGATACTTGGGCCATGATACGTTATTATCGTGATACTCGGGCCGCGATACAATATTATCATGATACTTGGGCCACCATACGATAGCAGGTTTTCTGCCATACACAAGCTTGATAAATGAGGGCGAGTAAGTCAACAAGTTTCAGTTCAACCCACTTCATGATGTTCCCCGCTGTGCTGGTCTCGGTCACGTTGAGTTTACGGTAAAGCACCATGTAATACGCAAGCTCAAGTTAGAGTTAGCCATCTGCTATTAGCCTTGCTACATGGTTAGCCGTGCCAGTAACGGTAGAATAGTAGTCTACAGTAGCCCCTTTTTTCCCCCCTAATAACCGGTATCGGCATCAACCCCCAAAAATCCATATTGGTTGGGCTCTATGCGATAGTATTGCGATTTTTAACATTTTGCAAAAAAGTGAGTATTGGGATACAATATATTTCGATTTATTCAATTTTTTCAACTTTTTAGCTTATTTAGATGACGTCATCTCTGCCAACCTCACTGGACAAACAGTTGATTTCATTCTTCTATTATCATACATTTGACTAACAATCTGGAAAAAAATGATACTTGGTAAATGAGATGATGCGATATATCATCACACAAAATATTGCAATACTACGCTGTATTGATTTTTTGTTCCACCCCTACAGGCCAACCACTGCCTTAGGGAGGAGATCTAGATACATTGCAGTGGACTGTATTGTCAGTCATCTATAACTCCCAATTAAAAATATTTAAAAGTTCAAATAAATGAAAGATAAATATTACTAGTAGTAAACCCTGGATCTCAACACAACTCTGTATATTATCCTTTCAAGCATCACGTCCTTCCCGTCGTTTGCACACTGACCTTTTTTCTGGCGACGAGACGCTGAAGTTTGTACTCTGTTCTCAAATCTGTTGATTTTACTCTTTATCCTCTGCTTTATTTGCTGACTTGGCTGATGTACCATTTATGATTACGAGCTTTGCCAAAGATGCGCCCTGATGAAAGTCTCTGCCCCATAAGTTGAAGTCTGCTGACGTAGTCATGGTCTCTGATAGTAAATAGTATCAGAAACATCCAATATATTATCATGTGAACTGTAAATATATCTAAAAAGTTTTAAGAGAAGAGGAGCACTAAAAACATAAAGTCGATGCAAAGATAAAGTCTCCTTTTTTTTTACTGCCGACCTTTGGACTTTCAGTTTAAAAAACGCACACGCTGCACTGTCAGACTGACCCATTAAACCACTGGGGTAGTGAGTCAGTCTGAATGGTACCAGCTTGAGAGGACTCCAGCTATCCTTTTGTTTAGCCATGAGCATATTATACTGACACACACTTTCTTGACAGTTTTTTTTCCTGGTCAGGCATTTACTGAGGGGAAACATTAGAACTTGTTTGGCTGTTTTTATTAGTTCTGCACCAGGGTAACTGCTTTTAATGAACTAAATCAACACAGCCAGAAAGAGGAACCTCGTTTTTTTTAACGGTAACTCTGCAAAATACAGTGACTAGTCTGTTTTTTGACCCAGAGTAAGAAACTCTCCTTTTATAATCGCAGGAATTCAAACACACAGTGCAGAAGTTATCGGGTTACCCAAGTGTAATATCCAAGATCCCTTCAGTGTTTGTCATTCATGAGGTTTTCACTGTAGCCAAGTTCAATACAGGAATCTCACGAAACGAACAAAACCGATTATTGCAATGGAGAAAACATTCAACATGGTCTGGGTGTCAAGAAGGGAATAAACAAGCTAAGAATATTAGCTTGTTTGGACTCATGAGCCGTTTGTCTTCTGCAAGATTTTGACTATGACTCAAATCCCTTTGAATTGCACTGCTTATTATCCAACACAAGCAAGAAGGCAACCAGAAGAGACCCAGAGCCAGCCATAAAGCCAGTGAAACATTGAGTAAAGTCAATGAGCTTTGGTGGTGTCTCTCCTAACTTACTGATATCTATTGTAGGGCTGGGCGATAAACCGAAAATTCACAGATACAGAAATTTACAACAATAACCATTTCATTTTGCCAATGTCAATGCATTCGGTGTCAAATAAATAAATTTAAAGTTGGTTTTGGATGTGTGAAGGTAGGCTATGGATTTCATGTCCCTTTAAGATGCTGTCCTAAGTCAGAGACATGACCCCACCCCATCCAGTGTGTTACAAAGAGGGAAAGACAGGTGAGGAGATAGAGGACGGTTCAAAACTTCTGGAGCGGCGGCTGAAGTAGACAAAGTTAATGTGGGAGGGGGTGAACAGCTTGTGGAGTAGTTATTGTCCATTTATCGTTTTCAAGGTGATCTGCTCAATAAATTGTGATATTCGAGGCCATATCGCCCAGCCCTCATCTATTGTCTGAATTTGTTCGCTTACATGGTAATGTTATATAATCATAAAGTGACCAAGTGCTTCAGAGTGATGATGACACAGGTGATGGAATAGTTTTAATAGCTGGCATTTAAGCTGGAAAATATAAACAGTGATTAACTTTTGCAGCGTAATGAAGAGATTAATCTGAAGAGACTCAAAATGTTTTAATTGTTGTTGAAAGATCAAGACGGTTTTATTGCCTAGCTCTATGCTAAAGTGTTCTTCTATCATCTGATGGTTCTTCCTCAAACCAGGTTAAAAAAACACTTAATTAACTAATTAGTATATTTATTTATACAATGATGGAGCTGTATTTCTAGAGCTGCTGTATGACCCAGGCTTTCACACGGTATAACACACAACAGGCAGCATACTGAGAGCAGTTTTCACCCAGCAGTCTTGGTGCTGCCACAGCATTCAGCGAGACAACAACATTCCTCTGACACATTAAATTACTCAAGTGTTGTCACAATGAGTGTTTATACAGGAGAGACAGCAGACACGCTGAGCCGCTGGCCAGCTTGTAAAGCCGTCTGCTCCAGGAAGTGGATGCCATAAAGCAATCTGTTTGGAGGTTATTGATGCTGTAATCCGGTAAAGTCAGAAGACTTCTAAGCAGTCCGGTCAAATGAGATGACTAATTGATTTTAGTTTTATGTGGAGATCGCTGTCTGAAATGACTCACGTGCAACTGAGAAAAACAGAGTAATATCAGTGTGAAATTGTTTGTTTCCATAGTGATGGCAGAGGCCCACCAGGCGGTGGCATTCCAGTTCACCATAACCCCTGAGGGGATTGACCTGCAGCTGTCCTACCAGGCCCTGAACCAAATCTACCTGTCTGGGGTGCGATCATGGAAGAAACGAGTCAGCCGCATGAGGGTGGGTATGGTTAGAAACACCTGTGTGCTAATGTGTTTGTGTGCCTGTGTGTGTGTGCCCTTTCTTTTAGTTTAGTCAGAAGTGTGTAACTGGTGTGCAAAGGGAGCTGAAGCATTATTACAGGGTTTGAATTCCCACCAGTGCAGATAATGAGTGATGAGCTGCCTCTAACATGCACTGACATGCATCCCTGCCCCTGTGGAGATAACAAACTCAGCTGTTTGTTTGACAAACCTCTTGACAACCCCGCCAAAAAAAGAAAAAAAGAAATGTTTTCTACTTTATACAAGGAACAAAATTTGCCCGAATAAAAGTGACCATGAAGACCTCTTTGTCACAATAGCAAAAAAAAAAAAAAACTTAAAAAAAGACTTTACACAACATCAGATGTCAGGGTTTGCAGTATTGAAAGTCTGAGCTTAATTAAGCTTTCCAAATCAGAGCATCCCACTGAGCAACAAAAGATAATTATTTCATTCACAGATTTTTTACAATAATAATACTAATAATAATGATAATGATGATAACTTCATTGTTTTAGCACCTTTAAAAACAGATGTTTACAAAGTGCTTTAACAGCAGAGGCAAACAGGCAGAAACAGACAATGGAAAATTGACAGTTAAAAAATGGACAGTTAAAGATTGGCAGTCGGTGGTTGAGGGCATCACAACAGGAAGGTGAAAAGAAAGAAGATGGATAGAGGACAGATAAAAGAGGAAGAGAAAAAAATACATAGATAATAAAATAAGATAAGGTAAAATAAGAGTAATAATGAAAAGGAAGGGGGGATATTAAAACATGAGAAAATGCTGAAAAGAAGCTCCCATCAAATAATATTTTACCCTTTTAAAGGCCGCACATGGTGAATCATAAACACAGTTATAAACAAGCAGACAGTAGAGGGCAGTGTTGTCTAAAGTTAAATCATTTTTTTGCTCTTGTCAGTCTGATGCATGTTTTCTTTTTCTTTGTGTTTTTTCAGTGATTAAAATGCTTATTGTTTCTTCTCCTGTGGTAACAGAACAGGGTGATCAAAGGAGTTTACCCGGCCAGCCCCTCCTCCTGGCTCTTCGTTGTCATAGCCATCCTGGCCACCATGTACATGCGCTCTGATCCCAGCATGGGGCTCATCACCAAGATACAGCAACACCTGCCGCTCAGGTACACAGGTTCAATGAAAGATGTGTTTTATTTATTTTAATTTGATTTATTGAGTATTTGCAGATGAAAGTGGCCGCTCCTCTTGAAAATATTCACTCATACTAGACAGGCAGGAGTCAGGGGAAGCAATGATTTATGTTTTTGTCCAAAACAAATACAACCGTCAAACATAGAAAGGTGGTGAGTCAGTGTGGAGCTGAGAAGGTGTGGTTTGATGTGCTTGAACTCTCACCTGCTTCCCTACAAGTCTTTTCACCGACTATGGTTTGACAAAGTCACAACTCTGACTCACTGCCGACGTCCTACACTTAACCACATGTACACACGTGCCACTCTCCACCTTTTGATTATGATTGGTTTGTTTATTTCTGCCAGCTGGGAGAAATGGTTTCATACTCAACAATAATAATTATAATAAAAACTTTATTTTTATAGCACTTTTAAAAACAGAAGTTTGCAAAGTGCTTTGAGAAATAGTCATACAGCACAGAACGTCAGCACATGGAAATAAAAACAAATAAAAACAAAAGCTCAGTTAAAACACGGCCTTCGAGTTAAAGACCATTTTCAACCCAGACAATACAAGAACCCTACAACATAAAGTGAGACCATGAGGACAAACATAAAAACATGAAATAGGTCAGAAAAAAAAATGTAATAAGAAGGGGTTTGAAAACAGATAGTGTATATATAAAACGACGATATTAATAATGATAATAAATAATGACAAAATAATAATGATAATAAGATCAATGATGAAATAGAATAACAAAAATGAGCAAGAAAAACAATAAAATCAACAAAAGGCCTAATAAGTTAAATAAAAAAAGATTATAAGTATAACAAAAAGACAGTAAGCCGAAATAACATAGAGATAAAAGAGATAAAAGAAAAAAGAGAAATTTGTGGACCTAAATCTGACAACTAGACATTTAATTGATTTTCCACTTTTTAGATTTATATCAAGGTGTTAAAAAAACACGAGTGTTCCAGTTCAAAACTGCTTGTTCCTCTTGTATTAAAACCACTGCCTAAAACAAACACTGACAGTTGAATCCTAATAAAATGATCATTTGTTCTCAGCTTGTTTTCTCACTTTTGAGTCAGTTTAAAGCAGGCTGACGCTCCAAGTTGCTGTTGTTGAACATACTTAGGGTTCAAGTGTTATCTTTTATATTTATTGCTACGTTGCTTCGACTTGACTTGACACAAGTATTAGCTCTAAAGAACTTCTGCTGGTTTGTTATTCATGTCATTTTACTGCTGGACTTTCTGAAATCTGACTTTGTGTAATCACAATACACTGAAACCTCATTAATATTGAATTTGACATTTGTCTCCATCTATTCTATTTCTATTTGTATTATGCTGAGTTTCTTTTCCTTTGACTTGAGGTAACTCTGTAAAAGTATCATGTTTTTTTTTCCTCATCTGGCCAGCAGAGGTTGCCGTTGTACTGCTAAACTGTAAGCTTGTAAGGTGCAGAAGAAGAAATGGATATAGTTCCTAGAAATCCAGTAGATCACATCTGTGGTGTTGTTGCTTTCGATTTGACAGGAATTCAAAAGGAATTCATGACAAATAGTATGTGACATAATTCTGTTATGAAGCAGACTTCCTGTTGTTTTGGATATCCAGTAATGGCCTCGTTTCTCCCCCCCTGTGTAGTCTCCACCTGTCGCTCAGCACTCAGGGTCAGACTATGCTGTCGGCCCTCGTCTTCAGCACTCTGCTGTGGCTCTCCCTCATCCTCGCACTCAGGTTCTGTCTCAAACTCTTGCTCTCTTATCACCGGTGGATGTTCGAACAGCATGGCCGTGTTTCCAATGTCACCAAAGTCTGGGTGGTAAGCAAAGTCATGAACACAGAGTTTAATTTTCTTTGCTTCAGTGAAAGTCACAGTTGTTTCAACAACATGCAAGAGACTCTTAAAAGGAAAGGGACCATTACCCCCACATTAAAGATAATTTTATAATAACCTGAGGAAGTTTTAATTTTTTTCAACACCGAAGTGTTAACTGTTTGATTATAATGTCTCTAAAAATTACAGTTATCTCTGTCCTTTGTCTCTCAGACTCTGGTGAAGTTATTTTCAAGCAGGAAGCCGTTGTTGTACAGCTATCAGACCTCTCTGCCTCACCTGCCCGTTCCTGCCATCAAAGACACTCTGAGCAGGGTGAGTGGACACACGTGAATGTGACAGATATGAATAAACTTATACTGCAGCCTGTCTGCATTCACACACTTACTGTATCTTCACTCTTATCATCATTTACACAGTACCTGCAGTCAGTCCGTCCACTGCTGGCTGACCCTGAGTACCAACGAATGACTGAACTGGCAAATCACTTTGAGTCGAACCTGGGAAACCGCCTGCAGCGCTACTTGAAGCTCAAAGCTCTATGGGCCACTAACTATGTAAGTGTCTGTAGTCACCCTCTGAAATGAGGAAGAGTTAAAGGAAGAGGAAGAGTCATAGGAAGAGTTAAAGGAAGAGGAAGAGTCATAGAAGGAGTTAATCAGCAAAATGTGATTCAGCTTTTTAAAAAAAAAAGTAGAAAAAAACTGATTTTGATGGTTTACAAACGTTTGAACTCTGCATGTTATTGAAGAAAAGGGAAAAGAACCAAAGAACTAAAACTTTTATCATTGAATTTAAAAGGCGGGTACTCATTTTGAGTGCCAATAACACATTTCAACACAGCTCCCAAGTGTGATTTGTTTAGTTAAGTGCATATTCAATTGAAAAAGTCAAACTTCATTGTCTTGTGTTGTTTCTCAGGTGAGTGACTGGTGGGAGGAGTTCATCTACTTGAGAAGCAGAGGTCCCATAATGGTTAACAGCAACTACTATGGCATGGTAACTGGCTGTCTGCTCAGAGACAGATTTAACTGAACTACTATAAATAAATCCATCAGCAGTGATGTAACATCCCTCTGACCTATATGTTATGTGATATGCTTTCGTTTATCTGTGTAATTCCTAATACTCTGTGTGGACGCTCTCTAGGACTTTCTGTATGTGACCCCAACTCCAGTGCAAGCAGCGAGAGCAGGAAATACCATCACAGCTCTGCTGCTTTACCGCCGCAAAGTCAACAGAGAGGAACTCAAACCGGTAAGGCAACATCTCTACATCCTGTACAAGGAGGGAATCCTGGGTAGGATTACTTTGATCCCCTGTGTGTGTTACGGGAAGGATTTCAGTATTTCATAGAACTCTGCAATGACACTGTAAAGACAAAAATATGGATCGAATGTATGATAATTAAAATTTTTGTTTTTGATTAAAATGTGATTCAAGGATAAGAGTCAGGAGTGCTTGGGGCTAGATATGGAGATTTTATTATTGCTGCATTGAAAAGCATAGACTGTGTAGAAAGATGAACAGCACATCAGTTACCCCCCTGAAAAATCTGTGAAGCCAAAACACTTGGTGCTCATGAAATAGGTCAAACCAGAAAATCAAACAGGATCAATCTTGATCAAACTTCAAATTTCTTACTTACTGAACTCAATCATGTCATTTTGCAATATCTCAACCGACAACATAAGTGAGAAGAAGAACGAGGGACAGTCATATCAGAAGTTTCATGGGACAGAGTTTCGAGAGGAAATATACCCTGATTAAGAGGGAGTGTGTGATTTTTGTCGAGCTACCATAGCAGTTCACCACTTTGTGAACAACCGCGTGAGCAAATAGTCCGACAGTTTAAGAACAATGTTTCTGTACAATAGCAGGAATTTAGAGATTTCGTCATCTACAGTCTGTAATATCATCAAAAGATTCAGAGAAATCTCTGCATGTGAGCAGCAAGGCCCAAAACCAACATTAAATGACTGTGACCTTTGACCTTTGACCTATCAGCTGGCGTTGTATTAAAAAAACCACATCATCTCAGGGTTCCTACGTAAGTATGGAAAAGTATGGAAATAGATTTGATCAATTTCCAGGTCTTAAAAAGTATGGAAAATGAAAAATAAGTATAGAAAAATATTTATGTTTCCAGACTATTACCACAGTTCTAAAATACTGTTACTAAAAATACTGTCATTTCCAAAATACTTCTAAAAAGTAGGGTATGGAAATGTGTGGAAATTTCAACTGTGTAGGAACCCTGTCATTCTGTAAAGGATGTTACCATGTGGGCTCAGGAACTCTTCAGAAAACCAGTTAACACTGTCCGTCTCTACATCTACAAGTACGAGTTCAAACTTCACCAGACAAATCCAAAGCCAGATCTCAACAACAGCCAGAAACACTGCCAGCCTCTCTTGGTCTGAGTTTATTAGAGATGACTCATGCAAAGTGGTGAAGTGTGCTGTGGTCTGATGAGTCCACATTTCATGTAGTTTTTGGAAACCAACTATAAGTAGTTCACTCATAAATATCTGAGAGCGAAGGCCTTGCGTCTAGCCTCAGACGAGTGTGGTTTCTTTTTGGTCGATGTATGTGGATGACTTTAAGAAGTTTGTAGTTAACACATTAGAATGTTCAAAGGAAAACCAACTGGTCTTCACAGAAGCAGAACTGTCTAGACAAAAAAAAAACAGATTAATCTCTTCTACTGAGAACTGAGTCTACCTGAGGGAACTAGAAAAGCACTCAGAGAGCGCAGACCTCCGCCAAGCAGCTCATGTCCCCCCTTATATTGTGATTCACACCAAAACTTTTACTGTTACGTGTCTTTTATTAACATTTATTTGTGTTTAAACTGGTATGTTCACTGTTCATAATGTTCCTAAAACAAGAAATGCCCTGACCCGGATTTGAACCCAGGACCTTCTGGTTGTGAGGCGACAGTGCTAATCACTACACCACTGTGCCACCTATCTACACCACTGTGCCGCCCATTGGTTATCTTTCAGCATTGAAAATTCCAACGACACCCTTATTTTTGTGTGTTCTGGATCACAGTATCCAGAATTTTGTCCGGATCACCACCAAGATTTAATGGGATCCTCCTGGGGCTGAGACGCGCCTCTGGTGAAAATTTCAGGTCAATCCGTCCGTTACTTTCGCCGTAAAGTTGCTAACAGACAAACAAACCAACGCTATCTTTTATAAACAAGAAAGTGGACAGGATGAAACGGCAAATTCAAAAAAGGGCAACCTGTGGGTGCTGATAGCCGAGTGGTTTAAGCGCCCCCAGACTCAGGGCTAAAGGCTTCACCGCAGCTGTCACTGATTGGAAACCTCTTCTCAACCGTTTGCTGCATGTCTTCCCCCTCTCTTTCCACCACACATTTCCTGTCTCTCTTTAGTTGTTCGATCCAATAAAGGCGAAAATACCCTAAAATGTAACTTTGTTTTAATGAAGACCAACCACTGTTACCCAGCCTTCAGGGTAGAATAGCAGTAAGACCTGTTTATTACAACAAATATATTTACACGCAACCTAAGTACATGGAAAACGGAAAGTGAATTCTGATAAAATAAAGTGTTACTAAAGCCAGAAAAATTCAACTCTCGAAGGCAGTTCAACTCTTTTTTTTTTTTCCCAGGGGTTACATGTTTTTCCCAGAACAATAAATACAGTCAACAAAACATTTAGTTGCAGGAAAGTTTTAACACACACTCCCCTGACTGTTGTGTTAACAGAAAGCACACTCTGACAAAATAAAAATCACAGCTAGTCTGGAGTCTACCCCAGACTGTCTCACATCCCAAGTTACTGACAGTACCAAACAGCTGGAAACAATTCCAAATATTTTCATCATTAGTGGTATGACGAGGTTGTCTGCAACAGTAAAGTGGGGGTAAACTTGCGCTGATTTAATCAATCTAATGCAGGATGTAATATTTATTTTTCTCAGCATCTCTCATATACCCACACATGAGGCATCTGCTACTCAAATCTTAAACCTTCATAAAATGTGAATTTGTCCTTTAAAAACAAGCTAATTTCATTCTTCAGAAAGTTGTATCACTGAGTGTTAATTAAAGTAAAAATACCAACTATAAATGGTCAGCTGTCAAAAGTCGTAACTGTAACTGATTTTCAGAATTGTCGGGAGGTGATAGCTGGGGTGAAAGCAGAAGTAAACGGGGTGAAAGGTCATTATTAACAGATGTCTTTGGGTGTGTCTGTGTGTTCCTGTCTATAAATGTGTGTCAGAGTCGTGTTCCAGGAACTGTTATCCCTCTGTGCGCTGCTCAGTGTGAAAGGATGTTCAACACAACACGCATGCCTGGAGTTGAGACTGGTAACTACAAACACACAAACACAAGTTTCCAATAGTCAGCAGTTTAATTAAGTGCTGAGACTGAAAGTTTGTGAGCAGATGTATGAACACTGTTACTTTGATAAAGTGTTAAAATTAAAGCAAAAAAACACACGCATCACACAAAATGCTCACCTTCATCCTTATGGAGTAAGTCATTGATGAATCAGGGTTTCTGTGTGGGTGTCTTCACAAGTCTTAAAATGTCTAAAATCCTATAATTTGAATTTGATAACTTTATTTATAGCACTAAAAACAGGTTTACAAAGTGCTTTGACAAATGGTCATAAAGCACAGAACAGCGGCAGTAAAAACAAAAAGCTCAGTTAAAACAAGGCCTCAGAATTGAAGGATATTTTCATATGGCATTAGGAACCCAGACAATATAAGAACCCTGCAACATAAAATGACACCATGATGACCAAAATAAAAACATAGGATATAGAAGTAAAAAGTATCACAAAAGATAAAAAGACAGTATAGCCAAAATAAGACAGAGGTAAATGAGAAAAGAGCTAAAAGATAAAAGATGGCATTACATAAGAGCAAGTCTGTAAAAGTGAGTTTTTAAGATTGACTTAAAAGAAGCGACTACAGTGATATGATGCCGTCAACTATGACCGGTTAAAAGCCAAGAATTTAAGGCCTTAAGACATCTGAAACTCTCTTAGAATCTCATAAAATGTCTAAAATACGATGTTGAACAGTCTTTAAGATGTTTTGATGTCACTTACAAATAAATAACATGCCACAAAAATAAAGATAGAATTGAAGTGTTGTAAAATGTTTTGATTTCCCCTCGTCTTTTATGCTTTTTTCCATCATGGAGGTATTTTGGTCTGAAATTGTATTTACCACGGTCTTAAAAAAAGTCTTAAAGGTCTTAAATTTGACTTGTTGAAACCTGCAGAGAGCCTGTAAATGCCCCACTTACATCTGCATACGTACTGCAGTGCGGTACTGTAACACTGACAATGACAACAGCTTATGAGCCGGTGCAGTAATCCTCCTCTCCTCCACAGATGTGCTCCAGCACTGGCAGGACAGTGAGTTTGTGGCAGTGTACCACAAGGGACGCTTTTTCCGTCTGTGGGTTTACCGCGCAGGCAGACTGCTGTCACCGAGGGAGATCGAGTATCAGATTCAGAGGATCCTGGATGACCCTTCACCCCCCCAGCCTGGTGAGGAGAAACTGGGAGCGCTCACTGCTGGTGACAGGTAAGACCAACAGAGTGAGGGGAAGTCTCTGTCTTCATGTTCCTGCACTGAACATACAAAAGGAAATAGAGAGCAACATGTGTGTAAGCTAAAGTCCAGGCTCAGTGCTTTAACCATAGATATGGTTATCGTTATTAAAACAGTCTGTAAATCAGTCACCAAATTCAACCAAATCTAGATTTAGAAATATGAAAACAGTGTCTCAGTCCGACAAATTAAAAAAAAACGTTTCTATCTTATGAAATATCTGAAAGAATCTCGTATTTCCAGATTAACAGATGTTGCGTGTTGCCATTTGTGTGACACACTATAGCTGCTCCAGTCTGAGCGGCACCAGAGCACACCTGCCTCACAAGGCCGATGCCGTCACACTGTGTTTAATCTGACTACACGAGGCTGAAAATCACATTTGTGTTCATGGATCAGATCTATTCCCCAAAATCAGATTTTACAAAAAGCATTTTTCAACCCTGGAAGAGTAATTAATCAGTAAATCAAATCGAATGCAGGGGATAATAAAAACAATTAGAATAATCAAGCCTGTGTCGATCATTGAAGCTGATTACAACATCTCTCAGAGTACAGCCTGTGGTGGTGTGTTGTTGCTTTGAAGATCTGTATGTCTTTGTAATGATCTGGTCTGTGGTGCAGATGTCAAAGTTTTAAAAGTTTTTCAAGTTAAAGGCATAAGCAGAGGCATACCAGGAAAACTGCTAACTTGGGAACTTCCCCTTGTGGGTCCAGTAAAGGAGTGCCTTATCTTATCTTAGCGAACAAAAGATGACACATTAAGTTAGCAACTTCTTGTTGACGTATAGAACGGAGATCAGCCTGAAAACATCCTGAAAGATCAAGAAAACGAAAGACTGCTGTGATACTTTTCCTCAACAGCAAATGTGCTTTGAAAGAGAAGTGTGCCTTTGATTGATAAAAAGAAAACAATTCAATATTTGATTTCATTTATTAATGTCATAGTGTTTTTAAAAAAGTATATTCACACAAACTCAAAGGACGAATCCTTTCAGAGCTTTTTCAGCTGTTCAGTCAAACTTGAGATGATCATTTAAAACTTTGACTTCTTACTTCAGTGTGAATCAGAGAATGAATAAGAATAAATTCATTCTACTGTAGTCTTATTTGTTATTTCTCAAAAGGTTATCTACTATTTATGGAAGAATTGTAAAGTCTGATGGCTGTGGGTACAAAAGATCTTCTGGATCTGAAGGAAAGGTCAAAGGATGTCATGTGATTGACATCTATGGTTTTACAAAAGCTGCGTTTCTGATAAGTGAGTTGAAATGATGGTTTTTGGTCAGGTTCACAATAATTGGATAAGAGATTTTTTTTTTTTTTTTACCCTTTTAATGAGGACATCTGCACATTAAAGTAAGTAATAATGCAAAACAAACCAACATTTCTTTACCGCCATGTGACAGAAATCCTCTTCTCCTCTGCAAAGGCCGTTGTTTACATGAAACAACACAATGAAAACTATGAAAAACGTACAGGTGTAAGATCTAGTGTATTGTTTTCTTCACATATTGCCTATTTGTCATCAGGTCTGTTTGAGTATATATGAGGTTAACATGGTCCGACGTTTGATGATTGTGTGTGTGTGTGTGTGTGTGTGTGTGTGTGTGTGTGTGTGTGTGTGTGTGTGTGTGTGTGTGTGTGTGTGTGTGTGTGTGTGTGTGTGTGTGTGTGTGTGTGTGTGTTACTGTCTGCCCACAGGGTTCCTTGGGCTCACATAAGGAAACAGTACTTCAGCTCCGGGATCAACAAGCGATCGCTGGACGCCATTGAGCGAGCAGCCTTCTTTGTAACTTTGGATGATGAGGACCAGGGCATGAGGGGAGAGGACCCGGCAGGCAATTTGGACCGCTACGCCAAGTCCCTGCTCCACGGGAAATGTTACGATAGGTGAGTTGTCGCCCTTTTCTCACACTAAATTCACCTGTTTTTGAATCCCAAGTCTCACTCTGTCATAAAAGTCTGGGAGCGTCTTCTCTTAAAAGGAACGACTTCAAGGGTTTATCAATCCACATGATGAAAAGTATCATTTTTCTGAACTTTCAGAACTCAAGAGCAAAAGGTTAGCTAACAAACAAGTTATCTAAGTTACAAAATCAAACGAACTTAGTTTTAAATAAGACAAACCTGGATCCAGGCAATAATACACAACTTGAAAATGTCTGACTGTGTTACGTGCAGTTTTGCAGCTCAAAGCCCAGTTTCTGAGAGAGTCCCGTGTTTTTCTAATTGACTCATACGTTTCAGGAGTAACTGTGTCGGTTTCATCAAAATGTCATCAGCATATAAGGCGAGTTTATGTCCTCATGACTGCATGTTTGTTCCTTTTAATAGGAACAAGTGATGAGGCACAACATCCTTATTTCTCATTCTGAAATAGATGGATTGATAAACCTCCATTTATTTTTATCCTTGTTGATAGTTTATCAATGTTGGATTTAAGAAAGCCAAACTTTTCTAGTACTTAATATAAAAAGGCCCTTATAATGGCTGTTTCTAGTTTTGGCTCTCTGACACGATTAGTAATGTGAAGTGTTCTCTGAAGATTAGCTTGTGTTTATCGTTGTTTGATGAGCCTTTCTGGTCTAAATGGATGCGATCCAGTTCAAATATTTTCATTTCTTTCTAAGAATATCAATGTGAGCGTTTACGACTTGATTCCCACATTCCAGTCTGTCTTTCTCATCTTTTTGGGATCACTAAGAGGGAAAAATCAGCAGAGGTAAAAATGACTCAATCTGGAGGTCATCATCACTGTCTTGTTGGGAATACAGTGATTTATTGTAATCTTCAAAAATCTCTTTTGGAGCTCTTTCGCTATGCTGCCATCTTGTCCATGTCCCACCTGGAAGTCCCCTGTCCTGAGTGATTCACCTCACCCTCTGTTGTAAAGAGACAGAGGATCATAAAAATGAAGGAAAACCCCTCTGTTATGAGATACAAAGAAGTGTGCTGATATTAGCATAACTGTAGACTGTCTCACCTGTCTCACCCTAGTTTGTCGTTTCTTTCATTTTCCTTCTCCCCTCTTTCAGGTGGTTTGATAAATCCTTCTCCATTGTGATCTACAAGAACGGAAAGAGTGGGCTGAATGCAGAGCACTCCTGGGCCGATGCACCGACAGTGGCTCACCTCTGGGAGGTTTGTGTTTGTGTGACCATCACAGTCTGTGTATCACCCACAGGACCTATTTCACAGAACGGGGTCGATTAAAGGAACAGGATATGAAAGGAAATGATGACTGTGCTTTAAACCTCACAGCTGTTGCTGCTTCTGCTGCGGTGGCTGTTATGTAAAAGTGTAAAAATGAACCAGCTGTGTGTGTCAGTGCTGCCAAAATTAGCTGTGCTGGAGAGTGCAAAAAAGGACATGCACTCTTTTTTGTTTTAAATTTTTTTATATAGTTGGACAAATTCCAGACGGCAGAGGAAACTAACTGCACTGAATGTTAAACTCTGTAATGTAGACAGTGATGGAAAGAGCAAAGGTGGTCGTTTTATTGAACAGTGGAAAACAATGAACGTGTGATGACTAAATGAGATAAGTACAGAGGCGAAAAAATGTCCACTGCTGTTAGTGTGGGGGCCTCAGGTCTGATGGAGAGATAACTGATAGTCACGAGTTTCCAGGATGTGTGTGGGCCAGCCGAATTACGAAACTTTAACATAAATATGAAATGAACCCACCCACTGTGGTGAGTCACCAGACAGTGATGAAATCCTGTTACTTGACCAGTTTCTAACCCTTTCAGGGGACCAAGTTCATCCAAGTCCAGGATCTTAAATCAACGAGAAAAAGGACTGTCGCAGCAAGAAAGAACAAAACAAAAATGAAAAGCTCAGTTGGCCGCTCTGTGATGCACAGTAGTCGATACTTGAACCTGGAGCTGACAAAGCTTATAAGACATTTTGTACCTAAAACCAACAATATTACACATTAAATTTAAGAAAAAAACACTTTCATTTATTTTCTAAAGCTCTTTCTGCAGCTTTTCTGGTTTTAATTTTTAACTGTCAATATTCGTCTACAGGCCAACAACCTCCCAAAAGAAAAATCTAAATGTCCTGTAGCAGCCTTTTGCTGCCTTTTTTTTCATGTCCAGATGTCACCTGTCTTGATGTTTTGTTTCATAGTGTCTTCTTACGTTATATTAGGGTGACCATATTCTGAAAACCGAAAAAGAGGACACCAAATTTCAAGGGTTTTAGGGGTCGGGTTGAGTGTTTTTTACGCACTTCTAACTCTTTAGAAGTTAGAACTTTAATTCCCAAAAAGACGATTAACCAGGCCTCTTGGAGATACTGAAAAATACTCACACAAAGTTGCGTTTATAAACAATATATTCATTTATCTGAGCATTTCTCCTCAACAAAATTATCAGTCACATATAGATATTTCTCCTTTTTCTTTCGCTCACCGGCAGACAGTTCAGGAGTGCATCTCATTCAGTGGCTTTGCTTAGAAATGGGCGAAGGAGCACAAAGCACTGATGCGCTGCGCAGTTTTATAATGACGACTCTCGCTCGCAGGCTCTCGAATAACACGCAAACATGTTGGCAGTGCATTGTGGGATTTGTAGTGCATCAGCGGCACGTACGGGCCAGCTCTAATAGTGATCCGATATTATCATGCGGGCTAAAGATAATTACATCCTGGGCTGGACCTGGCCCGACGTCTGGTAGAGAGAGCGTGAGTTGACTCTGGCAGCATGATCAAGGATACGGACTTCATTACACAGATAATGCAAAGACAGACGAGTTCCTTTAAACTGGCCATGACCTGCCAGGGGGTCTGAATAAACAAAAAACAAAGAACAGAGATGTTTGAAAATGAATGAGTAAAGCGTTGCAGTCATTTGTATCTGAAGTGTGTGTCTTCTCTTCTTCCAGTTCACCCTGGCCACAGATGCCTTCCAGCTGAAATACACTGAAGACGGACACTGCAAAGGCGAGATAGACAGATCACTACCCCTTCCTCAGAGGCTCTCCTGGGACATCCCCTCAGAGGTACACACACTGAGCATGTAATGAGTGTGTTCACCAAAAACTCCAGACCTCAGGCATGAGCTATTTTAAGAGTTATCAGCTCCAGGCACTCAGGTCCAGATACTGTGTTTGAGAGTGAGATCATATCTGACATTCGTGTGACGCATGAAAACATTGTTCCTTTCTTCTGGCCGATACCTGTTGGAGCAGGCTTAAAGTCACAAGACCATCCACTGCAGGCCAACATGGGACTGTGGTCCACTGGTAGGGGGTCAGATCCCAGGTCCCACTTTCCTTTTGACATGTGTGAAAAATGCTGACCAAGTCCTATTGGATTCCTCTATTGACCCACGGATAGAGTTTACACCAGTTCACGGATCCACTGAGTAAAGTTTGGAGGAACCTCTGCTCTCCCAGTTGAATATAAAGAGACACAATAGCAACCATATTTCTACAAGGATGAGAGCATCCTCTCTCCTTCTACTACTCCAAAAACTGCAGTCAGAGGATTTATTGTTTTTCCATCTGATGCTGAGAGAGAACTAAAAAAAATTAAATTCCAAAAGTGGCCCAAGATAGACATGATGATCAAAACATGTGGCTGAGGGACAGAGGAAAATACTGACATCTGAGGCACACTGGGTCAGCGTTAGGGTAAATTTTTGTCAATTCATTCTACTTTAAACGGAAGAACCTCATATCAAACACAGAAAGACCGAGTATGTTGATATGAAATAATGTCCTTCATGTCTACCTCTCAAGCAGCTTTAGTATTTGTCCGGTATGAGTGGAATCTGGTTCTGCATCATGTTGTATATTTTAGCGACCAAACCCTTCCTAAAGGAAATAAAAACATTAGGTCTTTTTGGGAGCGATTGTTGCAGGGTGTAACGTGACTCGAGGCAAAGCTGCGCACGTTTCCAAAACAATGAGATGTTGGCAGATCACGATTCTGGCACAGAGCTAAAATTTACAGGAACGCACTTTGAATACACAGAGAAGACCGGACCACTTTTCTACCACACTGAGATTGCTGAGTGGTCTGAGATGGCCTGAATAGGTGGTTAAACGTAATTGAGGAAAAGCTTATATTTTTATATTTATGTTGTGTGTTTGTGTTTATATTCTCAAGACCAAAAAGCTTCCTGAACTGTTCCCTAAATTTTGAAACACTCAATTTGGATTGAGGTTTTAATTTTTGGTGGTTATAGAAGCAGAGCTGTCAGAAATGAAACCGGAAAAATGCAAAGACTGGCCTTTCATAAGTCATATCTACCCTAAGGGGTCCCTCTTATATGCAAACACATGCGTGGAAACAAAGGGGGTAAATTAAACCTATTGCACACATACTGCTTTACCGCACCCCTGCAGAAGTCACCACAGCCGAAAAGTCTTGACATTCCCCTAATGGTATCACTTCTGATATATTGCAGCCAAGACTCGTGAGAAACACAAGAGAGCAGCAGGTAGTCAGTCCTTGATAGTAAGTGGCAACTGTCCAAAGATACTCTGGGTTTTCAGCCAAAGAAACCCTCTCAGCCCTTTCAGTTATCTTTGAAGTGTTAGTCAGGATGAGAACAAGCTCATAGAGACTGCAAAGGGAGAGAACAAATGGGAGAAAACACTTTTCTTTACATTTACAACCCTCATACGTTTTCATACTGAAACATGCTTAATCATGACTTCACAGCACGGTGCAAAAACACGACACCTGTGACCCGTCACATAAATCGCTCACCGAACTAATGTATTGTGCCAGACTGAAAAGCCTTATCAGTTTCCTCCATGTCATCCTGTTTGGCATTGGCCAAATTTATTCTGCTCAGGGTTCACACGCAGCAGATGAACTTGGAGACTGTTTAATATTTCTTTATTAGTCGTGAGGATTTAGTAAGTGGCTGATGTTTGACGGCACTGCACGTAGAGGCGGTTTTGATACCGTCCCCCACGTTTGCAAGATGTCAAGGAGAATCTTTTCAATAATTTTAACATCAATATACAACTCTCTGACATCACATTTGGTCTTAGCTGATTACTCTGGTCCCACTTGGAGTAAACACATCAATCCCTCATTGATATTAGAGATTTGGAGTAATTCAACCGCATCCACACCAGTGGTACCAGGGAGGGTGATTTTACCTCCATCCAGTGGTCAAAATGAAGCCGTTCTCTGTGAGAGGAAATCATCGCATGGTTGGATTTAAACTGAAATATATCTCCTCTTTTATTTCGATCACTTTAAGACTTATGTAGTGTGCTGGGAAGGGATTGTGATTTAATACGATACAAGGGTTTATACAAGGGTTTGTTATGAGTCACCACAGTCAATTGATCTTTTTAACAACAGTGTAGAGGTCACTTTAAGTGCACACAGTGATGTTTCTCATCATGCCAAAAGTACACTTCCTGTCAAGTTTTCACAATAAAAAACCTGACAACTGTTTTTTATCATTTCAAGTTAAAAGAATTTACTTTTTTTTTTTGTTGTTGTAATTGATTTTTTATTGACATTCAGAATTAGACATTCACAATGTATACATCATGCAAGCATACTTCTTGCATCTGTGGTCTGCCCTAAATGCCGAAACAAAATTTTAGTTTATGTCCAAGTCCTGTGAGGTAAAACAAACAACCATAACAACAGCAATAACTAAATTAAATGGAAAAACTATGCATCAGTAGGGAGTGATCTTTCTCATACATCACGGCCTCTGGTTCGTGAAAATAAAATCTGTCCTATGACACGTGATGTTTTGACCCAGTTTTCCCATTATGGACTTGAATTCAGTGTTTTTGTGACGCTACTCAACTTGGGAAATTTTGGCCTTGGGCTGTGTCGGACCACTTGCAACTCACAAAAGGAGCTTCTGATTCAAGATTTTTCATCCTTGACTAATATTTCACAACAAGTTAGTGTTGTTCTTAGTCACTGTTTACAATACAAGCCCAAAGCCAGATCTAATCGACCTGTTTGAGCAACACTCCTAAATAACAGAAATTGAGACTTAGGATCGTAGTCCTACCACAGAATCTGGAGAATCAAGGACCCTGGTGGCTAACTCTAACTTTAGCTTGCATATTACATGGTGCTTCACCGTTAACTTGGCGTGACCGAGGCCAGCACAGCGGGGAACATCGTAAAGTGGGTTGAACTGAAACTTGTTGATTGAACATTTTCGAAGTGAAAACTGAATCTTATTCTCCACATTTTATTTCTGAAAATATCGGCAGAAATCGGCAAGTTTTGGCCGATTACCAATGAGTCTCAAACGGGCTAAATTTGGCCGGGCCCTTACCCACATAGATGTTTTATATCTATCGGAGGCTTCCATCCCTCTTCAACCGATTGGACTGTCGTTTCCTGTCATTGCAAGCTTAAATGTGTTTGTTTTGACATGACCAACTTCATGACTTTTCTAATCATGAAGATAAATTCCAAAATAACATCCAAATGTATCAAACAATACCAGACCACAGTGTCTGTCGTTTAACTTTGTATGCACTTCCCTGTGAGAATGTAAATGGGGTTTTCCCATTTACCTTACCTGCCCTGACTATCTCCGGATGACATCACGCTTTCAGTGAATAAGCTCGAACAGTAAATGTCCTCACAGGTTTCTGTGCAGCTCTGTGGGGTCGGTTTTGCGGGTACTTCTGAATAATTTTCATGAAGTGTCACGCAGGGTGTGTTAGTTTAGAGCACGACCCAAACAGCGTATCTAACTGAAGTAACAAATTACTCAACTATGATGATTACGGTGTCTTCACATCGGTTTCTGCTTTTCTCTGTCAGTCCAACATGTAAAAACCAGCCGAATGATATGGGGTTGTCAACAAATACTCTAACTTTGATACATATTTGAATATATATTAAAAAAAAAAAGATTCGAATGTGAAAATTTATATTCAAGTATTAAATAAACAGCGGGAAAAAAAGGGAAAAAAAACAAAAACAAACAAACAGCTTCTGCTTTGCAAGTGAGCGCACTGTAAAGAGGGGTCAGGGACACAGGAGCTGCACCTGCAGTGAGACTTGACAAAAAACGTCCGTGGCTCATGAAGAGAAAGGTGGCGGGTTGTTCGGAGCCAAACTCGGAGAGAGTAGTCTGGACTCCAAGGAACTTTAGAAGCTCCGTTTGGAAATTTTTCGGATTTTGGGAAGACACGATAGACGGTAAAAATGCTGAGAGAGATAAAGTCATGTGTAAGCTAGATATTTGAATATGTTCGAACCTATGTGTTAATTTTTAGAACAAATATTTGAACCTCATTTTGGAGCAATTCTGACAGCCCTAGAATGAAAGTAGTATCCTGACATCTCTGTTATATTAAAGCAAGTCTGGAGTTCCAAGTGTTTGGTTCACCGTTTGAAGAGAAAATGTTTTTCTAAGGATGGGAAAATCATTTGGGTCCAAATATCTGTTGGTTTAATGTTTCAGGCTGTTAACACAACATAGTCCACTTGCCCTTGCATGTTTTCTCTGCTTTGCCAGCTTATAATCTTCTGGCTTTGTGCCGAAAACGTGTCTACATCAGACCCGACCCACTGGTTTTGCAAAATAATGTTGAAAAAAACCAAGTCAGCCAGCGTGTGAATTAGTGAAACTCATAACCGTGCTTGTTAAGGCATTTATCAGTTTTCGTGTGGAGGAAGGGGAAACTACTTCCTCATTGTTTTGGTTAATAGCTTGAGAGTTCAGAGACACCAGTGGGAGACTGATTGTGCAGGGAAGTGTGTCATTTTTGGAAATGATGAAAATAAATGGAGCAACCTGGCCAGCCTTGTTCACATCGGTGCAGATGAATGATTCACTGTGGAGAGGTTAATCACTAACAACAGTCAATAACCTGAGTTTCTGTGAACATACTGTTTGTATCTTTATTTAGAAAAGAAATAACTAAATAAATATGTGCCAAAACATTACATAGGCAACTTCCTAGTTCGTGTGCGTAACGGAAATATTTAATTACTCCTTTTTTAGAGGACCATATAAGTAATAATGTGGCCTGCACATGCAGGGATGCTGCTGGGATGATGAAAGCATCTGTTTGGCTAAAGTAAACAAATTCCACATTAACAGGGTTTCAACTTCAGGGTGCTTCCCTGTGCCAAAAGTCCCATGATTTCCCCCCCGCATCATCTCAGCTTGACTACCTTTTAGAAAGCTGAAGTGTTATCTAGGGGAGTAGCAGGGATTTTCCCCATCCCTCTCACTCTGAGCTCAGCTCTGGGCTTGTGTTTGGAAACCAATCAGATAGGAAATGGGCTTTAGGAGGACTTTCAAAGAGTGCTACTTTTATTTTCACTTTAACTGTCCATTTTTTTCTCATCTTTCTTCCTATTTTTCAACCTTTCTGAGTTAAGCTTCCCCCAAAAAAGTTCTCTGTCTGTGTGCTTCTCTTCTATATTTCTCAAGAACCATTAACTCAGGAAAAATTAGTTGTTAAACATGTTTATTACACAGACAGCAAGTTAATCTATGTCTTCGGCAGCTCCACGTCATCCTGTGTGGCTTTAGATGATAAAAATATTGTCTGTACAGGACAGATGAAAGATGAGACGTCTAAAGCTCATGGCCAAGTAAAAGTTTTTAACAGTGGGGTTTGGTTATGGGAAAAGGCTGACAGCAACTCTGTCTCCTGTGTGGTGATGGTACTGTGAAAATTTATTTATTTTAAACTCTTTGTTTTGCTAAGTGCAGGATGAAACTACTACAACTACTGATTTCTTTCTGTTTCTCTGTCTTTTAGGTTCAGGTTCAGGCTAGCAGCTCCCTGGCTGTCGCACAGGCATTGGCAGATGACGTTGATTGCCACGTGTTTCCTTTCAGAGAGTTTGGAAAGGGACGGATAAAGAAGCTCCGCATCAGCCCTGACGCATTCATCCAGATTGGATTACAGTTGGCGTACTATCGGGTAAAACCTCAACTGGATACACACACTCATAAAACACACCACATCTGAAGATTATTTTAAAGCCCTTATGGATCTCCCCAAAAAAACAAGATCATTGCACAAAAGGGTTAAATGAGACCACTTGTTTTCTCTGTCGAGCATGCCGGGGCCTGTCCTCATGAACCAGACCTGGGTGAATTCACATCAGATCAAAACTATATGAAGTAACAAGTCACTGAGGCTTCATGTTGAAGCAGTATGCCAAATGGGAGATATTTTACAGTCTCAGGAGAACTTGAGGAAGTATCGTAGTCCTCGGAGTAAAGTCAAACTGCTGTTGGTTTTGAAAAACAGATACCTAGACAGCAAGAAGTCTCAGGAGAGTCATAAACAGCTCGACACTCAGAGCCTCATCTTTACGGCATACTTTGATAAGTGTCTTATCTGGTCTTTGGTTTCAGCTTTGAGTGTCTCTGCCAGTGCCCACACAAAATCTCTGCTGCACCCTTTTTCCTCATTCTTGCTCTTTAGATTACAGTGATACTTGCGTATTTGCGTGGTCTCGTCGGCCTCTCCCTGTCTGTTTATGGCTTTGTCTGTCTCTCTAGATTAGTTAATTACATCTGATTCCTTCCTCCTCTGTCCTCTTCTTTTAACAATCTTCAAATAAATGAAAAATAACAACGCTAGCTTAGAAAAGCATCACAGCTTTGTTTACTTCACAGACCAACTCCTTTATTCACTCACCTTTCTGCAGGATCGGGCAAGTTTCTGTTTGACCTACGAGGCATCGATGACCCGTCTGTTCAGGGAGGGCCGGACAGAGACCGTGCGATCTTGCTCCAATGAGAGCAGCGCTTTCGTCAAAGCGTTGGAGGGCGGAGAGGTACGCACAAATGCCCTAAATTCAGACCTTAAAGGGATATTCCAGTGTAAAATTAAGTTAGGGTCAAACCAACTCTTACACAGAGTTAGACACCCCCTCAAGAGTAGAATGTTGCTGACTGCTTGCTTCTCTATTTATACCAACTTTATTAATGACCACAGGATAGCAATACACAGCGGTCTACGTCTCCACACGCAAACCTCAACCAAAAAGCCACTCTATAGCCACAAATAATGCTCAGAACAGCATCTAACTACATCAACAGTACATATAGTATCCCAGTCATAGTACTAACCACCAAACATCTTGATACCTGGTTGCCTGGTTTCTTTAGCAAAGAGACCGAACACAACTCACCTACTCTCTTCCAGCAGCTGCTTGTTTGTGGGGGAGCCCCGACAAGTCGATCACCGAGTGCAGCAGATCATTTCCTTAAAGTAATAATCACAATATTAATCATTTTGCATTGCAGACACGGTAGTTCTTCTGCCTTAGTGTCTCGGTCTGATTGCATTTCCATAAATAAATGATCATAAATGTTCTTCTTTGAGCTGCGAAACTCCGCTGCAAACAAGTGGCTTCTGGAGGAGAGTAGGTGAGTTGTGTTTAGTCTCTTTGCTAAAAAAAACAGGCAAAGCTAAAAAGATCTTTGAAGAAGTAGAAGTAGACGCTGTGTATTGCTATCGTGCGGTCGTTACTAAAGTTAGTATAACTAGAGAAGCAAGCAGTCTGCAACATTCATCTCTTGAGGGGGTGTCTACCTCGGTGTTACGATGTTTGACCCTAGCTTAATTTTACGCCGGACTATCCCTTTAAGCTTGTCAGTAAGTTTTGTTCCCTGCTTAAAGATATCCTTGGGAAACTCCAATGTGATTAAAAGATGTGAGTGAAAACAGCGTTTTTTCTGACAGGCTGAAGAGCAGTGCAGACAGCTCTTCAGACAGGCTTCAGAGCGTCACCAGAACCTTTATCGCATGGCTATGACTGGAGCTGGGATCGACAGACATCTCTTCTGCCTCTATGTAGTCTCCAAGTATTTGGGGGTGGAGTCACCCTTCCTTAAAGAAGTGTGTTTTTTTGTTTACTTGCTTGGTTGACAATCTATATTAACTTTATTGACAGAAATCTCCACTCCCCCACCCCTTCTTGACTTCACATGTTCTTCTCTCTCATCCACACACATCTAAGGTTTTGTCCGAGCCTTGGCGTCTCTCCACCAGTCAGACCCCAGTTCAGCAGATGGAGTTGTTTGACCTGAAGAACTACCCGGAGTATATATCTCTGGGAGGAGGCTTTGGACCTGTGAGTGACACATACACACACACGCAGTTTGTGCACTCTGTAAGCTGTTGTCTCTAACCCCATATGGTCTCTGTGGTCATGTCAGGTTGCTGATGATGGTTATGGCGTGTCGTACATCATCGTGGGCGAGGACATGATCAACTTCCATGTGTCCTCCAAATACTCCTGCACTGAGACTGTAAGTAAAACCTTCATCATGGATTGTTTTATTAAAAGTGGCTCATCAAGTTTGAGATCCAAGTGGGCAGATCATGTTTTCCTCCGCCAGGTAAAGTATTTTTCCACAGAAAACAGGAGAACTTGGCTGCCTATTGGTTCCTTTGAGTCAAAGCTTTCTTTGTTTGGGTGCACATATTGACCTTTGACAAAAGTGTAAACACGAACCACGGAAAGTGAAAATTTTATTATCCTGCCTGTAAGAGCATGTAGTGGATGATTTCACATCTCAAACTAGCCCACACTCCAGGTTTTATTGTGAAATTATCAGTAATAAGTGGGTGATGTTTGGCACTTCTCCTTATCAAAGAGGCCAGAAGGAGTGTAAACATGGAAGATAAGTTGTGTAACCTGGTAGATGAGGCTTTTATCTTTCCTGTCAATCTGGTAATCTGGTGACAGTTTCTTTCAAAATAACGTGTCTCAGGTGTCTCACTATTACAGGTAGTTAGACAGACAGTGGATAGAAGTCTTTTTTCAAAATGAAGTCAGGTTTTGACGTTTTTCTTTGTAAGATAAGGCTTCCGTCTTGCCACCCTACCCCATAGCTCAGACATATGAAGACAGCGGGAGATTGTTGTCCCATGTACTACACAGCCAGTACTTGCCAGTAATTCCTGCAGCTCCTTCAGTGTTGCTGTCGGCCTCTTGGAAGCCTCCCTGACCAGTTTTCTTAGTCTTATCAATTTTTGACAGATGTCCTTTTCTTGGTAATATTACCGTTGTGCCATATTTTCTTTACTTGATGATGACTGTCTTCACTGTGTTCCATGGTATACTTAATTCCTTGGAAATTCTTTTGTAGTCCTCACCTGACTGATATCTTTGAATAATGAGATCCCTCTGATGCTTTGGGAGCTCTCTGTGGACCATGGCTTGTGCTGGAAGATGTGGCTACAAAAATGTCAGGAAAAGCCACTAGAACAGCTGAACTTTATTTGGGGTTAATCAGAGGCACTTTAATTGGTGACAGGTGTGTGCTGACTAATTTATCCTGAGTTTGAATGTGATTGGTTAAATCTGAACACTGCCACATCCCCAGTTATTAAAGGGTGTGCACACTTATGCAACCACATGATCTCAGTTGTTTATTTTTACTTAACCTCCCTGAAAGATTTCTGTTTGTTTTTTAATTGTGTTGTGTTATCACTGCTTGTACTTTCATTTTCCAATTCACTTTCTTTTCTCTTTTTTCACATTTCATTTCAAGCTCTGACATTTCTGTCTCACCTGCTTCAATGAGGTCTGCTTGCTAGCTTGTTTTCTTTTAGAATTCTTTTTATTGAGTTTTCCTTGGATGTATTTCAACACCGAATGTCGAGGCACAAGAGGTTCACTTCAACACCAAAAAAAAGGGGAAAAAATAGATTAAAAAATTAATTAGATGAATAAATCTGTAAATATTAAAGTAAAAAAGACAATACCAAGATCATACAGAATCAGATTATAACAAAACAGTACAAATAAAATAACCCTATAAAGGAAATAGAGAGGAAAAAGATTAATAAAGTCAAGTAAAATGAACAAAAAAAAGAAAAAAATAATAAAATAAAAAAGGTTAAAAAAAAGGAAAGATGAATAAATTTGTAAATATTGAAGTAAAAAAAAAGACAATGCCAAGATCATACAGAATCAGATTATACCAAAACAGTACAAATAAAATAAAATAACCATATAAAGGAAATAGAGAGGGGAAAAAGTAAAAAATAAAATAAAGTAAAACAAACAAAAAAGAGTAAGAAATAATAAGATAAAAAAAAAGGTTAAAAAAAAGGAAAGGAAAAAGTTTTAATAATTATTATAGATAAATAAATAAATAAATTAGATGAATAAATCTGTAAATATCAAAGTAAAAAAGACAATGCCAAGATCATACAGAATCAGATCATATAAAAACAATGCAAATTAAATTAAATAAAATAACCATATAAAGGAAATACAGAAGGGAAGGAAAGTAAAACAAACCAAAAAAAGAGTTAAAAAATAATAAAATAAAACAAAAAAGACAAATACAAACACAAACATGTAGGAAGGGACAACAAATTCAGAGCCAGGGTCGAGTTGTGCATTTAATCACTTGTCCTCAGCTAGGGCATAGCTATAGTGGTTCCACTGAAAGTCCTATCAGCTGACAAATGACAAATTCCTATTGAACAGGTTTCATGAAAATTACAGACTTTGTTGGATGACAGATAGATATGAAGTTTTTTGTTTTTTATGTGGAAAGCTGATGTGGTTTTTCTTACTAATGTTCAAGTCATGAAACCGTTTTTGTCATGTGTTCTTGTCATGTGTTCTTGGTCTTGTAGCCCTTATGAATCATTTTTACGGGGCAAGTGTGGGTTAAGCATCTTGCCCAATGATACTTCAGCATGTAGACAGCCCTGGGGTTGAACCCCCTAGTTTTCTAAGACAGCTGACTGTACAACTGAGTCACAGCCTTGAAAGAGTTGAGACAACACTACGATGTTCAGATAAGAAAGTTTTTGACCATTTCAGACCCAAATGAAACAGTGATTGCGTGTATAATCGGAGCTTTTGCTTGATAGTGGTGTGAGTAATGTTGGGCTTAGTCAGCTGTGATCCGAATGAAAACATTCACACTCCGCATTCACTAGGACAACCCTGCACCTGCACATACCTTTAAAATGAAAAGACAGCCAAACTCCAAAATATCCAAACTTCCCCAGTTTTAGTTGCAGTTGAGTTGCATCAGCTTCTCCTCATTCTTGGCTGAAAGCCAGAAGACAGTCAGAGGACTGTTAGAACTGCTGTGCTGTCTGTTTCAGTTCCTCTTTTGGGTTTATTGTGAAACTTGCTCATGAATGAACTTCAAGAAGCTAGACAGATTTACGCCGTTAATGATACTTTCCGTTATTAGATAACTGTGCAAACTCACTCTGTATCAGTTATGTTCGTCAGGAGATATTAAAGTATTTATGTACATAATAAATAACTTTTTATTTAAAAAAAAAAAAAAGGTTCAAACTTTTCAGTATACTGTAGATAAAAGTTGTCTGTGGGCCTGTGTAATGCTTTCTCTCTCCACCCTGTCGTCTCCTTCCTCTTCGATCATCATTTATGTCTTTTTTTTATGCTCTTCCCTTTTTCTTGAACCCTCCTTCTAAAATTTGATTTTGTTCACTCAGGACTCGCACAGATTTGGAGTTCAGATAAGCAAAGCCCTTCTGGACATCATGACTCTCCTCTCTACTGAAAGCAAAACCTCTAAAGTCGCGGGCAAGCCACAGGCCAAGAAGCTCCTCTGAATGCACCCGGGAGCAACTCATCACGGGAGGGGCGGGGGGCACAGGTACTTTCCTTTCAAGTTTAGTGTAGACAAAACTGTTGTCTCCCAGTTATAATCTGCCGTGAATGTGAGTATAGTAAGTCAAATCAAATGGTAATCTCAGTCTACATCTCCCGCCATTTTGAGACACAGCAATCTGATATGTTTCACAACGCAGTCTGCGACACACAGTGAAGATGTTACACAAGTGAGCGGCAGCAGCTTATCAACATTCGCCCCCTTCAACTCAAGGAGAAAAAAATCACACATAAAACAGAAACCCATCTGGGTGAGAGCACATCAGCCAAGAGCTTATCAGGATTTGCAATGACCTCCCTCCCAAAACACATTCACCCTTCAACCCGCTTGAATATATTTGACATCTTTAAAGCGTCAAAGTGTTCAATCTGTCAGTGTTTGTTTTCATTGTTCTGTGAGCTGTGTCCAATATGTCAGTGAGATTAAGCTTGGCAACATATAAATGCAAAACGCTTGCAGATCCCTACTTTTGTTTTTTGTTTTTTTCTGAGTACATGAAACCTATGAGGCGTCCGTCTTGAAGAAGAGGACGCAGAGGTGATTGCTTAAGAAGGAAGTCTTTAGGAGAGAAAGAGGGACACATAGGGCGAAAGGGCAAACAGCATTAAGAGACCCCCAAAACTGTTGTTAATGTAAAAGATGAAACCACAGTTTATCACACTTAGCTTAAATCTGGGAAAAAACTGTGAGAAAATGTCAGATATTGTGCTAAAGCAGGGATAAATCTCAATAAAGGGAAATGGCTTTTAAGAGCCCTCTGACCAAAACGCCTTTGTCGCCTTTAATTTGATGTCTTCACTGGGACTGGAAGTTTATAAACGAGACCATGAAAGACCCAGTGTGGGAACGCCAAATGCACATTTTCCCAGTGATTAATCAGAGTTACTTTGTTAGTCACCTGATCTATACATGAGTCATAAGTTTATGTCAAAATCAGGAGTGTAACTTCTGATATAATCATAGATCTATTTTTGGCCAAGATCAGATGAGCTCTTCAAATTTTACTCTGACCGTTTTTATTTAAAAACTGTGTTATAAAAAAGAATGGACGGTAGGGAAATAAATGCAGATCCGTTATTTTCTATTGATGTTTTTTTTACTTTTACCGTTGATTTTGTCTGTTAAATAGATCGCTTTAATAGGGTGGAGGTTTTTAACGGTATTTTAGGGGATTTGCTTCAGCTCATCAGATACAATAGAGATTTATTGCTGTTGAATGAAAGCACTTGAATGTGGTAGTTCCTGTTCTCTCTGTTCGTCACTCATCCTGATGAGTTCATCTCCAAATCTAGCACACTATCAAGGGCATAAACGGAGCTCCTCTGCTCCCTTTAGAAATGAGTTTTCTACAAAGACTTTCAAACAGTAACAAAGCTGTGGCATTTTAAATCATGTGTGCCTACGTTCTCTATTCATTCAGACAGTTTCAATGCAATCTCTAATCAATGCAACTCCTGAGGTGGACCATGTAACATTTCCTGAGCATCTTTATTCTCTTTATGCGTGTAAATAACAATGAAGTGATTGGATGTGTTTTCACGTGTAGTGATGTAGTGGTGAAACAAACAGATCAAGTAAAGTCGTAACAGCTGAATATTAGAGAAGTAATGAGGATTGGAAAACACCTGTGGTTTGACTCTTTACCACACATCTGTTCGTGTATCTAACTATGTTTCTACTCTTGGAGAGCTCTTCGCTTCATATTTTGATATCTTCAGACCACAGTGGCTTCTGGTTCCCTCAGGTTCAGCACTAACTAGCTCATTTCCTCAAATGTTGACTGCCAGAGCAGCTGCTTGTATTTCATCACCCCTCTGAGCATTTCTGTAGCAGGATACACTCACAACTTTTCTACTTCAGTCAGGAGGCAGAAACAGATTCTTGTTTTCTCCTCTTGTCTTAGTGCTTTATTTAGATATTTTAGATTCTTCTTTTTTTTTTACTTGTTACAGCCATTCATGGTCCCAGGAGGAGACGCAGACATTTAAAAAAAATCCTAAACCGGTCACGACTTGTTTTACAGGGTCAGGGCCTTCAGATGTTAACTTGATGGGTGTGTTTACGCATGACTTCTTATAGAGTGTGAACATCTACATGTAGCAGCTTTAAGAGGAGCTCAAGTTCAACCCAATGAGTACAATCCTGATCACTGTACATGGTGCCCTCCTTCATGCCTCAGCCTGCCTATAAAACCTGGAACCTTTCCAGTCAACTTTTGCCTTATTGTCCTCGACAGGAAGTTACTATCCCTGAATATGTAAGAGATCATGTAACTGATCAGTGCTTTCAGGCGCTTCACCCCTGGGGTGATGCGACACTCATAAAACACAGCAAACTACCACGGTTAAAAAAACAGTTAATGCAAAAACTCTCCTCTCTTCCTTTCTTACTGTTTCTTCTTTGCCGTTTGTAAACTGCTCTTTTAACTCGATTAACAGCGTCATTTAAATATTTTTGATGAATTTGTTGGTATTGTAGTTTTTAATAATATGATCTCTCATGTTTACTGGTTTTACACCCTGAAATATTCTAATTGCTGTTGTTTTTTTTTTGTATTGCATTCTGAAACAAATTCAAAAGTCAGTTGTGGATTTTGTGAAGAAGACCTTTTTTTTAAGATGGTGCTGGTGAGTGAAATAAAATACTGACCCTACTCTGCATTTGTGTCTGTTTTGTTCTTACACCCTGACCTGCTACTCTGAAGCTGAATACAATCATCTCCAGACCGCGATGAGGTTTCATATCTGTTATTAAAACTCTCTCGTGGCTGAAAGATGCTTTGGTTCAATATACTGATTTAACTTAAGTACAACTGTTAACTATTGCTCCTGTACTCTGATGTTTTAAACTGAGCTGCTTCATTTCCTTCAGTAACAGAGGTGAGCTTTCATACCCAGTGTTCCTTTACCCCACATGTCAACCCCAGTATGAACCCAGAAGTGACATGGCAAAACAAAAACATGAGGCTGACTGAATCTATGCTTCATGCTTAAAACATGAAAACCGGACCAATCACACCCCAACTCTCCGCCTGATCTCTGCTAACAGTTGGCTGCTCATTACAGTGCATGTTGCATCTTGCATTGTCCCCTTTGATTGTTTCATTTGTGAAAGTTGTTTGATGCTTGGGAAGACTTGAAAAAACTACATTCACCAAGAGGGGACAGTGTAGAAAAAGGATTCAAGGCCTGCTCTGGGCTGGGTTTGTGTGCCAAAACTCCAGACGGCGATTTTTAGGATTAATTACTGGAAAAAAGTGCCCTAAATATTCGTCCAGACAGGAAAATCACCCAATGTGGGATCCAAAAGTAGAGTAGTTGGCAGGGTGTTCTTGGAGACTCTTGAATTCCAAAAAGCTAAAGGGACTTTAGCCACTCAGTAAAGAAAGTCTCAGCTCTCCTCCTTTGTTAATGTTTTCTAGAGGGGCCCAAATTTAATCCATGAATCAGCAAATACTTGACACAATGCCAAGAGATCTTTCTTTTGATGTGCAGGAACCTTACAAGCAGACTATTTGTAGTCATTAGAATGGCATTTTCCATAACCTACTGAACCCACAAAGAGGCCCTGGGGAGACACTTTTTACATGTTGTACCCTGGAGGGGAAACTAGAGGGCACTTAATCATGTAATGACTACCTGAAGGGCGCCAAAGAGCACATTTTATGGTGTTTTATCTGCTGTAGAGGGAGCACTTCTATGTTTATCTGAACCTGAGTGCAGACTTTGACAAAACGAGGCAGTTACAGTTATAAGGGGAGAGAAAAGGGGACAGCAAGTGTGATCCCATCCACTCTACATGGTGCTCCTCTTCATGCCTCAGCCTGCCTACAAAACCTGGATCCATTCCAGTCAACTTTTGCCTTATTGTCCTCGACAGGAAGTTACTATCCCTGAAATATGTAAGAAATCATATAACTGATCAGGCCCCTCACTCCTGGGACAATGGGCTACTTGGCAGCTACAATATTTAATGATGAGACAACTTTTGCAATGACTGCCCTTTGCACTCTCTGCTGTTGTGTGTGTGTGTATTACTTTTTTTTGTTGTTGTTGCTGCAGAGAATCACAGTGGAGACTGAGTGAAGCAGTAAGGAACAGTGAGAAACATCTATGAAAGTCTTCTTTCACTTCCTTCAATACACTTTATTCAAGGTTCACTTTATTTTTGACATTCAACGTGTAGTGATGGAAAATGTCAGCACACATACTGTAGGTGGAATGAGGTCTACACAGCAGGACCCGCCTTGTTCAGCCTCCTCAGGAAATACCGCCTTTTCTTTCCGGTGGCTGTGTTCATGTTTCACGTGAGGTCACTGCAGAGGTGTGTTTCTCCTACTTCTTGAAGCACTTTGGGGGATGTCACAAATGTTATGTGGGGAGTGGGTTATAAATTAACGTACCACTGTTATGATGATGATCATTATTTATTACTGAAAACATCTACATTGTTCTCAGCAGGGGGATCTGTGGTATAAAATTACTCATAAATACACTCATGGTAAGGGAGACTGGGGTAAGTTGAGCCACCTCCTGTTGTTTGGAAATGGTTAAAGAAATTGATCATGTGACCAAATATTTAGGAGATGGGCATCAATTCATGGAGTCTGTGAAGGATAGAAGCACATGTGTGAAGGGGTTAGACATTTATTTTTTTAAAAAGTGAATTTAGTCTGTCAAAAGTTTTATTAGTATTGTTTTCAGACCAATAAAGTCATTTTAAATTTTTTATATATATATCAATTGTGGTATCTATGAGTTACAACATGAGGTCAAAAACCTAGCATAAAAGTCCACCATTTTAGCTTAGAGGACTAATAAAGTCATAATAGTAGTTCTGGGGTAAGTTGAGCCAGTGGTTTAACTGAGAAAGTAAAGGAGTCTGATGAGTGGATCAGAGTTTCAGTTCAGATTGATGAAATGTGTTACTTTTGCTTTTCAAAAATACAGCTGTGAATGTTCTGATTCACTTGAAGACATTCTCGTGTTACAATGGCTTTTTACAAAACAGCTTTTTAGCAGTTATAAAACTGCAAAAACGAGCTATAAGTATTATCAATAAGACTAATTACTATGATCACACAGAGCCACTTTTTCTAAATTCTCATGTTATGAAATTTTATGATCTGTTAATAATGCAAATAATGTTTAGAGCGAAATCAAAAGTGCTCCCTGACTCAATACAGAGGTTCTTTACAATTCAGGACAGTCCGTATAATCTCAGAGGTGCTCGCAAATTTACTGTACAAAAAGGTATGAAAAGGAGATGTGTCTCTGTTACTGGAGTTAAATTCTAGAATGATGCAAACATAAATCTAAAAACATGTCATTCTTTTTTGGTTTTTAAGAAAATGGTCTGTTAAGCTATTTTTGAAGCTTATAAGTGTGATTAATTACATGTTGTTGTGGTGTTTTTGCTTTTCTGGAGGTCGGTAGCCTAAAAAAAGTTGACAACCCAGGATAGGCTTTTATGAGCAATCTGCTTTTGCCTATACCTTTTCAGTCAATATTCAACACATGATTCTTGATTTAGTGGTTTTGTGTGCGAATAAACAACTACTACTACTATTACTACTACTACTGGTTATATGCAATACTAATAAAATGAATTATTGTACCAGTTGAATAGCGTATAATAGATAAAAATACACATGAATGTGAAGAAGTGACTGTTATTTATGGAAAGAGGAAGTGAAGGAGGGCTGGGGTGGAAAGTGGGGGGTAGTAGAGATGAGGCTCACCTTACCCCACTCACTTGACCACTTTTTTGGCATACTATATTATCAAGACAGTTATGTTTACAGTCATTCTGTTGGTTTGCAGGGATGCACAACATCTTGAAATATATACAGATACACGAGTTAGAGGCAAAACTATGATTGCCTTGATGTAGTGATCTGAAATATGAAAAATGGCTCATCTTACCCCACTCTCCCCCATAAGATAACTTGGACATTTTGTTTTCTTGGCATGCACACCGCTGTAACTGAGCCCATTTGTCCCTCATTTAGCAGGTCTCAGACACAATGTGGATTTGCCCGGATAGAGATAGTTCTGCACAGTCCGGCTGTGTCCCCTAAAGTCTCCAAGTCCCGAACTTTCCACAATCCGCTACGTGCTAATGAGTCCCTCAGCCCCTCGTGCGGAAAGTCCGCCGGTGATGTCACCCACGCAAAGAACTTGCCATAGTGATAAAGGTAGAAAGTGAAAGTAAATCTATCAGTTAAAGAATGAGCGCAGAGCAGACCCACGGCTCCACAGAACGGCACGGTAAGCTTCTCAATCCTCTGCTACTGCCTTTGCCGTGCAAATTCAATGTGAGACCACTTTTTTGGGACAAATTTCACCTGTCTTTCACCGGCTGGACTCTATGGTTGAATCGACAGAGAGTGGGTGAGTTGGCTTTCTGAACTCTCCTGTCGGCCTGGCCCGAGCAGCAGACAGTCTCTGTTTTCAGACTGAAGGGTTGCTGCGTTTTTAGCAGGCGCACGTCTGGACCACAGTAGTTTGTTTATCCTTAGATGACCGAAGGGGCTTCTTGACCGCCTGTAGAGGGGAAGGGGAACCTCCGGTAACCTGAAGCCTTCACACGGCTACGTTTGTGGACGCTATCAGACAACCTGTAGCCTGCATTGCTCTGTGTTTGGGTTGTGGATTTCACTCTATGTCTAAGGCGGGCACGTTATTTCTATATTTATTAAGCTTTGAATGAGAAGTGCTGAAATGCTCTGTGTGATTTTACAGTGAAGTCATTTCACAGCAGAAAGGCTCAGTTGCACCATGAATCCTAATGCTGTTAAAGGAGTGAACTGATGCTTCTGTACAGCCTTCAAGAGAACAGCAGCAACCTCTCCAAAACAAGGTCACTGTTGTAAATTGTAAATCTGATGGGGGTATGTGTCAGACCCGAGGACTGTCAGCTCGCTGAGTAAAATATGCTGAGCAAACACTCAGAGTGAGTGATAGATGTCATGTTACACAACAACAGGATGAGGTTTTTGTCTGAAATCAGTACTTTCCCATGTGCAGAACAAGAGAAAGGAGGTATCATTTTATGCACAGGGGAGCCAGAATCAACAAACACTAAAAGTACTTCACAGCAGCTTTAAGTACGCACTTAAGTGTAAACACAGCAATGCATCTTGAAAGTGCATCATTGGGAAATAAGTTGCATCACTTTCTTTTCTAATGCTCTATTTTTGGCCTGAAGGTAGCCAATTTTTTGCTCTTTGTATTATAAAAAAAACTCCCTGAGGTTTTAATAATGAGAGAGAAGGTTGGCAGATATAATATTGATACATGATAACAATATATTATTTTATTTGTAGGGAAGATGGTGCAGAGCTTGAGAGACCATTTTAATAAATATATTAGAAGAAAAAATGTCTGGCTCAGTAAAATGTTGCCCCAAGGGACTCTTGGATTTCTGTCCTGCTATCTTCAATACATAAAAAAATAAAGAAAATAAAAGTTAAATGTGGTTGAAGCTATAAAAAAGAAAGTGATGCATCAATCTGTTTTTCTAAGCACATGAAAATAATATGTGTGGTTATTCAAGCCAGTTACATAGATGGATTTTGAATGAATAGCTCAGAAAGGAAAGAGTGATACATGATGGGTGAAGCAGTGATCCTGCTGCTGACTGGTTCAGCAGGCAGAGCCAGGCAGAACCTGCTAATTTATGTCCCTGGGCGTACTTGTCAAGGTTTCCTATCCCACTGCCCTCTTCCTCAATACCATTGTCTTCACGTGACCCATTTCGGCTGTACTTTCTTTGTTTAGAAGGATGATTATCTTTCAAGAAAGTTCACGTTCACAGTGCCTTTGATCAGTTTCACCAAACTGTTTCCTCCCATTCAAAACACACTCACTATTTTTGGGGGCTGTAAAACAGTCTGACGAAAACAGTCAGTGGAAAACGTGTGTGTACTTACACTTTCATTCCCTACATACGGAAACTAATGTTTTATTTATTCACGTCTGTCTTCATTTCCACTGCTTATGCATGACTGACTGGACCCTACACTCCATAACTGGGTCAAGAATTATATGAGCCAGAATGAACTGATTTTATACCATTGTGGGTCAAATGATCAGGGAATTATATTGTAATATGTTTTGTCCACTCAAGAAGGATTTCATGTTTGAAATAACTGAAACAATTATGTCTAGAAAAGAGTTTTAAAACATTTTGATTTTTGACCATTTTGATGATTGAAAAAGGAGAAAATTATGTACAACAGTAAGAGAGAAACGTAAACATTTTAAGTGTGTTTGTAGTTTAGCTTGTTATGCAAGAACTCTATTTTTGATTAAAGCAAGACAGTCACCTTTGCGGTAATGATGAACACATTTCTTAGTAAGCTAGCATCACAGCATTGACATCATTGGAATCACAAGGATTTCCAGATTGAGACCCAACTGTCTGCAGACTGGGAGACAGAGCTGGAGCAAGATCAGACATGGTATTAAAAAACATGGAGCATGAGAGATCTTGCAGAGGAAATCGAGGACCTTTTATCACTCTCTGGTGGCCTTTGTCATCTTCTATGGAGTGGTCTGCTGGAGCTGCAGCGTCACGGCTGCAGACAGGAACAAACTAAACAAACTGGCGAGGAAGGCTAGCTCTGTAGGCTTCCCTCATGACCATGTAGAGGTGGCGTGGGACAGGAGGTTGATGGCTAAGCTATGGTGCTACCCTTAGGTTGAACTGACAGACAATTACTCAGTGTTATCTCAATATTCAACACTAACAGGGCAGATATTTATTACAAGTGAAAATACCTTCATTTTTAACAGGTACAATAACTCCAATAATGTGCGATAACGTCCAATTCTTTCTTGTTCACTCTATAGAACCATTTTAGTTTTTTTCACTGTGTGCATGATGAGTGTACTTACTCTTCTGTGTTTGCTGTGCTGATCCTTTGCTGCTGTAACACTGCAAGTTTCCCTACAGTGGGGTGAATACAGGTTTATCTTATCTAATCTTAAATAATACATTTACCCTTGAGACGGTGTATTTCGGATTTTAGGGATCATAAAACAAAGTTATGGCTATTTACAGCTGATGCCTACATGTCCCAGGTGTTGCTTTGTAAATGTAGTTTATTAAAGGTTAGAATCCTGCAAAGATCCTCATGTGCATTCATTGGGTTTCCATGAGATCCCATAGGAAATGGATGCAGGTTGTTTTTGACCCATATGGCTGTTTTAGGAAGAATAAAAAACTGCAACAAAAAAAATAGTGAAATATTTCAGTGCTGTGCAATCAAAGAAAACTTACAGAGGAGTAACTGGAATTTGAAATGTATCCAACTCTTTGCTTGGAAGCTATCGCAAGAAAATGACCACACTGGGTCGTAATGGACTGGCTTCGTTAGAGTAAAAGTGGTAGAGAGCTGGTTTCACTTTTCATCTGAGAAGTTTGTTTCTCCTCCTTTCCGTCTTTTGTTCCTCTCTGAATCTTGTTGTTTTAAAAAGAGTTCCAGAGGTGAGGCAGGGTTGGCTTGGCAAACACTGAGTGTGTTAACATTTATTTATTTTTTTAATCTAAAAAAAATGTCAGGAATGGTCATGTAGGAAATCAACCTGCACGTTTACAGTCTTTGCTATGAGATATGCTCACTGGCCTATTTATTAGGTACACCTTGAGCTTTATTTGGAGTTTTGCTGTATGGTGCATTATCCTGTTGGAAGTAACCATCAGAAGATGAATACACTGTGGTCATTAAGGGCTGGACATGGTTAGAAAATAAGACTCAGGTAGGCTGTGGGGTTTAAACAAAGCTGAACTGGTACTAAGGGGCCCAAAGTGTGCAAAGAAACTATCCCCCACACCATGACACCACCAGCAGCCTGAACCTTTGATACAAGGCAGGATGGGTCCGTGCTTTTATGTTGTCTCTGCCAAATTCTGACCCCTCCATCAGCAGACATCGAGGCTCTACAGGCCAGGAAACATTTTTTCCAATTCTATTGTCCAGTTTTGGCAAGCCTGTGGCCCTAGTTTCCTGTTCTTAGCTGACAGGAGTGGCTCCTGGTGGGGTCTTCTTTACACTGCCAAAGCCTAGGATCTGATCTAGACTACAGGAGAATTAAAATATTCATTCAGCCCCTTTCCATATATCCCCAGGGGGTTATAGATGTTCAGTCTGTGGGGAATGCTGGATGATTCCTGCACAGTTCCTATTTTCAAAGACCCCACCCACCCTGGACACTATAATGATGATGATGATGATGATGAGGATGAGGATAGTAGATGGATAGTAGATGCTGACGATGATGACAGTGTCACTGTGACCTTATTTGGTTGTTAGTTGACGTTAGTATCTTGGTAGATGGATCTTAGAGCCATTTCACTTATTTTGTTTGATTATAGTTATTAATAATAATAATAATATTGTGTTTTATCCTAAAAATGATTCATGGGATTAAGTTTAAGTCCAACTTTGGACATCTTTGGAGATCCCCTTCTCCCAGGAAATGAAAAAGGAGCGAGGGATATGTTTAGGTTTTTGGTGATTAGACAGGGGGGAGCCATATTGTTTTTTGACCCCTCTCTCTTCTTTTTGTTAATTTTTTTGTTGCCTTGAGCCCAAGTTAAAGTTATTGTGGAAACTGTATGTGAGATCAATAAATCTGTGACAAACGGGAAAGCAGTGAGTCCTTAAAGGTCTCCCCTGCCAGCACAAAGAAGGGCGACTGCCTATGGAAACACCGCCACAATGGTGGTTATACATGACTTTGAAAAAAAGTGCATTTACTTTATGTCGGCACTATGCCCAGTTGCACTTAAGGCAGTTTCTTGCACATACCTAAGCTGTCAAAGCTGTTTGATAAATGGTAATTCATGTAATAATTTAAAAAAGATTATAAATTACCCTAAGCCAGTGGTTCTCAATCCAGTCCTCGAGGCCCACTGTCCTGTATGTTTTGGATGTTTCCCTGCTCCAACACACCTGATTCAAATGATAAGCTCGTTATTGAGCCATTACAGAGCTTGATAACGAGCTCATCATTTGAATCAGGTGTGTTGGAGCAGGGAAACATCCAAAACATGCAGGACGGGGGGGCTCGAGGACTGGATTGAGAACCACTGCCCTAAGCAGTAAACAAAGTGGATTTTCTTGCATGGATAAGGTGCCAAGAAATCCTAAAAACAATCCGCCCCATTTTACTGAAACGGGCATTGAAGGATGGTTAATTGACCATAGAGACCCAATCAAATGTTGATTGCCAGCTACTTTATAGAGATAGATCATGTTGTGTATTGTAACCATCACAAATCAAATCTTATGTGTGTATGTAACTGTGTGAAAGGTGAAGCTCTTACAACACAACCCTCGTTTTAATCTACAGCCTTATTTCAAAACAGTTGGAAAGCTGTGCAAAATGTTGATAAGAAACAGGTCCCTTTTTTTATTTTACAGCTTTCTGTCAACAGGGTTATTGGGTGCCATTAAGAAACATTTTTAGCGAAATAATGCTTCTACTAAAAGAAGCTGAACTTTCAGTTTTCTGATTAGATATTTTGCTGGCATGCATCTTATGTTCTCAGCAACTTTTTCCAGCTGGTTCTCATCAGCTCTTGAACTGTGTAAACCAAGCTCTTTACTATGTCTCCAAACAAAAAAAAATGAAAAATCGCCACCACACCTAAACAGATGGATTCTGTTTATTCAAGTATACCACAAATACTTTTAAATCACTACACTTAAGTACATGTTTCTTTAAATACACCGGACAGTTTTTGTTATTTCTGAGCCTGGAAAGTTTGACCCATGCCAACTTACAACTACAGTCTGCCAAGTTGTATAACTGTGCCCTGTGTGGCAAATTTCAGAGACTTCCCATGACGGTTTTCAGAAAGAATGCATCTGTTTATCGTCATCTCTACTGAGCGTTACTTTGGGTCATACCCCCTCCATGTGTGACTTAAACAAAATAACCTTTGTTTCAGAAGTTTTCTGTGGCTTACACTACATCAGCTTCACCTAAGATGGATACTTTTACAAGAATTTCCTTTTCTTAATGTCACATGCTGCCAGAATGCATACCTTTCTTGATGACTGGTTTTGACTGGTTCTGACTCCTCAACTTTTTTCTCCTTCCATGATTTTTTAGCCCATGCCCTGCATCTATAATACAACCGCTGAATCAAATGTAAAAAAACAATTCCAGTGACGTTGGGATATTTGTAAAACATGAATAAAAACAGAATATGATGATTTAAAAAATCTTTTCCTCCTAATTGAATACACATAAAAACAAAATGTTTATTGTTTCAACTGATAAACTTGATTGTTTTTTGCAAATATTCTCTAATTTTGAATTTGACGCTGAAACACGCTCCTAAAAAGCTTGGACAGGGTCACGTTTACCTCTTAGTTTCATCCCCATTCCTTTTGACAACACTCAATAAGTATTTGGGAACTGTGGAGACTAGGGGTGGTAATCACTAGCGGCCCCACAATACAATATTACCACGATACTTTGGCCATGATACAATATTATCACAATACTTGGGCCACGATACGATATCAGAACGATACTTGGGCCACGATATATTTTGAAGACTTAAAACAGGCAACTGGACTGTGTAGAGTCAACTCTACACAGTCCAGTTGCCTGTTTTAAGTCTTCAAGATAACCATGACCTGGATGAATGAGAATCTACATGGACGCCACGATATATTATTGTGATTTTTGACATTACGCAATACAGTGAGTATTGCGATACAATATATATTTTGATTCATACAATTTTTTTACTGTTTAGCTAATTTAGCATTTATCTTGACTTTATGTTTGTCTTATTTACGCTGTATTATATTTTCATGCAGCACATCTTCCAAACTGTATATTTATTTGTTGTACTAACTTTTTCCTGCTCTATGATGTCACCTCTGCCAATCTCACTGGACAAACTGTTGATTTTATTTTTTATCATAGATTTGGCTTCATATTAACAATTAACTTGAAAACTTGATACATGGTCAATGACACAATATGATATATCACCAGACAAAATACCGCAATATTATGCTGTATTTTTTCTCCCACCTCTAGTGGACACTAACTGCTAAAGCTTTGGGGGTGGACTCTTTCCCATACTTGCTTGATGGACACTGTCAGTTCCTCACCAGTCCAGGGTGTTCGCCGTGGTATTTTTGAGCTATCAAAGAAATCCTTTAAGCCCTGGCCAAATGCTTGCGTTGTCTTTTGACACATGCAGAGTGTGTGGTTTGTTAACTCTTTCAACTGCGTTTGTGGATGTAGCAATGAACTGCGCAATGCCTTTGCACTGATTTCCACGGTACAGCCGGGCCTAGTTTTAATGCAGTACTTTCTGAGGATCCCAAGACCATGACCCATCAGTACTGGTTGTCAGCCTTGTCCATCGTTTCCACCGATTTTCCCAGATCCTCTCTGAACTGTAGCTGATGAAATCTTTGAATGATTATCATTTTGACTCTAAGAAATAGTTTTTTGAAATTATTGAACTATTTGTTTGAATTGAGGTCCTATAACTTTCCTTTTTCTTTGATCTTTTTCCAGAGTGAGCCCACATGGTCACTGAGACAGCATGACTACACAGGGAAACGTGATGTACCTCATTGTCTTTGTAAGTGTTTTATATGAAGCATTCACTGTCACGAGAGTTACTGCTAGTAATGTTGAATTGCTGATGGCAAATGCACAAAGATTTAGAATCAGAATCAGCTTTACTGTCCGAGTATGTTATATGTACAAGGAAACAGACTCCTGCAGACTTTACTCTGTATGTACAAACATTAAACCTGAAAAATAACAAAAATGTGTACTTAGCTTAGACATTTAACTTTTATATAGAAGACTGTCTTAGGCTACAGTGCAATCGTGAGGTGTGCAAAGGAATGATGAGTGATAGAAAAATGTATGCATATGTCATCAAATGAAAGGTGGGTTATGTACAAGAAGTAGATACACTTAAATAATAGTGTGCATCTTTATATTAAGACCAAGAGTGATAAAGAGTCTTTTATAAATAGAAATAAAGATAACAATGTTGTATGGTAACTATTTCATTCATTTGAATAGGGTTGCATGACAAATGTATAATATATAATGCATTAAATTCTAAGTTTTCACCTTTGGAAGGGGCAGCTATCAACTTGTTTGCACTTGATTCCCAGTCATTCTGAGCATCTGCCAATGATGAAGCCAGATCTGTTCTTTTATGTCGTACATTTATGGTACTTTACAGTGATAAATACCAGCTCTGATAGATAGAGTCTGCTCTGTCCTTTTTTGTAAATGTGTCCAGTCCAGTTTATTGTTCAGGTGAACACCCAGGTACTTGTAAGACGTCACCATCTCAATGTCCCTTCCTTGAATGTTGACTGGTGATGGGGGGAAGTGGGTGTGTCTGCGGGAGTCCACAACCAACTCCTTCGTCTTTAATGAAATATAAGAGCCATAATATGCACCCTCTGTTCTTGACTATCTTAGTCCACAGAGAAGCCAACAGAAGTTCTGCTGGAGTTTGTCTTTGTGTGTGTGTGTGTGTGTGTGTGTGGAATGTGTATTTCAGACCTGTAACGCTGCTGTCACTTCTGTCTGCTAGGTGTCCCTGATTTTCAAGTCAGAGCAGAACTGCAAAACCCAGTATTTCAACGAGAAAACCTTGGTATGTTTTGCTTTATTTTATCTTCATGTCTTAAGGTGCAGATGAGAAAATAAATACACAGGCCATGAATGACCTCTGAACTGTATTATTGAACAGTAAAATGTCCTTACAGTTGCTTTAGAACTATTTTGTGTTTGTTGGTGATTTTTTTTTGTGGGATTTTTGTCTATTAATGAAATATCTCATGCATTTTTTCTCTGTTCTGCTTTAAAGCAAAAGTATATACATGACAGTATCACCCTTGTGCAAACTGCGAATCCCAAGGTAACTTTTTCAAACAGTGAGCTGAATCATCTGTTACACAGTTTGTAAAGCAGTGACTGGACTGAAGTATGTGTTTTTTTTCGAATGCAGGATGTCATAGAGTGTACTTTGGAGAAAGAGTGCCAAAATAAAGGCAACGACCTAAAACGCCAATTACGATCCATGCTAAGGTGCTATGACAATGTGAGTGAACAAATATTGAACTTAATCAAAGTTGAGCCAGTGTGGGATGTTTGTTCCTTTGCACTGTTGTAAAGAATTGAAGTATTTTCTTCCTTTCCTGTGATTTTCTAAATGATTGAATCTGACAAACGCACTGTTTCTTTCTCTGCAGGACATGGTGGAATGCAGAAACACTCCAAAGTGCCAGAATTCAGAACCTTACATGAATGTCTCATTTTATCACTTCCTGTGTTTGACGGCGAAAGATCTAAATTTCAGCGATGCACAGCTGGGACATATAGGTACTGCTCTAACTATTTGCATCACCTAGCAGGACTAAGGGTCTCACCCATAGACTGTATATAAGATGGACAGAGTCTGCCTCCTCGCTGGGTGAAGCCACTCCGAGAACAGCACCCTCTGATGGTGGGCTGCAGTACAGGTCATAAATCCCGCCTCCGCCAGCAAAGCTTATGGGACTGTGGACAAACTTTAGAAATTTATTACACAGAACATAATTTTTTCTCCCCCCTGGTTGTGATGTTGACATGTAGTTACTGTCAGACTGGTTTGTGCCCAAGTCCTTTTTTTTCTGTACAGCTCCGTTTTCGAAAGTTATTAGGGGGTTCATGTTTTCTATGATTGACACCTGGTACAGCCTATGGGCGCTCAGGGATTGCGTAGCTCTTCCAGGGGAATACGCTGTTTGACCCGAGCGTCATCACAGGGACTCTCGGCGACTGCGCGGCCGAATGCGCACAACGCTACTGCACAGCTCTGGTTTCAAGGAAGTGGAGAAAAACCCGGAATTACCGAGAGCTTTTTGGCTTCAAATCCGTATACAGGCGGAAGGCGGAACCACGGTGTCCATCTTATATACAGTCTATGGTCTCACCCTGTAACTGATCAAAGTTGTGTGTAATAACTTTTGGGATAAGCTCTTAATTAAAATGTGTTTCCAATTTTTTAATGTTTCTTCTGCTTTTCTCTCCTTCCATCACAGGCTGCCAATACAGTGAGTACTCATGATGTAGAGTCATTGTTAGTGTGGGTACTGTAGCTTTCTGTGTATTCATGAATGAGTTGTTGCCAAAACATAACTGTAAACTTCAAGTCGATCAATTTTTCATTTTTTTAATCAGTCATTTAAGTTGGTTTTATTTACAGAGATTTTTGTTTTACAGCCACATTGTTCTGTTCTTACTTTTTAGGCGCTGTATGCCCTCTCTACGGGAATATATCAAAAGCTAGTAAGGGACATTTTAATTATTAAATTATGCTTCTGATATGTTTTTCAAATCACAGATTTCATGCTTCCTTTGTGACTTCGCTCCTTCATCTTCCCACTCATGTTCACGTTCGATTGTACAGAGAACCCAGGTCACACCTGTAGCCTTTTTTCTGGTGTTTTTTTACGCACTGATCTCTTTTTGACTGCTCTGTTCTTTCCATTTTGAGTATTTGATTAAATATTTATCAGTTTGTTTAATTCTGTGCAGTTTAAACTGCCTTTCTTAAATTTCAGCAGTAATTGTATTGTGATGGGAATTATTTTGATGTTTATCAGGAAACTGGATTTCTATTTGCAGTTTTTTCCTTTTTGAGCAGCAAACATCTTGATTTTTGTAATATAGCTAAATGCTCTGAACAGAAGGATGATAATGCTAACATGCGTGTTTTTTAATGTTACATATTCTCCATTTTAGTTGAGCATGTTTGTTCGGAGACATTAGCAGGTTAAAGATGAAGTACAGCTGAGACTGATGGAAACATCATGTGACGTGGTCATAGACTGTATATAGAATGGACGCTGTTTGCCTCCTCGCTGGGTGAAGCCACTCCGAGAACAGCACTCTCTGGTGGCAGGCTGGGGTATAGGTCATAAATCCTGCCTCCTCCAGCAATCCCTATGGAGCTATGGACAAACTTTAGTAATTTATTACACAGAATATAATTTTTTTCCCCCCTGGTTGCGATGTTGACGTGTAGTTACTGTAAGACTGGTTTGTGCTCAAGTCCCCTTTTTTCTGAACAGCTCCATTTCTAAAAGTTATCAGGGGATTCATGTTTTCTATGATTGACACTTAATACAACCTATGGGTGTACAAAGATTGCGTAGCTCACCCTGGGAATACGCTGTTTGAGCCAAGCATCATCACAGCGACTCTCCCACTGAATGCGTACAATGCTACTGCGCAATGTTGGTTTCAGGAAATGGAAAAAAATGCAGATATACCGAGAGCTTTTTGGCTTCAAATCAGTATACTGGTGCAAGGTGGAACCAAGTTGTCCATAGTATATACAGTCTATGGACGTGATCAGAAAAGTCACAAAAGCAGGGTGGATTAAGAAAATAAAAAAGGAGAAACAACCTGTTAGAAACTGCAAATATGCCACAGTCTACAGCCCTTACAGCAACATGTCTATAACACATCTGCATATATTTAAACCCAGCAGCCCAAATTTTGGATTATTATGAGCAGTGACACCAAACTTTTTCTCCCATTTTTCTTGTGAAATGTGAAGTTATATTTTTGTCAAACTTTAGTGAAATCTCTGTTGCACTCAAACAGCTTTCATGCCTGTCTTTATATATGTATAATGAGGTTAATATTTTACTTTTGCTGAAAGTTGTGTATCATAAAAATATCAACCATCACCATTTGGTTAATCTTACTTACAAATTTAACAGCTTTTGCTTTTTTCACCTTTCAGCGACTCTGCCAGAAAGAACAACAGCTGCACCAACAACAAGTTTGCCATCAACACCACTAGGATCAACGGCAGGAGCAGCAGGCTCACAGAGCAAGCTCGAAAACGGTAGGCTGTTCAAGTGGTACTTTTTATGATGAACAATAGAATATTTCTAAGTACCCCGCAACCATGGAAAAATCTTTGATGAATTAAAGGGATTTAAATTTTGTGTAGGAGATCTTATAATCTACACTGAGGTTAGATCAATGCTTTTATTTTCCATTTTTTAATTGTATTGTATATTGAGACAGGAGGGGCAGATATATATGTATTTTTTTAAGAAGATATCCCATTTAAAATTTTCAATCATTTCTTTCCAGGAAGGTACTTGATCTTATATTAGTATTACACAAAAGAAAAAGACAGATAAGACACAAAGACTGAAAATACATCATGGACAAACAGCATTTACAGCTATTTTATGATATTCTTCCGATGAAGGCTTTAAAATGTGTAAGATATAACCATCAGATCTGGATAGAAACTCTGACGGTCCCTTTAAAGAATGAGCAAAACACAGGAGCAAGGTTTGATCCATTTCTTGTCAGAAAAAGTTGGAAAACAGATCATTTCCTGGATGATGACTCTTTGATTTGTGTGAGAAATCCAAATCTGATGGTAAAGAGCAGCACACAGTCACTTTGATGAGTGTTTGGGACCATCGCAGGCTTCCAGATAACTCTAAAGAGGAACCAGCTGCATGCCACAGTGAAAGAAAATGAAACCCACTGGTCAAATGATCTTCAACTGATCACAGCTTTACAATGACTCACTGCAGTCTTAAAAAAAAAAAAGACATTTGAGAATCGTACCAATGTCTACAATGCAGACAATGCATCACATAGGTCTCTTACCCAACCCACTGATATTACTGATGAGCAAGGGGTGAGCAAGGGAGCATTTCAGTCAAGAATCTGCTGAATATTCCTACTTCTATACATTGCATTAGTTTTTGCTCTTATAAACTCTTATAAACCCATGTACTGTTCATGATGTCAAATATTTGATTTGTGTATATTTTTTCATCTTTCAGGCGCTTGCCTTAAAGACACCTGTGAATTAGGTGAGTGTTTTGTTATTGAATGGTATTAATATTTTATTGAGGTTAAGATTGTACATCAGTTATGCAGAGGTTATTTTGTAATTTTAGAAACGATCAAAAAAGAGGCCTAGGTATGTTTATTTTGGGGTAACTTTTACATGCACTGTTGATGACCTAAAGCTTCTAGACAAGCTTGAGCTGTTTTTTTTTTTTTACAAGGAACCTCATCAAACACTGAGGGCTCTATTTTCGTGCGCGCCGGTGAAGCGGCGGAGGGCGGCGAGCCCCGCGCAGTTGTATTTTCGTCTGGCGGAGCCCGGCGTAAGGCCAGTTTGGTATTTTCATGGACTGAGCCGCACGGAGGCGAGCCGAGATCCGCCAAGCTGGGCGTGGTGGCGTGGCAGGGGGAGGTGTCGACAGAATCAGCTGGCGCAGTGACATTTTCGTGCTCGCCACCGGCGTGTAAAGTGCGCTAAAAGCTCGCCGATTCAAACCTGGTCAGCTTTCAGCGCAAGGCGGAACGCAGCAGGTCCAGTAGTATTTTGGTAGACCGGCGGCGTATCGACATACGTCACTGATGCCTCACCGGCAGGTTTCCACAGTGTCAGGCACATTTCAGTGCAATAAATAATCATCAACAACTATTAATCTGAGTCAACACATACATTTAGATCTATATCGATATATTCTGATCTATATCTGATCTGATGAGCGCGTTTGGCACGCGTTTGGACACACAACCTGACAGAATCAACACAGCTGAAACTGCATCAAATTAAATTAAATATCTAGTGAATAAACACACATGATGAAGTTAACAAGATATGTAATTCGTCTCCCTCCTTTTCTTTCTTCCTCTTCCTCTTATTTCTCGCACAGCTCGACCTGGACACGTCTACGTGTCCTCTGTCCGTCTTGCTGCTGCTGCAGCTGAACAGATGATTTGTTTCAGTGCTCAGATGCGTGATCTACTTTAAGCCGACATACGGATATTATAATATTCAGTTTTGTGGGCCAAACATCTATGAAAGAAAGAGCCAGGCCACGGAGCGCGATGCGTCATTTACGCACAGATGGTTCAGATTTTAATGCCATTTTTGGAGTTTATGTTGTGATCTGTACGCTAAACCCACCTTTGTCACGTGAGGTTTGAATACGAGCAACTTTATTTGAGTGTCTTTATTTGTGGAAAAGGGTGTTTGTCTTACTAGTGGGTCCAACATTACGCACACCAAATCCATCTGTGCTCATATGAGAGGGTGTGGAGGACACTTGTTGAGGAGCTGCCCTCTGTCGCCATCTTGTGGCATTACTGTCTTAAGACATCTCTTGATCTCTTTGACTACTTCATGAAAATAGTAATACGCCTCGCCTGTGGCGGATTTAAAGGCAAGGAGAGGAGCCTATGTGATTGGTGAAAACAGGACTCGGCTGTGTTAAACCCACTACACGCCCTTTCTTCTCCCCGTCTATGACTTATGCTGCTGGGAGGAGCTGAGTTAGGGAGGGGGGATACTTACGCCGGGCTGCGCGGCTCACCAAAATACCAAAATGTGCTTGGGAACGCCTTGTCAGCACGGCGGATCTGACTGACGCTGCGCTTGCGGCACGTCTCCGGCGAGGCACCAAAATAGAGCCCTGAGACTGCTGAAATGCTTCTTTAAACTTTCTCATCTTTGAAACCAGATTTTTATGGCGTGTGGTAAGATGATTTTCTTAGTTGTCTCTTATCTCTCCCACAGAAAATATCTTGAAGGTGTTACTGGCGTTGTCATTGCTCCTCAACCTGGTCTTTTTATTGGGTCTCCTCTGGCACATCTCCCGCCGGAGGAGACCAAAGCAGCAGATGTGTCAGAGTGTGAGCCAAAACTTATTTTCATTGTTTTTTTTTTTTGTTTGTTTTGTTTTTTTTTTACATATATTTCTTTTTTAGGTTGATAACTTTTTGTGTTTGGAAAGTCACACTTTGAAGTCTTATTTGATTTTTTTTTCCCTTCTTAGAGTGTACCAAACGGAATAAATCTAGAAAATCGGCTATTGACTGAGGCACAGGTAATGTCGATTTTTCAGTTCTTGTAAAATAATGTAAATAAATCTTACTGATATTTTTCTCATGTTTTGAATGAAATGACATTTTCACACAAAATAATAGACTTATATGTTTGTCTTCTCTTCTTTGGTGGCAGTATTGGAGGTTTTACCCATTTGTTAGGACATAAATATGTAAACAGAGAGTTGTATCATTTGATGAAGGTTGATGGTAAATAATTCACCATCACTACATTTTTGTCATAGTGACTAGGAGTTACGTCCTGCACGTATCTACCTTCCAATGTTACATTTTTATCATAGCCCTGCCTACTTTTGAGAAACAGTACGCCATTTTGAGAAACAGTACGCCATGTGTGACATGATGCAGTTGGTCAACATGAATTTGACACTCTCACTCAACCAAGATTCATTTAGTTAAAATTTGATTTATCAATGATAAATACATAAATCTTCACTATTTATTCAAAACACTAGGGCCCGACTGATGTGGGGGGGTCCGGTTACCGCTTAATCGGCCGATTTTTAAAAATTTTTATGAAGTTATGAAAAAAATATATATATATTTACTGTAGATATACTGTAGGCTACTGCTCTTCATGCCGACAGGAAGACTGACTGTTCAAACTCGGACCAGAAAAGTGTTTTCAAGCCCACGTTACACATTTCCTGTCCAGTCTCATCTGGAGACATGAGGCTGCCTCAGTAAGAGAAGTAGCTCGATCATGTAATGTGTACTGTTGTTTATTCTACCTTTACTGGCCTGGCTAACAGTGTAGCAAGGCTAGTAGCAGGTGGCTAACTCTAACTTTAGCGTGCATAATACATGGTGTAATATGCAAGCGTGACCGAGACCAGCACAGGGGGGAACATCGTGAAGTGGGTTGAACTGTAACTTGTTGACTTATTGTGTACTTCACAAACTGGTTTAGTTACCGTTGAGACAGACTACTCTCCTCCGTGCGTCCCTGAGCTGCCTGCTTCAGATCCGTCACTCTGCTGTGCTGTGAGGTAGTTAGTGGATGAAGATTGTCACAAGGTCGCTGCGCCATCTACAGGATAAGTCAGGGAACTTTTCAAATGGCGGAAATTTTTCGAAGTAAACCCAATCTTGTTCTCGGCATCTTATTTCTGAAAATATCGGCGAGAATCGGCGAGTTTTGACCAATTAGTCTCAAATGGGCTAAAATTGGCCGATTTAATCAGCTCGCCAATAAATCGGTCGGGCCCTACAAAACACATTGAGTTTATTGGTATTTTTACATAAATCTAAATTTTAATTGTCATTTACATTTCCTGACAAATATGCAGCACATAAAGTTTATTAGCCTGTTTCTGTTAAATCAAATGGATGGAAATTTTACATGCAATGAGGCCTAAGTATCTCTGTGAGTGGGTGCTGCACACCCTCAGAAAGGTGTGAGGGCCCATTCAGTGCTGCTTTCAGCCCAAGTTTTAGTTTCCCTGAAATATCACTGTCTACTACTCTACTTGCTAACCTTATATTTGTATTTTTACTGCTTTTAAAACAAGACATATTACTTGTCCAGGTAAAGCAAGTTTTTCCTGATTGTATCACAATTTTCTTTCTCTCTTCCTCTTTTATAGCACCAAGAGTATCAAAGTGAGCTCACACATGACGCGGAACAGAACGGTCAGGAGGACTGATGAGAGGGTTTTCTGTTGGAAATAAACCGTCCTTTCTCCATATGGTGTCTCCTGTATGGTTGATCCAACAATGGCAAATGATGAAAAGAGGGTATGAAGGAGCCAGAAGGATCTGCTGGACTCACTGCCTGAGGAACTGAATGACTGTGGTTTCCAAAAACCTTGTCTTTCAGATAGGGGGGATAAGCTCTGTGCTTCACCTCTGATATGAAGAGGTTGCCACAAGTACCCACTTGAAAAGGCAACGCCAGTTCATTCAGATGTGAAATGCAACATCAGACTGGGAATAGACTCGGTAGTGCACTGAGCTTCTTGTTTTGGTCAGATGAATTTCCTTCATGCCAGACAAGCTGGTTTCTCCTCTGTGATTTCATAAACAATCATTTGCAAAGTTTCATTGTACAGTATTTATAGATATCTTGTAATACACACCTTATAATACGCAGATGGGTTTCTGTTTCAGGTATTTGGAGTGACAGACTTTCAGAATCATTTGCACTGACTGTGTTCAGCGAAGCTCACTTAAATCCCCTGAGCTTACTCTTCTGTTCGGATCAGTGGATCATATAAAAAAAAAGTTCATATCAGTATAAAAATCTTTTGCCTCCAAGATTTGGCTGATTGAAGACACAGATATAAATCAAGTGCAGAAATACTGTTTGGTCGTAACTGAGCCAGTGTGTTAACGTGATGAGCTGTGAGAACATCCTTCAGATGATGTAAAAAGGTTGTCGAGCGTTTTCTAAAAATCTCCGCCTCTAGGGAAGATTATTTTTCATGAGAAGTCCAAAAGTGTTTGCATATTACTGTCAGTATTGGTGTTAAGCCTCTATATATTTTTCAGACTTGTTACAAACATAAACAATACAAAATAATGCACACTGCTGCTTTTAAAGCTAAAAAAAAAGATGGCAGCAGTAGTCTCACTGGTTAAAGATAAATTTCAGTTATCATAGCTAATATGTTGGAAGGTTATATGTTAACAAAATTACAAGCTTCTTGTAAAATTTGCTGTAAAACTTTCCACTAATAAACACTTAGCTCACTCCCTCCATCCGCTAATGTTTAACTCATCACCTCACGTTGTTTCACACAACTACCAGCTCTCACCAGGAGTAAATATATTGGCATACCACAATGTTCAGTCATTCAACTTTGTTTTTGAAGATTCAAAGTTATTTCTGGAGAGGTTGGGGTTGATTATTTATTTTTTTTGGCAGCATTTTCATAAATATTGTTGTCTATTATGATGTGAAATGAGACTAGAACATGTGATGTCAGCTCTGTTTTTTTATTTTATGTGTTTTTGTATAAAAAGAAATGAAATGTGAAGAAATGACAGTTGAAATAACTAGACTTGGAATATATATATGTATATATATATATTTTTGACTTTTTTTGACCTTCAGCTGTGCTGAATGTACAGTGATGCAGTGCTGTATCACTGTGTATCACTGCCCCCACTTAAAAAACATAAACAGCAGATGAACAGCACATCAAACCTTGGGATAGCTCTCAAGGCAACAAACTGCACCAGAAGAGCTTTCCAGATAGTAAAGACTCTAACTGGAAATAAACCTGAACCCAGTCCAGCAACATCTTTAGAAATGAGAGAAAATCTGACTCAATTTCTAGACTGCTGTGAATCTTGGGACTTCTGCTTTATATTCCATTTAGAGACATCCAATGATTGTGAAGTAACATAAGCTCAACATCCCCTCCTGCCCAATTTATCTTTTGAACAACTTCCTTCATGACAGAAACAAGTTGTTTGAGTAGGCAAGACAACCCAACACCGACACTGGAGCACAACAGGGTTATGCACCAAAGACCGCACCAAATGCTATGTTATATGTAGAGTGAACAAGAAAAAGAATTTTATTGATATTGGTGTTGTAAAGTAACTTTAAATGTCATGTCCCTATGTCCTGTGCTGATTGGTTAAGTGTTTCTTGCTAATCTGTCAAATAAATGGTAAATGGACTATAATTTCTATCTCTTTCTCTCGTCCTCTGACCACTTAAAGCTCTTTAACATAAAATTTCCCTTTCACTCACTCACACACTGACGGTAGAGCCTGCTATGTATAGAGCCCATTAGTTTTGGACTGATCCCATTCATTCACCACTGGGCACAGGTGGGTGGGATCAAGTGCCTCACCCAAGAACACTAAAAAAAAACACAAAACTTACAACAAGACCTACCTTTGGAATTCATACAAACAGCAAATGTAAATATTAGATAATTAATGATTCATTAAGTTACAACAGTACATATTTAAAGACATCATCACATAGGTTTTGTAGCTCTAGACTAGAGTCTTGAATTAGTGACAAGGAGGTAAAATAAGATTTAAGTTCTGTTTTAAACAATGCAAGGGATGGATTTTTATTTTGCCATTTAATTTTATGGATGTGGTATTTACCCATAATTATTATTATATTGCAAATTTTGAAAAAAAATGTTTGGCATGTTGTAATTTCCATACAGCACTTGTTCCAATTTCAAGTGTGCAAGTTTGAGTGTGCAGCACAAAACACATGGCTCCACCTCGAAACCGAACCTATTTTTAAGGATTGTTGCTGGAGGATAGTAACCATTGATTATTTTAAACTGCATTACCTTGATTTGAGGGGAAATTGGCCATTTAATAAATTTTACCCATTTATTGGTTATTTTTCATCACTATTATACATTTTTACATTTCTATCAAAGTTATGAAATAGTTGTTCTTTGAGTAATTTATTAATAATATTATTTTTGCATTTTTTTTTTCAAGTAAAGAAACCTGGTTTAACTGTATTTTAGGCAAGGTTATTGTTCCTTTCGAGCAATGCATGTAATTTTGAATTATATTTAGTAAAGAAATAGATATTGCTTTGGAAACCTTTTGGCACTCTCTTTTTGAACTTTGAATGTTATATCCAGTTTTGAACTCAGGGAAGCTAAGGATCGGACCATGACCATCTTGTACGTCTGTGATAAAAATGATATCTTTTTCATACCAACTTTGAATTACCGAGAGCTTTTTGGCTTCAAATCCGTATACTGGTGGAAGGCGGAACCAAGTTGTCCGTAGTAGCTATATACAGACTGTGCTCTAAATAGGCCTCTGAACCATTTTCTTTTTGTTATGCTGTTGAGAAGGACTTGTTTTGTTTGATTTATTTTCCGGACTTATGTTTGGATTGAGAATTTTTCACAGACCTAAGTTCTGTATTGATATTATTTTAAATAAATATAAAAAAAATAAAAAAATAAAAAGAAAGACGAAGAAGAGGCGGAGGAGGAGGAGACGGAAGTGACGTCACAGTTTACACCAGTAGCACGTACCCGGCTTGAACAGACAGGTAAACTCATTTCTCACCTGCTCACAGTAGGATAAAGTCAATGAAATATGGACACAGCATAGTATTGAACAGTTTAGTGTCGAAGGAAATGAATTGTCAGAACTGTAATTTCTGCATTGCTACGGAGTTTAAGCTAACGGTATGCTAACATAAGACGTTATGAATGAGACGCGTTGCTAAGGTGACCAGCCATCCAAAAGTTCAGTTTGAGGTTGCGCCACAGTCAGCCCGTCTTGCTGTGTAAAGCGTTTGATACGACGACGGGAGTGAGCGTGGTTCTGTACTGACAAAGCACCAAAACACGTCCTCCTTATACTGTAAAGCTACTTTCAGGCTAAGTGATGAGGCCCTGTGGGTTCCTACCAGGAAGGACCTGATGTCTAGGTCTTCTGTAATGTATAGAAGTAGTGCAGAACTTTTTGGTGTTGTCATATGTTACACTTTGCGTAACGCTGGATTCACAGACTGATTTCTCCTTTAAGCCATGACAACCGACTCGTCCCTCCTTAACTCTGAGCTGGAGTTACAGCAGCAAGAGGAGCTGTACCAACAGCTGCTGCTGCAGGTAAGACTTACTTACAGTGGATTCATTTTATGTGGGTATACATACATTTGCGCTCAACAGCATTCACTGTGACAATAAATGAAGACTGCCGGGAAAAAAGCATGAATATGTTAGGTGTGCTCATATAAACTTGTGATGAAGAAAGTTTATATGAGCACACCTAACATATTCATGCTTTTTCCCCTCCAGTCTTCATTTATTGTCACAGCTGTATTGACACAGCCATTACAGCAGTGGAGTTTTGAGAATGACACAAATATGACTTTTCACAAAGTCTGCTGCTTCAGTTTTTTATGATGGCAATATGCATATACTCCAGAATGTTATGAGGAGTGATCCGATGAAATGCAATTAATTGCAAAGTTCCTCTTTGCCTTGAAAATAAACTTAAAGGTGGGGTAGGCAGGAATCCATTAAAGAAGCATCTTTTTTCATGGTGTATATACAAAAAAGCTTTTAATATCAGCCAATAGTCATTAGTTATTGATGACATTTGGTAATATAACAATATTGCTGTGTTTTGTTATGTCTGTGTAGTCAACATTTTGAAATTTGAGCGGCTCACTCTTTCTGACTGTAAACAAAGCCATTCCACGCCTCCCCCATCCTGATTGGCTGTGAGGCAGACGCTGCTCCCCTGTGTTGTTCTGTAGCCCAAGTAAAGTTAGCGTGCTACAATAACCGAAATAGCCGAAACCCTAATCCATGCTTTCATAACATCCAGACTAGATTATTGCAACTTCATCTTATACGGCTCATTATCCAAAGTCCTCAATAAACTCCAATACATTCAAAACTCTGCTGCCCGCCTGCTCACCCGCACCAACTCCCGAGAACACATCAATCTGCACTGGCTCCCCATCCCAAACCGCATACAGTTCAAAATCCTCCTGCTCACCCACAAATCACTCAGCAACCTGCCCCCCATCTACCTCACAGACCTGCTCCACCACTGCAACTGTTTTTTTTTTTCATTTTATTTTCTTCTTTTTCTTTGTAAGGCGTCTTTGAGCACCTGCAAAAGCACGTTAGATATAAAATGTATTATTATTATTATTGTGAAATGTTTGTAATTATACTTTAGTATAACATAGAAACATCTGACAAAAAGATCTAAAAACACTGAAGCAGCAGACTTTGTGAAAATTAATCAGTTTTCCTTTTAAAAATTGGATTTTATATCAATGGTTGAAACCTGTATTATAGACGGTGTAAAGTTATTTCAAATGGTGGATAAGTGAAGCTAAAGCATTAACACTGCTTGATAAATCCACCTCTTTTCATTGTGCTAAGACCCCATGCTTTTCTAATAACTGTATTTAGCTTGCTGATAAGTTGATCCCATGTATCAAAACCACATGGATCTGCAAACTGTTACTAAGCCTGAAAAAAACTGTTGTTCCTTGATCCAGACAATGGGAAAAATGCAGACTGAAAATCCAGACTCCAAAGTCATTCGGCCACTTCCTGGTAAGTGTCTAACAAGCACATTTGGAACCAGTTCCTTCTTGTGTTGAATTTATTTCATGTATCTCTTACCTTACATGTGTTTTTGATTTTTCTTCTTCACCCTCCCTTCCTTCTCTCCCTCCTCATAGGCATGTGTGTAAAGACCATCTCAGAGCCAGGCAAACAGAAGATCTTTGTCAACATCTGTCAGTCACATTCAGTCCCACAGCCACCAGAACTAACAAGAGAAGAGCTTGTGGAGCTGCTACAGTCTGAAGATCCTAGTGGTTACAGAGTTCCCATGAGCCTTGGCGAGCCACACACTGAAATAGACAACAGTAAGTGACCGCGGGCCTGTTGAGATTTTTATGTTTTTTTCAGCATGATGACACAAATGAATAACTTTTATGTACTCCTTTATTTCCATTGATCATCCTAGCTTTACAGACTAATGCTGTGTAAAGATTTACCTTAAATGACTTAAAAAGATGACTGCAACACATCCTAGTTGTGGTGCACAACCCCAAAAATTTATGCGACACAGACCTAAGTGCAATGTCCACCTCAGCAGGGGTCGTATTGAGGCAGAGGGGAAGTGACACTCAGCACAGCTGCATGTAGTATTTATAATTATGCTCATAACGCAGCAGATCGCATCTGAAAATGTCAGGCTACACAGCAAGTGTATGTCCAGCCCTGTGAGATACTAACAAAAAGGCAAAGTGCTCCATCTAAATGACAAGAAAATTACAAACAGCCTGTTGCAACATACAGTTGAAACCAGAAGTTTACATATCATATGGCCGACATATCACACAAAAAATGTAAACATGATAGGAATGAACAAATGAATGAATTCATCTTGGAAATGAATGAGACATGTCTGGTGCATGTTAAAAGCGCATGTTGAACAGTGCTATTTCAGGGTGATAATGGCATCGAAGATTTTTTACACACTATACTTCTGCCAGCATTCCTTCTGTACTTTTGCAGCGGCGACGGTGTTGCTTTTGAGGTTTATGATAGATTTGAATTCTCAAACTGTCATTGGAAAGGTTTCTGTTCAGACTTGTTGGTTCGATTACCCCATCATTACAATACACTTTTGGCTCAGGTCATGATAGCGGCAGGTTATAAAGTTATGTGTGGGCGCATTCTGCTGATGTCAAACTAATCTTTAGGAATGACATTTAGACAATGCCAACTCTGGTTTTTTTTCTTCCTTTTTTAATCTCCTCAGAGATTATTTATGACAGACATTGTGTATCCATCAATTAGACAGACGGTTGAGATCAAATACTTCAAGTGGCCTCGAGAAGAGCCTTGTGACACCTGTTTTTCCTAAAGTCAAGTCGTGGGTGGATGAATAAGACTTTGGTTGTACAAGAGGAAAAATTCCTAAATAAATTAATGTCACATGTGAATGTTGGATCTCTTTTTTTAAACTACATAAAGCAGAACTACATTTCAGCCAATTTTATGGTATTCTTTGTTATTATATTTGATTATCAAATTCTGTGACTGCATCCATTTTTCTGCCTCATTGAAATCAATCAGCTCACCAAAGCTGAAGCTGTAACTCTTAAAACATCAGAGTACATTTCTGGATGAGAAGTGGTGCATTCATCAAAGCACTGTTGGATCATTCAGGACCATGTGCTCATTTTCTGAAGCTCTTGGCAAACAGGAAATGCTTCTCAATCACAGCCAGATCTCATCTGTGAAGCCATAGATCTCAAGCAGAGGAAGCCTTCTTCCTGTAGTTCCCAGATTTATAGATACTGAGAGTGACATTTTAGATTCATGCTCAATTTGATTACTGACCACACTCTGATTTAAAGTGCTGGACTTTCACTCGTTCTCTGGTCTTTGTTCCAACATTTGACTCTCCTTAACAGCTGTGGGGATGATAGCCAGGAAGTATTTAGCCCAGAGATAGAAATCTCTTTGACCCAGGTCCCAGTTTTGTCTTGATAGTCCTCGTGACTCTAGAGCCTGCCCTACTTCACTAGTGACACTTTGAAAACTTCAAATACAGTACAGAAAAATACAGAAAACTTAAAAATACAATATTTTTAATAATTGTCAACATTATTATTATTATTGTTATTGTTATTGTTATTATCATTATTATTATTGTTGTTGTTGTTGTTATTATTATTATCATTATTACTGTTATTGTTATTATTAGTATTTTTGTTGTTGTTGTTGTTGTTGTTGTTGTTGTTGTTGTTGTTGTTATTATTATTATTATTATTAATTGTCGTGTTAGCAGTAGCAGTATCTTTTTTTGTAAGTATATATTTTCTTTTTTAGGCTCTCAAGGTTGCACAGCGTATGATGTTGTCATCAACCAAGACTTCTTCCAGAAATGCCAGGTATGTGTGTGAGAGAGAGAGAGAGAGAGGGAGCTGGAGAGACAGAGGGGTTTAGGTTTGATTGCATATTTGCATCATTACAGGGTTAGTTGTTATTTGCATTCTCGCCTCAACTCAACAAGGCCCTTACACTCATCCATTGTCCGGTTTTATAGAAAGTCAGTCCATGGTTCCATGCCTTTCTTTAGTTAGTATCTAGTATGAGCCTAACTCTTGGCAAAAGCAGTTTTACCACTTTGGTTGCCATGATCTAGAAACTCATTTGAAGAAGTATTATTAATTAGAGAGAGTCTCAGTTTGGTCTAACTGCAGAATTTTGTTGGTTGATGTGTCTCTGCTGATAGTGAAGTAGTACGGCAAGCTTAACAGTCATAACAACAGTAACAGTCAACAGTAACTTGGCAAACTATTTGAAGGAATAAAGAGATTGTTTGTCTAAAATTGCGTACTAAATATCAACTGTAAAAAAGCTGTTGTCTTTTCTGGATTCACTGAAGAAATAATATAAAATTTACTGTTTTTAGTTGTGTCCCTTTGATCAAGCTGTTCAGCTCTTTTTCAATTGTCTCTTAACCTATAGGGGGGTTTTAGATTTTGTACTGATACTGTATTAAGGTTATCTTCCTTTGATAAAAATGCTGTTTAGAACAAACTGAAGTCTCCACCTTTACTTATTTAACTCTATAAGTGTGTGTTTGTGTGTTGCAGAAGGATCCGCTCTTCCAGCAGTTTGTTATTCTAGTGTCTTTAGAGGGTCTGGAGAACAAATACAACCTGGAGCTAAGTAGAGGTTGGTGTTAGTCTGTTTTTTTAGTGCTCCTTATCGGTTTTATAATTATTTAACATGTTTGATGTGTTTCTGCAGACTGGAAGGTGCTGAAAAACAGGAAGTTTTTGGGTTCGATTAATGAACAAAATATCCGGACTAAGAGCAAACCGGTGATCCAGGAGCTGCAGCCTCAGTATGTTACTCTGTCTCTGTTTGAGCTTTGAATAAGATGAAACATGTGTAGCTCCTGGGTGTTAACAGGAATTGGAAGAACACTGAGTCAATGAATTTGATTAAATGTTACAGTCAGGGAATGAAAACTCAGGGCTTTGTTGTATTTGAATCTATAAGTTTGTTTTCTCTCCCCCACTCTCTCTGTCCTGTTACAGGGAAAGCTCCACTGCCACAGCCAAAAGGTAAAGCTCATACGTTTCTCACTTTTTCTTTGGTTCTCTCTGTTTAATCTGTTTATAAGCTCCACTTTTTCCTCCAGTAAGTTTTAGTTATTCTAAACTCATTTCCTCTTCTTCATATTATCAGTCACTCATTCACTATTTTTACTCTCTCCAGACCAGAGTTCACTTTGCTTGTGGAGCCTCCCACCGGTGATCCTGAGTACCTCATTGCAGAGATAAAGCTACCAGGGGTGGTAAGACATACAGTCAACATAACCTATTTTGGAAATAAGATTCAGGACTGCTTAACTGTGTACTCTAAGTCTGTGGAGTAACAGGTCTGCACTGTCATCAGTTAGAGTAAGTTTACTCTTGAGCAGCTACAGCCAGACGTGCTGGAAGGAGGAAACATCCTGCTATTCTCCAGGCGCAAATATTTTTGTCCTCTTATAGTGAAACTCACCTCGAGGTCTTTGTTAAAAAAAGAAAAAAAAAGGATAAAAAAGATGTGACCCTTTTTGAAGATCTGAGCTTTGAAATGAGCCCAAAGCTACTTGAGTGATATCCTAACATCCTTATCTATATCTGACTTAAAATGAGAAGCATATCTCCTTAACGGTTTTAATAGGTGCAGGATAGGGGAGCTTGACAAGGATATTTACAATTATGATATTAATTATGTTAATTTCACTCATATAGCATTTTCCAAAACAAGTTACTAAGTGCTCAATAAGATTCAGAACAAGCTAGGCTTCAGTTATAGTTATAAAAAGGTGGTATACTAGTAAGTAAAAACAGATAAGGAATAATCAAGATCCAGTTATGTGATATAACAACAAATACATGGAGGCCAAGGCCAAGAAAAAGCTATACATGGAGGGAGGCTTTAAGAAATCCGAAACTCTCCTCTATCACCTGGCTTTTTTTTTGACTGTTGGCTTTTTTATTGGTTAAATTGTAAATTAAAGAAGCAATCCCCGTGTTTTATAGACTGTCAAAGGCCAAATGTAAACAAGAGTGAGCGGTCTCAAGCAACGATACATTTTAGTATTTTATCTGGGAACTATTCGCAGGATTATGGATACGTCGCTCTCCGCTGCCCCTGCTGGCCGCCCCCTCTCTGTGCAGAACTGTTTTGCTGACTTTTGTATGCAAAATCTGGCCCACAAAGTTTGAGCTCAACCTCAGTTATGTTTATACAAAGAGACTCTGACTTCTGAAGTTGTCTCTGTGTTTTCTCTGGATCTGATATTATGAAACCACAGCTGTTTGATCAGCACCTGACATTATATTTTCTTCTTTTGTTATTAATGGTTGGTTAGAAAACTGCCTTCAGATGGAAAGTAGTGCCAGGCCCTCGTAAAAACACTCATAGAAAATGACTTTTTTAAAGATGAGGTTATAGTCACATCAAGCATTTGACTTTTCCATAAATCAATAAGCATTTCGATCTTTAAAAAATCAGGATTATCCCAAATTTAAACACCATCAACAGATATTATGTTCTGATTTGGTCACTAACCTATCAGTCGTATATGCTTGCTTATATGATGCTATAAACTGAGTTTTTAACTTGTTTTTTATCTTGTCAGGTTAGAAAAAAGCAGAGTGAAAAAATGATAGTTACACGTCAAGATAAAATCTTGCGTTAATCAATGCACAATGGATTGATGAATGTGACATATATGAAGATGAAATTCTTCATCTCATTCCAAAGTAAACCATGTCATTACATTAACATCACATGTATGGATCCATGGTGTACCTCAGCCTAAACTGTGTTCACTTATCTCCCATCCAGCCATCGTCTCGCTCTCTGGTTTTGGATGTCGGTGAAGATCGTCTGGTGTTAACAGCTCGACCGTCACTCTTTCATCTGGACATTTTTCATCCGTTCTTTATAGACCAGGAGAAGAGTGTGGCACAGTACAACAACAGCACTCAGGTGTCAAACACAAACACAAACAAAAACACACATAGTTTTTACTTTGCAAATCACTCAAAGTGTAACACCAACAGCAAAAAGTGAAGTGGGTTTGACTCTGTGCTGTGTTTGACACAAAAGAAAGGGTCAGCCCCCCAAAAAAGCTTAACTATGGAAAAAAAAACTCAATCTGAGGAAATATTCCTTTATGGAGGAATAAGAAACTCTAACGGCCTTGCATTAAGACACATGCCTATAGTGCAGTGGGTATATTTTCTTCATTAGAGTAAAACTTTTAAAAGAACACAAAATAAAAGAGCAGAGGCGATACAGAAACTCGCTTTACAGCGTGTCAGTAAAGCTTAAAAAGAGTAGAGTACAGTATTTCACCAAATAACCAGTTAAACAAACTACTCACACATGTCATGTTTGTTTGTTCCTGTGTTCACAGATCCTTACAGTCACCATGCCTGTGGTGTCTTCATGAGACTACACAAGTTTTCTCCAGTGATTTATGTCTCACTCAAAAAAGATGCCAAAATAATGTGATTTTTTTTTTCTATTTAAATAAAACCCAATTTTTCACTTCTTTGTTTGTTTACTTTGGGTGAAAGAAGTCAGGGTAAACTGTTACATTAACTGATTGTTAAAATGAATAAATACACATAACTGCCATGAAAAACTTGAGAAACACAAGATACGAGATACTTGTGCTCTAATGAGAAGACTTGAGAGCTGAGTAAGAAAAACTCTCATTACTGTTATGACCTGATGGGCCTCCTATAAAAGCTGTAAAATTAGAGGCTCAGTCTGATAATCCAATATCAGCAACACAGAGCCCTGACTAAATTTTCGAAAAAAGAAAGAGATGACATCTTACAAAAACAAGTCAATAAATTTGAGTTTCAAGAGGATTCTGCACACCTGAACTTCATCTTTTAAATGAGGGAACAATTTAGTTAGGTCCACCTCTTTCTTCCTGCCTTAAACCTCCTAACACTGGTGGCTGAGAAGTGCAGCCAGAACGGTGATCACTACAATCTGAACCGGATGCATTGCAGCCTAAACTAGGATCAGCTCGAGATAAAGTGTGGTTACTCTCCTCTTTTTATGTGTGGAGCTTTTCCTGTGAGCAAGAAACCTCCCCTTTCATGGAAAAAATGAATGAGTGAAGCAGTCATCCTTCTATTTCTGGGTCTGCTAGCCTCCTCCCTCACAACTCTTTATGTCTCTCCACCTTACTGGTACTGATCATACACATCTGTTACCCTAGCTCAGCACTTAATTTTGCGTCCAGAGGCAGAAATGCTGTGAATTTTCTCACGGACGGTTGAAAATAGAATGTTTTTGCATATTGTGAGTGGTACTTCTGGCATGGATTATTTTAAGACTTCCTGGTTGTTTTGAAATAGAAAAAGGGAAATGAATATATTTTAAAAAAACCTAAGGGCAAGTAGAGACAAGACTGTTAGACATTTGATAAGTCTCTCCTCATGCACAAAACCACAGTGATATATTATGGAGTAAAACAATAGCCACAGAGGAAATCAAAGCAGGTCTAAAAATAGAAGGGTGACTTCTTCACTTATTCATGTGGGGGGTGATGTTGGGGTTCTGGTGGGACTCTCTTTCACATAACAGCTCACTCATTGTGTATCATCCCACTTATAACCCTGTCACCAACTAAAGACACAAACAAGTTGACACTAAGTGTTAATTCAAAGATGTTTTTATTGAATTAAAAATGATTAAATATCCAGCTAAAACGCAACAGCTGCCATTGCAACTTGTTAAAGGTGCTAATTTTTTTGTATATTTTAAAAAACAAGTTTCCTGTGTTGAAGTAATCCTCAAATGGGACTTTGGGGAGCTCTCAATGGCTCAATCATGATGTCACATGAGAATTCAGCGAGATCTACATGAGATATGATGTTGTGACATCACCAGGCTGCGAATCGCCTCAAAAAGGCTAATTTATCATTTTATATAAAGAAACAGAACTATGTTTCATGGCAACAGTGAAAGAGGCCTCTAGCATGCTGGGTTTTGGAATGCTGGGGCAGCCTTCAAAGGACAGAGGCAGAAATATGAGTTTTCATAGACAGCAGCGTGAAATATGTGAAGAGTTTGTTGAACTGTTACTCATGTAAAGCTGCTAAGAAGATATCAGAGGGATGATATGAAGACAAAAATAATTCCAACACCCTCTCTGTAATATCAAACAACATGCAGGTGAAATTGACAGTAATAATAGCATTATCACGGACATTGAAGTCTTAGAATGAACCACCCTTCCTGTTGTAAATCACAACACTTTCATTTATGGTTACATTTAAACATCATATATGATCATATTCTTAAAAGATGAAGAAAATAGCGGGACATCTTCTGTTGGTGTTTTCACTAAACCTGTCCTGTTACACTGTCTAGTCTCACACCATGTTGTAGTTTGTTGCTGCTTCATGTCCACTTTTTTAAAGTTGGTGGACATCTTCTTTGTGATTCAGCTCCTTGTGCGTCTCTTGCAACTGTACTGCATGTTTTCCAAGATAAGTTCAGAGTGACATCCGAGATATAATCCATGTTGTCACAGTGTGACAAAAAGGTGAAACCATGATCTTAAAAAAGTCTCATGCTGTGTCCTGTTGTGTGGTTCTCTCTTTATCTATTTCTATTCTTGGTTTTATTAGTATTGATTCTTCACCTTTAATACTTAATGGTATTTATTTAATTCTAAGTGTATATCCCTTTCGAATATTGACTGATGTTACACCTTTATATTTTTACTTTGAGTGGTATCTAGATTATCTTTATCATCTATATTTCTAGCATATACAGTATTCTCGTTATGCTGACCACAGGTTGTGAGGTAAATTTGAAAGAACAGAGGTAGAACCATCATTGTCTCTGAAACAGTAGCTTCTCCTCTTTCCCTCTCTCCCCTGCCAGTTCTCCCCTGCCAGCTGTCTCTCCTACCATCACTCACACCCGCCTCCCCTTTTATTTTGTCATCCCCTTCTCCGCCTGCTGTGATGCACCCCTCCATTTGTCCAGTGAAGTCATCCCTCTGTTCTCCCTAATCCTACGAGGTGCTTATCTTTCTGCCTCTGCTTAATCCACCTGTGGCCCCCAGCCCTGACCACACATACACACCCTCAAATCTGCACATTTGTGCACACATACTCACAGTTATTCTTGTATTGTACATTTGGGCACTCAGTCATTCTCACAGCATGCAAACACACATAGATATTTAAACAGCCCCCCCACACACATACACTGCCCTTCCACCTCTCTGTATAAAACTCCCTCTGTCCCCGTCTCTCTGTCCGTCTCCATCTGTGACTGGTGATATCACACCTCCATACAGGTAGGTCTGTTTGTCCATCTCTAATATGCTGTCTTATGGTTTCCTTCTTTCAGGGGGAAAATCTTTTCTAAATCAAACTACAGGGTTTTATTGAGCATGACAGCCATGGGACTGTCAGAAACCCTAATATACTAAAGTAAAGAAACAAAAACACACACATAGACTGTAGTTTACCTACAGGATTTCTTACGCTACTTAATGTGTCTGCTGCACTTGGTTTTGCTCTTGTGATCATAGCAGCGGAGATTTTTTCCTCATTTGAAATTTAAGTGTATGTTTTTTTTTTTTTATTACAGACCAAACTGAAATGAACAGAAATCAATAGCTACCTTCAGCATAATCAATACTAGCATATAACTTTACCTACTGCAGCCACTGTGTTAACTGGACTTTTCACCCAAATTACAAAGCAGCTACATGAAACTTTGGTCAGTGCCGAATCTGCTATAACCTACTGCATCATTTCAGTCCAGAACAATTGAACTATTCATCCTGGTCACTGTCACCAGTGTTTACATAACGGTCTGTGAACTCCATAGTCAGCAATTGATATATTCTTCAAAAATGGTATAGCACCAGTTAGTGAGAAATAAAATCATGAGACCACATGTGCAAATATGAGACATTGCTTTTAGAGCGTGACAAGTTTAAGTGCACTCCTCTCCTTTCTCTTGTGTGTTTGTAAAATACTCGGCTGAGCTGTAACACATTGGCAGTAGCCCTGGCTCTTCTATTTTTTTTTTTTTTCTTGCACACTTGTAATTCAATTGCAGAGGAAATTCCACCAGTGACGCTGAAAAACACAACTCATTCCTCTGTCTACTGTGGTACTGTGTATCGGTTCATCTCCATCATTTTTGTTATATCAGCCCCACTTTGTTTGCTTGCTGTGTGACAGTGTGAGATCTAAAACTGGCCCAACATTAAATAACAGCTCATACTAAACTATGTTCACTCTCATCGTCCAGAAGGCTCTCATTGGAGCTGTCATCATAGGTAGAAATCATCACTATTACAGCACTCTTAGCTAGTTTGAGTTTCCTTCATCAGGGCGAGCTATCGAACTCTGACAGCCAGTTAGGCTTTTACAACTTCAGTTTGTGTGTGTGTGTGTGTGTGTGTGTGTGGTTGGCAGCTGGGTGTCCAGCCCACCGTCCTTCACATTTTTCCTTTGCTTCTTTGTTCACTGCCAACCACATACACAAATGCTAGCAGTCTGATGTCAGGCTAGCTAACTTTAGAAGATACTAAACAGCTGTCTGCTACACAAATGTTATCTATGCAGTGGGTTGTGTGTGAGTGTGTGTGCATGTGCGTGTGCGTGTGTGTGTGTCTAGAACAGTTACCGTGGCTTGATCAGGTCAGTGTCAGGTCCCCTGTTTATCGTCTGGTTAGCGGCCCTTCTCTTTTGTTGACTTGATGGTGTGAAATTTTCGTCCGGTCACACCTTTAATGACACGCCAAATATTTTTACTGAGGCGTTCTCTCAAGCAACACTGTGGTCATTTTCCCAAATAATTTCCCACTTCAAAGGAAATCTCAGCGCTCAAACTCAGTTTTAATAACTTTTTTATTAAATCGACATCACTGTTATTTCTCATAATGTAGTCTGTATGTTGGTGTAGTTTTTGCTCAGTTTTCAGCTAGTGGATCTTGTTTACTTTTCCCTCCCCTCCTCTCTAGACGCCATCCACTGCCAACAATAGCCTCTCTTTAACGCTAATAATGTATTGTTGGGCGCTGACTCTACTCACATACACACACATTGCCCTTGACTAAAATAAACCCTGTTGAGGCCTGAGTCTGGAACTCGACTCTTCTCTCAAATCCCCTTGTCAGGTCAGGACTTGTGTCCCAACCTTTCACCACCACACTCTCCAGCTCAGAGCAGGCGGTTTTACTCTCCACATCATCCCTCTTTTGAACTTGGCTTACCTTTGTGTAAGGGACAAACCAAGGCCTTGAGTCTGTTTTGGATTTCATTGGCTGGCATTGTTCATTGTGGCTATCCCATGTGCCCCTCATGCACCGCTGCTTTACTGTTAATACTATCAACTAACCTGTGCAAATATTAGACACATATTTCAATGTAAAGTCATCAGTACTCATGTCACATGAAACGTTAGACTCGCCCATGTAAAGACATGCAGCAACATGTAACATAGGAAGTCTGGTGTAACACTACAGTGGAAACAATGCAGACACATCATGACATATTCAGCCGATGTATATAAAAACGTTAGACTCGCCCATGTAGACATGCAGCAACATGTAACATAGGAAGTCTGGTGTAACACTACAGTGAAAACAATGCAGACACATCATGACATATTCAGCCGATGTATCACCTTCTGATCAAGCAGTTGCTTGCTTACAAGGGTTTTAAAATATGATGCAATGGCCAATGTTACCTCTGTTTTCAGTCAGTCTGCTGTTCAGTCCAGATTAATGTCTCATTTTAAAATATTTCAAACAAACAAGTGAGACTGAACTTATTTGTAGAGATCAAAAACTAAGACAAAGTGAATGTACCTTTCTTGAAATGGGGATAATAGTTTAGTTTTCAGGTTTTTTTGTATGGGTTGCTGGAACAGCTGTCAGCTGTTAGTGTAGTAGAGTGAGCCATAACATATTGGACGAACTGCTAATCATGAGCTAAGAACCTCAAGACCCTGTAAGGCTGAGGTGAGCTGCAGACATGGCTGATAAGTCTTCGCAGGCTCATCATCACATCAGAAGTGTCTCTTTGCCAAGTTGGTGTTCTCTTCCTCTTTTCAGTCAATATAGACCACTCATAATCACCACAAAGTCACCACACAGTTAGACCAGAAATTCTAAAATGGCAAGTCCGTATTTCTAGCTTTGGACTAAAGAAGTTAAAACTGTAAAGACATTAAATGTGCCTCTCAAGGTGCATCTGTGAATGCAAACAGGAGGATTAATAACATTACACGGAGGACTGGAGTCTCCTTTTAATGCCTTTGACAGGACTGACCATGTCCGACTGTATTAAACTGCTGGACCTGGCATGGTGATGGGCACAACAACAGACAGAAGAGAGGGGCAGTAGAGCTGTCAATGACAGTTACTGACTGCATAAATGTGACCCCACAGTCACAGGGCTGCTCTGAATTCTTCCTGCTGACAGAGAGATTAGGAGCGGTAGGACGTCAGGACACTGTGTAGAGGGAGAGCAGATGGAAAAGGGACGTTTGCATTTTTTACCACCTTTTTAAAATCAGATTTTAGATAACAAGGAAGGAAAAATTTGGCATTTAGGCACATGAGAGCAATGACATTACAGTTATGAATTCTGCCATATTGATGAAAATGTTCGAGATCTGTCATTGAATAGTAATTGATGAGATACATGAGATTTAACACATGCAATGGAAAAACAAAAGGTGTGTAAGAAAACTTTTATTTTTGTGAGACTTGAGGACTTTAAACTCCATTTTTTTCAACATAAATTTGCCCATCCAGTTCCCAGAAACAACACAGCCAAGAGAGAAAGGGTCAGGGAGGACAGAAGTCGAGTGAGGGAGACAGAGACAGAGGAAACTGGAAAGTGAGAGAAACCTCATCCCTCCTGGTCTTTCTGCCTTTAACCCTTGTCAAATTCTCACCTGTTGATGCTCCATCAATCTCCACCTGCCCCTCTGCCAGGACGGTGTCAGCACACACCCTCTGTATCTGTCTGCCTGTGGATGGTTTTATGCCAGGACAATGGCAGCTCAGAGGGACAATTTATAGCTGAACAATCTTAGTTTGCATATGTTCTCTTTTTATATCTTCACAGTTGTTAATCATAGGATAAGAGGACGGTGTGTGGTTGTCTGCGTGATGTCTCCAAACAAATCTACTGTGTCACAGTCAGTAAAACTAGAACATTAACACACCTTTCTTGGGTAAACAACCATCAAATGCAGTAATGCATAATCGTAGACAGTGTGTAGATTCTTAGTAGATATTATTCTTTTGGTTGTGACCCACAGCTCATGATCATAAGTAAGGATTGTAACGTAGATCATCTGGTAAATCAAAAGCTTCACAAACTTCCCTTCACCATGACGGCCTAGTGCAACGTCCTTATTATCGATACCCCTGTCAATCTCACATTCATTTTTACCTGCACTAGTGAATAAGACCTCAGACCTAAGGTATTCAAAGACCTTCACTTGGGGACTCACTCCAAACCCAAAAGACAGCAATCCACCTTTTTCCCGCAGAGACCCATGGCCTCAAAATTAAGGGGTGCTGATTCTCATCCCAGTGGCTTGACACACTGCAAACAGCCCCAGTGCCTGCTAGAGGTCACAGCCCGAAGATGCCATCAGGACTATGGCATCTGTTTGAATTCATCGGCTCCGAAACCGTAGACCCTCCTACTCCTAAGTCCACGACACACATGAAGACACATGAAGACTGGATGGGCAGTCTTGCTCACTTCAGGAATTTTGCAAGGGTAAAAAGTTGGTCCACTGTACCACAACCATGACACTGCATGGTTCCTCCAGGGTGGCCAGGCGCCAAGTGGACTAATAAACCACCCTATGCTCAAACATGGCATTTGTTATGGCCAATCCATGACCTGCACAGAAGTCAAAATACGAAGCACAACTCAGGTTCAGATCAGGCAGGCTGTTCCTCCCAATCACCCCTCTTCAGGTGTCTCCATCATTGCTCATGTGGGCGTTGAAGTCCTCCAAGAGAAATTTGGAGTACTCTCTCATAGCTCTTTCCAGAACCCCACCCAGAGACTTGCAAAAAGGTCCCTTTACACAGAGGTGCTCAACTGGGAGCTTGTGAGTAATGAGGTCAGATTAGTAAAGGAGCCATGCCTCCAGTTGCAATGGCAACAACCTCTCTCTTGCAGGACAGAAAGTTGTCATTTGTAACAGCAGTCAGCAGTCAATTCATAATATTACATAATATATTGTATATCACCACATACAATTTTTAATCTTATTTATGTATTTAACAGTCCTGTCTCAAATAGAGCCGCTGTCTTTAGGTTCAATAACCTTTTATCATTTAAATTCATTCTCTGCTGATGTGTCTCTCTGTTATCTTGTTGATTTGATTGTCATGTTTTTCCTCTACCTGCAGTCATGTCAGATGTAGAAGAAGAGTACGAGTGAGTAAAGATCCATCTTTCAGTGCCAGTCACATGGTATCAGAATAAGTTACATCCACATTGATACTGACTGATGCTTCTTTTTATTTTTTATTTTTCCATGATCTTTACAGGGAACAGGCGGAGGGTAAGTTTACTATAACATGAGCCTTTAAAAATCTCTTTAATATCATTATCATTGAGGACTTAAGTGAAGTACGAAATCAGAGTCATTTCTTTGCGTCTGTAGAGGAGCAGGAGGAGGAGCAGCAAGAGGAGGAGCCTGAGCCTGAAGAGGAGGATGGAGGAGGTAAGGTTTGAGGACTTTCAGACTACAGGGTTGCAAAGAGAGTCCGGAGGTAAAACAGTGTAAATAAATGTGTCTTTCAATGATGCATAATCTTTCTTGTTCAAAGAAGCTTTCCATGAATCAAGCAGTGGGTTAGGGTTGACTGTGGGCTAATTCTGGTCTTTTAACTTTCCCCTTTATCATGCTCTTCCTCACATCATCTGGGCTTGGGCTGATAGGACAGCAAGAGTACCAAGGTAGGGTAACTTCATCATCAGTCACGGCTTTAGACACTGTTTATGGCTCAATCAATGACCTAATACAGTAAAATTTTATCTATATGGAAGTTATTTCATAAAAAGAAGACATCTCGATGTATCATTGTCTTTTAGCTTATTGTTTTGGTTTAGTCAAACCATCAACCTAAAAGTGCTTGATTCTGATTGATCAAAACCCCATAACGTCGGTCCTTGATTCAAAAGGTACCATTGGGGACAACCTGATTATCGCTGATCACCTGTTGATGTCACTTATTGACAATATGAAACTGTTATTGATACTCTGGTTGGACAACATGATGTATAGTGAGCTGCAAATCCAAGCTCTGCATGACTGAGGACCAACATCTGGAATGATTTTATTTAAAAACAGAACAGTTGGGTTAACAAACCCAAGTTGCTAGAAAAATCCCACCGTTGTGTCTTCTGTCAAAAGAAAAGCTTCACTTTTAAAATTTGTACAATGTTAATCTCTCTCCATTGCTTCAAATATCTCATCTGTTCTTACCTGTTCTTACATTCATTATTATTCACATGCACATGAAAGATGAGCAGATATGAGTCTCTGTTAAACAGAAAGATCTTTTGGCCTTGGTCAAAGTAAATGCATAACATTAACCTTTAAAGACACACCTGGCAAATAAGAAGTAAAACACTGTAAGAACAAAGTCATTTGTATGTGCATCCTATATTAATGAATGCTTATGCACAAAACTACATTTCCCAGCAGCCACTGTGGGCAATACAATGTGGCTCACTTTGCATGAGTAGGAAATGAATGTTTTGAGCAATAGTTACACATTTTGGAAACAAACACTTGAATTTTCTCTTTTGCTAAGAGTTTGAAGACAAGTTTGGAAACCACTCTCACATTGAAAAGCTTCAGGAAGCAGCTAGTTTGGCCTCAGAGTCAATCAGCAGATTTTATTACGTCTGGGCTGAATCAGTCAAGTCTTTGTGCTCAGCTTAGCTTAGCTTTGTTTAGCTAACAGTTGGGTAACACTTTACAATAACCATGATTTATAAATGGCAAATAGATAGTTTATTAATGTAAGTTAATAGTTACTTTACCATTACCAAGCAATGAAATTGTGATTAATAATTTTCATTAATCATCAATGGACTACTTATTAAAGGTTCATATAGGTTTAAATATTAGTTGTAGAACATCTAGATTAAAATGTGTGTCAGGAGCACTTTGTAAATGGTTTATATTTGTTTTTTAAACCATCAATAAACATTACTCAGATGGTTATTGTAAAGTTGCTACTGATGTTTGTAATACTTTGTAAATGATTAATAAGAGGTTTATTAACCACCAATAAACATTACTTAGATGACTATTGTAAGGTTAGGGTTAGGTTTTTAAAATTGTAAAATTTTCAATTTATTAATGGTCTATATGCTATTTATAAATGATGATTAAACATTAATAAACGATCTGCTTACCATTTATAAATGGTCTATTTACCATTTATGAGTTCCTCCGTATTGTAAAGTGTTACTAACCGCTGTTTCTGGTGTCCATTTTCTTGTCTGACTTGAAGCAAAAAAGGAACCAAGCATTGTTTTCAACATGCCTAACTATTTGTTGAAGTTGCTGCAAATGCTATTTTGGATATTAACTTTGGGTTTATCTCAATCCACCCACACATCTTTCCTTGTCTTTTCATGATTCCCAAATCTTTGACTTTTCACTTTTTCATTTTTTCGCCCCCTGATCCCTTGGGGCGTTACTGCTCTCCTTCTGTCCATACTGCCATTTATCTCTTGACCGTGTATCCCTCTGCCTTTACACCTTCTCTCCATCAACTGCATCTGTCCCTTAAATTTTCTTCCTACCATTTCATCATCCCTCTCTTTCTACAATACTCTCCATTTCTCCCCGTCACCGTTTTATTCCACCACTCTCCTGTCGTGTGACTGCCATTAATAACTCCTTGATGGCTCCATGTGTTATTTCTATCACCATCCTTCCATCTTTCATCCTGTCTCTATGTGGCCGGTCCATCAGATCAAGAAGCCCAGGAGGAAGGTGAGAATTAGTAGACGCGTGGTTCCCGAGACGTAAGACCCACAATCCCCTACCCAAGCTAGGTTGGCTAACCAAGTCCCTTTCTCCTTAAATGAGTCCTCTAACATGTTGAATTTGGATTTTTATTTTTTATAAATCCCACTGGAAGTTAGTGTTTGACTTTATCATGAAATCGGGCCTCCTTACACAATAATTAAATCTTTTAGCTGCTAGAAAATAATAACCCTTGATTCAGAAAAAGCGTGAATAGAAAGGCTCAGCATAAACCATAAGTGTGAAGGAGTTTAGCTTGACCTGTGATTGGTTAGAAAGTTGATTTCCGGTTTCAACACTATCCGTGCTTTTTTGTTTGATTGTAACTTACAAAAGGCATGACTTTCTGATCTCCCTTTGCATTCCTCTGTTACATGCTTGCGGTGCTTTGAGCAATATTAACAATTGTATAAATTTCAGACACCCAAATAGGCTTGTATCAGTATTTTCATTCACTAATGCAAACATTTTCCCTTTATTTCTCTTCATCTCACCAACAGAAGAGGAGCGCCCCAAACCCAAGTATGTACCTTTGTTTTGTTGCTGCAGATTGTTTTTTTTTTTTTTTGTGGTGGCGAGTATCTTAAAAAATGATGTTATCCCACTTTCTGTCCTCAGACCCATGGTGCCACAACTTGCCCCTCCGAAGATTCCTGAGGGTGAGAGAGTAGACTTTGATGTAAGTTAGAAGACTTGTTTTTCTCCCTTTTCGACTCACTGTCATTCCTCTCAAAGCCAGCATGTTTGTGTTACAGAATTGTGCGGGATTATCTAAACAGGCCGTCACTCCATTGTGCTTCGCTTTCCTGTTGTTGTCTTTCTTGATTTTGAGGAGGAGGTGAAATCTTAAACAGGGTTTTTCACAGGGAAACGTACTTTGTATTGAACTTTAGATTTTTCTGCAACAACAAAAAATCTGCAAAAATAAATAATGAGCTATTATTTCCATACAAATAAAACACATATCTTCCTATACAAGTATTTTTAAGCTGTTTTTTTAAGCTTGCATAAAAAATCCTAAGATTTTACTGACAGAACACACCTCCGACAGACTGGACTGAGTTTATACAGCCTTTTTTCTGGTCGTCTGACCACTAACAATATTTCTACATTCGAAATATGGACTGGATAAGGCTAACATGAGTCCCAGACTCTGAACCAAAGCCGATCTTACATGATATGTAAATATCCCAAAGTACAGTAAGTTAAACTTTTGAGGGCCAAACTAAGCTGTAAGGACACCCAAATATTGTAATCAGGGCTGTCAAAGGATTCATTTTGATCTCAGCTGCAAAATTTTAATAGTTAATCAGGATTAGTCACATTTAGGAAACTGTTATTTAGTCCTTATTTACTATGAATGGCATTGCCAATGTCTTGATTCGTGAATCAAATGAAGACTTCATGGTTTTTACTCTGAGATCTATTATATAAATCAATGATGCCCTGTTTAACCAGTGTGTGAACCCATGACTTAGAAGTAGAAGACGGCTGCAGAGTGCACAAATATCTAATCAGTGTCAGTGTCCCGTGAGCTTGGCACTTGAGCTCTCCCAGTGGATAAAACAACAAACATTTGTCTCACCAGGACATCCACAGGAAGCGCATGGAAAAGGACTTACTGGAGCTGCACACCCTGATTGACGTCCACTTTGAGCAGAGGAAGAAGGATGAGGAGGAACTTATCAGCCTCAAAGACCGAATTGTAAGTTAGAGAGGTCATGAGCTGTGCTAGCTCTTACATGGAGTTACAAAGAATAAATCCTTTAAAGAAATGTCTTAACATTGGTGTTTAAACCACCCAGCCACCCTATCGATGTTTGGTAGCACTACCCACCAAACATCTTTTTAACCTTGTCTTATTTCTTTAGCAAAGAGACTTGACACGACTCACCTCCTCTCCTCCAGCAGCCGCTTGTTTGTAGTGAGACCTCGGACCAGTCCATCATCGACTGAAGCGGGGTGACGCAGCTCAAGGGATAACATTTATGATTATTTCTTTATCATTTCCTTAAAGTAATAATCATTTTAATCATTTTGCACTGGAGACGTGGTAGTTCTTCAGCCTTAGCGTCTCGGTCTGATTGCATTTCCATGCATTTTCTTTGCTTAAGAAATCAGGCAAAGCTAAAAAGATGTTTGGTGGCTAGTGCTATGGCTAGGACCCTATATGTACTGTTGATGAAGTTAGGTGCTGTTCTGAGCATTATTGTGGCTATAGAGTGGTGTTTTGGTTGAGGTTTGTTTATAGCCCCTCAGACCACTGTGTTGCTACCGTGCGGTCGTTACTCAAGTCGGTATAACTAGAGAAGCAAGCAGTCGGCAACATTCATTTCTTGAGGGGGTGTCTAACTCGATGTTAAAGTGTGTTTGACCCTAAATTAATTTTATGCCGAATTGAATTCAATGCTTTACAGATTGCATGGAAATGTTTTATCCTGTCTTTGTTTTCCTTTAGGAGCGTCGCCGGTCAGAGCGAGCTGAGATCCAGCGAGTTCGAGCAGAAAAGGAGAAGGACAGACAGAACAGGATTGCGGTAACAGACCCAAATCCTGCCCTTTTTGGAAAAATCTACAGTTTCTTCAACTATCCGTAACCACTTTTTTCAATTTCTGGATGAAAACTCACTTTTCAGGAGGAGCGCCACAGGAAAGAGGAAGAAGAGGCCAAGAAGAAGGCTGACGATGACGCCAAAAAGAAGAAAGTACTGTCTGGCATGGGAGCAAACTTTGGAGGCTTTCTGGCAAAGGTCTGACAGCTGCAATAACTCTTTTACAGCAACCTTTTTTCATTGTAGTTGTTCAGATTGATGAGTGAAAAATTGAGGGAGAGAAACAAATACTGTAAATAGTTCATGTGCTCTTTTTCTCAGGCTGAGTCAAGGAAGGGGAAGCGTCTGACAGGCAGAGAGATCAAGAAGAAAACTCTGGCTGAAAGACGGAAGCCTTTAGCCTTCGAGAACATGAGAGAAGATGGGCTCAAGTCAGTCTCCATTTATGTTAAATACTGCAAAACCATACAAATGTTCCAAAAAGATATTGACCTCTTTTTTTTTAACAAATGAACTTGAAATTCATATCAAGGCCTTTTCATGATATCCAAAAGAAAACAAGACCATCAAGGACAAGACTGACAATTTGTATCTTGTGACTTTAAAGCCTGGAGGGAGTAGGCATCTGCCGAACAGCTGAAGACAGAGTTTTCACCATTGCCTCATAAATTATCACAATAATACATGTGATTGTCAAAAGTCAGCAGGGTGATTTTTTTTTGTCAAAGACATGGCTGAAGCGTTTAGAGGACAAGCTCAGCAAAGACGCCAAAATTGACACAAACTGAAAGTTCCTTACAGGAGCTTTAATGTCACTTTTTCGTCAGTATCTGATAAACGTAAGCAAGATATCAGTCGCTAAAACCTGCAATGGTGATCATTTTGACTTTAATTCAAAGGTAGTAACTTGTGCGCAAAACACTCTGATTGATTGCAAACTGAATCTTGACAGCTGCTGCATTTACAAAAAAATTTAAAGATGACTTTCCATGTTTTCCACTGTTGGAGAAAACACCACAGTAAAATAAATAGAGGGCAAACTGATGGTCTTTTAATTGAAATGGAAAATAAATCATGGTCACCTAAAATGTAATGGAACAGCTTGACATATTTAACTCATGTAATCCATGCTCTTTGTTTTTAAATGTCGCTGGATACTAGTTTCCTGTGTGACCGTCACTGGTTTATCATCTGTTGCAGTGGAGCATCAATCTGTAAAGTAAGGCGTTGCTCTTTTAATTTTGGTCACTGTGTTTGTGTTTCCAAGGCAACACGCCCAAGAGATGTGGAACTGGATCTACCAGCTGGAGTCTGAGAAGTTTGACTACATGGAGCACATGAAACACCAGAAATATGAGGTATCACTGCATTTGTACACAGAAATTTTTAGTTAACAAGGAATATAACAACCAACTTTAGGAAATAAACCTTTCTTTTGTCACTTCTTTCTTCGTTTAAAAAATATGTTGAAACATGTCTAAACTGAAGATCTATGGCTTTTGATCAACTTCTTTCATGAGAACGACAGTTTCTTCCTGCTATTCCTAAAAATCTGTTTCTTTTTCCTTTTCAGATCATTGTGCTGCTGAACAGAATCCAACATGCACAGAAATTGTAAGCAACTTCTTTTAAGTACAATCTGAAATGCTGATACTCTTGAGGTGTGTTTTCCTGTCCTTGTTACATCCTTTCCCTCCTCCTATCTCCCCTTTGCAGCAAAAAGGGCCATGGTAAAGGGAAGGTGGGCGGACGCTGGAAGTAAAGAGCTAAAAATGGAAACAGAACAAAAGTTAAAGCAGAGTACAGATGAAGGAAGAGTATCTCAAGTCTTCTGGGTGAACTTGTGCCAGAGTTTCTCTGTAGGCCTTTTCTGTGTGTGAAGAATATTGATGTTTCTTGATAAAAATATGTTGATAATAAAAGTGTAAGCAACAGTGTTTGATTTTAATTTGGCCAGAAATACAAATCGAGATCAAGACATTCAAGATTGGTTCTTTCTTCATTGTGTGTAGATTGGAGCACCAAGACTGTTTTTGAGTCTGTTTGCTGCTGCTCTCTAAGAAATACAATCAATATCTGTACTGCCAGATAAGTTAAATCACGGGGGTTAATGCTGCGTTCGAGTTACCTCGGAAGTCAGAAGTCCGCACAGAGTTCTCACACAGCGAACTTGGAGAAATGTCTGCACACAGGGACAAGGCCTAACTGGGGCTGGTCTTTAAGAGAGTTTGCAGAGCTCCTCTTTGGATTGCTTTACTGTGGCACTGGCACAGTAAACTGGGTCAGTTTGTGGTGGTGGAATTTAGGAATGATGGTGTTGAACGCCAAGTCCACAAAAAGGATCTGTGTGTAGATCCCTGCAGTGTGGTGCAGAATGCAACACAGTCCCATGTTTACTGTGTCATCCACTGACCTGTTTGCAGGATAGGCAAAGAGTTGAAAACAGTTAATGAATTATTAGAAGAAAAACAAAACAAAACTGTGGTGAAGCTGAAACCTTATATCAGGAAAGAAAGTGAAAACACTTCACTTTCAAAACTCACAGTATGAGTCTCTGGGAGATGATATAACAAGGGCCATAAAAGGCCCCAAAGGAAAAAGCTTGGCTGTTTGAGTCATTAACCGTATATTGATTCAGACAGTGGGCCTCCATCTCTTCTTATTGCAGGATGTGAGGCCTAATTACTGCATTGATGGGCGTTGGTGGGAAAAAAGCATGTGAGCTGATTTGGCTGATGAAACGATGAGATTGACCAAAACACACATTTAAGTTTCCGATACGCATAGTCAATCGATCATCTTTTGAACAGTCAAAAAATAATAATAATTCAAACTAAACTTCTCCGAGAATTTGGGAAAATGCACATGAATCAGCTTGATTCTAACTAACTGTAACGTCAGAAAAATGGATATAATGTCTTTCTATCACACTTTCTACTCTGACCCTGCTCCATCTTTTAGGTAATGGATGAGGGCTTTCAGACCCATTCTACAGCCAGTCACCTGGGAAAGTTTTAACAGCTTTAGTTTCAGTCATTTAAAAGTTTCACTATGACAATCCACCTTCATTGTTTTCCAAACCCACTGTTCATTTGAATATACCACGCAGAGACAGGCGTCCACAGCTGTACGGCAGTGTGTTTCTTGCATTGTACAACATCCACCAAGAAGATTGTGTTCACAAAACCTTTAAAACCTTCAGCTGTGGATTCAACTTTTATCAGCTGTTATCTCACCTGTGACATAAAACAATCTTTGTAAGCATTCTTGTCAGAAAGCCAGAGATAAGATACCGGCAAGTAATGGAAGAACAAACAGACATCAGTTAACAGGCGAGGTGCAGTTAAGATGGATCTGTATCAGGATCAGAGGACCTTCCTGCAGGTCTAGTTTGAGTCATTTTATAAATTATGATGGAGGTTACTGACATAAGCATGGATGCTGGTTAACCTGACATCACAACACAAAAGAGCTGGCCTTGAAACTTTTGATTCATGTGCAGTAGCTGCTTTATCGCCCTGTCCTTAAACGCCCACAAACCAGAATGTGGTATGTCGACTCATTTGTGATTTGAACTCTTGTCATGCTCTGTTCAAGAAGAGGAAATGTTCAGCGGGGGGCAATCGGCCAACACTCACTGCCTCGCCTTCCTCTCTCTCTCTCTCCCGTGTCCAACAAGAACTGTTGGACTTGGCATCCTCCTATGGCCTGAAATTCTTCCACTGTGAAGTCTGTTCACAGTGTCACAGTGTCTGTTTCCCTTTTTTTAAGATGCATTTTTACGTTTAGAATTTAAACTCACTGTCGTTGGATTAGTTTGACATTTTGAATGTGTTTCCGGATTTGCATTCTTTCAGCATTTGCTGTCTGTTTCTCCAAATAGAAACTGTTTAGACCCTTACAGGTCAGCTGCTCTCACTATCACTGTACATATATTTTTAGTCTTTGCAGTCAGCAGTTATCTGTTGATCTCCTTTCAACTGGAAACTACAGCCTAAAGTTTGTTTTGAAGAATTAGGGGAAAGTGCAGAATCACCTGTTTCCCTGAAAAGGTATTTGGTTTTTACTTGTGCAAATGTAATTATACTATCTGAGTGTCTGGAGCAGATGCTTCACACGTAAATCAACTCAGAAGTACTTTGTTGTAGTTCAAGTAATGGTTATAGTGTTGTAAACAGAAAAAGGTGATAAGGAGCCCCCTCAAGTGGGTAGACTTGGTCACTGCATCCTGGTTAGATCTGAGAACCTCATCTTAGTGCAGCAAACACACAAAGAAGTGATTTTGTCTTTTCTGAACATTTGTCAAGTGTTATTATCAGTTTAAAAGCTTTTAAACAAGACTTGTTGCTCTTACTGTGGCGTATGACAACTTTCTTTTTTTTCCTTTTTTTGCTGTGCAGATCATGTACAGACTTTTTAAAGCTACAGTGGCCACACCTGGGGCCTCATGTATCAACGCTTGCGGCGCAAGAAAACCTTGCGTACGCCAAAATCGGCGCACACGTCCAGATTTATCATCGCGAAACGAGCGTCGGTTCCAGCGCTAATCAACGCGGAGGTGTCAGGAGGTCAGGAGAAGTCAGGAGGTGGTGTAGAAATTGGCGTTGAGCAGATACTTGCGTTGACTGTGATTCGCACTTTGGCGACGCTGTGTGGCGGTGTTTGGTGACTCACTATGTGACAAGCGTGCACCACATCCCCGTGGCCGGGCAGCACGTCGCCCCACATGACGAACCAGCAGCAGACGGAGGGATGCGAGCTGATCCCTGCCGGGCCGCCGTCCTCGCGCGGGAGAATCTCATCGCCACAGTGTGAATGGGTAAGAAGTGAATACACAGTTCAATGAGCCAAATTAATGTATTTTCTCCTCCAGACGCTCGAGGAAATTTACGAGCCGGTCCAGCCGCTCGTTGATCCCCGCGATCCCCCTGATGATTTCTTCCTGCGATTGCAGGACCCCCTCCGCGAGGACCCTTCCACTGCGTCCGGGTGGTCCAGCGGAAGCGCCGCGGCTGGTGGACGCTCCACCGCTTGTCGGCGCGCTGGTGCTGATGCTGGTGCTGGGGCCGGGGGCCGGGGTGGCCCGAATGCCGCTGGTCCTGGCCGACGACTCCGAGCCGGCGGACGGGCTGCCGCGGGCCAGGGTTCCGCAAGCCGGCGACACGGCCGACATATTGATTTCTGTGACACAATAAAAATATTTCTTTATTTCAATTCCTGCTTCTGTGTATCTGTTGCGTTTACATCTCTCTCCACGGTATCATAGGTAATGTAATCCAGTATTTCGAGGTCAGTTATGCACATTACAGTTGTTTATTGCATAAAAAGTGATCGAAAAATGAAGTTAAGGGCGAAGTATAAATCACGTCTAAAAATAGACTGAATCCCGACGTTGAAATGAAGGATAAACTTAGACTAGACGTCTAATATACGTCTTTTGCTCAGTGGGATGACAAAGCATGTGGACATTTGTGTGACACGCCACTTACCCTATAATAATAATCGCCACCACCCGCTGCTCAAACGGTGTGAGGGTCTCCTCCCCCGGACCCCCACCTGTCTGGCCGGTACTCCTCCGGAGGGCAGCTGTACGCCGCTTGACCTCCACCTTGAGGTCCGACCACTTTTTTTTAATCTCCGCGGGGGTGCGTGTCTCGGAACCCACCGCATTCACCCTCTCGCAAAATTTCTCCCACTCCAAGCGTTTTTGTTTTGCACTGACGCCACTGGACAGGCTGCCAAACAAAACACGCTGTCGCTCCTCCGCCTCCGCCACCAGCACCTCCACCTCGCACGCCGTAAATTTAGTTTTTCTTGTCATTTTGTCTGCGTGCGAGGACAGGGAGACCCTATTTAAATAAATCTGCATATTTATAGGAGGGCGTAACGGGGACGGGCCCAGTCACTCCGACATCTGCGCTCAATTCCACGCTGATTGGGATTTATCAAGGAAACACACGTGGATTTCGGCGCCCGCACACATTGATACATACGGATTTTTTTTCAGCGTGACGGACCTTGCGTGCGCTCGTTTCTGGTATGAGTTCCACGCAAGTGTTGATACATGAGGCCCCAGGACACTAACACGGGCAGGGGTGGCAGGAGTTTGTGTAAACACACACAAACTAATAGCATATAGCTACCCTTTTCGTTTATGGAATTTAACTAGCCTATAGTATGCAGGAGAAAAGAGAAGACCAATCTTAGCTCAGGATTTTTGGTTCGGCATCCAGGGAAGTTGGTATTTGTATATAATTTAATCAAAACCTTCTCATGGATCAACCAAAAAATACATATATTTTACAGTCTTTGGATCTTATTTGGGTCATGCATGAAAACTAGCAAAAATTTACAATAATAGATCATCGTATGTCTTTTATATCACCTGAAGTTGTTTGTTTACATTCATTTCATTCATGGTTAAACATTCACACCATATGAGTAAAAATATGGCAGAGGATGCTATCAGTAGGAGACTGTCTGTAATTTCATTCATACCCATTTACACACCACTGGCTGTGTCACTCAGAGCAATTTAATTCAGAGTTTTGCTGAAGGTCATCTCAGCATGTGACTGTGGGAGCTGGTTTGGAACCTTCAGCCTTGTCATCAAAAGATTACTCTACTACTGAGAAAAAACCACCCCAGAGAAAATCTTTGACTTTGAGATTTCTCATGAGATAAATTTTGTATTTCAGATCTGCGTGTTGTTTACAGCCTTGACGTCAACTAGAAACTGAATCTCATTCTTAAACATTAACATGACTGCTAAATGACTTTTTATTCTCCGATCCAGCAGCACAGACCTCTTTCCTTGAACTTCTTCAATCTCTCCTGTATTCTGCTGTAATTATGTTTCCTACACAAGCCCCTCCCCCTCCCTGCCTCCCTCTCTAATTCCTACCTCACATGTTGGGATGAGACAGGGACTAAAGAGGGCACCCTGTTAATCCAGTCTTTCACTTACCGCATCAGATCAGCACGAACACCAGCTTCTGTCACCAAAATCAGTGAAGTGTGTGAGGTAAACACCAGTTTGTGTAAAGAAGCTTGAATAATCATTGTGTAAATGGATCAGTGGGGCAAACGGCAACAACAATGACAGTTCAGAGGATTATCTACAAAACAGTGGATGCTACTTTAACACTTTTACTGATTGTATTAGCAGAATGAGAATGATAATCTCATCCTGTAGCAGGTTACATTATAAACATTTTATGCCCTAACAGGATCTTGTCAGAGATTGTGTCATCTTTAACCCTTCAACGGCACAGGCGTGCGAATGCTAGAAAGAGACCTCCTGCTTGCGTGCAATTGACAAGCTATCATATTCGCACACGATGGTATTAAAGCATCAGTTTATCCATCAATCCATCCACTGAGCCATCTGTTGTTGTATGGCTTTATTTATTCAGCTAGTTATTCACAATCACACAATAAGAATTGAAAGTGAAACCACAAACAGCTTAACGATACACTCACATCAATATGCACTCTCACAAGACACTCGAGGAAGGATCTCCATTCTCGGATAATCAAGACATTTGACTGGACAAATCAAGTTTAGGTTGGGTAGTAGAGGAGAGAGTGACTGAGGTGACGGAGGAAAATAAAAAAAAAGACGAATGGGTTGTAGAAGAGAACTTTAGCCACTAATTTTTTTGTAGATCTGGGTGAGAGGAGTTCATGTTCAAAAAGAAAGAGGAAGAGCAGCAACTCTGAGAGAGGAGGACCATCAACAGACAGGGAGGACTAAAAGACAGATCATGGAGTTGCATCACAGGGGATGAACATCATTTTTGTTTATAAAATAGAACTCACAATACTTTTCATCATTTATGACTTAACTCTTTTAAGTGATCATGATGATGTTGTTTGCACCACAACATTTTCTAAGTGCAACACTCAATTTCTGAGTCAGTAACAAATCCGCAGTACATACATGGGTGAGCTATTTCACTTTGAATGCATTGCAAAGCATTTCCTTACAATAATTTCTATGGTATGAATGCAAAACAGTACAAAGCACAAATTTTATATACAGAGATCCCAAAATGAAATATCACACAATGAATAAAGATGTAAAACTGAAGGTTATTATAGGACATGATCCAAGTTAGCAGTCATTTATTTGGTATAACAGTAAAAGGATATCCCTTTATGCAGATGATGGTGTAAACTATATATGTGAGAATGTATTTAGCGGATAGGGGCCTTCAGAGCAGCATCGACTTCCTCCTCTGGCAGCAGTGTGTGCCACTGTGCCACTGGACGCCTGGGATTGGCCAGCATGTCTGACCAGTGGCGCAGTCCAACACCTGAGGCACCGTACCCGATCCAGCACTTTCCGATTGCGTCATTGCTGCCGAGTTTGTCATAGTCGTACACGGTGATCAGCACCTGGACTTTCTGTGCACAGAAACAGCAGAGAAAAAGAAGCTGTAGTTGGCTTGAGGCATGTGTCTTCTCATGGATCTAAAACTCAGTGAACCTTTTATTTACACATATTTAACCCATAAATAGTGAGGTGGTCCTAGTGAGCCCAAGATTTTTCACAAAATGTGCATTACTAACTGTATGTATGAGGTTTGAAAGAAACAGTTGTTCAAGATGCATGTTTGGCTTGGATGTCTTTGAGACTTGACCCAAACAAGTCTTTAAAGTATTACACATGGCAACCATCTCTTTTTAGGTGTCTCTTGGTCAAAGCTTCTTATCTATTCACATCAGTTCTTCTAAGTACATATTTTGCTTGCAATGATGACATGAAAAAAAATTGCATCAATGCAGTATTAAAGTCTACTGACCAACTTGTATAATTTCATGGAAGTTAAGGCCATAATATTGCCCTCTGACAACTGTTACAACATGCCATCCTGTCAGTCAAATTAATCATTCCCCAATTTGTCCAATTTGTGCATAATTCATGGCCCTGATATGATCAAAGCCCACAAACTATTAAAAAACATATCCGTCTTATAATGTCAAGAAAAAAATGTATAAGCCAAAGTCCTTTTGTTCTCAAAATGCTAAATTCTAATGAAAAATTGGCACTTAGATATGTTCTCTTGGCTTTTGAGCTTGCGTTGACACACAAGGTTGCTGCTGTAGAACATTTTTCAATGATCAGGTAGATATAGGCTTGAATATGAATTACTAAGTGCACTGACCTGGATTTGAGAGAATGGTATCTCAAAGCTAAAGCTTTCATTGAAGTAAGGATTCAGAGTGTTTTGTTTGACTGATGTCTTCTTCTTTTTCAGTCTCTTCCCGTTGTGCTGCAGCACCACTTTCACAAATGGATCTTAAAAAAACAAAACAGAAAAGTATTGTTTGAAGTTAGAGGAGCCAAAAGATCAATCAACACCTGATTGATTATGTTAGTTGATCTGGTGTTTACCTGACAGTCCTCCGACATCCATCTTCTTCAAGTTCTTGGCCTCCATGATATTAACTGTGAGCTTACCAGCTGTTGGGACATATCGAAGTGAAATACAGACATCACCCAGCTTCTCTTGCTGTAAAAAGAAAAACACACACCATGAGCCGTCATACTGCACGATGCCTTGGCGACTTAAATGTTGATGAAAATGTTTACCTATCAAATTTTTCACAGGATAGATGAAAAAAGAATCATGTACCTCCTCTTTCTCCCCACCAACAAGATCCTTCCATTCATGTATTGGCTGTCCAAGGTCTATAGAATTCATGGGAATCTTGATCTCACCAATGACATCATGTTTACCAAAACGGTCAAAGTCAAACACCTGCAGAACCAGAGTCTGACCACCCAACTCACTATATGGTATCTGGAGGCAGACGGCAAAATAAAACACATTGATGAGTGGGGAACGCCATGGACCATATGATCAAATCAACAGATTTTAATGGTCAGCATTAATGTACAGACCTTGAAAGTGAAAGTTTCATTGAAGACAGGACAAAGGTTCTTGCGCTGGACTTTGGTCTCAAACTTCTTCTTTTTGTCAGGCAGCATGTAGACTTTGACATAAGGATCTGAGGTTCCACCCATGTCCATGGCCGGAAGGTCCTGAGCCTGAAGAATGCCCACTATCAGCTGAAAGGGAAAGAGGAGATAAGTCAAATGCATGAACTCCAGGCTACCAAATCACAGTTTAGTTAATTCAAGACCACTGAAACTACATACACTGTGTACCCATATACCTGATTATCAGTGAAGTTATAGTCCAGTGAGTACTCCAGTTTTCCAAGGGACTCCTTCTCCTCCTCTTTTTCTTCCTCTCCATCCTAGAAGACAACATTTGTAATCACACAGTCATTACTGAAGCTTCTGAGGTTTTTCTGTAATCTCTGAAAAGCAGTGTGTTATTGTTCCTCCTTGAAAAGATCACTGGAGTCAAAAATGGCCTCAGACAGATTACAGCTATTGAGCAGAAACATAGCTGTAGCCTTAGTTGCATCAACCATTGGTTTATTAGGGTTTTGAAGCCAGATGTTGGTGATTGCCACATTGAAAATTATAACTCTACCTCTACCTTTGGTAACCCCAGCAGGAGACAAAGGCAGGCCCCCGTTATTGTAACAACTGACTGAGTGCAGGCAGGTTATTCAACTGACTTCCTAGCCAGTGTCATGGGCCATTGAGACCAAAAGTACTTTTTTTTTTTTTTTTTTGAACTAGGCTGTTTTTTTTCCTGCAAAAAAATATGGGATTTTGACATGAGTGTCAATGGGGCCTTTTCAAACACAACTGAGTAGTGTTATTAGCACTTCTGTATTGGATTAATATAAATACATTACTATTAGAGGCTACCTTGCTCTGTACCATTGCAAGATTAAACTGTCAGTAATTAAAACAGTTCTGAGGCCTGTTAGTAAAGTTTATTTTAAACTTATTGTAAAATACATCAGGGGTCAAATGGACTTTGTTTATGTTTCTCTTTTTCTAGTTTTCTTTCCACTTAAAACTCTTTACATCTTGTTACATTCATCACATTCACACACAGATGGCAGAGGCTGATATGTACAGACACCATCAGTTTTTGACTAATCCCAACCTTTGACTAAGCTCAACCAGCAGGGCAAAGTGTCTTGCTTAAGGACACGTCCTCATGTGGACAGCTCTGGGATCGAACCCCCAGCCCTCTGATTGTTTTTTGGGTGGGCTGCTATTCCTGGTTAAAGCGATCTATTTCTAGTCCAAACCTTGATAAAATCCAGGCATTTTTTGGCAGGGACGATGCAATGATTTCGTTTAGGTAGGAAAGAAGTGCAGCTCATTTAGTTAGCCTGTAGAGACCACAGTCGATGCTGCACCCATACCGCTAAGCCAAGACAAGCCATGTTTACTAATGACACAAAAAATGAATTTGGGAATATCTATGTAGGGAGAATGCCTGAAAAAAACATGTATAACCAAGCTGGCAACAAACTATAACATGGAAAAAACTCAGGAATTCAGAGATCCCTTCTACCTGTACTTTCTTACCTTCTTCTCCTCCCCATCCTCTCCCTCCTTGTCCTTCTTTCTGCGCCCACGTCCACCTTTTCTCTCTCTGGCCTTCTTGGGCTTCTTGCCCTTGTTGAAGCACTTCTTGTAGATGCAGAACCCCATACAGGCAATGAGGGCAAGGACTACAACCACAATGGCCCCTATGGCCCACATGGGCACTGGAGAGAAGGGAAAGTTAATGACCGTGTAGTTTGATCAGAAACAGTTTAGACACAGAGTGACCTGTTGAGATGCTTCAGAAAACCAAATCTAAACATATATTTTTTTGTTGTTTTTGTGTTTATGAATACTTATAACAGTGACTTCTATTCTTAGTAGAAGATGTTTCAACACAACAGAGCAGTTTTTGTCACCAGTTGGGGTTTTAATTTTCTTGAAAATTATGGCAGATGAAAGAGGTGGACTTACTTCTGAGTTTATGATCTTGGAGAGCATTGCAGAGTGGTCACATGAGGAATGAGGATGAGAGAGGGCAGAATTATGAAATGACACGTATTAGAGTTAAAGATGAGATGGCAGGATGGTGAGTGATGGTATACAGTTTGTGTAAAATGTACAGCTAACTTTGTGTCTGTGTGTCTGAATGCACAATTCATCTACTGAAGTGGATTAGCAACATAAACAACAACTGTAATATTCTGGGCCACATATTTCCTGTATTATTATTATCATTATTGTTTTTATTAGGCAGGACCGAACACCATGTGCTGACTTTATTGTGTTAACCAAGCTCACTGGTGTCACATTTGAGCATTTCTTAATCAACCAAATTCAGCTGATTAAGTCAATACAGATGTGTTTCATTGTCATGTGCATTTTGTGTATGTTTTCACACCAACGTATGTGTTATTCTCACTTGGCAGGTGTGTAAGCTCATTGAAAAACTTGTTCTTCATGCTGGCAAACTGGTGGTTGGAGTGGTGCGAGGGCGGCGGGGGAGGTGGGGGCTCTTTCTCCTCCTCCTCGGCAGCCCTGCGAAAACGAGCTCCCGCCACGCTGACCAATCGCATCGTGGCGCTGAGACAAAAAGAGAGCACACAGCAGTCAGTGGATTCCTAATCTTTAAATTAAATTTTAGAGACTAAAAGCCCTGCAAAAACACTGACCCACGATCACATTGGGTCTCTTTTCAAATGTGTCCCTTTAAACTTGATCTGTTTTGACCTTTCACCTGGCTTTAATCTCTCTAATCCTCTCTCACTCTCCATCCTTGGAGCCCAATCCTGCCTTTTAGCATTTTGTCTATTGCAAATCTGTAAAGTATCTTTTCAGAGTTTCCTCTCCTCATTCTCTCTTTCTTTAATTTAATTCAATTTAATTTCACTGTTTTCGCCTTATTATTAGGAAGATCCAAAATTAAATGACAGTGTACTCTCTCGTGCAAGTTGTGAAAAAAGTAGTAGGGAAATACATTAGAAAATACAAAAGAATAACAGATTCATAAATTGCTGCATTCAGTGTTCCTGGAGTCTCTCAATAGAGACTACTTTAAGGTCACTGCCGTTGTAATATTACCAGAGAGCAGTTTGATCCTTCTTAACTGGAAGAACCCAAAACTTCCCATTTACAGCGCATGGTTAAAAAATATGTCAAAGAATTTAATACAAGAGAAAATACATTAAATCTTCATGACCTTTTTGACAAATTAGAGGAAACGTGATGTCTCTGTATGGTATTTGCCAAACTGAGGACCAAAAATGATTGAAGCTTTGCTTTCTTGTGTTCCTGCAGATTTTGCACTATTGTCTTTCTGTGTTAAAGATGTTTTCCTCAAATATAGTTTCCAGCTGACATCTAACTTGAACTGCTTCTTAATGCGCTGAGAAGTTTAATCTGTAAAAGTGACTCATACAAGTAGAGTTTATTAAATGCAGGCTTTGACAGAAGAGAAATACAACATGATACAAATCATGACCATATTTAGGAGAGAAGGTCAGAGTGGGCAATTAAAAAAAACAGCAGTCTTTGGTTCTGTTTTTTTGTCTTTATTTTTCAGCGTTGAAGGTTTCCACTTGGCACAATTATATAATAGTTTGGAAAAAATGTATCTTTATATCTTAGGAACGGTTGCACTCACAGATGTCCTCATGATAAAAGACCTGACAAATTTCTTTGGCAAAGGTCAGAGTGCCTTTCTGTCCTTTTCAACAACACTCTCCTGCCTTCATCTCGACTTTCATGACAACAGTGTGAAAGATAAGAATAAAACAGCTCATTCATATTAGTTTCTCCTACTGTGTGTTAATCTGAATACCATTTGATCTTCAAAGAGGGTAAACAGTGCAAATTGAAAGCTACACATCAACAACAATATGCATCAATATTGCCCCTCTCTGGCATTTTCATAAACATACACAGGCTTCACCCGTAGTAGACATCCCTCTGTCACTGCGCTGCGATGTAACAAGATTAATTGCCAAAGGTAATCCGAAAATCCCTCGGCTTAAACAAATTAAGGACGGTTTGGCTCTCTGGTCTCCTCCCCTTTCCCCGCTCATCCAACTATCATGTCTGCGCTGCCCAACCTCTCTGTTTTCTCCTCCTGTCTGTCAATTACCTTTCCTCAGTATTCTCTGTATACACATCAAACTCACGCAGTGAGAGATATGATTCGGGTGGGACAGTTTTATATTAACCCTTTTATCTCCCTAGATTACATAAACATGGGATTGTAGAGGGAGACCTCTCTCTCTCTCTCTCTCTGTACTGCCTGCTCCCTGGATTGGATGAGAGGATTGATACCACTTCATGTCTTTATGATAAATATGAATATAACTAGCTAGTTAGTGAAGTGGTATCAACTATAGAGGCCAGTTAGCTTTTATTAGCATCTAGCAAAGACTAGTTAATGGGAGAAACAGCTAGCTCTGACAAATGTAAACAAATTCTAAACTGGGTACAACTTTCCTTCAAAATTAAATGCAATATGATACATATTGATGAGACATGCCTGTAAAGGTGTCTGAGTTCATTTGGATAGAACCAGGTAGCATTTTCCCTTTTTTAAGTTTTCTCATGAAGCTAAGCTAACTGCCGCTAGACACATGTAGCTTACAGTGAGTCTGTGAATGGGCAATAGTGTTTATTGTTGTTTTAACACAAGTTATTCTTGGCAAAAAAGGTGTTCAATATTATAATCAAAGCTTAAGCTGCATAAGGATAATTGAATTGATGAAACAAGTATATTTCCAAGCCAAATCTGATACTGAAGTTGGCTTTTAGTGACTCTGGTAACCAGGAAGAGTGAGAAATTTGACAGTTTGACCTTTTTTAAACTTTTTGATTTTAAATTTTTATTGAATTTTGTAAGTGTGACTTTGGTTTTAACCAGAGTGCCAAGCTTTTGGATCAGTTACCCTCCACTATGTTGTTTGCCCATGCTGTATCTTTTATGAAGGGGAGGAGAAAAGTTGAGATGATCCAAAGAGGCCTGTGACTGACATGGTCTCTGAAAAATGCTCAGGTATCAATGGCAGTAAAGTGGGCCCAAAGAGAAAACAGCATCTGCACTTTTTTCCTGGCTGATCCCACAGTGTTCAAAGGCCTGAAATATATCCATATAGGAAATTAAATCTTCAGCTCTGAGAGGTTTTTTAAGTAGACACTGAGACTCTCATAGCAAATACGCTATAACCACAGGATAGATTAAGGTTTTGAGGGCACATTCAATTTTTTTAAAACAAGATACACAAAATAAAATGGTTTTTAATGGGAAAGAGATTTTGAAGGTAAATGCAAGTGTATGAGTATTTGATATTAAATAAATGTCCAATAGACAGCAGCTTATATTGCTGTTGTAAGCACATCAGACAAAAAGAGGTCTTTTGGTGCTATTTCATTGTGAGGCCGCTGCATCAGGACATCAAATTAAGGACACCCCAATATCAGGATAACATCCACAGCTGGTATCTGGGTCAGAGCAGATTTAGGCTGGACTGCTCCCAAAATCTTACATCACTGAGTCAGAAACCTTGTCAGGTTTGCGTCTCTGTCTGCTGGGTCATTGTTTTAAAAACTTAATGTTATAAAACTCGACGGCTGCTGTGGAGCAAACTTGTACAAACTAAAGCAGATTTAAGAGTAAAATCAGGGTTTACGGTAAATGGACGTGTTTCTATCTCTCTTCCTCAAATCTTCTGACCCTCAAAGCTCTTTACATCACATGTCACATTCACACTCTGATGGCAGAGGCTGCTATGTATAGAGTCCATCAGTTTTTGACTAATCCCATTCACACTACTGGGTGCAGCCAGGGCGGGCAGGGTCAAGCATCGTGCCCAAGGACTCTTCAGCATGTGGGATCAAACCCCAGACCTTCTGATTAGGAGACAATTAACTCTACCAGTGAGCCACAACCACCCCTGACTTCTTCTTTATCTAGATGAATAAACCAGATTAAGCACATAAATCATAACAACTAATGCAAGCGACAAGAAATCCACCATCACGGAGAAAGATGTTTCAAAATAAGACGACAAATAGAGGAGAAAGAGCAATTTCAGACATGAAACACCTACATCATGGACACTGAAAGATCAAACCAGCCTTCCCCGTATAAGATGGCATAAACACAAGACATGAATATGTGTTGTTGTTTGTTTTTAAGTGCAGCATATTTTAAAAGATAAAAATAAAAATGAAGAGAAGTGTCTGTATGAGTGCATAGGAAGGAAACTTACAAAATAGCAATGCAAACACAAGGTTAAAGATCAACTTTCTAACATTTAACACGAATGCAGTTTCTTCTTGGTGTCACTATTTAGTTAAAATTTATCAGCTTTGGAAAACTAAACCATGGAAATATATCAGAGGGACAGGAAGACCTGTAAAAGACTTGGACTCCATCGAAACTGTTTTAGGGGTTCAGTCTCAGCCACACTAATAACATGGCTGCAAAGATTGATTTTTCATCTTCAACAGTTGTAACTCACTTGTCTGTCTTTGAAGAAGAACATGAGGTCAACATTTTCCAAAGATCATATGTAAATAACTTATGCAGTGAAATCTGAAGACACTTGAATCCCAGACGCAAAATGGTACAAAAACTTGTAACTTTTCCTTTGCATTCAAAAAATTAAAATTATAATACCTCCAGTTTTCTGGTTTATTAGTGAATTACCCACTACACCACAATCAATCCTAACAGACTCAGCTGTTCTTTGCATAACTTCGAAAAGTCACCAAAAATCCTGTGACCATAATGGTGATAAGGCTAAAATTTCCCACAAGACCACTATTTGAAATATTACATCTTCTGGTCCACTTGTCAAGAATCAAATTTAACTACATACATAAAAAGCTGCCGTTTGTTCATATCCTCTGTATCTTAATACAATAATCAGAGTTGGAAAAGTAGTGATACCTAAGGACGAGTTTCTACACAGGTACGGGTGTGTGGTATGCTTAAAATGTTGAGTATTTTAAAGTATGTTTGGTTATGAATTTTTACAACATGATGCCTCCCCTTGTAATAACCCCAGTAATTTTAACAGTTGTTGCAGTTTGGTCTGGTTTATAAAGGCTCTCAGCTCTGATCTGCTTCCAGACAGATTGGAGGTGAACAGCCGGTGGGGGAATTTTTATCCATCTAAAAGCTCACAGCTTTGAACTGAACCTAGGCCCCATTAGGCTTCTGAAACTCTGCCTGAATACAGTTACTGAAATCCACACTTTGGTACCTTTGGTGTGATCCACTTATGATCCGATGATATTATAAGTCTCCAAAAAGTTTTAAAGTTTAAAAATAACATGAAAGAAAACTTGACTCTTTCTTATACTATAAAATGTATCTCATGACAGATATCTTCATACTTGAACTGCTTTCTGTTTTCCTCCTCATTTGTTTCTTTGAGCTGCACTTGAATATTAAATATGCTGTTAACTGATATATTGTTTTTAGTAGGATTTTTTTTTGCTTATTTGTTTTGTAATCTACGTGTCTGTTGATATGTGGCATGTGCTCACCTGTAAAGTTGCCCGTTGCTGCTTTTATAAGATAATTTTACAGTGTGGGTCCAGAAAGTTACCGTTAAGAAAGAGCCTGCCTGCATTATATTTGCAGATTTGTAAAGCTAAAACTTCAAGAAACGCCATCTGCACCACAGTAGCGCCTGCGTAGATTAGAAATAACTGTGCCTCACGTCCTCTTGGTTTGATAACACAAAATACAGAGTTAATATTAAAAGTGAAGAAATATGTGAAGCCTGATAAAGTTTGGTAGTGATAACAAATGTGCTGTGAGGGTGTTCTGTGAGTGACGGCACGTGAACTCAGACTCTACAAATAGCTGTGCATTAGCCTCCAATAATCCACTTAAACTAATCTATTCTGGTTTGGGAAAACATCCTTCAATATCAGTCAAATCAACTGTAATCCTGCTGGAAGGAGAAAATGTATTTATGTAGAGAAATGTAGAGATGGCTGAAGATACAAAAACGTGACTCTTCAACCCAGTAAAATAACATTGACCTTGCCTTATCTGTGATCAAAGCTGCTGAACAGATTTCCAACTCAAATAAACATACAACATAATTAAACTAAGGAATAAAATCTGTGGAAGAAACAAGTCATTATTGATTAATAACTAATCAGTCTAGATAAGTTTTATAGTTGAGCCATTTTCATGTACAAGAGCCAAAACTTTGCTGAACTCTAACCTATTTAATAACTGGAGTCCTTCATCTCTTCTCTGTTCTCAATCATTGTAAACACAACAACTATCTAAACCACAGTTTGTTTTTTAAACATATAAAGAAATAAAAGCTCAACATAAATCTAAAGAGCATCACGGAAGCAAAATAGCATACTACTCACCCTGTGTAGTTCCCGCTCCTCTTAATTCTTTTGCTTTATTTTAGTTTTTTATTTTGCATCCAAACAAACGTACTCCTGACAAATCCTGCACCACTGAGAAGTCCGCACTCACAATTCCCTCTTCCCACTCTCCCCCTCCCCCTGTGGTTAATCCTCCACTACATCCCTCCCTGCCGACTACGCGCTGTCCACCTCCACTACAAAAAGTCCATCTTGAAGGGCTAATCCAGCCAGCACAGTTAGAGCATCATTCTCATAGACAGGCCTTCACCTATTCTCCTACTGAAGACTGAAGAGTCACGACAGCCAGCAAAGAAAGTCTTGTGTTAAATGAAGTTTTTTTATGGTGGAGTTTGATCATTTTTATAGTTTTTTCAAAGTTGTTAAGCGTTCTGAGTTGAGGTGCTCTGCAGGCTTCAGCACCCTGGACAGCAACTAGCCAAACAATTCTCAGACATGACATTTTCCCCCTGACAGAGGGGGTAAGGTCATGACCCTTTGAGCACTGAGCCATTATTACCCTGATGCTGATTTTGCATAGAGTGAATCACTATGCTCTGTCTTCATAACAGTATTTTAGCAGCACAAGTATTTGGCTCAAGGAAATTGACAGACACCTTCTTTTCATTTCTGTTACGCCAAATAGAGTCTTGCATGGTGCAATACTAATCTTCTCCAGCAGATGGCCACAGCACCCAACAATAACAGTGCAGAGCATTAGAGTCAGTTGGTAACTAAATGTATTTCCTTAATTGTAAAAAAACTATTTAAAGGTTTTTATTTCCTTGTTCAGTGTCTACATTTCTGCTAATCTATAGTTTACACTGTACTATATGTTTTTGTTAAATAAGCTACAGTGTCTGTTCAATTTAAGACTTGTTGATTCCAAAATGATCACTACAGATATATTCAGATCTGTTAAGTGTGTGATGTTTTTCCCCTCCACGGTAGATGGCAGTATGCACAAGTCACATACCATTTTACACTTACAATGCTTAACCTCCTCTTGTAACTTTTGATATCTTCCAAAACTGTCATAATAGTCTCTCTCTCTCTTTAGGCTTTGAAAACATTATCTAAACCTACATTTGTGTAAAAATTCTTTCAAAAATCAAATAATTAAGTCAGCAACTCAGATAGCTGCTTTTCCTGATTTCACATGAATTTGGTGCAGCTAAGACAGCAAGAAAGTACGGCCGTCATGCTAATTAAAAAAGGTATTATCACTTATTTAATGAGGCAGATTTTAGGCAATATTCACTTCAATATCACAAAAAATTTTATAGTCATTTTAATTTAGCTTAATCAAAAAGAGCGGTCTATTTCACCATGACCATTTCAGTATTAATGTGACCTTGCCACGTTAAAATTATGTTGCAGGGCATGTATGAGTGTTACCTTGAATCTTTAAGCAGGATATGCAAGAGACAGTCACAAACTTATTTCCAGCTCAAAATGTTTATTCAGATTCAGAACAGATCAGAAACTCAAAGTCACAAGTTGTTGAAACAAAACAAAACAAAGGTCATATCAGGAGGCTCATTGGAAACCAAGAGCGAAGCCAAAACCTGGTGGATACCCATCCATATGACATTCAAAAACAAGGACATTGCCAGATCATACAGGAGGTTATTTTTCAAAGCTGTTATTCTTAAATTTGTGCCGAGTGAATGAACAGATGAAGCAGAAAGGTGTATTGATTATTAGAGCCTGTGTGTCATTAAGACTTCAATTCGGCACTTGATCCCCGCACAGCATTTAGCTTTTGCCACCTCCCAGGGTGTGCTTGTCGAAGAGGTACTCTGCCATCTTGTTGGTCTGGGCATCCATGCGGGTCAGGTTGGTGATGTAGTCACCCAGCTTCTTGATGGCCTCCACCTGTTCGTCCAGGTAGTGGGTCTCCAGGAAGTCACACATCTGGGAAGAAGACATAGAAGGTGAGGGTTTGATACAAAGGTGGATTATAAGGTATTACTAGACGCTAGGTGTATCCAGCACTCTTTTATGAATCCTAAATAGAACTTACATGTGGGTCTCCATGATCAGAAGCCAGTTTGTGCAGGTCCAGCAGAGCCTGGTTAACATTCTTCTCCAGCTGCAGAGCACACTGCATGGCCTCAAGCCCGCTGCCCCACTCATCACGCTCCGGTTTCTAGGATTAAAAAAAAAAAAAGGTTATCATTGTAGAAAGCTTAATATCCCACTGAAAAACTCCAGTTCAGGAATATTGAACAGGAGGGAATCAGGGTGACAAGACTGTATGTTCATCCTGTTGCAACACAGTGTGGTGTAACAGCCACTCTTTGACCTGCCCTTACCTTGATGTCCTGCAGGAAAATGCGTCCTCCCCTTTTGTTTTGGAAAGACAGCAGCTTCTGAGAGTGCTCCCTCTCCTCATCACTGTTCTCCTTGAAGAAATGAGCAAAGCCTGGAAGGGCCACATCATCCCGGGAGAAGAAATAGGCCTATAGGAAACAAGCAGAGGGGGACAAAAACTGTGATTAGAAGATGTCACCTATCATTATATGGCAGAGGGTTGGGACAAATAGTTGTTATGCAGCCAGTCAGTGGTCAAGCCAGTATGTGAGTCACTCTCTGGAGTATAGTATGTTTAGACACAGACACATCTATGTTAAGAGTGACTAAGGGAGTCTGAAGCATGACACAGCACTTTTTCATTCAGAGGCGAGTCAGGGCAAGAGACGCTCCTTATCTGACAACCTGCTTCTCCGTGATAGACTCACAGGCAAATTAACAAGAAACTTCTTAAAAACTGCCTTTCATAACCACTCATTACTAAAATATTTTGTCAAGAAGCACTTGTTTCCAAAATTGTTCTTTAAATTTAACGTATTCGTCTGCAAGTTGCAGATAATTCAAGAAAACACGCAGTAGAAGCATATGTTTTGCACATATTAATTTTGCACATTAAAGTTCAGTTTTTATCCTCACCATGGAAGTGTAGGTGTATGAGGCAAACAGCTCCATGTTGATCATCCTGTTGACGGCGGCCTCGCAGTCGCGGTGGTAGTTCTGTCGCACTTGTGACTCCATCTTGGCTGGCGGTTTCTTACGCTTTTTTAACAAAACGGTACAAAAATAAAGCTTTACGGCGACTGTTTCAGTAGTGTTCAAGTCAAAAGAGGATTGTCGTGTCCGGAATGCAGACTGGCTGATAGAAAAATCGGGACGAAGGAAGAAGTTCCGTTCAAACACTGTTGAAGCAAGAACTCCTCAAGGTTTCTTCCCTGTTGTGAAATGGAGGCAGCGGCGCCCCTCGTATTTATACATCAACGGCCGAGCTCGTGACGACCATACGTCACTGTGTACACTTCCGCCTTTTCTAACGCTTACGCAGCACATGACTCTTAAAAACTGCGAGAGGAACAATGAAGTTGCAATTTTCTATTCCAGTTTTTACATAATTATTATTCCAGGTTAAATTAATCCAATGTTTTATTTTGACCTGCTACCGTCCGTCTGAATTAGGTTTTTATGTGTTCATTTTTTTACATTTATTGATTTACAGATAAAAACTGGAAAAGCAAATTACTTTATAGTACAAAAAGCTTTGGTATACTGTATTGCAATTTTAATACAACGTATAGAAAGAATAAAAACTAGTTTTAAAAATGTTTAAAACAAACACAGTAGAATGGCAAAGTGAGTGAAAATGTTTTACTTTCAGAGCTCATTTAGTATTTTCTTCAGGGTTGTGTGTTTTAGTATGATTTTGGTCTATGCAATCCATACAGCTTGGTTATATTTAAAGGCTGGGTAAACTTATCCTACCCAATGAATACACCACAGCTTAAAATTGCTGACAGCTTGCTTTCCACTGAGATGGTTTCATTGCATAACTCAATAGCTATCACGATACTGTTGGGAAACGACCATGAAGGCTATGACTCTGGTAAACCACCGGATTGCTGAAATGAAGACATTTAAGTATTACTGGGATACAATTCCCATAAAAGTTCAGTCAAATTATTACCATTATTTTAAAATATTTTTGATTTGTGCCAATACTTAACACAGGTGCTCATGTAGCCCACAATCTAATGTCGACTCTGAATGTTGACATGTTGACAGACTGTTTTAAACTGACACAGTTTTTCCTCTTAAGTACCCAGTCAAAGTACATTTTTAAAGCTTTCCAGATAAGACACTGACATAAAGACACAGCTTCTGTTTGCATCCGTGTATCCTATGAATATCCTAGGAATAAAGTTGTGTCTTAATTTGAAGCTTACTTTTTTTGTCTGGTGTAAAATTATGGTATCAGATCTATCAGTCATGGTAGCTATGTTGAAAATGCTTGCAGTTTTCAGTCAAATGAGAAAACAAGATGCTTGTCTTGATTGTTTTTTGGTGTCACTGGTATTCATGAAAAAAGCACAGCCCTTTAATTTTAATAATAATAACATGGTTTCTATTGAATGTTAATGTTTATATTTGTTTCTTTCACCCGATTGTCTTATTTTTGTCTGTCTCATCATTAGCTATAGAATTTATTATTTTGCTACTTTTAAGCTGTCACCTCCAGCCAACATACACCAAGAATTTTGTTTGAAAAAGTCGGCTACCCCTTTGAAAGCTTTTCAGGATGACATGGCTCTATAAACTTAAAATTCTATTTACAGCTTGCTGTGCAAAGGGACCTTATAGTTCAAGGTTACTCTGTAAAATGGTAAAATCAACAGTCAAATGTAAGAGAGGATAAGATATTTGCAGGTGAACTGATCCAGCGTTAGTGGCTTACAGACTTTGTCATGTCCTGCTTTGACTGTTCCATAGAAACAGATAACAACAGAACTGACTGTAAAAAAGCCATATATGCCACATTATCATCAAAGACGTAACACAGCAGTTTTCACATGACTCCCTTTTGTACTAAGTCACAAAATTGCTCAATCTTTGATAAAAGCTGCATCAAGTTCAATTGAGGATTGTGCCGAGTCATTGTTGTGACTCAGCATACCACAGTCTGAAGGCCATCCTTCCTGTCAGCTTTGGTTTGGGTAGGTCACTGTGGCTGTAATAAGGGAGGAGTCTTACGACAGAAGTGCGTCCCTCTAGAAGTTTCAGTAAGTGCTCTACTGGCCAGAACCAGTTTGAAAACAGGAACAACACCAGTGTCTTGACCACAGCGTCTGTTTCATACAGTTAAGTAGTAGTCCCTGTGTACACCACCATGGTTCAGATTCGTCACAGTCACAAGATAGCTGAAATGAAACTTCAGATCTGCATTTTTGTTGGCCAGGGCTTTGATGGTAGATAAAAAACTTAGCCAAACCTGTTCAACTTTAGACTGTAAAGATACTAATAAGAATCATGCTTGTCTCTGAATTGCTTTGGTAAGCTTGGATTATGACAACCTTGTTAGCATGACAATACTTGTCTATCCCATCATTCTAAAAACCTTTAACTTTTTTTCTCTATAAAAAGTTCAAAGTTCATTTTTACTTTTCTTGAACTGAGGACTTTGATGCTCATTTCATGATGCCAATATGTTTATGGATGGATAGATGTCGTTTGGCTGGAGCATACTCACTTCAGTGCAACTTCTGTGGCCTCTTTACAAGTTAGTAAATGATAATTAGCTAAAATCAAGGGCTGAGGCCATTGAGGGTGTAAATAGTTTTGCAAGTATTTAAAACATAAATACCTAACAGATGAGCTAGGTTCCCAAATTCTTGTCATGCAAGTCTGTCTGAAATAACCACAGGGGTTTAAACTCATTCAACTGTATACATAGTTTTATTCCTATTTTTTTTTTTATTTAACAGTGAGGAGCCAACGCGTCTTTACCTGGGACACAAAGTACAGAACATACATGTGTTGAGATTGAGTAAACACACGATTGATCAACTTCTGTTCGATCACAGACAGAACTCAAAGGCAGACGACGTCCAAGCTGTTCACAGAAGCATCAAGAGTACTTTTTGATTCAGGCTCTGCTGATGCAAATCTGCCCGGAAAGACAAAACTTTAAGTCGAGAAAAAGAGCTTGATAGAGGTAGAAGGTCGTGCTTAGGATTGAAGAGAAAACACAGCATGATCAATAGAAAATGTTAGTTAAAAATATATATTTATATTGAAAACTTCCCTCTTGTGGATGTTAACCATTTATGCATTGGTCCCAGTACTTGCAAAACCTAATACACTCAAAAGCAGTCCTATTTAAGTTTGATTAAAAAATGTCAAATCTCATTCCTTTTCTTTGTTTCTTTTTATGTTCCTGAGAACATGAGTTTGTCTTGCCACAAAATTGTTGTATATTCTTGTTTGTTTTCTCTATTACTGCATCTTTTGGTTTCCTCGCTCATACTCTCTCATCACTCTCTGTGAAAGTGGAATAATCCTGATCCTGGTTAAACCAATGAAGGTATTTTCTTCTTCTTTTGATTTCTAAAAGCACTCTAATCCTTTTGTAGAGAGCCTCAAATTATTTATTCGGTTTATTTATCTTGGTTTTAAAGTCAAAAGAAAGTCTTAATTGGTTTTAAGGTCGCATGCTTGTCTATGAATGGGGCTTCAGGATAATGAGACCCTGTAAATGCTATCAAATATAGCAAATGTCAATAGCATTAAATGTGATCAAATATGTGTGTAAATTGTACAGCTGTATTTTATTTTTTACATTTCCAAGGCTGTAACAGTTATGCTAGCTCATTTTCTTTGATTTAGTTGAAGATAGTCCTCTTTTTTTAGAGTTTGTTAGGAATGGTTAATAACTGGTTCAAAGGATTGGTCACAGCATTGAGGGACAACTGCCAACAATTTACAGGAGAATAACACTTAGAACCCACATACAGGAACTCTTCGCCCAATAACCCTGATGAAAAAAAACAAAAACGTTTTGCATCTCAAGACTAATCGATAGCGTGCTGGGTTAACTAAATTAAACATTGCCTTACAAATTTACAAAAAAGTGCACACCTGCACTGTACTATTTCCCTGCTAAATGAAAGCTTGAACACAGTGCTACTAAAGTGAAGTCATGGCTTTGTTAAGTGCTGTTAGCTCAACAGTGTAGCAGTAGTAATTAAGGAGGGTGGTGATGTGTTAGTTTAAGGCAGTTCTACCATTGTCTTATTTCTTTTAAAATGTATCCGACAGGTCACGGCTTCACTGTTAAAGCCAATAATACAACTATCTTCATGTTTGTGAAGATTCCCTCCTTCTGTCTTCTTAGGCTGTAGGAATCCAGACACTTTTCCACTGGACAGCATTTCTCCACATATCCTCCATGACTACAGGATGACACCATTCCTTTCCTCCATCTTCATCTTCAACATTTTGGCTGAAGAGGCACAAGGTTTTCAGGGGGCTGGTGCAGGTGTACTGGAGGTACTGACAGCCCTGGAGCAGAAAATCAGAAATTAAGCGTAAACATTGTCATATGAGCTCAGTGTTTCTTTAAGTTGTTTATAGTGTAAAGAGCAAGGACTTAAGAAAACCCTGCTATCAGGTCTTTGTTAGTTTTAGGACCTCACCTCCATGCTGCCCCAGTACCAGATGGCCTTTAGGACGCTGTGATTGGCCAAAGCTACTGTCAGTTGGTCTCGATTTCCAGTTATGACATTTACCAAACCTGCCGGCAGGTCTGAAGCTTGGAGCACCTGGAAAGGAGGAAGAGAAGGAGGAACACTGTTGTTCATCTGAAAACCTCTTTCTTACTTTTCTCCTGAACATTTCCGCTTTCTCCAGCATAAACAGCTTGAATAACATTTTCTCCCATTCTTCATTTTGGCTTTGAAAGTGTCTGGAGCATCACCCGGGCTAAATCCTGATCACTGCTGCCCATTCTACTGCTTCTTAGGCGAATTAACATCTACCCCATTACCTCAACCCTACTAAATAAATCAAATCCTGAATGTAAAAAAAAGATGTGTGCAAATAAAACTAAAATAACATAAAATTAAACTAAACTCGATCACCTAATTTCACTAAAACAGTAACTTTTCCATCTAACCTTGGCCATCTTGAGTAACTTTAACTTTTTAAAACTGACCTGAATGAATGCCAAGGCAGGGAGTGGAAACCTCTGACTGGGGACCAGAATAACAGCGTTTCCAGTGGCAATGGTTGCCCCAAGAACTGTTACCATAGAGAGGAGGGGATTCTTGTCAGGAAGGACAACCCCAACCACTCCCAGGGCTTCAGCATAAGAGAGAGCAGAGCCGGACTGTGGCATCGGCTGAGGGTACCAGAACAAGGCAAGATGCAAAATAAGTTTCAGAAAATTCAATTATATTATGTTAATTATATTCTTACATTCAATTTGTGCTACATGTGAATTGCCTCACCAGAGCACCTCCTTGGATTTTATCGCAGTAAGCCGCCCAATCACTGAGTTTGTTGATGCTTAGCTCCACTTCCTTCTCTGCCTCGTCCACTGAGAGACCAGTCTGGACATGGACTAAGTTAGCGATGTCCCGCCTCTTCGCCTCCAGGCCTTTAGCTAGAGAGTGGAGCGACTGAGCGCGTGCGGCTGGACTCTTTTTCATCCAACTAAAAAAGGGGAAAGGATGTGAAAGGATATTTCATTTGCACAAGAACGGGACTGAACACACACACAGATATACTTGTCAACAAAAACATACAAACACTCCAATGATGGTGCACTGTACCTTTAAGTTTTCATATTAGAGAGATAGGCTATGTGTTTATTGAATTTCAAGTTCCTTTAGATTACCCTGTTTGTTTAGTGTGCATGACTCAGCAGACTGTTTTTTTATGAGCTCTGATAGTCAAGTTGAACTTTGACTGACAATAAACGCACACAGCCACAACAGGTTGTGAAACAACTTAATATGTGTTCTGGATTTAGAGTGTCAAGTCTGAACATCTGTCTTTTATAGAGGCCATTTTTCCTCCTGTGAGGTATTACTTTATGATTAGAATTTACAGAGGACACAGGTTTTATGTTCAGTGTTATGGAGAGTCAAAATGCTCATTACAAGACCAGTGTGCCCACAGGTTGAAGATCAACTTGGGAATGTTGGGGTGAATAAACCTTTGCAAGGACATTTTCTATCATGTGGTCACCAAAAGCCCTGTGATTGACTCGTGACTTGTCCGGTGTGTACTCTGGCATTATGTCCAAACTGGCTCTTACCTCATGCAACTCCAAACTGAATGACCAAATATTGACATTGATATTTAGGTTTCATCCTTTTCCCAATAAACAGTTTTGTACTTTATAGTTTTCAAATACAGCTAAGATAAAACCATGTTTAACAGGTCAGATTATAGTCTGTGAAAATGACTGATGCCTTGCACAGGTGTGGAGATGTGGTCATGGGCTGAAGATGCATGTAATTACATGCTCAGAGGACAGCTGCTGAGTAAAGCACAGGTCCCAAAAACTGCTCATTACAGCAGCTTAATGCTTTTTTCAAAAGTCTGAATCACAATCACAACATCTGTTACTTATTTACTACCAAGTTACTTAATAACTGCTTTACTAAAAAATAGTTAACAGCTGCACAAAATTTATTAAAAACATATTTTTTATTATCGTCATAACTAGTTCCTTTATATTGTTATTGTATCGTTAGCTATGATGTTATATCACGATCGCTAATTCTGGATTCCAATTTTTTCTTTTGAGGGTTTTCAATTGTAAAAACACAAATCATGATGATAAAAATACACCAAGCATTTGTTTTTGTATGTGTTTGTTTGTGTTGCATCACTCTTACCCAGAGTGGACTTTGACTGCAGCCTCCACAGCATTACGGACGTCTTTTCGGCCTCCCTCTGGACAATACGCCAACACGCTGCCGCCCTCTGGTGACTGAACAGCTACACTGCAGCCAGACACTGATTTACACGCTTTACCGCCAATAAACTGTAGGTAAGGCTTTGGAGCGCTAAGGAGGAAGGAAATAATGATGCATGTGACATGAGAATAATCTTGTTAGGCCTGCATGACTTGTTATGTACGATGCTGTCAATCAAATATAGAAAAAAAATACTTTGATTAGCTGATAATCAGCAAACATGACTCAAAGTGAGGAGAGCTTTTTAACCCACCTGGCAGCATCCAGATCATCAGGAATAACAGCTGGAGATGTTGCTGTTCCAAACTTGGAATAGTCCATAGATACAGGGGAGGAGCGAGGTAGAGGAGAAGAGGAAGAGCACGGGCGTAGAAACTGGTAGAGACCCTGGCAAGGAGCAGAGAACTCATCTGAGTAGGAGTTAAATGGATATCTCCCGTGTTTGATCGCTACAGTGCCAGGCGTACTGCCCATTTCAATGACATAACAAGGTGAGCAACAAGGACATTAATATGTAGATGATGGATAATGCTGCCATGTTTAAGTACTGACCTAATTATCAGTCATTTCCTTTCTACTGAGAATGTGAGAATGTGTGGTATGATACTCTCAAGTATTGTCAATGTGTATGAACTACTGTAACCTACTTCCCGTCCTCCATCAGTGCAGGTACCGCTGTCTTTGTGGCCGGACACGGGCAGACAGGGGTCAGATACAGAGTGGGAATTCACCCAAACTGAGCCGACTGCCAGACTGAGGAAAGAGGAAGATGAAAACATCAGTCAAGAGGAGTATAAATGAATGAACACAACACTCATTTTGAAATGTATAATTTTTTCTTTTCCACATTGACCATTTGCAGAGTTTTATTGTCAAAGAATATTAACAGATTCTTGCAACGTATGGATAACTGTAAGTATAGGCTTTGCGTAAGATATGACTATGCGTACCTTTTAGCAGTCTCAAGAGCTAGCGTGAGGTCTTCAGTCCAGATAGAGGCTGCCCTCCCATCAGGACTATGATTACCTGTATCGGAAAATTGACTTAATATTTAATCCAGTTGTTTAAATAGAAATATCTTCCCAGCTTCACATGCAAATCCCGTTCATCAAATCAAGGCACATACATTCATCTTCAGTCACACTTCTGCATCCACAGAGGCCTCCTTACCCAAAGTCACTGCTTCTGTGTTGCTTCTAAAAGTCATGAGAGGCAGCAGAGGTCCACTGGAGAGATTGACAACAGACGGAGAGGAAGGGGCCACCCCGCAAAGCACTGTAGGGGGGTACTGAGCACCTGATGATGGGGCCACACAGGGCTGAACCAACTGGGGAGCAAAGAGAGAAAATTAACAGGTCTTCTTGGTCTGGAACTTTCTTATCTCGACACTAATTTGACTATTTATTCATTTCAGTTTTCAAGCTAGTTATCTGGCTCAGTCATTCATTTTAAAAGCCACTGCATCTTGAATTTCTTTCTTTTTGTTTTTGACCAACCGTGGCTCCCTGCTGCTGAGCTTCTTGTACTACAGCATCCACTTGCACCCTTTCTTCATCACTGTTCAGGCCCACACACTTCAGCCCTGACATACGCAGCCTGAGACGGGCCACAACACTGTCCAGCACACTCTCCTGCACACACAGAACCCAGTGGACCTGAAGGAGAGAAGAGGACTATTGAGAACATGTGGTGGTCTAAAAAGGGTTATGCGAGACCCACTATTGTCCTGCTGTGGATACTAATCTGTGCTCATCACCTCTTTCTTCTTCTTAAAGGCTGTTTCGATCACTCCATCCACTGCGCTGTCAATGTCAGCGGACTCGAAGATGATAAAGGGACATGTAGCACCAATAAAAGGAGAAAAGGAGACCAGGACACCCATTCCAGCTGTGGCCTTACTCAGTGTCACCCCATCCTGAAAGAGAAGACAAACAAATGAAAAAAGCTCTTTGAAAGATGAAAGGATGGGGGGTTCTGAGATGTGACTTTCACCTGCTTGTTGCCGCTGTAGGTGATGTGATTGATGCTGGGGTTCTGGGCCACTTTAGCACCAAATGTTACATCTCCTCCTGTTACAACGTTAAGAGCCCCAGCAGGAAGTCCAGCGGCTGTAAAAAGCTGTGCAAGCAGCAGCATTGGAGGGGCTGTGCTCTGACCAGGGACGACGATGACGGAGTTGCCTGGAAGATAAAAAGTTTTAATTACAACTCACGATTCCTATGAATTCTCAGCTTGAATTCTACTTGAGAGAGCTTTTTTAAAACTTCTTTTAAATCGATAAGTGTTTATTCGCAGTCTAAGTTACCCATGGCCAGTGCTGGTAGGACTTTGAGCATAAGGGCATAAAGAAAGCAGTCATCAGAGGCAACTACGGCCACCACACCTAGAAAACAAGAAAAAAAATTAATTCACTCAAACAACGTATTAAAGAAGAAGAAACTGAATCAAAAGCTTTTTCTTCAACCATCTTATCATGACCTCACCGAGAGGAGTCCAGTTGGTGATGAGCGTGTCTCTGAGTTGAGCCCAGCTGCTGTAGTACTGCAGCAGTCTGACAAGGTTGGAGGGTGAGCAGGAAGCCCCACACGCTTCACACAGCTCTGACCAACACTGACCATGCTGCCCCAGAGTGCCGACCATCCTGTTAACAGCACACAGGAGAGACAAATGAGTAACTGCTAGTGAAGTGCTGAAAATGAGTAAAAGTGAATTTGTCGTACTTGAGCAGCAATTTGGCTCTCTGGTAGCAAGTCAGTCCACTCCAAGTCTTGAAGCCGCCAACAGAAGAGGAAGCACACTGAGAGACATCATCGTCCACAACGCACACTGTGCTGCACACATTTGCACCTGGAGGGAAAGAAGATGTAAGTCTCCTCTTTTGAAAGCCGACGATGAAGGTGATAAGTGTTATCTGTGCCGGGTTTTTTTATAAACGTTAAATTCAAGCTGCTCTTACCTTTCGAATCAGTCAGGGAACGACTTTGTCTCCCTGCTGGATGGATGAACTTGCCATCGATGAACAGACCCAGAGAACGGGAATGATGATCCAGCCAAGCCTGAGGGAGCAGGGAGTGATGGTCAAAAAGGAGGAAGTCTTAAAGATAGTAACCAAAACTTTCTCTACTTTGTCTTAGCTCTTGTCATACAGGCAGTGATCAGTTATCAATTTGTAGATATTAAAAACAGCTCCACATGCATCATAAATGAAGTCCCTTTCAGAGAGGCCTTTCTTTTTGCTATTTTTGTTTTTTTGGTAACATCCAAAAATCAACCAAAGATAGTAATTTTGCAATATGCAAGAGTGCTGATGAGGACCAGAGGACGAGCGCATATAACGCCAGTTTTAGCATCGCTGCATTGGCTCCCCTGTTCGTTTCAGGAATTGATTTTAAGATTCTTTTATTAGTTTTTAGATGTATTAATGGTCTTGGCCCCTCTTATCTATCTGACTTACTTTAATCATACCAACCTTTGTGGACCCTGAAGTCCTCCGGCACAGGTCTTTTAACCTTACCCAAAGTTAAAACAAAAACACACAGGGAGGCGGCTTCAAGTTTCTATTGTCTCCGGTTGTGGAACAGCCTGCCGGAGAGCCTCAGGGCCACAGAGACAGCTGATGTTTTTAAGAAGAGGCTCAAGACTCACCTTTTCAACCAGGCTTTTCACTAATTGCATTTTTATAATTTTTTCTCTTGCAAATGTTCATTTTGATTGCAGTTCTTGATGTTTTTTTTATGTACTCTTATTAATTATCTCTGTTCATAGTCTTTTCCTTAACTCCAGCCTTTGAGGTTTTTACTTCTTTTACCCATTTTATATGGTAAAGAGCTCTTTCTTATTTGTTCATTTTATTTTATTTTATTTTATTAGTCCATCAGGTTTTCGTCTTTCTTTTTTTCCATTTATTAAACTTTATTTATTATTTTTTAATTTAATTTTTTTATCTTTTATCTCTAGCGTTTCCTAAAGGTAGCTCTTTCCTCACACAATGTCTTGGTGCCAGGCCATGTCTCTTTAACAATATACCCTATATTCTCACTCTGTGTGTGCATGTGTGTGTGTGTGTATGTGTGGGTGAGCAAGGGTGGGTGTGCGTCTGTGTGGGTCCATGGGTGGGTGTGTGGGAGGGAGGGTCATGTTTTATTGTTGTTTAAATGTTGTTTTTAGCCTCTGTGAGGCACTTTGAGCTACATTTTTTGTCTGAAAAGTGCCATACAAATAAAGTTGAATTTTAATATATTTCATACAACCATCCACCTCATAAACTAAATGTGAAAGTTACAAAATGAAACATAACTGGTCATCATGCTTTCAACTCCATACACTTGGTAGCAAGCTTGTTACCCTAAACAACAAAGAATAGGTTTGTGCCTCACTGACACTTTAAGTGACAGAAACTCAAACATTTGCTGACTTTGAATTGGTCAGGGAGAGCCCACTTCTGCAGGACTGACAATGACATGTAGGCCCGATGAACTGTGTCAACTATTTACAGAAAGGAGACCAAAGTACAATGCTGGTCTTCTTTCGAAATCTGACAGCAAATGGACTCAGAGCAAACTAAAAATGTTTTTATTGCTCTGCCCTACGATTACCTTGATTTTGTTTTTGGACAAAGCAATGATAAAACCAATGATACCTCATGGCTGAGGTAAAATACAGAATCCTTTTAGCAATAAAATACAAAAAGCAACACCCACTTTGTTTCAAATGTGTATTAAAATATTAATACACTGAAGTGACTCCAATTACCAGACACTGTTAGGGAAGATTTTCATGAAATAAGAAACTATTTCCAAGCATCTGACTTCAGACCTGATGTTTCATAACTAAGTTAACAGTAAGCGTACAGTGTAGTCACATGCTGTCCATGTGGGCTTCAGTAAACGATCTTCGCATGGTTTACATATTTTAACCGGGGACATCCAAGACAAGTGAGTAAAAACTTGAAACTCTATTAAATCCCTTGGTGCACTTGAACCTCTGTGGCTGAAGAGTTGGAAAGTCAAAACTCACCTGTGCAGAGGCGGTGCTGGAGGCTGCTGCTGGTCCGTACTCCATGCTTTGAAAAATATCCTGCACTGTCTTGGTTGTGCTACCGGCCATAGTAGTTAAAAAACGAGAGAGGGGCAATTTTCACTGTGTGTCCTTTCAGTAAGAAAACTTGATGGAGGAAAACGGCCAGTACCTGCAAAGGAGAGAAGACTGAGCGGAAGTAAGAGGGGGTGAGAGAGATCTTTCACGTGAAACGTAACGAGCTGCTGGTGTCCCTCCGTAATACCGCCCCACAAACACACAAGCTACACTGCAGCTAGAAAATGCTTGAGGTGGAGAAATTAAACATCAATGTGATGTTTCGCTTGTATTTACTTCCAGTGTTTTTTTTTCTTTCAAAATAAAGAAATAAAAAAATGAAGCTTTTGATCTGAAATATTTTCAAATATTAAAAAAGATTTCTGCGACTTTGTGTTGAGTCGTTTGCGAACGATTCGTTCAAAAGAACCGAATCTTTACAGTGAAGTACTGAACCGAATCAATTCCTCAAGTAATTCGTTTGTTTCTCACTTCAGTTGAGCCGACGTGAGAAACAGCATTGCCAGGCCAGAGGCAGCAAACGAGGGACCACATGCACCAAAGCCTGAATAGCTTGGTGAACAAATCATGGATTGAACTACACTCTCTAGAATCATTTTTGTCAGACAAAACTACCTTTTTATTTTTCTCACTTCTAAATTGCCACCACAATGACTTGCGTACAATAGGACACAGCATGTAACAAGTAGGGCATTAAACCAGCAGCATCCTATCATTGCAGCAGGGAACGGAGCATGTTCAGTTTGAAGTCTTCTAAATGTTCAGTGACAGAATCACTCAGTGAGCCCAATTTACCGAGCAGACCTGGTAAATAGCATACCATAGGACAGTACACTTAAACCATCATGACTTATAAACAAGTTCATTTTTACAAACCTGTTTATCAAAGCAACACAGCCAAACACTCTTGTCTCCTGGTCCCAGAACTTATGAATTGAACTGAATTCTGAAACGTTTATCAGTGTATCAGCTCAGTAGGTCGGAGTCGCAGCCTTCTCCCACTAAATGATTCAGTTATTTGGTGAACGAATCTTTTCAACGAATCTTTAGAGTGAACTGATTCTACTGATTCAGTACATCTAAAAGAACTGCCGTGCCCATCACTACTGCGACTGCATTTTCCTCACGGATGTATTTTGTCAACGGACCCCACCAGAACACTGCGCATGCGCCGTGTTGACAGGGAAGTGTAGAGATATCGATGCGCTTTTTTTCAGCTGACATAGCTCATACCAGGAGCTGGTGATTTTTGGTCATTGTTGTTCATGTAAAAAAAAGGGGGATTTATTTCTGAGCAGAATTACCCCAGTGGAGACACGAAAAGCAGTGAAAATGCCCCGTAGAAAGGTAAGGCGAGTGTTTGCCGCAGAGATACTGCATATCGGACCCAAAACAACATCACGTCATAGCTAATGTTTGGCTCTGAAGTGGAAAGAATTAAGATTACGTGGATGAACTATCAACCTGATATGAGATATTGTGTATTCCTTAATGCTTTCTGAGGTATTGGTTGTGTAGCGGATGTAAATGCTGAAAATGTTGCTCCGGACTTAAGCAACTTAACATTCTTTGCTAAGCGACATGCTAACTGATATTAGTAAGTTGTGGTAAATGTAATCTTTTTAGTTTAAGTCTAGCTTTTTAGGTAGGGTAAGTGAAGATAGCATAAAACCTGTGCTCCGTGTTGTTTGTCGTGTTTACGTTCACATTAGTGTGGCGGGGAGGTGTTGGCCACAGTAACGGCCGCTTTAACTGATGAAAGAGAACAGGCTGTTCTTTGAGTGCGAGGGGAGAACGGAGCGTCCGCACCAAAACAACGCTCTGATTGGACAGCGTCTGATCACGGCTGCGCTTATTGGTTGATTCGTCGTCAAACCCGCCCATTCCTCTGTTGTAATTGGCGGTAGACGAAGGAGTAGCCCAGCCTCTTTAAGTTTCTCTTCAAAACGAAATGCGCGTCTGTCGAGAATAGTTGTAAAATGACGGCCAAAAACACATTTTTCATACAGTAAATGACCACTGCCTTAACAGTTATGTTATAATTACTCACTGGAATTCATTTTACTGTGACTGCCCTTTTATTTGTTGCTGGGGATAACGTTCAAGAATTTGTCTGTTTGTATTCTATTTAGGTGTTTAATTCCCTGTTGCGATGAGGTAGTTAATTTTTTAGCTTTATTTTTGTCTCATGCTGGTATTTAACAGTTAAGTAGTGATTCGTATACACAGAGTATCAATATTGTTTCTTCAGTGGTCCTGTATCAATTAAATGCAACAAGCAAACTAAGCAAATATCAACCAAAACAGATGAAATGACAGCAGCAGCAACAGTTTATGACCCTTTTCCTGCTGAGTATGGAACAGGCTCTTATATATTCCATACAAATGCCAGGAACCCCCTTACCCCACCCCCACCCTGCTGGATTTTGGTGTCTTGTGGTGTAGGATGAACCCTCATACGCCTTAGCATAACCCCATTCATTCCGTGCGACAGGAAGCTATACAGCCTACGTTTGCATTAAATTGGAAGGAAAGATAAATCTATGTGGCGTTAAATTTTTAGATTTATTCCAATGAGGTGATCGGCATTCTTGACTCTTTTTTCCTTAACATTGTGTCCACTCGTTTTTCTAACATTTTTGTCCACACAACTGACGACAAAACTGGAAATCCACGCGGAAGATGCTCTCGGGGTTTGGCTGACTCAGATTACTAATACTAATAGATCCGTTTTGTACTCGTGGTCATACCGATTAGAGTTGTTTTGGTGTTAAATGACTGATCTATCGTGACAAGACAAGAGGGGGTACAGTTTCGAAGGAAATGTGGAGGGGGTGACGCTCCTCCCCCCAGTATGGGATCATTGTTGAATTATCCGCTGGTAAAAACAATTATCACACAAACCTTAACTGCCACGTGATTTTGTTGTTTTGATGTGGTTTCGGTGACTGTCCAGAGTCATCCCAATTCGATATCTGCTAAGTGTTTTGGATTTTTTTTTCAGAGAACCGCTGGCAGCAGCTCGGATGGGACGGAGGACTCGGATTTTTCCGCCGACCTCGAGCACACCGAAGCTTCCGAGAGTGCACACAGGCGCAGCAGCACGCGACTCACTCGTGCGTCACTGCGACTCAGCCGCAGCTCGCAAGGTAAGGGTTTAATCTTTAAAAGAATTTAGACATGAAAATAGTCTGAAAATAGCGAGTTGTTCCGGAAAGACTTCTTTGGTTTACATGACTGCAGCATGTTGCCCTATGACCCCTTTACCAATTTAAGCAACTTGGATTTAGAGATGCACCGATCCTTTTTTTTTCTGATCCAATCTGATATCGATACTGTATTGGCCGATATCCGATATCATTCCAATACTACTGTTGAATGAATGAACTGTATACCTTGCCCTGTAAGTGGAGGCATCAAGCTTTAAATTAGCCTTGTTAAAAAAAAGGTAAAAAATTAACACAGATATAAATTTACTTAATATTATTTATGAACAAATTGCATGTTAGCACACAGCAAAAAGAAGTAAGACTTCCATGTAAACATTTAGTGCAAAAGAATAGACAGACATAGAATATAGAGCAAACAGAATTGCTGTGTATGATATTAATTAAAAGAAAAAAAAGACTGGATCGGCATCATTCATCAGATACCCGATCCAGTGAATTTGTCAATATCGGAGCTGATATCCGATCCAGATATCAGATCGGTGCATCCCTACTTGGATCTTACTGGAAGGATCAAAAATTATAACAGTATTGAAATATTATGACATATCAAGTGACACCCAGGTTTTTTCCTCTACCTTAACAATATTACAATTTAAAGGATTATTAAACTGGTTTGTTTTAGAGCTTTTGTAGGACTACTCTGGCCTAAAGACCTCTTTATTTGAAAGTTTAAAATTTAGTTTAGAAAGTTGCAACTCCATATATCTGTTTTCCTTGATTTTACAATTAAATCTTAAGCTGTTTTCAAGATTTATTTTCTCTTTTTTATTATCATTATGATTTTTTTTCCAAGAGTGAATTTCAGTGGTCTTGGCATACAGTGTAACTGCATAGTATGTCAGTTAGATGTGGAGGGATACCATCATTCAGGGACTAGGGAGAGGCTTGCAGCCCCCCACACTTCAAAAGAGACTATTATATATTAGCAGCCTTAAAGCATGAATGGGTTCAGGACTCCGGACCTCCCCCCACAACAGACACGCAAACACTCTCCACCCTCTGTCTGACCCTTTTTTGTTGTGACTGCCAGGGGGGGTTTACAGCAGAAAACGAAGGGCCAGCAGTGTTTCCTCTTTATTTCATTTACAAGATAATACCTTTTCAGGTCCATGAACAAACTTAAGAGCACCATGGAGGCTCGTTTTATCGAGAATAGCAAAATCAGAGGTCGACTGTAATTGTTCTGTAGTTGTATTCCTTTCTCTCCAAACACACTAAACCCTGATACAACAAGTTAATATATGATTTAAATCGTTTTTACTCAGTTACAAAGACTGTTTAGATTTAAGAGCTTACTCTAAAATAAAAAAGACATCAAACATCCTTTCAGTGCATTCTGAATTAGATTTTCTGTAATAATTATTCTTAAAGGGCCTCATGTAGACAGGGCAGCACCTTACTATAGCTTTTATTATCTTTTAAACTGCTGACTATTTTACGAAGGAGCAACAAAGGCTTTTATTAAAAACACAAAGATGGACTGTCTCATAAGGTCAGAGTCTGCAGCAAAATGTCACAAGTTGAATGCTGGAGCTTGGAGATGATTTTCATTGCAATAAAAAAACACTTGAATCAATAAATGATGAGAATAAAATTGTTTCTGTTGATAATAAATTAGCCTATTAACATGTCTTGTCCGCTCAACACTGAAAGCATCAAGGTTACACTATAATAACAGATTTTTAGGAAAAATACACAAGTTGTGTTTGAATAAAAATACCAGTGCTAAAACGAAAATGAAACCATTTTAGATTGAAGTAGAAATAGAAATTAGAAGTAAAACATGTAAAAGTAGTTGTTTAAGAAAATAAGAGGTGAGTGTCATTTGTTGGAGAGTGTTGACCAGACTGAAAGTGTTTTGGGTCTAAATGGTTTATCTGCCAACTAATATTTAAACAATTGTTTTCTCTTCTGTTTCTTATGCAAAACCCGGTTATTAACCATTGAGTTATCACTTTCATTTTTTTTATAGATAACTGCAACTCAGTACGGAGCAGTTCTCCAACAGCAGTGAGTCCTGAAGTAAGCTTGGATTCAGCAGCGGCAGCAGCAGCAGCAGCAGTGGCAGCATCGGTCTTCTCCTCTGGGCGCAGAATCACACGCAGCCAGCAGGGGGTGATAAACACAGCAGCCAAAAAATACCCACTGCGTCAGAGCAGGTCATCCGGCTCTGATACTGAAGCAAATGGTAAGACCAGCAGTGTCTCTCTATGTCTTAGAAATGCGACACAGCAGATTGGGATTGTCTTGGAAATGTCTCATTGAAAGTGGATGCTGTTTTTGTGTTTTTGCATAGCTTGTTATTCGTAAATGCAGGGAAATTGGTGGCATCAAGGTAGAAGCAGAGGCACAGAGAAAAAGAGCAACAAAGATGAAAGACAAAAAACAGTACACCAAAAAGTCAAAGAGCAGGGAAATGAAATGTGATTAAAGAAACAAAGTAAAAATACAGTCCAAAAAAAGGGATGTGGGGAGAAAAGAGGGGCTGATATGAAGATGAGGGAAGGCAGAGGGGGAAAAAGGGCATCTGTGTCTTTCATTCAGTCATTGATATGCTGCTCAGCTGATGTCCAGAGCCCTGCTGTGATCACAGTGTGGTCCTGATTAGAAAGAAGACAAACACATCCCCTCAGTACAGCTGGTCTGCCTTACAGTAATAGTGTCAATTTTGACTTCAGATTTCAGACAGGAAGTGCTGATCTGTGTCCATGAAAGTACATATAGTAATTCGTTTTGTTCTAAAATTTGACCAACTATTACTCCAAATTTTATTTTTTAAGCAAATTTAGGAGCCATATAAATTGAATATGTATCAGATCTCTGCTCTGTGTTGTGTGGAAGACACTCTTTTCTTTTTTGGAAACATTTGTTATCTGAAATTTACACATGTGAGTGAAGAATTAAATTCAGTTTGTGTCTGATGTTCCTTTGGCAGTGCGCTGTGATCAACCATCTAAAGTGTAGAAGAGAATTTTACTCATTTCTAAGCATTGTTATCTTTGTGTCCTTTTTAGATCAGAGTGTTTTCTCTCATTATTTGGAATAGTTTACACATAACCATGTTTCACTTTAGTAATGCTTAGAGAAAAATTAAGGTGGCAGAACTAGATAACCATGTTTGTTTCCCTGCTCCTTGGGTTTTCCTGGCAAGTTTGTTTTACTTTTAATTGAAGTGGCATGAGGAGAAACCTTTTTTTAGCCTTGTCACCAATAAAATGTTTGCCCTGTATCTTGTATCAGTGAGTATAACTGGAGATAAGAGGAAAATACCATGTTGATGTCCTTACAATTCCTTACCAGCCTCTCTGGGCTCTAATATGGATCATCTGTTGCTGTAACATCAGTCTTTACTATTGGATTTCTTTGCTGGCAGCTGCTTCCTAAGGGTGTTATCTGTTTCTCTCAGGGGTTCGCCTTTAGACATACACAAAACAACATAGACGTGTTTATGACAGAAAAAAGCATTATTACCTTTGCATTGGTTTAAAATAAGGGAAAGACATATTTTGAATTATTGATCTTGTATAAAGTCACATTTTTCTCATCTGACTTTTGGTTAATGCAGTTATTTCTTTGTGTTTCCTCTTATCCTGATTGGCTTTGCAGACCTGAAGCAAGGAGCCGACCATGATGAGACCCCTCCTCGCACCCCGACCGGTAACGCACAATCTTCTGAGTCAGACATAGAAGTCTCCAGTCCCAGCAATGACCACGTGTCTTCTAGCAACGATGTCGTAGTATCACAGGAGGAGGATGAGAGATTGGCCAAAGAGCTGTCACTCAAAGAGGCCGCCGCCCATGACCTTTCCCACCGCCCCAAACGACGGCGTTTCCATGAGAGCTACAACTTTAATATGAAGTGTCCCACACCTGGTTGTAACTCATTGGGTAAGGGCATACATTCGTTGTCATTTCTGTGTTCATCAGATATCCTGCTCCTACAAACCTGAACTCCCTTCACACTAAGGCTGCACGATATTGGAAAAAAATAATATTGCGATTTTTTCAACCCTGCGATATATATTGCGATATTAAAAATACAGGAATTTTCACCAGATGACCTGAATAACACTTAATGTTATGCTGCACTGCTGAAATCTTGAGGACAGTTAATCTGCTCTGATCTTACCTCTTTTTGTGAATGTTAGTAGAACGGCTTCTGTCTCAGAGATATTTTCAGCTTTTATTGTGCTGGGACGTTATTGTGGCGACAGATGAACACAGAACACGTGTTTTGGTCGCCATCATCCTTCTTTTAACCGAAATAATTCCAGATAACTGACTTTCCTTTTCTTTTTGGCAACAAATCTCCATTTACGGTGGTTTTCGCTTGTTCAATGTTCATTTTGCGATCGTTGTTGTTGTTGTTGTTAGCGGTGTTGTGCTGAGAAACGCATGTCCTCCGAGAATTGCATGCACCTCGCAAAACGCGCACTGCTTATAGTAGAGTGGTCCACGGAAATGTACAATTTAAAACCCATACAGTTCTTATTTGTTGGGCTAAATAGTCATGAGTAAAGTTCCGAAAGTAATTCTCAGCGGACACACGTCTCCTTCCATGTGCAGAACATGTGCAGGGGTGGGTTTCCTCCGCCCTGATTTTGATTGACAGCTGGCAGGGTAGTCTGATTGGCAACTGAGAAGTGAGTCTGATTGGCAACTGAGTTAAGGACGAAGGTGATTGGTGGATGCTGCAAAGCACATGCAGAGTCACATGGAGTGTTTCTCAGTCGATTACCCTTGAAATTAAATGAGTTCATTCACCTCCAATATCGCAGGCTCTGCATGTGACTATCGCACACACATACATCGCGATGACGATAGTCAAACGATATATCGTGCAGGCCTACTTCACACTCCCTGTTTTTTTCTTCGTCTTCTCAGGTCATCTCACAGGACGGCATGAGCGACATTTCTCTATATCAGGGTGTCCTCTCTACCACAATCTCTCTGCTGATGAATGCAAGGTACAAACACAATCATGAATGCAAGGGAGGCTCTTTTAAAGCAGAAAAAATATCAAATGAAATGCTCAGATTTCATTTAACCTCAATGTTACCAGTTATATCCCCATTAAGAAACAAAACGATTTTTACAAAGGAGTCATACTAAAGATAGTAGCATAGAAATCTCATATAAAAGGATAAGCAACAGACTTTACCAAGTAGGATTCGGAGCAAATAATGACTTAACAGTGATAAAAATTAAGAAAAACAACTTGCTCAGTTAAAGTGCAACAATATGTGCTAAAACAAAAATGAGCTTTTTTAATATCCTACATTTTTTTCATCTTATTTACTTCCACTTTTCAGACATGTTTCAGTTTAGACTTGGATGCTTTCAAAGTACTCCTCGTTTGTCAATTTCCATTCGATGTTAAGTGACTGAAACCCACAGTTCTGAACTGGAGTTGTCAAGCTGCAAAGATTCCAGGAACATGGAGGTGGTTGCTGAAATCTTTCTGCAGCGGGGGTGGTTGTGAGTCATTTGGTGGTAGACAGTGTTGATGTTTTGTCAGGGCAAGGCATCGACGCGCGAGAAACAGGCCGAGGAAAGGACGCTGTCGCACCGCCAGGACGAGAACAGGCACTCCACGAGAAACCAGGTAATACACAACCGCACGAAGGCATAGACATACGCAGGCAGGTGCACCAGCCCGGCAAAAGTCATGATGATTCATTCTGAGACGTATAAAGCAGAGAGATATGTTCACACACAGTATATCTACACAACCTGTGAAAGGGGCAGAACACCAGGAAGTCATATTATGATCAGAAGTGCAGCATATAGCTGTTAGCAATAGTACCCACTGAGCAATAGATGGCTATTAGACATCTAGGTTTTTTTTTTTAGACCTAATTTCAACTGTCTAGATATCGCATATTTTTAGATGGACTTTAGACGTTGCACTTTAATCCATTATTTGATAACTATTTATTTCAAAACTGATCTCCAAGTACTTTACCAAAATAATTATGATAGCCATTAAGCAATATGCAGTGTAGTTTAGTTATAGCCCAGATTTAGACTAGGTCTAAACTTGGTCTAAATCTAGACATCTATAAAAACTTTCATTTTTAGACCTGTGGTAGCCTGATTTTAGACCAGTTGTCTAGGTTACATTTAGACATCTATTAGACCTCTTTCAGACCAAAAAATGCTCAGTGGGAAGGTTGAGTCACAGTTAAAGTGAAATAAATAGTCCTAATCTGATGTAATTACTCAGTTTATTTGGAAAAAGCTCATTAACAAAAAATGTAATGACTGAGAGTGCACTAGAGGTTGCATAGGAAGCTTGTTTCTGTCTTTTTCCATTGCAAAATCCAATATCTTACAGAACCCTACAAAAATAAGCTTGCACTAACAGTAATTTTTAGGTGTAACACATGTCAGATTTTTTATAACATTTCATTTAATCATATACCGTATTTTTTGCACTATAAGCCGCACCTGATTATAAAGCGCATTAAGCAAAACAGTCAATAACTCCGCGAGGCTACGGTAGATGCAGCGCTCCGACAAGCCAAAAGGATTTTAAGTGCGCCTCATAGTGCGAAAAATACGGTATTTTCAAAATATTTCCTAGTGCATTTATATTTTTATTCACAAAAGGGAAATTAAACTAAATGTTGGCGAACACACAGCTTAAATGTAGTTACATCTTCCCTGTGTCTCAGGCCCCTTCAGAGCGTCAGCTGCGCTACAAGGAGAAGGTGACAGAGCTGAGGAGAAAGAGGAACTCCAGCCTGAATAAGGAGCAGAAGGAAAAGTACATGGTGAGAGGATGAGAGCGAAATAATGTTTGTGCGGTCTCCTTATTCTGTGTCCCTCCTGAAAAATAATTTGCGTGTGTTTATTTTTTCTTCACCCACACCACTAGGAGCACCGTCAGAGTCACGGAGCTAGCAGGGAGCCACTGCTAGAGAACATCACCAGTGACTACGACCTGGAGCTGTTCAGGAAAGCGCAGGCACGTGCCTCGGACGACCTTGTAAGAGAGAAAACTCATCATCACCTCCCTCCCTTATTGTGCCTCCTACCCTGTGTATTTTTGTCTCCCCCCTTTTCTGCAATATTCCTCTTCTTCTCTGTTTCAGTCAACAAACCCTCCTCTGAGGCCACAGGAGGAGTCAGAGATGTTTTTGGTAGTTTGGAGTATCACTTCCTGTTTGTTTTGTGTTTTTGATCTGTTATTTTACGACCCATTCAGTCGAGACATCCCTGTTTCTTTATTTCAGGCCTACTTTCATTAATTACATACATGATTTTGTTTGTTTTGAATGTAACAGTACAGGTTTAGGTAACTGCACCAGAACTGAGTACTTTGACTCTCTCTGTACAGTGTAGCTGGCTGGTCTTTAAATATTTGGGAGCAAGTTTCCTCTGTTGAAGATCTTCACAGTATTTTAGTTTTAGATCTAGTTGAAGAGGTTATCGGGTTAGCGGAGTTGTGCTGTTTTGCATGTTTTTGCAGCAAACATATATAAATGGAATTTTCACTCTCATATTACATCTTTTTACGTCTTGAATTTTCGTCACTGGTTGCCTCCACTGAGGCTTTCCTGATTTTGCTCTCTGGTTCACCTGATCCGTTTCCCTGAATAATGCTGATCTTTCTTCCTCTACTCTTTTCTTCATTTTTTTCCCCCCATCCCTCTCTCTGTCCCCTCCTGACCTCTACAGGAAAAACTCCGTCTGGCGGGCCAGGTGTCGGAGGGGAGCAACATGATAAAGACCATCGTGTTTGGGCGCTATGAGCTGGACACCTGGTATCACTCTCCGTATCCAGAGGAGTACGCTCGACTGGGAAGACTGTACATGTGCGAGTTCTGTCTTAAGTACATGAAGAGCCAGACCATTCTACGCAGGCACATGGTGAGATTACTTTATATCCTTCAGGATCGCTGCACGTCTTAGCAAGAATTTAAAAAATACTAGTGTCTCATATAGTCCCACAGTTTCAAACCTTAGGTGTTAAACAGCAGAGGAATACGACACACCAGCACTTTCAAAGAGAAAAAGAAAAGCCATTACAGTGGTTATTAGTGTTGCACAGGTGCAGGTATTCGAACTAGACCGTTTCAGTCCAGGACTTCCAGTACGGTATCTATGCATACCAAACTGCGTGCCTGCTGTAGTGCAAAACGAAGCCATCAGGTGGCAGTAGGAGCCAAAACATACAATGCTGTGCATGTCTCCGATCAAACTAGACAGGCGCTGCCATCAAAACTAAAAGCATATGGGGTCATTTGGGATGATCAGTGCTCTGTGTTATCAGTTCACTAGAGAAACAGAGGAGTGTTAGTTTGCAGAAGCAAAGCAAACTTGTGAGAAATTCCATTTTTTATGTTATTTTCTGTCTGTAAGAACTATGACTTTACATGATTTATGAAGTCTGTGTCCCCCTTTGATCTTTACTGCTCCCGAAATACACACACTCTGTAAATTACACACACTCTGTAAATTACACACACACTCCGTAATATACACACACTCTGTAAAATACACCCACCGCATAAAGGACAAGGTGATGAATAAGACTAGTTTGGGTACTTGAAGTTGTTAGAAATAACCATATAAAAATAGGCTTATGCACTATATCTGTTTGTAATGCAGTTTCTCTCACATTAATGATTTATGCAGTTAAATATGATTACTCACAAATCTTGTCATTATTCAGATAAAATTCTTCTGGTAGCTTGTCAGCACTTGTTTCAAGTAGATTTATCCTTTAATCGAGGCTTTGCTCGTGGTAACACCTGCAAAAGGTGAAAGAGCCCCGATAGAAGATTCCCGCTCATCCATATTGCATCAATATAGTCATGCCGGCTCTTTTAAAAAGCTTAAATCCATGAGAACCAAAGCATTTTAATGGAGTTTTTCTGTTGAATTTCTAACAAATTTTATACAAATTATTAATTTACTTTCATGCAGACTAACCCCTGGTACTTCTTCCTGTGTGATGTGTAGGCTAAGTGTGTGTGGAAGCACCCTCCAGGTGATGAGATCTACAGAAAAGGGAACATCTCTGTTTTTGAAGTGGACGGAAAGAAGAACAAGGTAAAAAGCATTGCCTTGACTTATAAATCACATGTATCAGCACATTTGTCCATGTGTGAGACTAGCAGCAGTTAATCTCCACCGTGCTCCGGTTCCACAGATCTACTGTCAGAACTTGTGTCTGCTGGCAAAACTCTTCCTGGACCACAAGACTCTTTATTACGACGTCGAGCCTTTCCTCTTCTACGTCATGACTGAAGCGGACAACACAGGGTGCCATCTGGTCGGATACTTCTCCAAGGTAATCTAGCTGGATAACCTGTTAAGAAATTATTTTAATTCAGAATTTTAGAAAAAATGTGAAGTTGAGTATCAGGTAACATAACAAATACATTTCTTTCCTTAGTTTGAAGTCAGGTATGTTATTTAAAGTATGTAAAACTGTGTGATAACTTTAATTGTTTCAATGTCAACAAACATTAACTGGATTATTCTGAGTGTTTCATTGTTGCATATGTACATGAAGCTAATAGAGTGTAGGCACCATACATGCTTATCAGTTATGGTTTATGTTTCAAGTGAGATGAAATGAAGAAGAGTTGAGAGCTGTGAGAGAATTTTAATTCCGAAAGTAATGCGTTGAGAAAAACAAAAGATTAACAGATGAGTTCTCTTTTTGCAGGAGAAGAATTCTTTCCTGAACTACAACGTGTCCTGCATCCTCACCATGCCACAGTACATGAGGCAGGGCTACGGCAAGATGCTCATAGACTTCAGTGAGTACAGGCATCCGCTTTATTTACTCCTCTTTGTGTGTCTTTGTACATGCATGTGCACTTGTTTCTCAATGGTACCAGGTTTTGTTTACTGCTTTTTTTGTGCTGTTTCTTTGCAGTGAACTCTTGTCCAATCCTGTTCTTTACCTTTTTTCTTAACCCCTACTTCCGTGTCTGATGCGTCTTTGCAAGGTTACCTGTTGTCTAAGGTGGAAGAGAAGGTGGGTTCACCTGAGCGCCCCCTGTCTGACCTCGGCCTGATCAGCTACAGGAGTTACTGGAAGGAGGTACTACTGCGATACCTGAACAACTTTCAGGGCAAAGAGATCTCCATCAAAGGTCAGAACTGGATCAATCTCACAGTTGTCATCTGCAGGATTAAAGTTTGCGTCATGACTCATTTGAGAAAAAAAAAAAAAGAGTTAACAACGGGGACAGAGTCTAAGAACGTGCGAGAAGCCGACTTCAGACTGTGTTTATGTATCTGCATGCATGTGTGCAGTCATGTATAATCCCTGAGGCATGTATATGTACAACTTTAAGACCCATTGACATGAATGTGATATCTCAGTAAGGCCTTTGGGGAATAGTTTATATTTGGCACAGCCAAATGTGAGAGTGAAATGAACTGATTAGATTCTTGCTATCAAAGATTGAGGTCATCGCAGGCATCATCGTTAAAATGCTTCATTGTAACCATTATATCTTCAAGGGTAAAAATATGCTTGAGTATTTCTCTCGATCGACTGTAAAACAGTTCTTCCCAACGAGCTACAGGAGAACCAGCAAGTTTAGAAAAAACCTTCAACATTAGAATAATTTTCACCGAGCTCTGATTCAAATGAACTACGAGGACTCAACCAGCAGACCTCAAACATCTTATTTAAGTCTTCAATCAGCACTTATCATTAGGGCTGTCAAAATTTTGAATCAATACCAAATGATTCATCGAGTAATAATAATGTTGTGTAAAAATAATGAATGTGGATTAACTGCACTCTGCCGTCATTGATCCGTGATCCAAAAGTATTTAAAAAAAATCACATCGGTCATATTGAAGTAGGCCAGCAACAATTCACTGCACTGAATAAGTTAGTCGTATTGATCGTATTAGTCATCTTTACCATAATATTTACTCTAGAGTTTGTTGTAGAGGATTACATGAGCTCAAAAAAAAAAAAAAAAAAATCAATCACTCATTTTTGTTGTACTAATACAGAGCCCTTTAGTAAATAGGTGAGTGTACAGGAATCTGCCCTGACCTCAGCTTTTATCAAAGCTTCTGTAGTTTTATTATTACCCTGTGTAAATGGGCTGCACCTATAATAAATCTGTTTAACAAAAGGAACAAGAAAAAAAAAACAGTATTTTCTCTCAATATGTGACATCAGTCGGCATCCAAGGGTCCAAATGTTTACAATGATGTCTCCGTGCTAGGTTAATAGCCACGCTGATGGCTGAGTTTGAAAGGTGCATTGTGTATGGTTGAATTGTTTGGTCAGATAACCGCGTGATATTGCCTTGGTGTATGTACAGTGAAATAGAACATCTACAGGCTTCTTCTTTCAGGGCTTTGCTATGTATGTGGTCTAGTAACAATTTTGTCGTAACAATGTGCAGAACAACAATACTGAGTGCGTGAAAGTCCTGCTTTTCCTGCACATAGAAATAACCTTAGCAGGCAGCCCGTGTGTATTTTGGACACTCAAGTAAAACCACAGACCATCTTTTTTTTTCTATGCATGCAAAATTACTATCAAGAATATGGCTGGGTGATATGGCCTCAAATCAATATCACTATATATTGAGCAGTTCACCTCAATAACGATAAATGGACGATAACTACTCCACAAGCTGCTCACCCCCTCCCACATTAACTTCATCTACCTCAGCCGCCGCTCCAGCCTCTACAACTTTTAAACCGTCCTCCATCTCCTCACCTGTCTTTCTCTTTTTGTTACGGACTGAACGGGGTGGAGTCACGTCTCCGATGTAGGACAGCATCTTACATCTGCACACACCCAAAACCAACTTTTATTTATTCATTTTATTTGATACTGAATATATTGACATGGGAAAAATGTCATAAATTTTGGTATCAGTAAGTTTTCGTTTTATTGCCCAGCTCTAATCAAGAATTTATCATTCTCTATTTTTTGTCTATATTTCACAGCTCTACCTCTTACCCACACAATCTTGACCTTGACCTCCTCTTGTCCGACTCTTGTCTTTACAGAGATTAGCCAGGAGACAGCGGTGAACCCTGTGGATATTGTCAGCACGCTGCAGTCCCTTCAGATGCTCAAATACTGGAAGGGAAAGCACCTGGTGTTAAAGAGACAGGTAGGACCACAAAACAACCATAATGAGTCTGCGTAGCTCTTTGGTGGGAGCACTTGTCTCTTGATTTGAAGGGATACATTCGATTTTTGAAGTGGGGTTGTTTGTGGTTTTCATTAATAGTAAGTGTTTTAGCCACAGGGGGTGCTGGTCAGTCCATTTGTTGAGAAACCAGCAAGTAAGTCTAAACTTAGTAAGTAAACACTCGACCTGGAATATTTTCAGTGCTGTTTCATTGTGAGGAAACACTTTCATTTTTGCACTATTCTGGACTCAGCGTACACATGTTCCTCTGCCTGCAGCGCATTGATTAGCTAAACAGGTCTATGATGTACGAGTCACGTACAGATTGTGGATTTGGATGTTTCTTCATCACAGTTTGGCATAATTAAAGCAGTAACAGCTGTAATATTTACCATTTGAGCTCAGTCTCCCCCCTTCAACAGCCAGCACAGTGTATTTTTGTCAGGTAAACACTTGGTGCGGAGCATTGGTTGTGTCATTATGCAATAAAAAAGAGTGAGAGCCAAACACATACTGTAAATTTTAGAGGATAAGAGACCCCGGTGTATAAGACGGTTCATTTTGATGAACATCCAAGAGGGAAGAAGGGCTAATTTGTTTTCCTTCATTTGTTTTGTGTAATTACTTCCACAAAGTTCACCAAGTTCCCAACACGCACTTTTTGTGCAACTGTGATTGTCTCTCTTGAACCATCTGCTTTTATACTTATAGATGACAATAACAGGAATTAAAAGTGCATCCATACATCAAATTTTCACTTCCATCCAGCAATTCTGGGTTTTCTGATTGAATTCTAAAAATTGAAGGTTTGTAAAAGCAGTACAATTGTACAGCAGGGAGCTCTCGTTAGTAAGTGATGCAGGCTGCAGCTTTACTTAAGCCATTAGGATACTGTTGCCACCAAGTCCCACATGTGATAGCAAGTTGTTTTCTCAGTGAACTCAGGGTCCCTCCTGCTCTACAGTGTGCATAGAGACTTCTCCTCTCTCTTATTTGGCCCACTGACTCTTGTTCCACCTCTGTTAAGGTGTCCACTTATTTTCACAGTAGGTATGTGTATTTTTATCTGGCTGCAGCCCAGAACACTTGGTCAGTTCACTGCAGGCAGAAGACCTCTGTGAGGAACTTCATACTAGGGCTGGGCGATATACAGAAAATTTACCAATACCGTAATTTAAGACAATAACTGACGTAATTTCGCCCATGACAATATATTCGGTGTCAAAAAAAATGAATAAATAAAAGTTGGTTTTGGATGTGTGTTGGTAGGCTATGGTCTCAAGACGCCGTCCTACATCAGTGACGTGACTCCACCTCATCCAGTCCGTAAAAACAGTCCTTAAAAGTGGCAAAATAATCACAATAAATGGGTCCATGGGAGTCATATTATCAATATAACTGCCACAGCCCCATCTATTGGTGAAACTTTTGTGCGTAGGGGACGCAGTGGAGTAGTTATCGTCCATTTATCGTTATCAAGGTGAACTGCTCAATATATCATGATATTGATTTGAGGCCGTATCGCCCAGCCCTACATAATACAACTCCACTTCAAAAAAACTGAACCATCCCTGCAGAGCCTCAGTTTCTGAAGACAAACAAATCCACTGTCTCTGGTTTTCTACTTTATTGAAGTCAATTAAAATGCATTTTATTTCTGTAGGACCTTATCGATGACTGGAAGGCCAAGGAGACCAAACGCGGAAATGGAAAGACCATTGACCCCACTGCCTTAAAATGGACACCACCTAAAGGGTCGTAAAGAAACCCTAATTTCACATGAATCCAAAAACCACAAATAAAAACACAGATCCTCCTTTGAATACAGGTATGCTCATAGTATCTTAGTCTAGATCCCACACAATCCTCTTTATAAAACGCTTTCAGCAGCTACAGCAGTCACTCACTCACTCGCTCACTCACTCACAGGAAGATGTCTCTCTGGGTTCTGCAGTCCCACAGTTGTTGAGTTTGTTGACTGAACTTTGATACTCAACATGTTCTTGATTAGAGGGTTAAGAAAGCAGTCTGTTCGAACCCAGAGAAACAATTTTCAGACAGTACACACAAAACTATTCTCCTGTTTTAAACCATCACACCTGTCAGGGTGTCATTCATGAAGCTATAGCTGCCATTGGCTATGTTTGGACTGTTTCATGTCACTAGGAAATGATCTACCTGGATGTGTTTTTACCCCCCTGTTACTGTGTCGTTTATAATCCGCAGTTATACTCCAAACTGTAAAGGTTTATGGGGCATCAGAGCTATGAGGAACGCTGGAGCTTATTAACATGTTAGTGTTCTTCCTGTGTTTTTTTCTAGTGGTTTTATAAAAGTTCTCAAAAATGTTTTCAACTTTTTCTACCTCTAAGTTTTACCACTGTTTAAAAAGCTAGACTGGTCCTTTTCAAGCTTCCCCTGTGTTTCTTTGTATTCTCTTTGTTCACATGTGAATTTTTGTAGTTGTGTTCAGCCAATGTGTGTATTTTTATTTTTTTTTTTTTACTGGATCTTTTTTTTAATAAGCTGTCTATATTTAAAGAAATATGTTAACTGCTTAGAACGTAAAAAGACAAAGTTTGTTAGAGGAATGTCTATTCTATAGGACTGCGTCCCTTTTTAATATAAATATTGTATTTATCTAAATTTTTATGTGAATCTGAATGTGTCTAGAAGCTATTGGAAGGTACAGGAAGGAGAATGAAATCCACCCCCCACTAAAACTAGACAAGAGTCATTTTACATTTCAGAGGTTTGTATTCTGTAATCAAAAGTGACAGGAACCAATTTCAAATTTTCACTTCTTGTTACCACAATTATGCAAAGTAATGCACAAGCCTTTGTGGGAACATAGTCATCAGTATTTTTGTATTATTTATGTTGTGTACAGCCCCGCTGGTTTTGACTGAAAACTCATTTTATTTTACTGACAATCTTCATATTTATTGATTTTTATCAAACTTTTAATTTAACCGCACAATGAGTTTTTTGGGGAGGAAATAAATTCACACATTGACACTTTTGAATGAACTAGATTCCCCTTTCAGCTGAGTTTAAAGACTCATATCGACATATTACATACACAGCTAGCAGAGCACGGCACGTCTGGCTCCAGCACGTAACCACAAGCTCTTAAGCGAGTTTCTTTTTTCACACTTTAGTTGAGGTGGGACAGGAATAAGGTTACCATGTGACAGCACTGGGTTAGTAATGTTCCACTGTTCCTGTTCGTCTGTTAAGCTGCGTTTGAATAAAAAGAAGAACTTCCTAAACTGTCAAACTCCTCCAAACACTGTTCACAAGCTTCCACAGCAGCCGGCTGTGAAATTGGAGGTGTACAAACAACAATGTCAGATTGAATCAGCTTTCCCACAACTCCATATTCGGAGGAAAGCTTTCTTTCTTTCTTTCACTGCCTGGATTTACATTTGTCTTCATTTGACAATATAAACAAATGTTGCCTTTATGTTCTGTAATGTTGAGGATATTTCTCTTTGTACCTTACGTTCTTATTTTCCAAAGCTAGGATTTTTTATACCATCTGTGTATTTGTGTGTTTTACATTTTTATAACGTTTTCTAAGACTGTAGTTGTGTTTCTGTCTTGGAGGCATGTGATCGTTGCTTTCAAGAGTCACCACACTCATGAGCAGTTTCCAAATCAATACGAACAGACTGTGCTTATGCTTTTAGCACCTGCTCATGACAAACAAACTCCCTGAAATGTGTGATTGACTGAAAAAAAAAAAAAGAAAAACCACTCAAGACTCTTGTGCGTGTGAACAGGGGTTTGGGTTTTTTTTTTACTTTGCCAATTGTTAAGTGCATTTACAGGAAGGTGCACTTATTTTTCAACAGACATTCGAGGGAAAACCAAGTCCTAAAAGTAACTCATGATTGTAATTGTTTATGTATGGCTGGGCCAGTTTTGTTTTACCTGTGTAAAGATACTACAGCAGCAAAGGGACCTGTTTAAACATTCTCCATCTTTAGGATTCATTTTCTGGATTGTGTAAAACAAACACATCACACTTCAAGTCTGAAAAGGATTTTCTCCCCCTTACCCTTTTAAGCCTTTCATTGTGGGAAACCTGTCCACCCTCAAAAGCCGATATTTGATTTTGTGATTTATGTTTCATCACTTCGTATGCAGTTTTTCTTCACGCCAGTGGCAGCTATAGAGAGGCAGCTTGAGTGCGCCTTGCTTAATATTAATCCAAAATATCATCAGGTAATAAGAGAAACCATGCACATACATCCCACCACCAATGAGCCATTGTAGTGCTGCAGCACTTCACTGCATCCTGAATCCTATTTAAACGACGCATTCAAAGCAGCAACACACAAAAAGTAGCGTGGCATCAATATGTAGCTCAGTTGTGCTTTTGTACTCGCTTCTCTCCCTTCCTTCCTATTCAATAAATGCAAATGGTGAAACATGATTCGCCTTGTCTGATGTCTTGTTTGTGTCTGTGATGTTTCCCTGGTAACCGCACAAGTCGGGGGTCAGTGACTGTTGAAGAAATGCTTGGACAGTCGGCAACTATGGGAAGTGTGGGTAATGTCATAAAAGGAGTTCTACTGACGGTGGTCTGTAAAAGTTGGTCATGTCTTAACCCTGATGATATCATCTCAAAGCGGCGTTGGTAGCGTAGTAGCCGAACACGGTTCCTTTAGTTATTTAATGAGGGCGTCCTTTAGAGCAGTAATTATATCAGCAGTCATTTCATGAACATGAAACAAAATATGATTTTATTAATGTCGCTGCAACGTGATAGCATTACAACATCAACATGGTATTAGCAAAGCGTGATTTTTCCATCAAATTGCAAAAATATATCCTTAAAGCCGTACACTTATGCCATGCCAACACAGTGCATCCAAATATCTTTTTTTAATCATTTGCAGTGGCAGTACACAATGGAGAAAGACTGAGGTCATGTTAGCAGGTTTACTGCATTTAATTTACTGAAGAGACAAAAGGACTGACATGTGCCGTGTTTTAAAAAGAGAATGAACATACTGTATACCAATAACAGTAAATGTTATAATTCTACAGTGACGATGACAGAGATTTAAAGCAGCTGGATTTGTGCAACCATTGTTCTTTACAGGACTTTGTGTGACTCTGTGTTCTGTTGATCCACAACAAAGGACAGAATATATTACAGTATAATCTGAGATTATGATTATTACAGTTTTCTTCAGCTTCATTGTGTTCCTCTATAGTTGGGGTCAGATTGCCATCCCTCTTGTGTTTCTGAAAAGACAAAAGATTGAAACTCAAGACCCAGGAGTTGACACAAGCTGAAAAAAAATAAAAGGCTGAAGTTATCAATCTGTTTTACCTTCACCTAAAGTCCTTTTGCCCATGAGTCCAACAAACATATCCCCTTTATTTCCTGCTTAACAGAGATAGAGAAAACAAACAAACAGAGAAAGATTCCCATAAGGGTGGAAAGTGATCAAATTATCTTCAATCTGATTGTTGGGGAAACATTCATAACCCTCCTGTGGTGTCATTAAACTCACTTTTCCTACCCAGTCTGACAGGTTGAGCTCTGCCTGAAATAAAAGAGGAATAAAAACATTCAATGTGTTAGTCATATAAAAGGACAATAGGGAGCTATGGGTGTCTTTAGTGCTACAATGAGGGATTAGAGGGGGAAATGAATATAAAACCATAAATTTAGAATAACCAACAAATACACTTTTGATTTTTTACCTGTGCTTCGACCCATCAGGCCGTGGAACTGCTCGGCTTTGGACCGCTTCATGAGGTCTGCCAGATGCATATGTAGATCTCTCTCTACTGGGTAGCCCTACACACACACACACAAACACACACAAAGAAGAAGAGAAGTAGTCAATTGATACTGATTTGGCAAAGAAAAGTACTGGCAATTATTTCCCCTGTAAATCATTCGCGCCCTGCCATCTGGTGGACTGATAAGGACAGTGCTACTCTTGATATCAAAACACAAAAACTCTCTTTCAAAGCTTATAATCTTATACTGTCTTTACATGTAGTGAAATAAAGGAGTACTGCAATATACCAGGGCTTTATTTTGCCTGGTATTCAAGAAGCACATTACCAACCACCCTCCAGCCCACCTCCTTTCTCACCTTTGAAAACCAGTTACTGCTCCATTTTTTCCCTCACAGAGTGAGTGAAAATTGTCAAGGCTCTCTAAACTTTCCTTTACACTGTTAATATCCAGATAAAAGGGGCAAAGCGAGACATCTTTTGATAAACAGACCAGTAAGAAGCAGCAGCCAGCACTCTTGAGTCTTCAATATTTCTCATGTTTTTTTTTTTTTTTTTTGCCACACCCTCTGATAGGTGGAGGTCTAAACTGAAGCCTATGAGAAAGCCTGCAGGCATTGTTCATAGGTAAAAAAAAGCCTTTGACCATAGGTATAGTGAAAATTCTCCCTAAGAGCTGCGATTAATTGCCAGAAATTGACCACTAATGTAGCCTAACTGTCCCCCTCCCTGTACAAAAATCACTCTTTATGAGGAAAATCAGTGACCTACTTTTCCCTGCATTTAACCCTAGAACACCATTGCCGGGTGATTTTCACCCGACCAAACATGTTTACATGATTTTCATTATGTTGCATTTATCTGAGTATCATGGGTCCCTGGGTAGCTTCAGCATTTCCTTAGACATCTTTGAAGGCATATTTGATTCCCTGATCCAAAACCTGCTTTTTCCAACAGGCACATGTTCGGGTGATTTTCACCCGGCAACAGTGATAGAGGGTAAAGTAGGTTTGGGTGGATTTGATAGCTGCATATGTAGGCAAATAAGGTCAGTAAGAGTAGTCCTGGAATTTACATGCTATCTTTATTTAGCGCAGTGGTTATGAATAACTATCACAAAGTAGTGATTTTCAAGGGAATTCATATGGTGATGAGAAATATTTTAGTCTGCTGGTCATTTTTTACTTTAATATGCCATATTTTGGTTCTCTCTCCTGCAGCTGTTATTGTGCCAAGGACCCTGAGTCTTCACCAGGGAAGACTCATATGCCCCAGGAATGGGTGGAAAAGAAACGAAGTTTACACTTTCTATATGTATTTTTTTGTTCATAAATACCTAATTTTAGTTATTTTGTTGCATTTTTTATACGGTCCCCTCATGGCACTTTTTTCCTCCCTTTGGAAACTGTACAGTTAAAAGAAAGCTACTTTAATTTGTCATGTATTGTCCTATTTTTTTTTTATTTTTCTTGTATATATTATTTTGGGTAAAAATCAGCATTTTAGCGATAATGTTCAAGGGTTAAGAGATGTCAGGTGCTCATTTGATCGCCTGAAGACTTGATAGCTCTAAGGAGTAAAAGTCAAATGGTCATAAAAATCCACTCAATTTTTATTTCATACGGATTGTGGTTTGGTAAAAAAAATAAAAATAAAAAAAACATGTTTGTCTGAAATCGATCTGGACATCGTCAGAAAAAATACCGAATCGGCCGATTTTTTTTTATCCGTCGCCAATACACTGCTCACACATTTTGAGATAAGTCGTTTTAAAACTGTTTGTTTATTTGTTAGTTGATTATTTTTACAGAAACAGTCTGGTAGCCTTATGCTCAGAACGGTTCACTAGCCTATTGAGCGTCTGTAGCCTATGGTGAGCTCTCTTTAAGATTTAAATAAAATCTCAGTTTATGTCACTTTTAGTCATCGGGTGGTGTCAAGAATAGAGAATCATTTCACCTAAAGAAGTAAGAAACAATCCCTACTGTTGCGCAGTTTTGAATAATGTTATAAAAAAACACGTGAAATTGCTGAAAAGCTCAGTTTAACTTCCAAAGTCATGCTGTCATTTTCAATTGGAAAAACAAAAACAAATAAAACATAATAAAATCCACCTCTCTCTACCTGTTTGCACGAGGCTCTGTGTTTTTACCTGCCACTTGTCCACCGTCCACACCTCGTCTTCATCTTCACTTGAGTGTGAAGTCCCCAGTGCGCCGAAAACCTGCACGAACACGACCAACAACAACACAAGTATCAACTTCAGAGCCTCCATGGTTTTCAAAGAGTGCAGAAAAAACAGGGAGTGATGCGGACGCATGCAGCAGCCAAAACACTTCACATCAAATCAAAGTGGCGTCGGTTTAGTAGTGGGCTTGTTGGTGCGTCCTGAGTGGAGGTCTCCGTTTTGCGCTTATAAAGCCCCTCTGCTCGCCCCTCCCCTCACCTTCCTGCCTCGCATTAAAGTGAATTTATCCTGCAGCTCGTTTGTGCCCCCTTGTCTGACTCAGGCGTGATGTGCGTTGATAGAGACCAAACTTCCCCTCATGTAAAGGCAGATGACCGCTCCCCAAACTGTGAAGGATGAGCTGTTGTTTGCCCCTGTTACTCACCTGTGCTTTTAATTTCACCCACAGGACTGAGTGAGCAGCTACGTGGATGATGAAAGCTATTGCATGTCAAGCAGTGGGCTTTCAGGTCAGTGAACTACAAAGAATGAAAGGAAAAAGGGCATACAGGTTCAGGAGCAAAACACCCCAAAACAGATCACAGATATCACCAGCATGGATATATTTTCAATTTCAGGCCTGCCTTCGAAGCTGAGCCAGATCCCAATCATGTCTTGTATCATCTTAATGGTTTGTGTCACCTTCTCCAGGTGCAATCTGATGTCAGCTGTGATGTATTCATGCTGTGTTTGTGTGTGACTCTGCAGGTCATTTGCCCACTAGCATGATAAATTTATGCCTTAAATAATCACTGCGGCAACAGCTCCTGGCAAAAATTCATGACTCTGTCAAAAGAGAGGGGAAAAAAAGCCATCTTCAATTGGACATTTTAGGCATGTCTAAGATAGTGCAGACTAATATGCAGTGGTACAAACAGTACCTTTTTCTTGGTGATAAAAACTTAAAGAGTTCTCTGTTTGTATATTAAGTCCCACAAGAGTCACTGATTCTTGGATAGATCTAAAGATGCTTCCCAGAGCAATATTGTAGCAGCCTAGAAGAAAGTTTGACAAAATGTTCAAATAAATACCATCAATAAAAATATGAAAATCAAGCCAATGATTGAAAACAGATTACAAATTGTGAGACAGTGGGCTTAACATATTTTTTTATCCCTGTGTGAAACTGTCAGAAGTGGAGTCCTTCAGATCCACTTTTTCAACTATTACTACTACTACTAGGCCATGGAGGATCAGAGGGATTTGGCACTTTTCTAGAAATTATGCCTGGATTAATGTTGCTTCGAGTTACCTTGGAAGTCAGAAGTCCAAGCTGAAAATGACGTCACACCTGAGTTACTAGCGTTTCAGTTACCAAGTCGGAAAAAGCAAAATCGTAAAGTCCGAATATAAGGCGAGCGCTAAGATAACTTCCGTAGATGTAGCCATCTTGTTTCAGGCCTCTGATTTTTGCTTTTTTCTGACTTGGTAACTGAAACGCTGGGAACTCGAGTGTTATGTCATTTTCAGCTCTGACATCTGATTTACGAGGTAACTCGAACGCACTATTAGTCTGAAATGGTCTAGTCCCACAGCATCTCAAAATCAATACTCAAATTGATTGGCACCAAGTGGAAAGACTTTCAAATAGGTATGTCATTTGCTATTGGCCGATTCTTTGTCAGCCAGGTTGCTGCATTTCTCACAGCTGCCCCTAAAATTCCCATCGGCCATTGGCATCAAGACTCTGTTCATGGAGTCAGGACTAGGCTGCTGCTGAAACATAGGAACAAATCCCCAGATATATCTGCAACAAAAGGTGATCGCCCATATAATTCCCTCACCTTTACTCTGAGACCATTCTGCTCCAATGTTGTGCTTTTAGTCTCCTTGAGGGAGCCTTCCCAAAAAGATTAATAAAGTCAATCTAATCTAATCTAATCTAATCTAATCTAATCTAAGAGTGAGAAGCTGGAATAAAGTTAGCAAAAAAGATAATCTCAGTGCTGCTGTTCCAGGCTTTAAGTTATATTCATTAGGATAAGCAACTGGAAAAATCATCATTATTAATATGAGGGTCCTCAGTCCATATCTCAGGATAGAGCCTCGTGTTTGTTAGATACCAGCTAATGTTAGCATTCAGCCACTCTCTAATATGGAGGTTTCAATAGTCATATAGCGATGGTTTAACTCATTCCTACTGCAAAAGCTTGTGGTCAAACGCTAAGATCGCTGTTTACCGGCTTAGTTTCTTTTCAGACTTCTATAGGCCTTGCTCACTCTGAGATTTTATCTGTCATATTCCTGATTGCTATGAATTAACAAGTAGGCACTGAATTAACAACTTTCATTTTCCGGTTCTGTAGAGATTTGGTTGTCAATGTCTGTGACCTGAAATACAGGTCAGAGATGATATAGCAGCCTGAGAGTAACCCATCCTGTGAGGACAGTCTTGGGAAAATGGTCAGCATGTCTGCTGCTAATTTACCACTGTGGCAACACTCCCCTTGGTTGCCTTTTAAAATTACACACCTTCATCAAAGAAGCGTGCTACTGCCAGGACTTGTTTCTGAAGAACACCCAAAGCAGCATTTGTCTGTTCTCAGTAGCTTACTAAGGTAGAACATGTTCATATTGTCTAGTTAACATTCTCGCATCAGCATTTAGCTTACAGCCACAGAACTGGTTACGTTGGAGTTGATTTTTTTTCCAGTCAAACCAACTTTCCTCCTCTCCCCTCCATCTCTGCTCCAGCAAGCCCAGCCCACAAACAGATGACAGGACCCGGGCTAAACAGTTTAGTGGCGCTACGACATGCAGCAGGTTCCGTTTGACAAGAAACACTTCTGTTACAGACACTTGGCTTACTTTGTTAAAGTGGTTTACCTGTCCAGCAGAAAAGTTACAGGGTCCATAAGATCCCAAAGCGTCCCCTCTCATTGTTGACCCGGCTTTTTAGCTCTTGTCCGGGTGGTCTATCTCCTTTTTAAGTGCCCGTTATTCTGCCAGAGTCTCTGGTATTTAGTTCATTTTCTTGCTTGTGTTGGTGGTTGTAGCTAAAGGAGGATTCAGAAAATGTTCCATTCTTTCCGGTTGGTTTCTACTGTCCGATATTGTAGCACACTAATTTTGTTTGGGCTCGTAAACGACACGGGGGAGCAGCGTCTGCCTCACAACCAATCAGCACTAAGGAGCAGCGTCCGCCTTACAACCATTCAGGTTGGGGGAGGTGGAGAACGGCTTTGTTTACAGTTAGAAAGAACGGGCCGCTCAAAAAATGTAAAATGTTGACTACACAGACATAACAAAACACAGTGATATCATTATATTACCAAATGTCATCAATAACTAAAAGCTATTTTCTGATATTAAAAGCTTTTTTGTGTATACACCACAAAAAAAGATGCTTCTTTAACGGAATCCTGCCTACCCCACCTTTAAAGGCTCTAAGTGTTATCTTCTGGTCATAACCCATTCTGACAACTGATAGAGCAGCCAAGTTCACTTGTTTGATGACTCATTATTTGATCCATTATCCAAAGTCAGCTGCTTCTCTTCAACTACTTCCCGTCTAACAAGGAAGTGCTGTAGCTTGTCATTTGTTTGATGCTAAAAACTACGATAGGATTTCGAGCTCCTCCTACAACACTATCAAAGTTTGTGTTAGAACTAACCGCCTCCTGGCCAATAGTTTTATTATTCTCCAGTAGTTATGAATGAATGTGTTGGTTTGACATGAAATATGACTGTCACTGTTAACCTATTTTGAGTTTTGATCAATAACAGATCTGTTAAAATCACAAATCATTGCTTGTAACAAAGCATAATGGCAACTCAACATCAACTGAGCGCTTACCAAAGGTAGAACAAGCAAAGATAGAGAAATGTTCCACTGAAATGATCTCAATGATCTCAATCTGTGTTCCAACAACTGCTACCAGGTGTCAGATTTACAAACTCCAGACTTTATTTACAAAGCACTTATCATACGACGAAACACACACTTCCCAATCCAGAAGTGTCGCTAAACACGAGCTGTGAAAATATTTAGATAAGATCCACCAGACTCAGTTCCTCCTGGTGATTCTGGGAGCCAGGGCTGAAGATGGATGGAGAAAATTACACCGAGGCTCTGTCAGGACTCAGAGAAACCCGAGGACTGGAGCATGATCCACAACAACACTTACACATGGACAAAACCCATCTTTACTAACACTTCAGTACACAATCTGAATAGCTCTGCATCTATATGTCACTCTGATCATGGCACGCTTCAGGTGTCCATCCAATCACCTGCTCCGTTTGTCATGAACTGACGACCAGCTGTTCTGCATTTACATCAGTGACAACAGTCAAACAGTTATTCACTAAAATTGACAAAACTGAGCCGTATGAAGCTGTCTTCTTTTCTTTATCTTGATTTAGCACAATGCAGTTAGCTTAGGTTTTCATGTCATCAGTGTCTCTCGTATTTATGTGTTGAATATGCTGGTGCTCAGTCAGAACCTGTGAGGTGTTGCTTATTGTCAGAGTATGTCGAGCCTAATTGTACCATGGCCAGGTTGAATATTCAGTTTTAATTGGCTGCAGGGGGGACTCTATATTCTTGCAAATTGGACACCTTTGGAGAAGCCCCGGTTACAAAGCCTGACATCAAGTGACAAAAATGGGGGTCTGAAATATTTTCCAAACTTTGTTGAAGAATAAAAACCTTTGAAGACTAGGAAAGAGCTGAGAAAAAACCTTAAAGCGTAAAGTTTTATACACACTGTAATTGACTTTGAATGTTACTTTTTGCTGATAGTTGAGCCAAAATACTCCACAAACTGTGCCATGTGCATCCAATATGCCCTGTTGCCAAGTCTCAACCAAGAGTTATTCTGTTTACTGAAGCAGCAAAGAGCATTTTTCTACAAGTTCAAGGCACATTGGGTTGATATTATTTATTAGGCTGTTAGTCAGACCATCAGATGTTACAAGGGGAATAAAATTACAGCATGTAGAAAACTTAGATTGCAAAATACGTGAGAGATGTACGTCGTTATTCTTTATAAAGATATCATTACATAAGCAGTATCATGTCTTTTGAAGTGTTTATAATCAGGAAACAGAGGCTCATCAATGTTTGAGTCTTTCCATTACAACTCAGGGTCAGGGAGCTGGCCCTCAATCAGTTACTTTTAACAATGGCGACCCTTGTTGACCACTGATTAGATTAAAATATCCACTTCTCTTATCCGCTGTCAATTGTTGGAGTTCTTGTGACATAGTTTTGATATCAGGTCATTGAGAAATAAAAATAGCTGCAATCAGTCTCTTTTGACATCAGGAACAATAGAGAATCAAAGATGAAGCATCACTCTGTTGCACTTCCATTAATGGCTGAAAGTTTTTAAAAAATATTGTGCATT